GGGTCAAAAAATTAAGTAGGAAACGATGCGTTTCAGGAAAATTTTGGAGATTGATTCATTAGTGCCGTGTAACTGAGGTAAATCAAAAATTAAGTTTTCCTATACTGCGTTTCCACTAATTTTCAACCGTTTTGAAATCTTATTGGAAGAAAAGGACACTGAAATCTCCCAAAAACAAGTGTCACAGGGTTTTTTGTCGGATCAAAATTGCTTGAGATACATCCATTTGTGCGTTGAGTATATATTCTGAAAATTTACATCCAACTTTGAGACAGAGAAGCCTCTAGAATGTTACCCCGGACTTGAAACTTGAAAAACAAAGGTTCGTCATACCGCAAACTTTTAGTGAATATGATTCTTCTTGCCCAGACATTGATTATCTAACCTATGCATTTGCCTCCTCAGAGATCCTGTTAATTTTGTCAAGCCATCTCTTTTTCGGCAGGATGTTTCAAGTTTCAGGGGATTTTTGAAACAAATACGCATGCTTTAAGTCATCACTTGGAGTATTATTTGATCCAAAGCAACAAGAGCATAATGATTAAAGTTAACGGTTTGACGGACCGTTGTTTTTCATGTTATTTTGTGAATGAATAAACTGAAACCCTGAGGAACATTCTGAGGACCACGCGAAATTAGATGGAACTCGAGTTATGGTTCGCTAAAAATTGCAAATATACCGAAATCTTAAAAAGGATCTAAGCGCATTCTTTTTGTCCAAGAAGATTTCCTAACTATTGAAACTACTCGTATGGTTTGGGGAAACATACGTTTTAGTCCACACAAGCACTTACCTAGCTATGCATCCAAATTTGGTTATCATTTTTGGCATTAAGAAAAAAGAGCCTTTAAGTATTTAGAGCCGATTCAAGATACCGCTCCTGTTGCAGGACTGAATTCTACGTAATTTGAGTTGTCATGAATCAAGTCATGAAAGAGAACAGACTCTAAGAGCAGATAAAAACATATGTTCATGTGTACAATGTACGGATATGATAAGATGAAAACCAAAGTGGGAGCCGAGGAAACGCTCCAATGCCAAATTAAACATTTTTTAGTAACAGATGCAGTCAAAATTGAAAGTCCTCTTTAACTAGTTATTTCGTGCGCCTTCAATCTTGTAGGATACTGTGCAACGCCTCTGACGCGAAATAGTTGCTTAAAGCGTTGCGGCGCGGCTGGCAACCAGCGTGACATGCGCATAGGCGCCTACAAACCTAACGGGATACTTCACGCGTTGCGCAATGCGTGAAGTATTCCGTTAGGTTTGTAGGCGCCAGTGCGCGTTCTGCGCTGCTAACACGCCGCTCCGCTCTGTGTTAGGCTCCAATATTTAAACTCGCGGAGTCAGCGTTTTTCAACTCATGATTTTGAAATGTTTGCACTCTCTGCATTGATTATTCCCTTTTAAACTGATGAAAAAGAAATATGTACTACTGGAAAATAAATGTGTTCTTTGTAAATGTAATAGTCGTTCCGTGTCAAATTTAATGATTTCCAAAGCATTCAAATCAATTATTTTATGTTTTGGGCTTTTACTGTGCTATGCAGCGTGGTGTAATTTCAAGGATAGAAACCAAGTATTTACCAAAGACAATTTGAAAAGATGAATCAAAAGAAGAAATTAACATTTCATTTAAAATATGAGTTACGATAACAACACCTCATTATCTCTTAATTTTCTCATTTCGATATTGTCAATACAATTTTACACACGGACTAAAATATGACGCTTGAATTTGATTTTACTTAGTGGACTTTACATTTGTGGACTTAACTTAGTGGACGTTTAAGTAATGGACTTAATAATAGTGTCGGCTTTAGAACAATGGACGTAAAAATTGTGGACGAAAAGTCTGTGGACGTAAAAAAAGTGGACATAAAGTCCGTGTACCGTTCAAAAATCGCCTACCAATTTAGAAGAAATGGACACCACAAGAGCATGCTAATGTCCGTGGTCGTAAAAAACGAGTTAGTTACCTACTAAGCACATTTCACTTCCCTCTGTTCTTCAACTATTACCAAAATCCCTTTTCAAATCATTCAAGAGTACCTACTAAGCAAAAACAAACTTTTTAGGAAAGAAGAATTCCAATGGTTACCACAGGGTTACAGAACAACTTAAAGCTGTCTTTTTCTTCATCGTCCCTTGATACGGCCAAGGATTTGGACTAATGGGCCTGTTGCAAACTTTTGCTAGAGCAAAAATAAGAGTTGTTTCTTGTAGATAATGCCTCAAAAATCACGATGAGCGCATCGGCAAACTCTGAAATGCACTCATAACTTCACAATCTGCGTAAGAAATTTGCGTTTTTTTAAGCTTCCCGCTTCAAAAACGATACTACGGCATAGGTGAACATTTTGTTAGAGGAGTCGCTCCATCGTCGGCGATATTCATCATGGCCGACGCTTGCACGCAGTTCCGCGCGTAATTCAAGGAGAGTTCAAGGTCAATCAATTCGGGCGTGGAAAATATGAACGTTAACACACCGATTGTTATCTGGTCTAATCCAGTTCAGGTGTTATCTCGTCCCATCAAACGTGTTTTGGCGGATTGGCGTCGGCTATGATGATTATTGCCGACGATGGAACGACTCCTCTTACAAAATGTTCACCTGTGCCGTAGTATCGTTTTTGAAGCGGGAAGCTCAAAAAACCGCAAATTTCTTACGCAGATTGTGAAGTTATGAGTGCATTTCAGAGTTTGCCGATGCGCTCATCGTGATTTTTGAGGCATTATCTATAAGAAACAACTCTTAGTTTTGCTCTAGCAAAAGTTTGCAACAGGCCCATTGGTTTGATTCCCTGACGCTAAAGCGGTCCAATTCTCTTAAGGTCTGTTTCTTCAGTATGCTTCATGCCAGAGACCAGCACTGCCATGCTGAGAAAGAACGCCGTATGAACATTCGAGAGTTGCCAAATTTCCCTTGATAAAACACGTATTTTTGACGACATCCGTGCACATTTTCCTTTGAAATTTTATAGATATTTTAGATTAAATTGCGTATAATATTGTCTGAAAATTTTGGGGGATAATATTCACAATTTTTACGGTGAATTTGGTTTTTATCGAAGGAAACTTGGCAACGTCTGAAGGCTCATACGGCGTTCTTCCTTAGCGCGGCAGAGCAGGGAATAGAAAGAACGCGAGCGTGTGAGTGTGATGAGAGGAATGCGAGAGCAAAGTGTGTCAAGTGTTTAAGGGTGATGATAGACGACATAAGGAATGAGTTAGATAGGAAAGAATGTCATAGAATAAGATGCCTGGAAGCAGCGTGAGGATTTTAGGAAGTGAGGTTTTGGAATGAATAAATAAGGTAGGAAGTCAAATCCTTGAGGTACATGATCTATACAGTATATTTTCTTAAGAAAAAAATAAAACAATTTAATCAAATGCACGATTATATTAACTGAAGCATTGTTCCTCTTGACGCTGGCAGAGTTAGGCCTGAGGGAAAGTGTATTTTATGGTCACAATGGGGGTGAAAAAGAGGCAGCCTCCCCTCGACGGGTTCCTTGACCCCCCCCCCTTCCCCGAGGATTTTCCAACTCCCCATCATCTTTCCTTTGCACCGATTTTTGGATGTTACCTCCTCCCTCTCTCCGATTTTGCGATAAACGTTAACATTCAATAAAAATCAGGCCCATATATACATCGGGAGTGTACAGTCTCTATATGTATACACAAGGAGGTGCGCCCCCTAGCCGCTACGTGGCCCAACCCTTAGGAGCGCTATGCGCCCTACAAGGCTCGTTTCGCGGCTCTTGGGTCGAAATAAGAGAAAAGGGGTCTGCAGAATTTTGGCACGATTTGTGTGTGTATTCATTGCATTAACCATTTACATTTATTACATTTATTGTGAGTTAATTTTAAATCTTAGGTCTGCACAAATTCATATTTAAAAAAAATTAGATTACTGAAATTCAATGCGGTTAGGAGGAGAATACGTCGGTCAAAATCAGAAAAGCTGCTCGACAACATGGATGATGAAAATTCCTCTCCCTCGTTGATGCGGTAGCCAGTGGCTTGGAATGCTTTGCGATATATAGATTGATCTACCATTGAAACCTATGGAAAATAATCGATTATTGAGGTGTTCTCAGAGAACACCTTATTAATTAATTCTTTACCGTAGCTTCAAATGGGTAAATATCGATAATCGATCATTCTTCGTCACTGGCGATAGCCCAGTCCGTGTTCGGAGTTTTCTCCTCGAGTGACTAAAAATATTTAAAGAATTTTGCCGCGCATTCATTGAGGTTGGGGGAAGCTGAATCATTGCATTCAGTGCACATCCTTTTTTACGATTTTATGACTTAGTCCGAGCTTAAGAATTTCTATCGACGTGTTGCCAGCAAAAAATCACACTTATGTTCCGGAAAGAGCCCTGCTGTGTACTCGTCCCCATACCGCCCAGGGCCCCTTAAAAATGAGTTACGTGCTTTTTCCATCTTTGGCGACGATGCTTCTTAACGTGCACCCGATTCAAATGATGGCAGCCGACGACTCGGCAGGAATGTCAAGTTATGAGCGAATCAAATCCGCATTTTTACCGCCGCGAAGTCACCAATCGTAACAGTTTAACTTTGCTCCGGGATTTTTACTGCGCACTGCGCTGGCGTGAAGTCTTTTCATGAGCCCCGCACCTTCTTTTAACTTCCATTTCACCGCACCGTGACCATTGGCGATTCTCGAGTGTTGGGAACACTAGATTTCATCCATTTGAATTTATGTGAAACAATCGATTCCTATCGAACGTGGCTATTTCACACGGTATCGATTATTTATAATGAATTCAAATGAGCGAGACACAATAGCGCAATTTCACCTAAAGTTCCTGAAAATTTCAAGGAAAAATATTCATAGCTTTCCTTAAAAATACGTAAACATTTTATCGAAGGAAATTTGGCAAATCTCGAATGTTCATACGGCGTTTTTCCTTAGCACGGCTGCATTTTTTCTACCATTTTTAATAGGCATGATTCCTGTTTGCTCACAGGTTTTGTCAATGGCCGAGACGCTTCGTGTCCGAGGATATGCCCACAAAATGGAGATCCGGTCTGCGGAACAGATGGAATAATATACCCAAGTGCCTGTGAAATGAAAAAGAAAACCTGTGATAAAGGTATGTGTCTCTAAGTGTCTCCATAATTTTAGTTATCAATTTGCATTTTTTGGTGGATCGACTGAAAAATAATGAGATATATGTTCATGCTCCAGTTTTCAGTGTCAAATGAACGATTAAAATTTACTTTGGCGAACGTCTTGCGTATTACGGAAAGGGTTTAATTGGCATCAATTAGACTTCGAGAAAATCACGAGTTCAAAGATTGACAATCAAGTGTAATATTCATTTATACATTTTTTATTTGAGTTGCGTTTATTTACTGGATCTTTCTCCCGAGGTCATCTTTTTCCTGATTCCTCCAGAATTATTTGATCGGAACGCCACATAAAACTACGGAAGTGCCTGATTTCATGTTCGTGCACGGAGAAGAAAAGTATGATTCCTACGGCAAAATAATAATTTTGGTACAGGAGACTAAACTGTTCGGTCATGAAAACCAAACTTCCGTGCAAATACACGATCCCAAGTAGCATTTTTCAACAGAAAAATCGCGATTCGTTGCGATTTTGTCGGCGATGAAATCGCTAAGATCATCAACATCTGAGCGATTATCCTCGATCTTGCTGCAATAAAATCGGGATTTTCTCGCCCGGCAATTTATCGCGATATTATCGCAACAAAAATCGCGATATATGGCGATTTAATCTCGATTTTATCGACGAAAATTGATCGCGATTTTGTTGAAAAAAAATTGCGATGCATAGCGATTTAATCGCCATAAATCGAAATTGTTTATTCGATAATATTGCGATAAATTGCCACCGATGTAATCGCGATAATCAACCGATAAAATCGCTATTTATCGCGATCACTGCTACTTGGGGTAAGTCGCCGACTTGCATCGAGGACTTGTGTTCCTTGTGCGGTACCGTTTGATTTCTATGATCGAAAACCCCGACTATCGAAAACTTAAGAATGCCCCATGAACTGAAATTTGGTTGTTGGGTAACCAAAGTTCTTTCCCCTATGTGCAAGACTTTGGTCCGTTGCAGAGCGGAAAATTCTATCGCTGAAACGTGACCATACTAATTTTTCTCTCACGATGTTGTGAATTTGGATATTTTCACAATTGTTTTTTTCGCGACTGGTTTCGAGAAAGATGTTTTATGATACTTAATTCATAAAACTTCCAATACTGATCTGTTGAGATAATTAATGGCCGCGAGCCTAAGAGGCTTTGCGATGCAACGTTGCAATTTTTCATTTGAAAATGTACTCAAGAATTGTTGTGGAAATTTTCTCTCAAAATTTGTTGTGGATTTTTTATTTGACGAATAAGTCCTGAAATTTCGATGTAGAAAAGAATACTAGGAGAAAATTCCACGTATTTTATTCCACGTATTATTCCACGTTATTTAACGTCAGTTTTTAGCTTCGGTTTTTATTTTTATTTTCGTTGTTAGTTTTAAGTACCTGATGATGACTTCCACAGAAGTCGAAATGGCCATCGTTTAAGAGTGACAACCGAAAAAGAAAGTAAGTGTCAATCAAATACAGGAGACCCTAGAAGAATACGCAGTCCAACCCTCAGAGGATGCTTCGTGCCCTCTGAGGTCCGTTTCACGGTTCCGAGTGAGGTAAGTATCCATTTAGGGGCAGTCCAATGCCGGATTAAGGGGGTGGCCACATGGGCCGCGGCCCATGGCGGCAAATCTATAGGGGGCGGCAAATTTTGAATTTTTTTTAAATGTAGGTATAGAAAATTCGAATTTAGAAAAAAAAATTACAAACGAGAAAAAGCGACAAAATCTCTAATTTTCTGAGAGTATAGTAATTTCTACTTTTGTCGTCTTTCAGTGATACAAGAGACAGCACCTTAAATTATTCAACTTAAGGGAGAAACCAAACACGCTTGGCCTGGAACGGCGCGACTTAGAGAGAAACGATGACGAGGACTTGAGATGAAAAAGAGAAGCCCTCGGCGCGGCGATCGGCATGTAACACATATTAGCCCCTACATGACTGCACAAATACTTCACGCATTGCGGCAAACACAGTGCGATCAGCGTGAAACGTATAGCGCCTACAAGACTGCGTGAATACTTCACGCATCGCGTCCAACACAGTGCGTTCAGCTTCAGCTGCGGTCGGCGTGAAACTCATAGCGCCTACAAGACTGTTGGAATACTTCACGCATTGCGCCAAACACGGTGTGGTCTACGCGACGCGGCGGAGAAAGTTAAAATCGTTAATCCACATTTATGTTTGTTCTTTCAAAATTGTTTCGTTCATTTCTTATGAATGGAGGGCCTTGTCCACACAGAGATAGGTTTACGAGACTTAACTTTCGCGCAAAGTTCCGTGAACTTTTGAGGATTGTTGACAGGGCTTTCCCAAAAAATGTGTTCAACACGAGTAAACGCGTCTTATGCACCCCTCGCCCGCTGGCACGTTCATTTGATGGTTTTTATTGATGTTTTAAAACGAATGAGAAGGGGGCGGCAAAATACAGGCGGCCCACGGGCGGCAAGTAGGTAAATCCGGCCCTGGAGCAGTCACCTGTCGGCAGCCGCAAAAATCATGGAAATCGGCCCCCAAAAACGCTAGAACGAACCGTGACAAAAAATAAGAATGCAAGTGGTCGGAGAGAATGACAGTGTAAGTCTGCAACCACGTATCTCGTTTCCGGTGTTCGAAAACCTCCGCTCCTATTTTATTGTTTTTAAAGAGAACAAATTGAAATCACTCCTTGAAGTTTGCGCAGAATTTTTTTCGCAAAGGGGAAAAAAATCACGCAAAAATGTCTGTTGAGTAGTTTTACATTAATAAAATATGACAGGAAGTGACCGTCTGGAGGTCTCCCCCAAAATATTTTTGAAGCATCTTGCAATTTGAGTCAATTTCGTCATGAATGAAAAAAAAACACTAAGAAGTGGCCCAAATTGTAAGTAACAAGGTGGAGAAATGGTGCTGGGTCCACGCCATTTCGCGGGGAAGCAAAGCCAAGAAAATTCCAAAAATTAAGATTAGGTCTCTCAGCGTGACTCCAACTTAATATTCCAATGCAAACTGCCTGAGCTGAACTGTCTCCCCCCTCAGTTTCGTACTGGTGCGCATTAGAGTTCAAAAAATTTAATTTTGACTCTAATCTTAATTTTTGGAATTTTCTTGGCTTTGCTTCCCCGCGAAATGGCGTGGACCCAGCACCATTTCTCCACCTTGTTTTGTCATGAATAAATACCACATATAAGCGTCTTTCCCTCTTCTTTCCTCCATTCCTATACCTTCTCTCTTCCTTCTCTTTTTTTCCTTCCTTCTTTATGGGCAAACGGGGGAGGGGGGCGTAGGGAGCATACACCCTCCCCCACCGGACCTGCCTATGAGTCCGCGACGTCGTAAACCCAGATACGTGGTTGCGAACTTACACCGTCGATACAGTAATGAAAATTGGAAATTGTCAAGTGAAACTTTGAAAAATCTCACTGCAATTAAGGCCCTCTCACTCTCACCCCCTCGCAGATTTCTTCCGTTTTACGCGCTGCTGATGAGCAAGTGCAGTGTGCGCTCGAGATTACTCCCCGAGGTCGAGGGAAAAGGACATTATTCATTTCTTCACGCGCCAACGGTTTATTTCTTCGTCGATTATTCGCCTCGTGTCCGAGATTTGAAGACTCCACTACTACGTGCGCAATTAAAATCTTTGCAAGAGCAGTTTTCACACGAGACTTTCTCGCCGAGACCGCAAGGCAAGGAAGAAAGCCGCACAATCGGTAAAGTTACAGGCGACTGTATATATCGTCACTTGGCTGACATGAGGGCACAACTACACTTTGAGATGAGCCTGAGAAAGCATTGAGTTGCACAGACGATGGGGTTCATTACGAAGTGTTGTTACGTCCTTATGTAAGGAGGGCGACGATATGAGGGGCTTGGAAGACAAGGCGCATAAGTGCAGTTTTTCCTATCTCGAGAAATACGTGTTTGAAGTTTCAAAATTACACGGAACCATATGGCGGAAATTGATGCGTTAAAGTTGGATTTTAGTTGTGAATTTTTACAGAATATACTTTTAAACTAGTATTAGTAGAGTTCATGAATAGCTCAAGCAGTGGCGTGGCGCGCTTTGCGATATATCGATTGACCTGTCATTTAGACCTATGGAAAAGGATCGATTAACAGGGTGTCCGCAGCGAACACCCTAATAATCGATTCTTTACCACGGATTCAAATGGGGAAATATCGATAATCGATCACTCACGCCACGTCACTGATCTCAAGCCCCTCATATTTGAGCGAGGTGCAGATGATGATGAGCCTTTGCAGATTCATTCAAGTGATTCTGCTGCTTCTGATGTATTTGTGCAACAAACGACGCGTAGATTTTCGAGAAACATGTCGATTTTTATTTATACATTAGGAAGAAATGTATTTATGCGATAGCTTCTTCTTGCATTTTACAAAAATGCCACGTTCTTAAAATACACTAGGTTCACCACTTACACTACGCTCACTACTTTGAAAATTTTTTCTTATCTAAAAGGCATGAAAAGACGATGCAGTAGCTCTTTACCCTTGCCAAGGTGAAAGTAATACTCAGACTGCAAGGAGAGGAGACAAAGTTGAAGAGGTCTGTGTCCGTAGACGTGCGCAAAAGTCGCCTTCAAAATGCTAAACATACAATTCCGCGTTTGGATAGTTATCGTTCCCAATCCAAAGGGCATTCTACTGAGGAGGTCCCCCGTTCTGACAGTTGAACCAGTATAGAGATTGCAAGAGTTGAAAAATGTGTATTTCCGATTGCTGTATTTCATGATGTACACTTGATTTTATGTCGGTTACACTGCTACGCTGCTGCGCTACGCTAATGTTAAATGGTTTAAGATGAAAATGTTTTATGAGAGGCAGTATTGCTAAAATACGGATCGTACTTGAATCAACATTTTGAAAAAAAAATGTCTCTATTAATCTGTTTTTATCTCAAGAAAAAAAGAAAGGAAACCCCTTTCCAATAACTACTTTTAAGGAAATACAAAACTATATTTGCCTCCGTGATTTTTTGAAGCAATTTCTGTCTAGTCTCATATTTCAAATTTACATTTCAGGTGTTGAAGTAGAAACAAGTGAAAAAGGCTGTGTAAGAGCGTATGGATCAACTTGTGAACACAAATGTGCCAAAGACAAAGATCCAGTATGCGGCACAGATGGTCGAACCTACCTCAATAAATGTTTACTCCAAGTAGAAATTTGCAGGTGATGATAATCATGTTTTCTTTAGTTTTTTGGAAAAATCCTGCTCGACACCGCTGGCTATATGTAATTTTCAACCGCGCTGCTTTTTACCGTACCTGAAAGATTTTTCGATCAAGGTCAAGATTGGATTCAGGGTTTCAAGGACAAGGTCCATTCATGATATGATACAAAGAGGGTTAGTTTTACAAAACCCTTAGTACCTACCCTCTGAGAGTTACACTGTTCCATCTGGAATCGAATATTTATAATGAATCTGAATGAAAAAACAGCGGTGCCAACTACTGGAAAAAGGAAAACCATTATGACTCAAAAGCACAGTTCATGATTAATCAAGCGACAGTTTTGAAATTTCTAAAAAAAAATCGCGAACGAGCAAGAAAAAGATGCATGCACAGTAATATGAGTAACGTTGGGTGAATGATAAGTTGAGTTTTGAACTTTCACGTTACCTCACCAGATATTATTTTGTAAGTTGAAAAAAAAACATATCATGGGACACATCACTGTTCTGTCATTTCTTATACACACTTAATCCGAACTTATGCGTCCAATAACGCACCCTTTCTAAATTGGCATTTTTTATGTAAGCCTTTCGGAATCTTAAGTTATTTGGGGGAGGAGGGAAGGAAATGATCCCAGCCCCTCGGATAGTTTGGACAATCGAACAAAAATCGAGATAGATACTTGAAATGTTTTGAGTGCCCCTAGATCAAAGGAAATGACTTTTAAGAACCCCCACAATTTTAAAGAGACCATTTTAAGAGATAATTTTAAGGAACAAGAACCCTAGGGGTTATATGAGTGGTCCGGGACTATTGGATCGCCCTGAATTTGTTTAAACCCGGAGCCGCATCCTAGCATAATAGAAGAACTTAATCATTTCGTTTCATTTTTCAGGGTCGGCATATCCATGTCACATTTGGGCCCTTGTAACAATATTTCAGCTCACAGAGAAAACTGTCCGGTAAACTGTCACCAAGCCCCAATGGACGGCCCTATTTGCGGCTCCGATGGAAACGTTTACCCCAACACCTGCCAGATGAAACTCCACACTTGCGGGTAAATTTTGACCTTTCTCATCATCTTTGATTTTCCGATCGTGAAAATTTCGGTAATTTTATTAAGCTAGCTACTTACGCAGAAAATGAAGGGTCATTACAGAGCGTGCTCGCTAGAGTGAGGAAAGGGGAACAGATTGATTTTGAGAGGTGGATCGAACCATCAGCGGATCCAGCAAATTGGCAACACTGTTTTCCTCCATTTAAACCCATGGAAATGTATCGATTCTTGGAGGGGCCAGGTGCCCCGACAATAATCGATTATTTAACATGGGTTTAAATGGAAGGAATTCATTGTTGCCAATTTGCTGGATCCGCCCCTGGATCAAACAGAGTATGGATGCAAACGTTGGCCAAAATTCATTCAACGACTGAATTTGGTCCCTGATTTCAGAAGAGCGTTTTTCTCCTTTGGGAACGTCCCTAAATTACGTAACGCTCCAAGAGGGGGGGGGGGGGTCTCTACCAGCGTTACGCGGCGTTACAGGGGGTGGAGGTATGGAGAGAAGCGTTACTTAACGAATTCAGGTGATTTTTGTCGATTTCCTACAGAATTTTTCGATCGTCTTCAGAAGTTTTAAAAAAAATCTCGAAAATATCAATACTTTCACTTTTCCTCCTTAAATGGAAAACGCCAACCCGTTCAGTAAATGTAAGGTGATATTTAGATCAAATTTTATCGAAACGGGGGGAGGGGGGTCCGGGAAAGCGTTACTTAATTTCTTAGGGGGTCTAGCACAGCGTTACCGAACGGTGCAGGGGGGGGGGCGGTTGAAGAAGGTTAACAACCGCAAATTTAGCGTTACGTAATTTAGGGCTGGGCGCTGGGCCCTTCTGGTTGCAACCCTGCCGACCTGGTCGAAAAAGTTGACCAAATCCACTCGCGAATGTTTGCCTATTAACTCACTACATCGCGAGCTGTTCATTGAGATTGATAGACAAACCTAAAGCCATATGCAAAGAGGACATAGGAAGTATGGAGCGATCCTATTGGCTGAAATGGGTGTTTCTTACAGACAGAAGGGGTAAATGATGGACTAACTATAGGGTCTCTCGTGGGTTGCCGTTAGTCAGCCTATTACCTACCTCCTTGGTCCATCACAATCACCCGCTTCCACCGATAGAATCGCTCCTTATCCCTTTCATCTTCTTCGTCCATAGCTTTGTCTATTAATTTCAAGAATGAACCCGTTGTGCGGCGTGAGGACCATTGCCATCGGCTCAATCGGACGAGCTGTTGAACGATGAGCGAGGATGATTAAGAGGTCGAAGCAGTAAAACTGGCGGCGGGCCGCAATAAAGAGTAAAAGGCGCTGGCCAACGACGCGGACAACTGGACTGCTGCCTCTCCGGGGAAAAATCGCGTATCCGCCATGAGGATCCGTCGGCGCTGCGCGGGTTTCCGAAGCAAACGGCGAGCACCGGGCAGAATCCGGGGTGAGGATAGGATTTGACATTGGCATTGACACGGGCTGCTCTGTGACATGGGTGTGCTTTCTTTGCAGGCAGGGTGTGGTGAAGACGTCGAAGAAACATTGTCAAACAACGCGGCATTGTCGAGAGTCCTGTTGGCGCGTCTCCAAGCCCACTTGCGGCTCCGACGGAAACATCTACAGCAACTCCTGCCGCATGAAGTCCAAGAACTGTGGGTAAGACCGATCACCGTAATCTTTCACCTCCTAGATCCTTCCCTAGTGATGAGTTTGTGGCCTTTAGTTAACCTTCCTGCACTAAATTTTTATACACCACACCCTTGCGGTATACGCGAGGGTTGCGTCCCGCAAAACCGCGTGGATACTGGGCAGAGCCAATATCGTCATCTTCCGAAAAGTTAATTTTCACCAGAAATATACGAAAAACTTCGAATGGAACAAACTGGCACGAACGGAAACTTCCGAACGTGAACCGATGATTAATGAGTCGCGAAACATGAAACATGTCGGAGACTTAAACGCAGTTGTACAAAAGTAAACCGTTTCACGACGCGTTAACTCCCTATTTGTTAAGTGCAGTCGGCTATGATAGCCATGACGAAAAACATTCTTCCGTTAGACACATTTGCTAAGTCAGGAAACACGTAGAAAAGCTCTCAGACTTAAACGCAGCGGAAGAATAGTAGACCATTTTATGACGCGGAAATTTCTTATTTGTTCAGCTCAGTCGACCATAATAGCCATGATGAAAAAATTGTTCTTATCCAACACATATCATGATTCGGGAAACACACAAGAAAGCTTGGAGACTTAAACGCAGCGATAGAAAAGTTAACTCAACACTTGATGGTCGGGAATCACATAAGAAAGCTATAAGGTCTTTATTATGACAGAGAGAAGTTTAGGGAAGCATTTAATAAAGCATCGTAAGAATGACAATTCTTTCGATTCTTGAATGAAATTCAGAAGTATTGGGAGTATAACTTTGGACATGGATCTTTCCAAGGGATCATGATGATTTGACACTGCAAAAAGTGCAAAATGAAGATGCTTTTTTTTTTTTTTTTTTTTTTTTTTTTTTTTTTTTTTTTAAAGGCAGGTGGGAACTTACCCTAAAATATTTAAAACCCACAAAATGTTTTCCTTGGTAATTTTACATCTTTATAGAATAAGGCGTTCACATGATGCTTTACTTCATGACACATAGTTGAAAACTCAGCATTATTTTTCGATTAATCTTCTCGAGTTTTTCGATTTCGATTAATCAGTGAAGAACCTAACTCGAGTTATCCGCTCCGTGCGGTTTTCAATGAAAACGATTCCGTCTTAAAACGCCTTCAAATTTACGCGATACTTAATTTCTGCTTTGCCCCACAGTTAGTTTAGATGCCCAGTCGATCCGAACTCAACAATAAACTAACTAATAAATGCATTTTCTCCCTTCGCCTTTGAAACATTTTAAAATTCCGACTGTTTTTCACTCATTTTGTGTCTATAAACGAGACTATTCGCCTTCCATTTAATTAACCAAATAAATTTTATGCGTATAACTTTATATTTGATGCTTATGATTTAATTTATTTTTATTTTTTTAATTTTAGCTAAAACTATTTAATTTATTTGATTATAATGTGAGTACACATAATTTTGATATCAATTAGTTAGTTTCATGAACGCTTAGTTGCCGGGGCTGTTAACGTCGGAGTCCAAGAAAGAAATATTACTTACATTTTGGGGTTCAAAAGTATTCAATGTTTTAGGAATGCTTAAATATTTAGTTTTCATGCGTCTATTCATTTAATTTTAATGTTTATACATCGATGGCTAAAGTGCGACACCACCTATATCCATTGCAGTATTTCAAAATATCCGCTCCTATTTTATTCTTTTGAAAAGGAGCAAATCAACTTTATAGCTTGAAATTTATACAGAGTGTTCTAATGACAGAGAAGAAAAATCGAGAAAGTTTTCAAGCAATTACTTTGACTAGTTCTCCATGGAAAAAATAAAGGTGGAGTGCAAGTGTACAACGTCGCGAACGGAGGTACGTGGTCTCGCGCTTTAACCATCGATATAGACCTATTCGATAACGGTTCGATGTATCGTTTGGTTTAAAACAATAGAACATAACCTCAAACCAAACTGTAAGGATTCAAGTTGGAAAAGCTGAAAATTAGAAATGTCCTGACAATTTCACTTTTCATTGGCATTTGGTACTCAAAAGAATGAAAAATCTGTTACAAAAGACCCATTCTCTCAGATTTCTGAATTTACTTTTGAGGCTATGTTTATGTTTTGAACCAATCGATATCGATACAATCTCACCCGTTTGATGTATCGAAAACGATCTATTTAATTTTTTTGCGGACATACCTATAATCATCATGCGTTTACATGTAATTTCATCAAAATGTCTTCGTAGCCCATTAGGAAAATCCCTGTTTTCCTAGTGTTCCCCCTAGGGATCCCCCCGGTTTTTTCAACAAATGCACTCGCGCACGTTCAACATGACGTAGCTCTGCACGATTGCACAGCGTGCGGTGCCGGTGCATACGGCACGGACGCCCGGACGGGGGAGTCCGCAATAGCGAGCCTACTTTTACTTGCACCGCCCTCCCTTGGGCCGCGGACGGCGCACAAAGGAACAAGTCAACGGGAGAAGTCGGACAAAATTTGGAAACTTTAAAAGCTCATAACTCCATTATTACAAAACGCGGAGGTCTTAAAAGCGGTTCCATTATAGTTTTTTTTTTTTTATTATTATTATTATTATTTTTTTTTATTAGTTACAAGTGAGCTTTCATAATGAAAATATACACTTTGTTTCTAACTTAAATAAAGAGAAAATACAAACAACAGAGCAGTTTGTAACTTATTTACATATATTTTATATATATATATATATATATTTATATATAATATGAATTAAAATTAATGGTTCAGACCTAGGGGCTGCGGGGTGATTGTTGAAATCTATAGACAAAGCTATAGACAAAGAGGACAAAAGAGATATGGCGGGATCCTATTGGTGGAAGCGGGTGGTTGTGATGGACAAAGGAGGTAGGTAATAGACTAACTAACGGCAACCCACGATAGACCTTTTAGCTAGTCCATCATTTTCTCCCGTAGTCTATAGGAACCAACCAGTTCAACCCATGGGATCGTTTTGTATCCCCTAAGTCTTCTTTCTCTATAGTTTTGTCTATCAATTTCAACAATCAGCCCACTGACCAGTTCCCACGGCTTTACCCTTTTGAGGCGTCTGTATTCATTGGAGTTGTCTAATAATTGAATATTGCGACGGTGAAACTACCAACCACGTATCTCGGTTTGCGACGTCGTCGCAGACTTCCTGTCATACTTTATTTTTTAAATGAAAAACTACTTAACATCCAGTCTTGAAAATTTCTGTGATTTTTCCTCTTTGTGCGGAGAAAATTCCGTGAAAATTTCAAGGAATGATATTGATTTGGTCTACTTAAAAAAAATAAAATGTGAGCGTAGATTTTTAAACACCGCAAACGAGATACGTGGTTTGGTAGTTTCACCGTCGATTGCCGCAATATTTGGGTGGTGATGGAGACGTTTCTCGTAGTTCGTAGCGATAGTTCCATTATAGTTTCCTCGTATTTACTTATCCGAGCGCCCTTCAAACTTTAAAATCTTACGGAATAAACATCTAAATTTGCCGTTTTTGTCTAAAAAGTCGTGTCCGACCTCTCCGATTAGCTGTAGCCACTGTGCGGCGCAGCGGGCGGTAAGTAATGCAGCCACCGCCACCGCGTCGCGTCGCGTCGCGTCGGCTGGCTTGCGCCTCTCAACTGGACGTATTTTCGCTAAAAGGAACTATATGCAATGGGTTTGCATGCCGCATAGTTCCTTTTAGCATAAATGCGTCCAACTCGCGCATGCAAGAGGCGTGCGGCAGTTGCAGTCGGCATCGCTCCAGAAAGTTAATTGCTGCGCATCGCGACCGCAACGCGTATCCTTCCGATCTCCTCTTGAGCGCCTTAATGCATGCCCCCGACGTGGGAGTTTTTAGGGAGTCGACACGCGAGCCCTCCCGTATTACGGAAGAGAGCCGCAAGTGCAGTTTGGAGTGAGCCTCGAGACGTATAAGAGCACGTGCTAACCATGGCTCATGTAGAAGTGCACTTGCGGCTCTCTTCCGTAACTCGGCAGAGCACTGCCGAGCTAAGTAAGAACGCTGTATGAGCCATCAGACGTTGCCAAATTTCCTTCGCCAAATCACGAATTCGTAGGAAAATTTGTGAATATTTCTCCTGTGATTTTTTACAGGAATTCGGTCGTAATTTGATCCAAAAAGTCTAGTAATTTCAAGGGGAAATATTCATGACTTTCTTCAAAAATAAATATTTTCAAAAAAGAAATTTGGCAACATTCGAATGCTCATACGGCGTTTTTACGCAGCTCGGCAGAGCCCGGGAGACTCGCTTTCTGCTAGACGCACGCTAGGAGCCAGGCCTCGGGTGGAACGACCCGAGGAATGAAGGTTTTCAACAGCCAGAGTTCGATTATTTCTCGATCATGCCCTGTTTGAAATTTTTTAGTAAAATCCTGTGCTGAATTTTATGTAGCACCCAAAAACCCTTGAAATGTTGTATGAATGCGGAGCGGAAGCTATTCTCCTCACCGGTAATCCAGGATTGCGCGAATAGAAACCTTAACATCTGCTACGGGAACGCGCGACTTTAAAATGAATTTAATTTAAGGCAGAATTTTGGCAAAGCAGGGAACAGTTGGAAAATTAACTCATTTTTATGTTGACCCTAGTTTACGTTAGTTTGTTGACAAGTCATCGATGTCTTACCTTCTGATGATGAATGAAGTGAGAAGATTGAATGATAGTCGTGGGTACAAGGAACTTTCCTAACTTTTCTCGGAAAAATATTAAATCGGGAGAAACGAGGCAACGTTGGTATATGCTCATACGGCGTCGAAAGACAACACAGGTCTTTCAAGCTCTATTATTCGAAGCCGCAATTATTCTAAAGCGTGTTCGAATAATCGCGCTAAACACAGTGCGGCCGGCGTTAAACATATATTAGCGCCTGCAAGACTTTAGGAACACTTCACGCATTGCGCCAAACGGCGCGGTCGGCGTACGGCCCATATTAACGCCTACAAGACTGCATGAATACTTCTCGCATTGCGCCAAACGCAGTACAGTCGGTTAGTTAACGAGAGACGCATATTAGCGCCTGCCTGCAAGACTGTAGAAGTGCTTTAGGACTGCGTGTCATCATTCTTGACTTTCTGCTCTAGTTTTTACCACAATTAAAGGGAAATTGCGTATCCTCACTGTAAGGATTCAGAAACTCGGATGTTATTTATTTATTTGTTTATTGATTTGTTTTTGTTATATTGAAAGAAAATAGAACGAACGAAAATATATTTATAAAGTTTATTGTGCTCGATACTGGGTGGCCTGAAAACAGGGCTATACCCTAGTCGTTAGAAAAAGAAGAAGAGGAAGAAAATATAGCGTCGAAATTTTCAGTACTTTTATTTGAGATCATTTAGGTTAACTTCGCGGAGACTTTTCAGAAAAACTGTGTGAGGTTTTTTAAAAAAAAAATCCATTAAAAATAAAACATAAAAGTGGTGCATAACGTTGCAATCAGAGATAAGTATACGCTTCCTTTCGGGAGCACCCGTCAAGTTTTGATTCCATTCATCTCTTAAAAACATGGTTGTTCTACGATTTTTTACGTGTAGTTTTTCTCAGTGGTTGGCGGCCGCGTGGCGGCCACAGGCCCCGAGTTCACTCTTTAAATGTCTATGAAAGCTCTCTGGGCCATTTGTGCTGCGAGGGCTGTCCATTGAAGAGAGACATACCCGTAAGTGAGGAGGGAATGAACAGTCGTTCGCGATGTAGTTATCTACCACAAACTCCAGAGGTTGCCATATTAACGGTTTCTCGTTGAATATTGAATATTCGCGCAAACATGTGAGTTCTCAGCACCAGAAAAATTCGCGCATCTTATGCATGTCCATTAAGGTAAAAAAGGGGGCATTCGTGCGATTTTATCGCAGCTCTCCTCACGGGGGGACTTACACTGCTACGGAGCGAAATCTATCTTGCGGAGTGTCATACGCTTTTGTGGTGCTAATTGGACGTATTTCTATTAAACGGAACTATGTGCATTAAGACATGAGCCCTGAGACCCATAAGAATATATGCATTACAGGGCTCACGTCACAATGCACATAGTTCCGTTTGATAGAAATACGTCAAATTTTACTTCACGTTCATATCACTCGGGGCTTTTAGGCGCTACAGATTATACGGCACCGAATTTCACTCCTCGATTTTCGACATGTGATGCTTTGTTTACTGCCGATATTTCGGAGGAAGAAATGATCTCGGTTCACCGAAAATCATGATTAATCTAATGGTGGGGGCTCGATTGTGGTGTTGTAAAATTTTCGTTGTTGATATAATTGCTTGAAAGTTGTGCATTAACCTCTCAGAAACTCAAGAAATTTAATTTGAGTAAAAATTAAAACCAAAGCTGGAAAAGCGAGATTACATCACGTTTGTATAAAAAGTAAGAAAGGAAGAAAGACGGCCATGACAATCATGGCCAATTAGACTGAACTGAGAAAACAGGGATAGTTTTCACGTCATGAAATGGTTTACTTTTCTACCGCTGCGTTTAAGTCTCCGACCCCAGAAAGCATGGAAACTGTGGAGCAGGGCTTACGAGGGGATTGAGAAACACCTCCACGCCGAAGGAGCGACAATATGAATACGCGACCCTAACTCTATCACATTCGATGCTCTAACCGGGTGCCGTTTTGATTGCAGGAAGCACGTGTTTGAAGTCCCGATGGCGTTTTGCATGACCCAAGAAAGGAACCGGAACGGCGCCTCCAACGCGTGCCCAGTCTCCTGTGACGACGAGAAAGACCGGCTAACCTGTGGATCCGACGGCAACATCTACAGAAACGAATGCGAAATGAAGATGCTCAATTGCGAGTGAGTACAATCTCCGTTTCCAGTCGACTTTTCATTTGTAGTCTTGCACTCTTTTTAGTAGCAGATCAGTTGCGCTACAGTCTCAGAATCAGAACACTATGTTTCCATGCCCGATGTTAACGAGGATATGGCCTGGTTACACGATCAAATTCCCGTCAAATTCAGATCAAAATGATGACCAAGATGGCGGTCGAGAGTAATCTAGAGTGATGAGTAAAATTAATTAAAACAGCGTTTTGATTGAAATTAGCTCGGTTGTGTGGAAATTAGATGAAGGATGAGCCCCACAGTTCCATCATCTACCATCAAATTTTTGCAGGCCGCAGAAATTTGATGGTATAGATGGTGTGCACCAGTCACCATTTGATCGGAATTTGACGGGAATTTGATCGTGTAACCAGGCCAATACGTATCATTCGTGTATCATTAATCAATGAATCCAACAATGTGGAAGGAACCATGGCATTTATTAAGCAATGTCTCCACGGGACGTTTCACGGGATTTTTCTCAAGTTTGAAAATCGCAGGAATGAAACTTTTGGGGGTTTTCCCGTTAACAACACAACAAAATGTCTTCTTCTTCTTTTTAAGTCGTTCCTGGGACTCCACAATGACTCTTAGTTGGCACTGTGATTAGTGTTGGCTAGCTCAATATTTTCCCCAACTTCCCAAGTGAGATTTTTCCCTGGGACAGATCCCATGGAGACAAGGCCTTCGGGTCCGTTTCAAATAACTTTGCCCCGCTGACTCCGTGAAATAGAGGATTCCTTACAGCTCGTGCAAATAGCAAAAGAGGCAAAGTTATCTGACACGGGCTCTATCGAGATGGATGACGTCATATATCGTGTTTTTCAAAATGCGATATCGCCGTTAGGTAATATTGGACGCAGAAAACTACACGTTTGAACAGATCTGACTATTTTTAGCAGATCTATTAGCTTCATTCATTAAAACGCAACTCTGTGACTCATTCACGTAGTTCACTTTTCATGTCTTTTTTCCGTTCTATGTTTAAAATAATTGTGGAAAATTTTCAATATCCCTAGAAGTTACGATTTTTCCTGCAAAATTTGAAAAATATTGCGAATCTTTTGCATTTCTAGATCGGGTAACCTATCACATTGTCATTTTTTAAACATATAGTCACGGAATTTTCTTTTCGCTCCAAAACTGTTATCAATATTGGCACGACGTTTGAGGACATTTAAAATCATGATTTGAGACTAAACGTTTCCCGTACCGGTACAAATCCATCGACCGCACATTATAATATACACGACGACTGAAAGAGATAATCAGGTTGATTTTCTATGCGATGGAAAAATCGATTCTCTGGTGTTTAACATTCAACCGAGCTCAGTTTTAAAAGTCCATCATCTCGTAAAAAAAATGGATTTTCCTCAATCCCCTGGTAAAAATTGGCAGTAGAATCTTTGTTCCAAAACACCATAGACCTAAAGCCGGCTGTAAGATTTTCAATAGCTTCTACAGCCGGCTGCACAATGTCTTATAGCCTTTTATAGCCGATGGCGATTGAGCAACAGCCAGGCGATATAGTGTATGCTACATGATACTAATTACGGATGCTAGGACTTAATGAGTTTTTGGTCTACCGCTCTATTTCTGGGCCGTAGTATCTTGATTTATTTTGCGCGGAAAGCTCCGTACTTTTGAAGGATGCCTGCCATTCCTAATATGTTGGATCGCCTTAATTTCGTATGATACTGTGCAATACCTCTGGTGTGAAATAGTTTCTTCAAGCGCCGTGGCACGCTGCGGCGCGGCGGGCGGGCAGCCAGCGCGAAAAGCGCCTTAGCGCCTACAAACCTAACAGGGATACTTCACGCATTGCGCCATGCGTGAAGTATCCCAGTTAGGTTTGTAGGCGCTGGTGCGCGCTTATCACTGGCAGCACGCCGCTCCGCTCTGTGTTATGCTCCAATATAATCTTGCGGAGTCAGCGTTTTTCGACTCATGATTTTGAAATGTTTGCACATCCTGTATGGATTATTCTCATGTTAATTGATGAAAAAAAATCTGTATTAAATGAAAATATAATGTGTGTTTTATGATTATTATGTTGGCTCCGTATCAAACTTAATGATTTGCAAAGCACACGAATTTCTACACAATTTCTTATAGCGTTTTATAGGCGATGGCGATAAAGTGTAAAGCCCGGCGATAGGAACTATGGCCCAGCTGCATGCATACTTTTTTATCGCTTCGTATAGCCCGGCTATATGATTTTCTATTGCCTTCTTTAGCCGGCTATAAGAATTCCTATGGTATTTTGAAACGCAGCTCCTATCGCCAATTTTTACCAGGGTCGAATTAAATGAATTCGACCCTCTAATTTAAAGTAAATCGATAAAATTAAGTTTGTCTCACCTATTAGCTGGATATAGCTTATGGTGCTGATGTCGATGATCTTTCGCCTCTACTTCCCACCTTTCAGGTGGCAATTTAAAAACGTATCTTTGTAAGAACTTTTGAGATAAAAAATTATTTTAACCTTTTCTTTCTTCTTAGCTTTCTATAATGAAGATCGTGTCCCGTTTAGCTCAATAATTATAAGAAAAAACTTTCTAATGCAATTTCTCGTGTTTCAGAGTCTCTAAAAGGAGAGTAACGCGCGTGGACTTGGATAAATGCCGCGGAAAGTTGAATAAATGCAAGAAAATTCAATGCAGCGACGAGTATGACCCTGTCTGTGGGTCCGATGCATACACGTACACGAACAATTGCCACTTACAACAAGCAACGTGCATGTGAGTATTATCTTCTCATTGCCATTAGTGGAAAGGGTTTTGAACTGAATGGAAACAAATTGAGGAATTTATGAATTTCCTGGTATTAAGTGTAATACATAGATGAAAATCATAAGCTTCTTTGTGTTACGACACCTTTTAGCAACAAAATGTGGAAGAGGGGGGGGGGGCAGTGGCCCATTTGCCCCTCACATTCGTCTCCTGCATGGAATTGAGTGACTACTTACCATCACAATCTTTCTGGGAGGCCACCAGCCTTTTGAGGAGGGAGCGGGACCCTTCTAGCTCCGCCCATGATTTTAGAGTTTGAAGAAATGTACTATTCGGGATTATTTTAGTACATCAAAGATTTTATGGTCAAAATACCACGCTGGAGGGTTTGCGGAATATCCAACTTTCCTTTACGCCTGACGCCTCGTATAGTGTTTAGGTTTTGCAAAATTCCTTTTTTGTACCGCAAGTCACCTTTTAGGCATACAGAAAAAAAGGAGGTATTTGCATATTGAGGTTTGTTTACCCTGTGACGTAGGTCGGTACAACCTGGCCAACGAAATCCGGAATTCGAAGTATACAAAACGAATCATAATGTCCGATTTTTTTTGCTTAAATTAACTCACGATTTAATGCCAAACACTTCATGTGGTATGCATTTTTTCCATTAACTACACCATTTCTAAGAAAATCGATGATAAAAGTCGCCGTACCGACCTAGACGTCATCAAAAAAATTCCAAGATGCGCGAAATGCAAACACTTCCTTCTTTTTCTCTATTACCTTTAGGTGCCTCTGCTTACCAGAAGTCGTCGCTGAGAACGTGCGCCACGTAATTTGAGTCATCAAGGATTAGGAGGTTCGAGTACAAGCAATTGCGGGAAATTGCCTGCGTTTTTGAGGAGGGGCGGGGAAATTTTGTGTCCATTTTTGGGGGTGACGCCCCTCCCCTTGAACCCCTGGTACCCCTCTTGTCCAAATTTGCGGGCTGATTATTAAAATTGATAGACAAAGCTATAGACAATGAAGACCTAGGGAAAATGGAACGATCTTTCGGGTTGAAACGGGTGGTTCTTATAGACCAATAGAGTAAGTGATGAACTTAGTATAGGGTCTTTCGTGGGTTGCCATCACTTGGATTGCATTTTGCAAAAAGGAACCGAGAGCATTGCAATGTTGCTAAGATTGTGCAATCTCTTTTGTCTTTTAAGGGAAACCTGACTATCCTTCGACAGTGTCTTTTTTATTCGCTAAAAACTGTACATTTTAGACAAAAATTATAATGTAAATTTGACATTTTTTCATGACTTCAGTGGTTTGATTGCAAAGAATGAAGTTGCACAATCTTAGCATCATTGCACTGCTTCTGGTTCCTTTTTGCAAAATGCAATCCACTTAGTCTATTACATACGTACTTTCTCTATCGCAACCACCCGCTTCCACCAATGGGATCGCTCCGTTTTCCCTTTCGCTTATCGCTTTGTCTAATGTCAATAATCAGCCCATTGATTAATTTTGAAAATCTCAAAAGCAGCGAAAATATTCGTGGAGAAATTTCTTCGAGGCAGGGGGAGAGCATGTGATGCGGCGCTCTTAATCCTGGCCGCGTGTTCAACGGTCGATCGTAGCTTAGCGTATCGCGGATGAATCGGACTGCGCGCCGGGAGCAGTTAGGCGCTGATTAGATGAGTCTCACCGATGAGATGGAACTATTATAATCAGTTTGCTGCTAATTGGGCGTCTGTCGAGCGAGCAGGAGCCTTTCTCCTCTGCGACACCGAACACGACGCCGAAGACTCGAGGCTTGTCCGCGGCGCGGCGCGGCGGCGCGGTCGTGTCGGATGCCGCGATACGGCCAGGACTCGGGAGATGCATAGCCTTTGGGTCACTGATAAACCTACTTATGAGGCCCCATTTTACTTTCATGCTCAAGCGAGAATCAGTTAAGTCAACTTGTCTTCCCTTTCCCTTCTTCCTTTGAGTGACTCTTTCCCGCCCCGCTCCTCTCCGCAAGGGCCTTGGCGGTCGCCGACGTTGCCACATGCCACACTCGGAAGAAAATTTCGGTCGAGGGATCTAGAGGCAAAGTCAGTACTCGCACAATGTTGTCGTGGACTAGTCGTGCGTAGCAGGAATGGAGATGTTGCATGTGTGAGGGATTTGCGATTTGACCATTGATTCTTAAGTAAAAGTTCGCGAGAAACACGATGGTGCCACTGGTTTTCTCTAAAATCATCTCCCAAGCTCAAAAAAAGCTCTCAAGTTGAGGCCAAAATGGAGAGGATATCCCACCCTACCCTGAGAGTCCACGTCTATATCAAGACAAACTCTCCATGCAAAGATAGAGAGCAAATACATTGAAAGGGTTGCCACTTTATTTGGGGACTCCAAAACTGAAAACACGGCATCACTGCTAATGTATTTGCTCCCTATCTTTGCATGAAGAGTTTGTTTTGATGTAGAGGTGGACTCCCGGGTAGGGTGGGATACCCCCTCCATTTTGGCCTCAACTTGAGAGATTTTTTTGAGCGCGGGAGATGATTTCAGAGAAGACCAGTGGCACCATCGTGTCTCTTGCGAACTTTTACATAAGAATCGATGGTCAAATCGCAAATCCCTCACACATGCAACATCTCCATTCAAATCGCCACGCATCCTTAAGGGGGAAATCAAGTGTTTCAAGCGCAAGTGAGCGTAGAAATGAAAAGTTTTTGGATGAAATGAGGGACTTGGAGGACAAGTGTAGTTTTTGATAAAAATTGAGGTATTAATGATTACGAGTAAAACTAGTCTTAATGCATATTCTGTGAAAAATGCGCTTCCTGTTTCCAATTTTTAAGCATCAAAAAGCCAGGTTGATCTTTCTTTCCATGTCCAAGGATCCATGTGCTTTTGAAACTTCAAACACGTATTTCTCGAAACTGCAAAAACTGCACTTATGTACCTTGTCCTCCAAACCTTTCAAATGTAATAGCAGCGTGATGAAGTACGCGCTCTAAAACTTTCAACTGAATATCAATTTTCCTCGATGAAATGGACGCATTTCTGCCAAACGGAACTATGTGCATTATGACGTGAGCCCTGTTATGCATGTATTTTTATGGGTCTCAGGGCTCATGACGTGATGCACGTAGTTCTGTTTGGCAGAAATACGTCCAAATAATCGAACTCGAGGTGAGGGTCTCAAATTGCGGTAAAACTTACCGTTCTTTCGACTGCGCGAGATTCATATTCTCGGATCATACTCTGAGCGACGGGACTAATCCGATTCGCGCTCTTTTCCGGCTAGTCCACGATCCGAGACTCTCATTGGCTGGCTTAGAGATTATATTGCTCTCTGCCGTGAGAAGGGGGATGAGAGTACCCACTTTGCCTCTGGATCTCTAGTTATATCAGCAGAACGTCCAGTGTTCTCTACCGGTACTGACATAAATGTGCCATCTACGTACCACGTGTCGCACGCTGCTAGAAATTTTAAATTTGTCGCGCAGGAAAACATGACAGTATGGTGCTTCTCATCGTTAACGAGTAAAAAAGGCTCCTTCTTTTTGGTCACTATGCTGATTGAATTCAGTGCTTCGTGAGAATCTTGTACATTTTTAGGTAAAGGAGGTTGCACTGATAACCGCGCCGCGTTAATATTTCGACTTATATTATCTACGTCTTTCAAACTTAAAGCGTCGATTCCTTCTTCGCCTTCTGGAGCTACCGAAATTCCGGACCGAAAAGCACGGCTTTGTTGTGGAGCTGCGGTAGCGACGTTGCCATATGATATGAATTATAATCAAATCAATCCACTACGGGACGCAAGTCGTTTTCGAGATTTTTGGACACGGGACGGAAGTCGTTCCTGTTTTGACCGCGGGACGCAAGTCGTATGGTGCCCCTGGTGCGCTGTGCGTTATGTCTGTTTTAACTACCTCGAACTGTTTTACTTAACAGACATCCTGGTGAATTCTGTTGCATAGAAAACAAAATCTGAGAAAAAACTCACGTATCATGCAGAATTGCAAGGTGTTTTTTTTTTTTTTTTTTTTTTTTTTTTTTTTTTTTTAAAAAAAAAAAAAAAAANCACCGCAAAATTTTGTCACTCGATGCTCCAGGCAGGATAGCTCCACGATATTTCACTCAGGCCACTCAGGCCAGAATAATTTTTAACAGTGTAGACAAGGTGCAAATTTCAGCATTTTGATACATATTTCTCAATCAAAATTTCACGTAAAACACGATGCGCACAACGAAAATTACCGAAATCGCATCCTTACGAAGATATTCAATAATTCTTGATGCGTGAATTCAAACCACCCGCTCATGAAAACTCAATGCTCTACATGATTCATATCGCGCGCTAAACGTTTATCATGACAGCCTCTGAGGGATAAAAATCTGGCAACCTTAATCTTCACGCTTTTGCTCAGCTGTAGCAAATTTCCTATAGTTTGAACAACACATGATGGGAAACGAACATTGCTCGATTGAGAAGATTGCTGAAACCGTTGTAGTGCGCGATTTGACTCACGTAGAGCTTTGAGTTTCTTGTGAGCGGGCAGTTCAGATTCCTCGTAACCAATGTGAAATAAAAATGTTAATATCTCCGTTAGGAGTTGGTTCAGTAATTTTCGTTGCGCGAATTGTGTTCTCTGTGAAATTCTGGTTAAGAAACATGTATCAGAATGCTAAAATTCGTACCTTGTCTAGTAGTCCATTCTCGAGTGAAGCTGAATTATGACCAATTTGCTTTACATATATATTGGCAAGTGGTGTGGGTATTTTTCATAGATAATCATAGGCGTACCTAGGTCATTTTGCTGGGAAGGCCTACCCCCCTCTCCGCCACCACCACCACCCACCACCGGGGGGTCCGAAGGCCTCCCCTTGAAAATTTTTGAAATTTTAACTCTATTTGAGCGCATCTCGAGACATCCGTGGCGCTGATCTTCCTTCAATTTCTGCACAAAAATTTCTCAGTTTAATGCATTTTAAGGTTAAAATACTTTCAAATTGTTGCATTCGACAGGTTATTCTGTTTATTTTCTCACCGATGACCACTGTTTAATGTGAAAAATGCGAGCAATTGTTTAACAAATGCCAGAATCATCGTTTTTTATTAGGAAAAGCCCATGCAAAGTAAAATGTAATATAATAAGCAAGACGTGACTATAAATGATTAAACATTTTTCATCTACTAAAAAATAGAGGTATGAATTTGAGAAAATCGGTTGCATCCAGATTTTTTTAGAGCAATTCGACTGAATAATGAATAGAGAAGAAAAAGCTAACTGTTCGAGCGCAGGATTTGAAGTAAAAACAATGTGCATCAAGGAAGGTGTTTTTGCACCAGCCAGAATTTTTTTTTGGGGGGGGGGGCAGATGATACTATTTCCAATTCTGGGAGGGCCAGGTCCCCCTTGCCCCCCCCCCTTCGTACGCCTCTGTATAGATGATACAACGCTTCCCCCGAGGAATTTGAAAGAACAAAGTTATTTCGTCAGTGAATCTACCGCTATAATAAAAGTAACTCTGGACGTAGTAAATGGACTAAGTAGTGAGTTTTTTGTTACAAGACATTTTTTAAGGAAAAGAATCTAACTCCCTAAAATACGCCAAGTGCATTTCTCAACTCATTAAGGTACATGAAAAGAAAATGTTTTACACGATGGACATCATAGCTCACTGGGCTGGACGAATTCGAATAGGGAGTCGTCCGTCATGAAATGGTTTACTTTTCTTCCGCTGCGTTCAAGTCTCCGAGCTTTTCTACACTACATGCTTCCTGACTCATCTAGGTGTTGGAAAAGAAAATTCTCTCACCATGGTTTATCTTGCCCTACTGGACTGAACGAATTCAAATAAGAAGTTGTCACATCATGAAATGGTTTACTTTTCTACCGCTGCGTTTAAGTCTCCAAGCTTTCCTGAGTGTTTCTCGACTTATAATGAAGCGTTAAAAATGAACATTTTCTCATCATGGCTATCATGGCCACCTAACTAGACGAATTCAAATCGGGAGTTGTCAGTTTGTCACGTTATGAAATGGTTTTAGCAAGCAATTTAGCAAGTCAGTTTGTCAAAGAGGTCTTGTTTAATGTAAAGACGGCTGAAATGAATGAGTTGCTTATTAGTTATTATCAAACAAAAAATACAGGGCACGACCATTAGGGGAGGGTTTGACGCATATTGACGGTGAAACTACCAGACCACGTGTCTAGGTTTGCGACGTTGTAGACTACTTGTCATACTTCATTTTTTCCATAGATAACTACTCAAAGTCAATTCTTGAAAACTTCCATGTTTTTTCCTCTCTATGCGGAGAAAACTCTGTAAAAATTTCAAGAAATGATATTGATATGTTTTCCGCCAAAAATTAAAATGAGAGCAGAGATTTTTAAACACCGTAAACGAGATACGTGGTCTGGTAGTTTCACCTTCGAAATGTCTTTTAAATAGAGAAATGGCGTCAATTATAGTGCTAAGTCACACGTATAAATGGATGGAAAGTGAAAGTGGAAAACCATTGAGTGAGCTTTGCTGAGCCCATGGTCGGATCAATTAGACCTGAAATTGGTTTACCTTCTTGAGTGTTCGAACAATTAATACCTAATGCATCAAATATCGCATGTATGGCGCAGTCCATGAATTACACTAGAAAAAAAAACACATTGGATCTAGAGTTCAGACTCTTAAAAACATCGACAAGAAAAAATACCCTTGATTCAATCAGATTTAAGCTTAAATTAAGAACCAAGCTTCTTAATTTCAGCGGATTTCCTTTTGATTTAAGCTTAAATCTGCTTGAATCAAGAGTCCTTTTTCTTGTCAATGTTTTCAAGAGTCTGGACTCTAGATCCAATGTTTTTTTTTCCAGTGTACATAACGAACTTTTTCGGAATTTTTGACCCTTCTTCCTCCTCCTCGTAACGCATTTGTGACGTAAGGTCCCTATCCTTTAACACGTAAGAACAAAAAACCGTATCGCTCTCCTCGACCCCCCCCCCCCCCCCCCCTTAGGCGTTGTGTAATTTATGGACGGCCTTTACGGCTTAGCTCAAAAACCACTTTTCTCGCTTGCAGGGTCTCGAAATTTCAGCTCCTTTTTTTCTCTCTGTGTGTACAAGCGAACTTGACAGCTTGAAATTGAAAGTTTTTAATATCGCTCGGTATAAAAAGGAGAGGTAGTTTCACACTGAAAAAAAAAACTCCGGCCGTGGGAGCCGCAATTACGGGCTATATAGACATACCGTCCGTTCCGGGCTCAAAGGCCTAAAATTCCGGCTGCTGGAGGCGTAGCTTCAATTGCTCCGGGTTCAGAGGCCGAAGCTACGGCTCCAGCAGCCGGAATTTTCGGCCTTTGAGTCCGGAACGGACGGTATGTCTATATAGCCCGTAATTGCGGCTCCCACGGCCGGAGTTTTTTTTCCAAAGCATTAATGCTGGTTCTAATCAAGTTTGACGTTTATTTAATGCCGTTTGTTTCTGGTTTCAGGAAAGGAATACAATTGGCTCACATCGGAAAGTGCGCCAAACTCCTCGCTCCAGAATCTTGTCCCGATTCGTGCGATCATGAGGAGACACATCCGGTGTGCGGCTCAGACGGAAACGTTTACAGGTAAAAACTATGAGGCATTTCGGCCGTGACAGAATTAAATCTATAATAATAGATTTAATTCTGCGTAGATAATTGAAATTTTTAATCTGCGTAGATAATTGAAAGAAACAAATCGAAGCGGAAGAGTATCTCCCCCCTTCAGCTCCCTTTCTTAAAAAATTAATCAGGTGAACTTGAAAGGGCCGAAAAATTTAAACGGTTTTCAGGAATTTTCCGTTAAATATTCCTCACCGCGAATCAACTGTTTCATGGCTCAACTCGGAAAAACACGTTTCAATTGCGGTATTTCCAAATTTCTGCCCTTTTTTTATTTTTAGAATAAAACAAGCCAAAATGTCTAATTGAAATGCTCCAAGCGCAATCGTCTAAAAAATTAAAAACCATGGGAATGTTCAAGGAAACAGGTTGGAAATTTTTTTACAATTAGAGAATGCAGTATGATGAAAGGTGCGGTAAAGTTGCAAACCAAAATGCTCAGTTCCCGAGCTAAGCCATTGAGTTTTAATCTCTTTCACTAACGAAAATTCGGTCCAATATTTATGTGGAGCAAAATTTGGAGCATTTATCTTCTCTCGAGGAATGGGTATAATTTATTTGTCTACTAGTACAGACTTAAAAAAGAAGAAAAAGAAGCTGGTTCACCTCAGAAACCACCAATAAAACTTTTAATTAGGCCTTCTTTTGAAAACACTGTGATGCCTATTAACATCCAGTCTGCCATCGAGACAGACATAACAGAAAGTTGTTTCAATTTTTTCCCGTCATTAAATTTTTAGGAATGAGTGCGAATTGAAAAAATCCACATGCGGCCAAAAAGTTGTAGAGGTGCCCCTTCACCACTGCCCGACAACGTCGATGTGCAACCAACCTTGTGAGGAAACGAGAGAATTCGTCTGCGGATCGGATAACAAATTCTACAGGAACCAGTGTGAGATGAAGCGGGCCAACTGCGGGTTAGTATACTATTTTCTTTTTCTCGTTTTTTCCCCACCAATCATTTAATTATATGCAAAAATAATCGCATAATCTTCTTTACTACTTTGATCAAAATTCATTCTCTAGTCCGACTTACAGGCGTGAGAATCGACGGACGCTCCGCACTGCATGTGAGGGCACGGAAAGTCAGAGTGCCTTTAATAAAGGGTATATGCAACCCGGACATCCCAGAAGCGCGAATAGTTGCTATCAGGCGCTAGTATTTAAATGTCACGTCGCACAGTGGATCGAGTCAATCGGAGAGGTCGGACATACAGTTTTTGACTAAAACTGCAAATTTTTATGTTTATTTCGTCAAAGTTTAAATTTTAAGGGGTGCTTCTTGAGGAAAATTTTACGAGGAAACCAATGGACACTTTTCGAACCCCAAAATTTTGTATAAACGGAGTTATAAACTTTTAAAGTTTCCAAACTTTGTCCGACCTCACCTATTGACTCGATCCACTGTGCGTCGCATCGATTGAGAAACTTGCTGCAGACGTTTAGTTGCTCAGTGTGCTTCTAATGATTCTTTCTTGTCCCTGGTAAAAATTGGCGATAGGAGCTGCGTTTCAAAATACCATAGGAGTTCTTATAGCCGACTGAAGAAGACGATAGAAAATCATATAGCTGGCTGTAGAAAGTGGAAAAAATCTTACGGCCGGGCTACACGAAGCGATAAAAAATTATACAGCCGGGCTATAGTTCCTATCGCCGGGCTTTACACTTTATCGCCTGGCAGTTGCTTTTTCGCCATCGGCTATAAAATGCTATAAGAAATTGTGTAGAAATTCGTCTGCTTTGTAAATCCTAAAGTTTGTACGGAATCACCTTAATATTTACAAAACGCACATTATATTTTCCTTTACTACCTACATATTTTTTTTCATCGATTACTTAAAATGAGATAAATCCATACAGAGTGTGCAAACATTTCAAGTCATGAGTTGAAAAACGCTGACTTCACGAGATTAAATATTAGAGCCTAACACAAAGCGGAGCGGCGGTGCACTGGCGCCTACAAACCTAACAGGGATACTTCACGCATTGCGCAATGCCTGAAGTATCCCCGTTAGGTTTGTAGGCGCCAATGCGCGTATTGTGCTGGCTGCCCGTCCGCCGCGCCGAGCCGCAGCATACCACGGCGCTTGAAGCAACTATTTCACACCAGAGGTATTCCACAGTATCATACGAAATTGAAGGCGCTCCAACATATTAGGAATGGCAGGCATCCTTCAAAAGTACGGCGTTTTCCTCGCAAAATAAATCAAGGTACTATGGCCCAAAAAGAGGGAGGTAGTCCAAGAACTCACTAAGTCCTAGCATCCGTAATTAGTAACGTTCAGCATACACTTTATCGCCGGGCTGTTGCTTAATCGCCATCGGTTGTAAAAGGCTATAAGAAATTGTGTTGCCGGCTATAGAAGCTATTGGAAATCTTACAGCCGACTGCTGGTCTATGGTATTTTGGAACATAGATTCTACTGCCAATTTTTACCAGGGTTCTTCTTCTTTTAAATTTTCTCCTTGATTTAACTTCATTTACTTCGCGGGCGTGAACATTTTTAACCGTAATGTTATTGCCCTAAAATTTTCCGCTTTAATGCCTAAATTTAGCCCTGCAAAATCGTGTAAAATGCCCATTGTTTGAATATAAATTCGGTATTATTTTGTTATTTTCTCTTTTGGACACATTCGAGTATCATACGGATGAAATTAGTTCATTTTTTAAAGCCTCCCTTCCCTCCTTGTAACGCGGCTTAAAATTTAGGTCGTGCAAACTCAGGTCTTCCAACAAATCACGTTATCTGAAAGAGGTCATCCCCTCCCCCATTTCCATCCAGCTTTTGATTAAATGCTGTTTAAAAATCCCATCCCCTCCCCTCGGAAAAAAAATCCTCTATTTCTAGAGATGTTTTTATCGGAGCATGACGCTTCCTCCCCACAATTTTTATTGTGTCACTGAATACTGAAATGCGCCCTTCGAGTTTATTTTTTCTCAGATGATTAGGTACCTCTCCTTTTTTTTCCAGGAAACACGTGTTCGTGGTGCCAATTAAAAGATGTCTCACCGGGTTCCAGTTCAAGGGATGCCAAAGAGTCTGCCCACCGTTGTACGATCCGATCTGTGGAACGGACAACAAAACATATTCGAACGATTGCTTCCTACAAATCGAAAACTGCAGATCTCGAGCACTTGTCAGCAAACAGTACCATGGAATTTGTGGTCATCCTACGACAGAGCCAAAAAATTACCTCTATTAAGCTCATTTTATTTTCCTAAAATGAACGTGTTCATGGTTCAAAATCAAATCTCATAAGTTCACCCTCTCTCCCTTTATAAGAAAATTATTTCTTTGGTGAATGGATAGTCGCCGTTTCCGTTGTCAACCATATTTAAACGCTATTTTCCTAATATTATAAGTTAATGTTGGAATTCTCAAACATGACGAAAGTGTTTTGTACGAACATCTAATGAGGTACCTACATAAAATAGCAGTGTGATGATTGATTCTTAGCCCGTCTTTTAGTCCCCTCGAGCGCTGATTTTGAATCAAAAGGCACATTCCAATGATGAAAATCGATAAACATTTGTATCGTCACAATTGGACTACATTTTGCAATTTGGAACTAAAAATTCTAGCCCGGTATAAAAACAACGAAAGTGCCATTAGTTTCCCTATGCACATAAGTGTTTATCCAGAAGAGCCGGAATTTATAGATCCAAATTGCAAAATGCAGTCCAATTTATCCTCGAAAAAAGGCTGATGCGCTATTTATTTTGAAATTTTACTGCTTTTTCTACATCACACACATTTTACGCATAAATACATCAAACAATATCATTCATTCGTTTTACTTAAAAAATAGATTTTTCAATTTTGCACTTGCGTTTGTAGTTCCTCGGAGAGCTTTAAAATTAAATCAAAATTTCGCCCACTTCCCTGACTGCCATCAGACACCGGAAAATAAATGAATTTTTTAATAACCTCCCCTCCCCTTCCATTTTCATCGCTGAAGTCATCTCCTACACTTTAACGTGTGTCGCCCCATGACAAAGGCATGTGTGACTGTTGTTGTCACAAGAACTTAATGTTTTGAATGTATTCTATGACATGCATTCCTTCCTTAAAAGAAAGTTCAAATTATTTATTATTAATTTATTTATTTATTTATACAAACAAAGTGATGGACTCTCGTCTGCAACCCAAAAATGAGAATAAATAGAAATAGGAGAATTCACTTTTCAACCTGTGAGAAATATTGATGGTAAACCTAGAAATACATATTTTCTAATTGCAAATTTTTGCAAATTCCGCTCATATTTAATTTTTTTAAAAAAATTATTAGGTACCCGATATTTTCACTAGAAATTTTAAGAAAGTATTTTAAATATATTGACTCTTCGAGTTGCCAAACAGACGTAATATCGCGCAATAACACTTTACTTTTATGACAGAAAACCAGTCAATGATGACTGGTTGTTTGTCATGAAAGTAAAATGTAGAGGAAATTTGCAGTATTGCATACCGAAATCTTTTTTCACTGGTTTTACCATTGTCAAATGACAGATAAACGTTGCATTAAAATTTGGTAGAATTGAAGAATATTTTCTAGATCTCTTAATTTTAAGACCACAAGCTCTTGTTTCAGATGCGATCAGATATGGATCTCTTTAGTGGTTTGTTTCCTCAATATCCGAAAAATCTAGAAGGCTCATGCACAGGCTTCAACCCAGAAATACTTAGTTTTGAATTTCTGCGACAAAGTCTTGCAAAATGTGCCATACTCATGAGGTGGGATTGTGAAAAGAAAAATGAGATGACTATACCCTTGCTTAGGGGTTACTTTTACATTATTTAGCGCCAAAAAACACCTGATAAATTAAAAAAAATGACCCTTTGGCAGCTATTTAAAAGCTTAAGGATGAATAACAGGAAATGAGAGACAACCTCTATTAAAGTTTCTGTGCGCTATTGCCAGTCCTGGAAACACTCTCCTTCAAACACTCATAAAATCATCATAATGATGAAAATTATCGCTTAAACTTTAAACTTTGACTCCATGTTATTGAGAATATTAAACAAAATTTAGCGTCTGAAACTGAAAGCGATGAATTTTTTGCTGTACTGAACAATATGAGTTTCCATCTTGAGGCATATTTTGTCTGACCTCGTCACATTTATGTATTCAGAACACCTAGAGTATTTTCAAAGAAAAAGTACCTAACAATAAGTATTGAAGTGTTTCTCAAGTTTCAATTTCTGAAATGTATTTTATCATGTTGTGCAAGTAATTATTTGATTCATTCCATGAGATATTGATTTATTTGAGATAAATCAACGAATTCAAACATGTTTGTTGAAAACACCAACACATTCTTGACTCATATTGTAATATTGTTTAATAACAACTCCAAAATTAATTCAATGGTTTGTCTTCTCTGTCTTTGTTGATAATTTTCACAGAATTAGTTATGCAAGACACTGTTTTATTAAGTGAATGACCAATGTTTCAGGCCTCATCATCATGTATGTACTGCACACACGAGAGCTGCTCAAAAAATTAACTAGAGTTTAATTATTTCTAGTCAACTTTGCATCTTCATAGCTTCTCCTTCTTTCCTATAATTTCATTCTAGGAATTCTAGGAACAAAACTTTAAAGCTTCTCTGCTGTGCTATTGAAGAGCTCTCGTATGTGTAATTTTGAGAATGAAAGATTTGGCTTTCTCAATGTTTAAACTCTGCATCACTCATTTACTGCACTTAAATTTCAATCATTGTTTTTCCAAACTTGTGATGTATTACATTTGGCAGTATCATACAATCCATTTTATTGAAACTCCTGAGACCCACACAATCTAGATCAATTGGCCTCAGACTTTTAGCTCTGTGATTTAGAATTACAGATGATTAGCCTCCACTTCCTTAGTGTGAAGGTGGTAATGAGGAAACTTTAATGGAATAATTCTTCTTCATTTTATGATCCTGCTTACTTTGAAATCATTGACATTGAAAGCATCATTACATTGAAATCAAAGTGTATTTAATTGAAATAAAATTATTTTGGTGTGCCAAGCAAGAAGCATCATTTGATCACATTCTTTAAGATACCTGCCTGAACATGTATTCAATTTTTGATCCATTAATTGACTTATTCTTTAAATTTTTCTGGCTGATGGGCAAAACGAAATCAATTCGGATTTACTGCAGAAAATCTGATAAAATTGGATGAAAGTCATCGTTATCAATACAAAAAATGCATTAGAGAATAATCAGTTCTTCATTGCAATAAATTTATTAATTCAAAAATATTATAATAATAATACTAATTAAAAAACAGTAAAATAAAACAAAGTATGATCACCTTGGCTAATATTAATTGGACTGATCGGTCATGAATTATTCAAGAATCATACTTAAAATTCATAATTTGTGACTAAAAATTATCTTGTTGATTTCAAAGTAAAAAAAAGACTTTAAACCACACTGTCCTGCTTCCTGCTTACCAGCAATTCTCAAAGTAATTGCAAAAATAGTAATATTAAACTTGAAGGAAGCCAAAAAAATTATCAAAAGGACCTTGAGTACAGTTAATTTAAGTCACAACCTGATGGCTGTAATTAATTCTCTATTTTCATTCAACGGACATTTTCATGATACTCATATAGATCATGGAAGTTATTTGTTCAAAGATGACTGGCTATATTAGATGTTGTGCAATGACACAATGAAACCAACAAGTTTCATGATTCAGAGTAGGAGACTAACCTGCCACGTAGGCAAAATCCCCTGAAGAGACAGCAGCGTTGCAAAATCTGCTTTCCTTTCCAGTGGTTAGAGAGTGGGAATAGAAATTTTCAGTTTTCTAAGTCACAAGCCATGTTACAACACTACCACTATGTTACTTTTGATACTGATTACAAAATCAACATGCAAGCACACTTCAAAGCCAATTGAAATCGTGAATTCACAAAAAAGACGATAATTTTACATGGAAGCACAACAAGTTTTGTTCACTTTTAATTTTCATTTCGAACATTCTTGTGATTTAATGACAAACAATATTTAATCCATCAATTTTTGTGAAAATAAAAATCGAAGTAGTTTAAAATTAAATAATACACAATTCATTTCTACACTGCTCTAAAGTCATACTTTTGTTCATTTTCATGAACAAACCAAATGCATACAGATTCTTAATTTTTGAAAATAAAAATATATTTTTCTAGGAAAAGTTAAGAAGGGACAGTTTCTTGACAAAAAATCGTCTGATAATCTTGGGTTTTAATTGTGTGTGCATGCCCTTAAGAATCAAGATAATCAATAAGTAAAAGATGATAAACAGGGAATGAGAAAATTGGCATGGCTCTGAGAAGTTTCTTTAATAAATAACAACATAACAAAAATTCAAAATTTTAAGGGAGAGAACTTTCCAGATCATTGAATGCAAAGCTCTTTCAGCTCTTATCTTATTATTTTTCATCTCATTATTATTGTATGAATGTCCTTTAATACTCGAAAAATCATCTTTTTATTAACATCTGACAACTGTGGTTACCTTCAAATTTTCTTAGTCATAAGAAAACTTGCTGAAAATTTTAAGAGATAATGTGAGTCCACTTGCTGTTGATTTGAAAGAGAAGTGAACAGATACTTTGAAAAGTTTCAATGCCAGTACGCACTTTCCAATTCTAAGTCATCAATGTGTTCTCTACAATTATTGGTCATTCTCATCGCTTAATATTTTTCTGAGACAAACATATTTTACAAAAGTACGGCACCAGCAACTTCGAATCAATGCTGTTTTTTTCCTTAAATCTTAATAAAAATATAAAATACAAAAAAGGGCAGTAGTTAATAGAGCCAGCAACATACTTGAAAGCAAATCATTCAGAACCGTTTTGGTCTTTTACACGATCTATCTTCATTATTTGAACAACTTTTAGGAGTTTCACTCAATGATTGAAGGATTTTATCCGAAGTGTTGTGACCAAATAAAGTTGCTAGCAATGCTACACCATAGCCAGTTCCTCGTTCACCCTAGAAAGAAGAAAACAGATTAACGTTATTAAAAATTTTTAGAAAATACATAGCAGATTGTACATCAGACCCACCCAAAAGAAGTTCTACAGAATGGTGTAAGACACCTTATTACCACTCTAAAGCAGTAGAATTCCAAACTTTACTTGAGAGAGTACTGGACTGCAGTCTATACAAAGAGAATGCTTCAGAATAGCAAAACGTTGACTTGGAAATAATTTTTTGACACTTTTTCAGAGTAAGACTTCTTGTTATGTACTTACGCTGTACTTCAACTGTATTTCTATCATACAAATGCAGATTTGTTTTAAGATATTTTAACTTGGCGTTACCAACTCACTTTGAAAAAACTCATTCGAGCAAAGGTTTCCCTTCTGAAATTGTACTGTTATATCTAGCATTAGAAATGCCAAAAGAGACAACTTTCAGACTTCCATCAACATTTTGCTCTGCTGTGTTTGCCAATTGCACTTAATATAAAATATTTATTGAGAATGATGGGTTTGAATGTTGAAACGATGGCAGCAAGGAGTGGAGGGGGAGATCAGAAGGTGCCAATTTCCTGATGATCTCTGGGAGGATAGCGGGCGATGGCGATTGGGCGTCCCAGAGTGCGAGGCTGCGCTGTGAAAGCAGCTTAATGTATATATGATGGGTTTGCCCATATATTGGTAAAAAAAATAAATAAATAAATTTGAAGGGCAATGACACTTTCCAAAAGGAAAAGATTGAGAAAATCTAACTTACACAGTATGCAGGACCTGCCATGTCCACATGAATCCAGGCGCACGGAGTGTCAAAACCTAAATGAGACTGAATAAACAGACCTGCACAAGATGGCTGGGCATTGCTGCGATCCTGAAAATCAAAGAGCAAATGATATCTGAGTGTTCACCAACTCTTCTAAAAAAAGAAAACTATTAAACAGGCTTATCCTTGCCGGAGTGTGGGAAATACATAGCTTAATTACAGACTTGCATTCTCTCTCATCCATCAATGAAACATGCAGGTTATAGCTGTTCAAAAAAACAGATTTTTCAAATACATATAATTTGTGCAATGCTCCTTCTCTCCTTAAATTCCCCCTTTGAGCCAAGTGAGAAGGGGACCATTATTTTAATAGAAAATTTGCGTGCAAATTGGTTAATGAGATTGCTTAACCCTTACCACTCATCAATTAAATTCACCTAACCTCTCCCCCAGATCATTTTTAAAATGGCAGTTTAGAGGGCCGACAACACCGAAAACACAAGAGAGGTTAGGCGCAATTCAGCGCAAAACAGCGCGATGACGCAGTTGTTGACAGCTGTGGACGTAGTTCTCCAAACATCCGATAGTTCGCTGCACAAGACAGAGGCGGCGAACTACGTCCGACACATGAGCTTACGCGAGGTGAACAGGTTTGTCGGATCAGGTCCGACACATGATCGGAACGGGAAAATAAAAATTTCGGACCACATCCAACACATGAGTGGTAAGGGTTACAGAGCCGATTTTGCAATACTTTTCATAATTTTTTTCTGATGTAGGAATAATATAACAGTAGAGTGAAAAGTGAGAAAATGCACCGCCTAGTGACGTCATCTGGCGGCATTTCTCACTTAAACACATGTACTTTATGTGATTAAATTATTTTGTCATATCTCCTCCAATAATTGTTCAATGTATGAACCAAAGGTATCCTCTTGTAACAAGGTGGAGAAATGGTGCTGGGTCCCCACCATTTCGCTGGGAAATCAAAGCCAAGTTCCAAAAATTATAATTAGAGTCAAAAATAATTTTTTTTTTTTTAACTCAAATCAGAGCCAGTACAAAACTGAGGGGGGAGAGTGTTCAGCTCAGGCAGTTTGCATTGGAATATTGAGTTGGAGTCACACCGAGTGATCTAAACCGGTTTGGTCCTATTTAGACCCCATCAACAGATCACACTCATCAGTGAACCCAACTTAACATGCCACAAAATCTAAGATGGCATTAAACTGCCGTCATGGATATGACCCGAAGCATGACACAAAAGTGTGATCCTCGCGCCATCTACCGTCGCTGCTGAGCAACTCTCATAATGAAACATGGAAAACCGGAGAAAATTATTATCAGGCTGGTTGGAGATGCGAATGCATCTAGACTCAAATGCCTGCTCCCAACGGGAAAAAACACTTATCCCCAAACTGTGCGTACAACAGTGGTGTGGCGTGAATTGCGATGTATCGATTGTTATGCCATTTAAACCTATAAAAAAGGATCGATAAATAGGGTGTTTGCAGCGAACACCTTAATAATCGATTCTTTACCATAGGTTAAAATGGCATAACAATCGATACATCGCAATTCACGCCACGCCACTGGCGTACAAATGAGAGAAAAAAACACTAAGAAATGACCCGAACTGTATGTTGTCTCTATGTATGTCTAACATACAGTTCGGGTCATTTCTTAGTGTTTTTCTCCCTCGTTTGTACGCACATTTTGGGTATCCTCGTGTTTAGTTAATTCAGCAGTCTCCACTTTGAAACAAAATTTATCTAGGTTCTGACACCTGCAAATTCTCCATAATGAAGATATGTTTATTATCTCAGTATACTTAAAATAAGATAGGAGATAAAAAGATAAAAATAATTACACCACTAACAGCGACAGAGTTCTTCATGTCAGCGACTGCAGAGGCATACTCTGGGAAGTGTAATTCTGGACAGTACGGAATTGGAAATAGTAAATCCCCAGAAGTCAATCCTGCTTTGAATGCTAGATTCTCCCATTCAGCGCTGTTACTCAGAATAGCTCCATGATATTTACCGGTTGCTACTCCCTGAAGAAAAAAATACAGACTTGTTAGAAATCATCCTGGTACAAATATGTTTCGCATATATATGGCACTCAGTTTTTGCTAAAGTTTTAATTTGAAAGATTGATTGGACCTAACTGAAGAAGTAAAAATTGATTGTTTTATTTAGAGGAAAATTGGCAATGTTGTGACAGTATCAAAATTTCACTGAATTTGATGAAACTGGCAATGTAGTAAAAATTTGAAAAAATGGCAAACTTGAGGTTATAACTTGCTGGTCTCAAAACTTTGAAGAAAAGTGCTAATGTGTTGACTGCACAGACAACTGCACAAGGGCAGCGCTTTAGGAGAGGGTGGAAACAAGTGAGTTTTGTATTTTGAAATGGAATAGCTAATCAGACTTAAAGATCATGATTGTGAAAGTCACTGAAGTAAGACTGCAAAAATAGGTAGGTAAGGTTCAAGAAGGGATGAGAATTTATTTTCTACTAACAAGCACTCAAGATTTCTCTATACCTTCTTCTCTGTCAATGTCCAAATTAGGGTTTTTAGGAAAATTTGACAAATTGCATTCAACTTAGATTTTAGCTGCTAATAATAGCAGAGATTGCATTTGTCTCTTGACATAGATTTCATTCCAGGTTTTATTTGAATTACGGAGCAAACTAAGCACAGAAAAATAAACAAAAACCCACATGTCTACATGTGCTGCACAGTGCTGTTGACATTGTCTGGCTGTCATTGGAAAAAAAAACTCTTTGTTTCTGATCCGACCCTGAGGATCTATTGGAGCACAATCCCATTTTTGCTGGGGATATTTTGATAGGTAGTTGGGCAATACAAGGTGTTAATATCTCTTTTACTCAAAAAGAGCACTACCCTACTTTCAACCCGGATCCTACCCAATGGATTTACACAGCCTGTATGAATACACCTGTTTTGCAGTGAGTAATTTCTTCATCAACACTTACTTGAGCGCCAGTTAAAGTTGCTATATCCAAAATAATAGAGGCTTCAAGATTACGGTAGGCAAAGACAACACCATCAGCTAAAACCAAACGGCCCTCAGCATCAGTATTATTGATTTCAACGGTTCTGTGAACACAAGTATGAGAGAATTGATTAATGATTTTGGCCAGGCTTAGATAACTTTCATTGCCTTACATAATGTGGAAAAACACTAAACATTATTTGGATACAAGACAATAAGGACGTATTAATACTCAGGATTTTACTTTGCAAGTGTTTTTCCGATAAGAAAATTGAAGACGGATTTTATGGTGAAAATCTGCTCTCAACAGATAGAATATAATAATTTGAGATTCTATAGCAGTTGACGCTGACAGAAAGGTATTCTCATCGAACTAGGTTTTTTCCTAGTCGATAAATAATACAAAGCCAAAGGTGTTGACCCAATTTTTTCCGCTAACTAATGCACTTCTCCAATTCTATTGAATGATTTTGAGAGTTGTATCAAGTAGTTAGAGGTCCCTTCACACCCTGATGACTTTCTGACTAACTGAGCTATCGCTTTAAGATTTGAGGAAGTTTCTGGGTCAAAGATATCTACTTTTCCACCCCCCCCTCCCTTTCAATAGAGAGTAGTGCTTAATTTCATAATCTTTTTCTACTTGCAGCCCCCTCCCTCACTATGGTACTTACTTGAAAAGAGGATATAAAAAAAAAATTTAATTACAAACCACAATTAATTTTCTCGAACTAATGCAAAATACCAGCCAGTCAAAGTTTCAAAACTGTAATTTATTAAGCTGGCATTTTCAACTGACAGAAATAACCTTCAGACTGGATCAAAAGCTATTGATCAATGTGTTGTAATTAGACTTCATTGTGAAAAGTGTTATTGGCAACTGTGCCGAGGTTGCAGGGACACAAATGTGTTGAGTTAGTAAATGAAATACAAATAAATCAATGGAAAAATAACAAGAAAAAAAGAGAGGTAAAAAATACGTTGCTTCAGATTCATTTTCATGATAAAAATTAGAGGATAACCAACCTGCCAGAGTATAAAGTATGGATGTCATCAGGTCGCGTGGCTTTGGGCCCCACTGAATTTTCAGCTAAACAAAAGACAGCATGCAAATTCTGCCTATAACCTAACTTGACTACTGTGTAAAAAGCACCTAGAACAGCAGCAGCTCCTGCACAATCTCGTTTCATTCCAGGCATAGTTGTCTGTAAGAAAATAATGAAAAATCCAAAATATAACTATTCCAATATCTTATAGGAACTTCGCTTGTTTCAGTTTGGTGACTTCTTTTAGAGCAAGAACACACTAAAACTCCTCTTGGGAGGCAAAGATGAAAGAAAAAACTAAGATTGACAACTTTGCAAGACACAGTAAAATTAGGTAAAATCCGTTAGATCAACAATAATGTGCAAATAAAAAAGCCTGGATAAAACATTAGGCGTCGCAGAGCGCCAGAGAGCCCTGTGTGTGTGACTCTTATGTACGTATAAGACTTACCAATAACAATATTGGAGGGGAAAAAGAGAAGGGTTTACATATAAAAAATAAATTACTGAGCAATGTGGAAATTAAAATATTACCAGATGAGAATTGAAAATGTTTTAACATAATTTTATACCAGGATTTATGATAGTTTTTCAAATCAAAATCAAGAAAGTTTCGAGGATGAGTAAAGTTGAGAATTTTCAAGGATCTTTCAAACATCATTGTAGGACTTCTACGAAATTTTTCAATGATTTTCAACAATTTGGAAATGTTTGTAAAAGTCTTACAAAATGTCTAAAACATATGAATTTTCTTTTCCGATACCTTCATTCTTTACTACAGTCTTTGCAAAATAAGTTTACGCCCTTTAAGACTGCGACAGAAGAGCCACCATCTTGATTCTTTCATATACTTTACATGTAAAAGTGACATCAAAGATTTTATGTTGCAGTTTAGAAGTGCATACACTTATTTGGCATGGACTCCATTTGTAAGTAGAGATGTAAGTGTATGACAAATGGACAATGCTTCTGAAAGTTTACCGAGTCTTCATTGCAAAGAAAAAAAAAATAGAGGACTAAAATTCCCAACAGTCACTGACAAATTAAGGACTTTCAAGTACCAATCGTCATCTCTTGCGTAAAGGAACATACCTCAATTGTGTTGTTTTAGTGCTGCTTACTTACATTTTGTTAATTTGTAGGAGAACCGTTGCATGGATTTTCCTGAAATTTCTGGTGATTTTTCTTTACCCATACATCAGAAGACTCTTAATTTTCAGACCAATTCATGCCACGATTTTTCCATGAAAAAATGGAGCATCTGAAGAAACACTGAAGCCAGGGTTGCCACAGAATTTGGAAAATGAAATTCTCTGACATTTCCCTGACCCATTTTGGTGAAATTCCCTGACAATTGAAGAGGTGACAGATGATGGTTAAGAAGGCATAATTGAAAATAGTTCTCAGGCAAAATTTATTGCTCAAAATCTCAAACCCTTTCTAGAAAGCAAAGGAAGGTGATTCAACAAATTTTCCCTGACATTTCCCGGTTTTCCCTGACTTTTTAAAATTCCCAGACATTTCCTAGTTTCCCCTGACTGTGCCAATCCTGTGAAGTAGTGCGTACTTACAAGATACATTCCTTTGTGTGGGAGATGACAAAATGAAAATTTTTTCAAAATTCAATTATATGAAAGCTCTGCATGTGTGCATTTAAAAAATATTGTTTACAAATGTAGGGAGAAAGAAAAAAAAAGTTAACAAACCTTTCCTTTAATGCTCAGACCACCAGTATCATAAACGATGCCTTTACCAACCCATGCAACAGTCTCAGTTGCACGAGGAGGAGTGTGTGACAATACAGCTAATGCAGGTGGGACGGAGGCGGCCTTACCTACTCCGTAAATCCCACCAAAACCTTGCTCCTTTAGTTCCTCACCACGGATTATTGTGAGAGAGACACTTCCTAATTCATTTTTGATAGCTTTTATTTCCTGGAGACAAAAAAAAAGTTATTGTCAGATGTAGAAACTTGAGGGGAATATACAAAATCTGAGATAATTGCTTGAGGTATACTTTCAGAACTAGAAAATAACATTGTTCTCCTGCTCCTACCACTCTAAATAAAATAATATATTGGATAAAAAAGGAAATTTTAGGTGCAGGATTTAGTTAAAAGAGCCCGTGTTAGAGGGAACAATACATGTGGCTGAATCTGAAGTCAAGCAATAGGGTTTATAAGGTGGAAACGCAAATTTTTCGGTGCATTGCAAGACCATGTATAGAGTTTGAAACATCAATTTTCAGTTTTCGTTGAGAGGTGATTTCTACTTCTTTTAAGAAGCTAAAGTCCAAATTTGGAGCCGTAATTGGCATTATTAAGCATGTTATAAATGTTTGAAGTAAATCATTTCTAAACCTGGCAACAGCAACTGTGAACTTAAAGTGTTTTTCCCAAAGTTGCAGTTTATTGCCGACTTTGAAATTCCCTCAATGAGTCAATTTTAGAAACTTTCCCATGTTCTTAGCACCAGATAATGCAGAATTGTTTCCTTTGAACTGTAGTATGGTGACTTATTTTCCCACTTATTCTTTGTTACAATTTCCCTCTCAAAAGGCATTTTTGTCTCACTTAATCACAAATGAACCTAAAAATGAGGAGAAAATCATCGAAAGTGAAATGATGAAAATTATTACCATCAGAAAATCATCGACATTCATTTCATTACAAGGAATATCTACAATTTTAGCTGTGAGTCGGATGCCTTTAGCTGCAGCTTCTAAAGTCTGGAGATCGCTAGATGTTAGGCTAAGATCACCTTCATTTTCACTTTCTCCCACGATAATGAATTCTACGGTGACAGTGGCTGGGACAGTCTGAGTGGCTGAATCAACACTTGACGGTTTTGATGTTTTCCGGGAATAGAGAGGGAATGCTCTCGCTACAGCACATGCTGAGGCAAAAACATCACTTTTTTCACATACTATCTGGAAACAAGTCAATTAATCAAATTAGACTTTCAGTTTGGCCAAAATTTTTTTTTTAAAAAATGTTTTAAAAACTTGTTAGATATCAATATTTTGAGGGAGTCAAGCTCACCTCCATGTTCTGAAATATTTTAGGTGGCTTGTTAATTTTTGTATGTTCTGTAGAAAAAAAGGAAACTAAAATATTATTATCTCCAGCCTCATATTTTTGTGTTGGTAATGAATAAACAACTATTGTTTCTATCTCTCTTGTACAATATCACTGCAAAAAATATGGCTCATTCTTGTATTTTCACATTGGTAAAGCTAAACATTTAGTATTTTCATGTTCTATTCACAACAGCGTTTGCGCCATAATTTAGGGTTTTTCTTTTAAGACAAATTGACAACTAAATGAAGCATAAAACAATGCTGAAAAAACCGTTCTGCTTTGGGACATCTTAAGATGCTTATTATAATCTCATCTTATAATCCGTAATGTTGTAGTAAGATGGGATACCATGCGTATCATAATAGTGCGAGGCAAAACCATTCATAATTAGAATGGAGCAGGAGTGAATTAAATACTTACAACAATGTACTCGTTGACACCAAAAGTAGCAGACTTTACAATCTTGGTGATTGAGTGAGGGCTTGATGCAGAGTTGTGCCGTGATGATTTTGAAGGAAGTGCTGCAATCGTGGCTAAATTTAAATACAGAGGAATTGAGTCTGTTGGACTTGGGTGTAAGGCGACAAGGGCAGACAAATAAACCTAAGGAAAAAAGAATATTTATTAAGAGGGTAATGGCTTTCTTACAAAATAATAAAAAAGATAATTTTCAGATTATCTATTTTCTGATTGTCTTTTATCATAGCATCACAGATAAAAATGCTTGAGAGAAGGCATGCAATAGTAAAAGCATTTCCTAAAACAGCATTTAGTACAGCCAAGAAATACACAATTTTGAGGAATTATTTTTTATTAGTTTTTTATCTGAGTGGTCTGTAATATTTTAAAGTGGCTGATTACCTACTATGGATTATAACAAGACTGAGGAAAACATTTACAACTGAGAATGACTTTTCAGAAAAAAAATTCAGGACTAAAATGTTCCATAACATCAATAAATCAATGGCTACACATCAAGAGGCCCCGCACAGCTGTGATGTTGAGTGAACGGTACAGCACATTGTAAAAGTGTACCTAAACGTGCTTGTAACTTCTAAACTAAGCGTTTCCCTGTATGGTAAAATATGCTGAGGATACAGACTAAGATGAGGAATCGATTAGACAAATTTGTCCTAAATTCTAAAAAGGGCGTTTTTGGGTACCTAAGACCAAATGGTACATTGACAGATCAGGAAAAAAAGATAAGAATCATCAGTTTAGTGTATTGATCACATTAATGAGTAAAAAAAATACTTACTTCTTCGGTAACCCTTGGCTCTAATTTACAACTAATGTCCCGAAATTTGACTTTCTGGAGGTTTTTCACTTGTCCGATGATCAGAACCGGAGAGTTGAGGGGATCCGATTTGGAGAGAGAAGCAGAAAAACTTAGAGATGTTGATGATGTCATATTTACGCCAGAATCACCCACAGCAGCTACAACAAAATTTCATTAATTTAATATGTTATCGGTTGATGGCTTAACTTCAGACAGGTATCTCAAAAATTGATGTTGCAAATTTCTTCTCGAATGGGGGCTTTTTTTCCAAAAAGAAACTTGCTTTCATCACTCTAAATTAGGTCACTCTTTTGCTTGTTAGTGATTTTTAGGGCTCAGACGCAAGGGCTTTCGTCTTTTTGGGCTTAAAATTCAAAATCTGCCGATATTTTCTAATTGGTCAATGCAGAATGACGCACACTGCTTTGACCAAGCCACAAACCGAGACAAATCACCTAGAGTCAATATTCACAAATTCTCTTTGAAGCAACAAAAGCCCTGGACACCCTTTCAAAGTGAAGCTCCAAAGTAGTGGATGTTTGGTCAATTGTTGCTAGGGATGGGCGATTAATCGAAAGAAACCGATTAATCGATCAATCGGACCAAAAATTAATCGATTAACGTGAACGATTATTGGTATTAGATTAATCGAATAATTCGACTATCGTTGTCGATTAATCGATTTTTGGGCCAGAACGTTCCACGTTGCCGTCAGATTTGTCACAGCTATGATTTAATGCGACTTCTAAACTCACAATCAGGTTTCTCAAAACTCGAGTAATGTTGCAGCTGACAGTTGTTTATTTTTGAGGATCATGCGCAGTCAACCGTTTTAGGTATCTGCGCAAACCGGCACCGTCGTCGATCCGTCGGTCAGTTAATCCTCGATTGCTATTGGACGATGGCAACTATGTAGTTTCATTCCATCAAAAAGCGGGTAAATTGAAAAAAAAAACCTCATAATCAATAGTCTACCGTGATTTTTGAAGTAAAGTCTAGATTATAAAATTGATGGCTATTTTCAGTTAAGCATAAAGAGGGAAATGCACCAAATCACATTTTCAAAAAAAAATTAGTTCAGAGTGGTATTGAGCAAAACTAACTAAACCCATGGAAAATATGTAACGGCCGAAATGTGAATTGAAAGTCAATGCAAATTGTGTTTTATGGAAAAGATAAACTTTAAACCTAATTTCCTCCAATTTTCTAGATGCGACTTGAAGCATTTCTGCTTAATGCTATCCATTTGCTGTTTCAAGATTTGCAAGAGCATTACAGTTCGCTCTAATCCCCCCCCCCCCCCCCCCNTTGAGTGAAAAGGTTATTACCAGGTTGCCGGGTGTTGGTTTGTTTTTTTCTTTTTCATAGAGTTTTGAGCGGCCATTTTTCAAGTTCAATATTTCCATTAATTAATCGATTATCAACCACCGATTAGTCGATTTGAAACGATTACCTCATTTGCGATTAATCGATTAATCGATTAGCTCATTAATCGCCCAACCCTAATTGTTGCAATTGATTGCCTCCAAAAGAAAGCGGGCAGCTCTCTTTTGTGACATCGATGCGCAACACTTGACTAAACAGCCATCACTTTGGAGCCTCACTTTGGAGTTGGACATGTGTCCGGGACACAGGGTGTAGAGAGGGGTGTTGCCTCACCTACTCTGCCCGCATAAAAATGTAAACTCTCATAAAAATTGATTAGCAAATTTCAACAAACCAGATTTTTTAAAGTTTAAACTGCAAAATATCCATGAGGAGCATGGAACTCTTGTTGTCGGTTGAAGCTTTTACCTAGGTGCTACATCATGCAAAAATTTGAGGCAAAAACAAGAGAAGTTCAACAATGCCTCTCGTATCAGCAGAGTGACATACTAAGGGAGGAGCGGCTTGTACAAATCTGGCTATAATATTGATATAATCAGTCCAAATTACATACAGATATGTAAAACTAAAAATATGTAATTCATTCTTACCTAAGCCTGTTATAGTTAAAGTGGAAATGTGATATACCTGGTGTCGTTGAATATATAATAGGAAAAAACAATCTTACTCTAGTTATTGATGGGCAACTGATTCCAATGAGAGTTACAGATATTTGATCTCCGGCTAATTGAACCTTCGGAAAGAAAGGCTCGGGGCGAAGGCGAACTGCGACTGCAAGAAGACCATTGGAAAGAGTTGTTGATAATACTGATAATACGAGAGGATAATAGTCAAATGGCATGATAACATTTTCTGTAGTGTGTAAAAATCATATGAATGCTTTATAAACAATTGAAGCACGGCAACGCAGCATCCAAATTTTGGCACAAAACTCCAGAAAATCAGCAAGAATCGTGAGTTGTGGGGTTGTGGCCATGGACGAAGATATTACATTACGTTAGTATATATTCATCCATGTTGTGGCCGGCTTGATGAATGTTTTCTTTTCGGTGCAGAGCTTTTTTTTTTGTTTTCATGCTTGTGCAATTGTGTGAGTGCAATTACATATTACATATTGAGCAAACGAAAAAGACTTCTAGTACGTGGATGTGTGAGTGCGAAATTTCTTGAGCCCAAGTTGACGTGTGCGTGTGGTTATCAGCAGCAATACCTGTCACCGAATCTTCCTTAGTATTTACAATGCAATTACCTCAGTTAAAATTGTAGGGAATGAATCAATTCTCATAATGTGTCTCAGTATCAGCAATTCGCTTCATTGATTAGCCAGTCCACTCGTAAATTTGTACTTAAACTTTGGATTATCATTTGAAACAAAATGAGTGTTATCAGCATCCCATGTCTAGTTATTATTTGCATCATCTCCCTAGTCGGAGGAGACGAGCACAATCACATTGTAAGTCATGTTTGTTAACCTTTCATTCCTCATTAATGTGTCACTGATTATCTGCTTCGTTTTTGCTCCTTCACTAATACACTTCAAAGGAACCATTTCTCCCCGTTAGCGCGAAGTCTCATACCGATCAGTCGTATGTGTCATCCTCATAGTGTCCTGCACTATTTCAGCTGTATCCGCACCCGTCAATGAGGAGTGACACATGTACCCATTAGTGTACATCACCATTTTCAAACATCAATTTCTGGGCATTTGATATTAGTGCCAACTCTGGTAGCTCAGACACTAGCGTTAACTTCCCTAGATTGCATTCTTACTCTGCTTTCCCTGTGCAAATTTTTCATTCCAGTTTTTGATGCTACAATCACCAACATTCTGACAGCTATATCATCTACTGCATCATTATCTTATCAATTGAAAATTGTGTCAATTCATCCACGGAGATCTTGACAATTATTTCTCGGTTAACCTCTCTCACAATTCAGACATGTGGTAACAATGGTGTTTAAATCTATGTTTGTAAGGTATAGGCTTTCATTCTCAGAAATATCTAATTTGTATCTGCGTGCACCTGTGTTTTCAACTTGTGGAATAAGATACGCACTCATAAATGCACCACCAAAGTCAACAGCTGTATATCTTTTGAAACAGCAATACCTAACGATGAGAAGTCTACATTGTCCGCTCTGATTTGAATTTCTTCCTAACCACCTTTAAATTAATTTTAATTTACAAGTCCAATGCCAAAGTAAGGGGATAAAAAGAAGGCTCTCTCCTTAATGCGCAAACTCCTTCCAAATATCAGAAGATAAATCCTTATAGGAAAGGGCGAAGTAGTTTCATTTGCATCTGGAAATCAGCAATAACATGTCGTCATATTAATACTTCTAAATTAAAGTCAGTTAAGTTTAAATATTTTGGCAGTAGATCTTGAACAGTAAGATTTGACCCAGCACTGGTGAAATTATGTTGACATACATCTGGCATGCGGTTTTCCTAAACCTAAGCTTCTACTTTAACTTGGTTGAAAAATGAATACCCAACATTTTCTGAAAATTGACTTGCTATGGTGCAGATGAATCAAATGACATTTTGTGAAATCAATCTGTAACCATCCTCAGTCATCTTTAAAAAAAGTGAAATTAGCTGGAAAATATGCTACATCACAAACAAAGATTTATAGTTTTGAAATTTCTTTATTGCTGTCAGAGGTAAATAACAAAAGTTTCTCATCAACCTGATGTCTCATTTCAGTATGAAGATAGAGATGAAGTTGTATTGTGGATGAATACAGTCGGCCCATATCACAATCGGCAAGAAACTTACAGCTATTACAGCCTCCCTTTTTGTTTTGGAACGAAAACAACCATTAGCCATTACCATGAAACTTTTGGAGAGGCTTTGCAAGGTGTCGAATTGCAGTTCAGTGGCCTGGAGATATTTTACAAAGGTAATTTCCTGTTTTCCAACTAAATACCGCTTTTGAAATTGCAAACATAAACATAACAGAAAATGCTAAGTTTAAGCTATGATTTTAACACTTTCACTTGATGTTTAAAAATTTTGCTTTCTTAAGAAAAACTTGTGAAAATAATTTAAAGAACAAAAGCTTCCTTTAATATAAGGAGTTAGTTGCTCAAATAGGGCAGCATAGTGGCAAAGAGGTGTAGCCCCCGATAAGTAAGTATATAATTTTTTTAAACACTATAATCAAGGAATCATACCCTCACCCAATACTATTGAAGAAACATTACCCAATCCTCCTTTCTAAATATTATTTGTCAATTTTCAGATCATGTTGAGAAGTCACCATATTGTGAGATAGTACTAACTGAGGAAAACTTGAAGAAATTCATATATGCTGTGAAGAACCATTATTGGTATCAAATGTATATTGACGATTTGCCTATTTGGGGTAAGTCCGAGTTTGTCTTCCTCTATTTTTCATAAGTATGGTAACATTATATTTTATTATCACATTTTTTCACATATTTCATTGCTACAAATCTCTTTCAAATGATTTTACTTTTAGAAACTGTCTCAGGACAAAAAGCAAATATTCCCAATATAATGCATGGCATCAATTGCAACTCAAAAATGGTACTCTATTGCGAATATGCGTTTAAAGTAGAATAAGTGGTAAATAAAGTTAATTTTAATGCATAGCGTGATTTGGGAGTAATGCCAAAATCTCGGTGGAATTTACTGTTAACATCAAAATCAACCTTATTCTTCCTGCCGATTGCCTATGTAATCGTCGCAAGTCCTCATCTAAAATCCTTTTCTTCTTGCAAATTGATGTTGTAATAACCTCAGTTGCAGTCTTGGGACCACCTTCCTTTACCACCCACGCAAAACTTGTTTGTCTTTTCTCCGAATCTGTCATCTTACCTATCACACCAATAAAAAATATGAACCCACGCTAGTCGTATGAGATTTTCCCCAGTGACTTTACCTCCACACTTCCGGTTTATTTGATTTAAATTGTTTGTTTATGTTACAAGTTTTATCTAGTAATGACAGGCTTTCTTTTATTGTTATTATTTTCAGTATATTTTGTGACTTAAAGGAAATTTGGCTTTTCAGCTTAAAAGGGGACCTCTTAAGCACTGAGTTCATTACTTCATTCAAAAAATGTTTTATTATAGGGTAGTTACTAATATAATTCATTAATCATGAGATCGGACCCACTTCATTTAATTCAAAATGAATTTAACATTTCCCACAAAATGCAAATTAATGACTTCGCCTTTTTTAAAATAACTTTTTCAGGCATTGTTGGAGAGGTAGAGGAACTAACCAATGGGAAAACAAATTACTACATCTGGACTCATAAACGCTTTGATATTGGTTACAATGGTAAATACATTGTTGATGTTAATCTGACATCTGAGGACAAACAGAAACTTGAATTGAACGCAAAGGTCCGTTTCACCTATGAAGTAAACTGGAAGCCATCACCTGTCAGTTTCCGAGATAGATTTGATAAATATTTGGACCACAACTTCTTCCAGCATAGGGTATGTGTACTTTCTTATGACTTATGGCTCCAAAAGTGGCTTCACCTTCACATTAAGAATTTTTCGTCTTTTTTTTTAATCTCTAACTCTTTGCAAGGTAGAAGAAGTTCAGTAATTGTGAAGAGACAGAAATCAGGATTAATATCTCTCTGGAGTGTCAATCTTTTTATAGTCTTTCCAAGTTTGTCTGTTTACAGACTTGGCAACTTTTCTGGTTTTTATGTTTGCTGTAATCCCTTTGAGTTGTGCTCTTGATCATTAAAGTATGCATTTACTTTTCAAAATCAACTGTAAATCCAGAAAACTTTGATAACGGAATATTTTCCTTTTCAACAATACTCTATTAAATTTTATGTGTCCGTTGGATAATTTTAAAAATTTACTTGCGTAAAGTGGCTCACAAAACGATATGTGTGTCCAATGCAAAGTGATTGGACCCCCAGGGTGCATTAGCCCCGGGACTGGCAGTCAAATCTTGCTTTGAGAGCCCAGAACAGCTAGTCCATTATAAAGCTGTTCACTTGCTACTTTTAACTTTTTCATGATGGTTAAGATATCTTTTAGAAACAGTAACATGTAATGTTAATTTTCATTCATTACATTGTTTACAGATCCATTGGTTCAGTATTTTCAACAGTTTTATGATGGTCATCTTCTTGACTGGTCTTGTCTCCATGATCTTGATGCGGACTTTACGAAAGGACTATGCACGTTACAGTAAAGAAGATGATATTGATGACATGGTAAGTTGGGTATTTTACCTATCTGCTTTTCTTGACACGCATTTTTCAAAGTAATAGGGGAAATGTTGTCCGTCTTTCTTTTCTGAAGTGTTAAGAAACAAAGCAAACTTATCGTATTGATTCTCAATTTTCGTCTAAATCTTATGACAGAAAGTTAGTGATAGTCTTGCAAAAGTGTTTTCCATTTAATCCTTTATTACTGTTCAGTGAGTAAATAGCAAATGAGCAAATTATATAGCCTAAAAGTATGAATACCAGAGTATAAAAATGAAAACAAGCTGCTGGTTCCAACACTACTGTGTTGGAGAGCTCGCCTTTGGGAAACTATTAACAACTATTAATGATTTTTTCTGAAATTGTATATGTATTAAATGAATCTTTACCCAATTATCAGAGGTTACATGCCGATGCAAAATGTTATGATGTAATTTCATATGACAAATTTTTCACATTACAATAAATAAAGAGAAATAAAGAGAGAGAAATGGAATTATCTTTTATGAATGTGATTTTGCGGCAAATGTTGCAATGGCTATTTTTGCCATCGCATTTTTGTTTCTGGCTTTCATCGTTGATAAGCTTTTTCTTAACTTGTCAACAATGTAATGAAATCATATGATTTAATTTTAATTTTTTTTTTTAAATCAAGTCGCCAACTTGAATTAAGGTTATACTTTGTTAAGCTGGCAGTCTGGAATTCTGAATTTTTATTGGCACAGAGTTCAAAGAAACTATAATTTAGCACGGTTTGGAGGAACGTTTCTGCCATAATTCTTACACAATACTTATGGTATACACTAAGAGCTGAAAAGGAATTCACTTGAATTTTAGCGTGGAGCTCGAGAGACCACTTCAAGCCTTTGTATGCGAGTGGCTCAATGGAGCACATCACGCCTTTGTAGGTATGGGGTGGCTCAATGGAGCACCTCGCGCANAAATGTTGTCCGTCTTTCTTTTCTGAAGTGTTAAGAAACAAAGCAAACTTATCGTATTGATTCTCAATTTTCGTCTAAATCTTATGACAGAAAGTTAGTGATAGTCTTGCAAAAGAGTTTTCCATTTAATCCTTTATTACTGTTCAGTGAGTAAATAGCGAATGAGCAAATTATATAGCCTAAAAGTATGAATACCAGAGTATAAAAATGAAAAAATGGGTGAAACAAGGCCAAAGTATTAAGGTACTGAAAAGGCAGGGCATTGCAACCCGTCACAGGTTCATTATCAGCTGCAAGAACAATAATACAAAAATTAATAAAAAATTGAGTGACGACCTGACATCATTAACAACAGAATAACAACTACAATCAAGTAGCCACTCATTTTTGTATTCGGTAATTGTTAATGTTTGCAGTTGAAAATGAGCCTGTGACGGCTCACAACATGCAGCCTTTTTAGAGTTCTTATATTTTAGCCTTATTTCGCTCAGTTTTTCATCTTTATTCTCTGATGTAAGTAAAAAGTTTTTATACATATGTCCCCAACAATGTCATGAGTAATATCCACTCCTAAGTTTCCCTGTTATTTGTGTTTTGCCTCACCGTTTTTTTCGCATACTGATTTGCCTTGTTTTTCCTTCTATCAGGAGCGTGATTTGGGAGATGAATATGGATGGAAACAAGTCCATGGAGATGTTTTCAGACCTGTGCCAAATGCTTTGATTTTTTCAGCCCTCATCGGATCTGGTTATCACGTTACTGTGGTCACATTTTTAGTCATACTCCTTGCTATTATAGGAGAGCTTTACACCGAGTAAGTTAATCAAACCCTCATTTTTGAACTCTATTTTATTCTAAGTAACCTTCGTTTTAAATTAATTTAGGCCTATTTTTAACCCCTTGCATTCTCTTGCGGTCCCCTTAAGACAGTCTCTCCTGTGTAAAATTTTGTGAAGAAACCATATAATCCTAATAATTATACATAGAAAATATGAAGTATCCATTTCGTAGATTATTTTAAGTATTAATAAATCAAAAAGCATGGCACATCTATCCATCAACCTCCAAATCTTCTATTTGTAGTAGGTACATCAATTGAAAATAAACCAGAAAGAATGGCTTATAAGACCTGAATTTCAAAAAAAGAAATCTCCGAGTTAAAAATTGAAACTTGAAAATGTAATTCCATATTTTTTAGGCGAGGATCCCTTCTTAGCACTGCTATCTTCACGTACGCTGCGACATCACCCATCAATGGGTATACCGGTGGTGGTCTGTATGCTCGCATGGGTGGTAAATTATGGATCAAACAAATGATAGTTTCTGCCTTCCTCCTTCCAAGCATGGTTTGTGGAACAGCGTTCTTCATCAACTTCATTGCCATCTACTACCATGCTTCAAGAGCAATTCCATTTGGAACTATGGTGAGTATTCTTGTCTTTATTTCCTCAATCTTAAAATCTCATGCCAATTCAGAAAGGAGCTGTTGTATGATTTCCAGAATGTAAACAACTATGGTGGAAACATGCATGGTATTCAGTTGTAAATGAGACATCATGGAAGCATAGGGTGGGCTGAAAAACAAAACTTCGCATTTCATTTTGACTGTGATAGCAATAAAGCAACACCAATGATAAAAAAATGAGTGAAAAAATTGGAAAAATTAGCAGACCTTTGTGGAACATTCAATTTTTTGCAGAGATTTTGTGGTGATATAACTCTTTTATTTAAGTTTCAGCCCTCTATGCTATCCCTAACATCAAGTCACGGGCGCCATAAGGGATGATAATCAAAATATGCAGTTTTTGAAAAATCTTAACATTTTTCCGCGAGTAACTTAATCAGTTATGGTCCCTTGAAGACCTTAATAGTTTTATCACATCAGGGATGCCGAAAGTTCTTCGCTTTCACATTTTGGAATCAGCCCTCTCATTTTTGGTTGCCTTCACAATGCCATCCACATAAGACTTGCGCGTTTCACTGTCTCCTTTGCATAAAAGAGTGCGCCTAACTATTTTCTTCCTATAAGAGAGCGCATTATACAGTTTCCTAAGTCAAAAGCTAAGCACTTAGCTGGTTTGCGCCTTCTGCTCTCACATTTTTTTACGCCTTTTCAGAAGCCTTCACATTTGGCATGAGCATATACTTTTTAGTTGCAGAGCATCTGTTATTACTAACCTAAAACTAGTACTGATAATGCTAAAATTATCAATGAAAACTGTAAGGCAGTCTTTACCAGCTCCTTTAGTGTATTGTCAGAGCTCTACCAGTAGCACTGCTTTGATCAATTTAATTTGAAGATAGATATAAGTCAAAGCTGGTGGTGGTGAATACGGAACAATTCATTTGTGTTGATTATTGTTTCATATTTTATTTTTCGACGCATTATAGGTTGCTGTTGCATGCATCTGTTTCTTTGTCATTCTTCCGTTGACGCTGGTAGGCTCTGTTTTGGGCAGAAACCTAGCTGGACAACCTGATTATCCATGCAGGGTGAATGCTGTACCAAGACCCATTCCAGAGAAGAAGTGGTTCATGGAACCTTTAATTATTATCATGTCTGGTGGTATTTTACCGTTTGGCTCAATATTTATTGAAATGTAAGTTGGAAATTTTTTTCTCTAAATCTCATCAAAGCTTGGCTCAGTCATTAGATTTTAAACAAATTTCGAGTGTTCGCTTGATGTAAATGAGCTTCCCACCAAAAAGTTGAATGTCTCAGAATGGCCCACTTGACAATGCTATGACAAAGTTTCCGCACTTCTCCGACCTCTCATTGACAGTGCAGACGAAACGACAATTCTGGGAAACATCTCTTCCTTTTGTAGCAAAGATAAACTGGATGGTCAGTGTGGGTATTAGCTATTGTCTGAGGAATATCCAAACAAATCAAAGCTTGGAACGAAAAGCAAGAAAACCAGCGGGCCTTTGTGGGACATATAATTTTTTGCTTGGTTTTTTAATTATTATTAATTCTTGCATTTTTGTAAAGTGGAGAGAGCTCTTAATGCACAGGAATTTTTTGATTATTTTTGAATGGCACTAACGTATGAAAAACGATTTTGAAGTCGCGTATTTTCAGTTCCCATTTAAATGCGCATCATTGAGAAAGTTAAGATAGCGTCGTCAATGCGGGTATGATGTCGATTGCCGCACTTTTAAGTCTTTGCAGCTGCGCAGTGCGCACTGATAGTGGCCGCACAGAACATAGACCCCTGCAAAGAAAGGGCAATCAGAATCAAGGAGGATATTCCTATTATTTTTTTTTTATAATAATAATGTTTTTCTCGATTTTCTCCCGTTTTAATCTACTAAATTAAATAACATTATTTTTGCAGGTACTTCATCTTCACTTCATTTTGGGCCTACAAAATCTACTACGTGTATGGTTTCATGCTTCTCGTGTTTCTCATCTTGATGGTAGTCACCGTTTGCGTAACCATAGTGTGTATCTACTTTTTGCTGAATGCAGAAGACTATCGATGGTGAGTTTATTGATATCTCTTAATCCAGTCAGATTTAGAAAAATATCTTTCCTCCCAAAATGTAGACTTTTTCGTGTAATATCAGTAGCTAAAGTTTTCCAAATCCATCAGTTATCACATCCAAACTAACTTCTTGTTGCTATCCTCCCCTCTAAAAGAAAAGCAAGATATCAAGAGAAAAAAATGGTGCCAAAAATCATCATTTATCAGGATTTGAATTGCTGACCAGCAAGAGGTTTGTAAAGATTTTAGGGCCTCTAACTTGATCATGAACAAGAGGCTTGCACAAGTGCAGGGCAAAGAAATCTTGGGTGGATGTATCCTCTGTTGAATTTTTACAAGGCACTCTCTTTTTTGACCACTTCATCAAGTATTTTTATGGATTTCAGGCAGTGGACAAGCTTTTTGGCTGCAGCTTCAACGTCTACCTATGTGTACATGTACTCATTTTATTATTTCTTCTTCAAAACAAAGTAAGTACAGTAATTTTCGATTTTTTTTTTTTTTTTGGTAGATTATGCATAGTGTTCAAACAGTATTAAAACCAATGCCATGACTTTAAACTAAGCTAGATGAAAGTGTTTTCCTGGTCTTGTTTGAAAGACGGAGAAATTATATCTTGAATGAGACTAAGATCAGCCCATTTGGGCCAAAATTAAAAAAGTTATCAATGCTTGAAAAACTAAAGTCACGTTGACCTCTATGGCTTTTACAAAAATTTTGGCTCACTGAGATTGATCTCCAAAAATACTGTACAATGCGCTATTATGCTTAAAACAACTTGGCAACACTAAGAACGACTTTGCAACATTTTACCATTGTCGTCATCCAACTGAGAGACATAAGGGTCCAAAGGGCGACAAGTCTGGTCGTCGAGGACCCAAAAATTTGGGAAGTCCGGTCACTATGCGCCAAGCCCTTGTTACGTGCTTGTATCGCAGTCACTGAGTAATTTTTGCTCTGTTTTGTGCTAATTTTTGGCTGAATCATAAATTGTTGCTCTTTTCTACCTCGCTCTCAAATCATTACTTTTTTCATGTCACATACGAAAAATTAAGCTCAGGATGGAACAACAATCTCTCGGTAATTGCAATATACTTACAAGTGGCGTCAAGGGGTTGTTTTGCACTGGCTGGACTTCCCCGACTTCAAGGTGCAGTCTTTCAAAGCACATTACCAAGGAAAATAAAAATAGGCCTTACATAAGTGCTCATCATGATATCTCCGTCAGTTTAAGGTTAACTCAGGCCTATTGAAAGTTTGCCACAATCGCATTAAAAATTTATTACCTGCATTTTGTCTGTGATTTTTTCGTGAAGTAGTATCTCTACATATATTCATTCCCTTTGGTATTTTTTTTTCTTTTTTTTTCAGAATGTATGGACTGTTTCAGACAGCATTTTATTTCGGTTACATGGCACTATTCAGTCTTGCACTTGGTCTTATGTGTGGCACAGTAGGCTACATCGGCACCTCAATATTTGTCAGAAAAATTTACTCAACTGTGAAAATAGACTGAACTGGTAACTGAATTAGTTCTATTCCAATTTGGGTTTTATGATCAAATTCTTGCAATTTCCTTAGTCCATTGCGACCTTTTCCACAGCTATCAACTTTGTGCATGAATTTCTCAGTACCAAACAAATTAACATGTTGACTGCCATGTTAAGTGCCAGGAATGCTGTATTTTCTGATTACCATGATGTCGGCCAAGCCTAGGGGCAATCACTTTTTCCTACCATTTTCCTAAGTCATTGATTTGATACCTTACCGAAGTGTAGTTGTGTCATGTATGGATGTGTTTGTGATAACCAATGAATATTAGGTAAAATTTTGCAAGAAGTGTGATGTCATCCCTGGCTCTGTCTAAAATCAAGCCCCAAGCTAAAAAAAGCCTCCGAAACTTAAGACTGTAATGAAGGAGCACCCTGGTTCTAAAAGACAGTCCACCTTCGGTCAATCGAATTCTTAATGCAGAAGCAGGGCCGAACAGATCGGCAAGGTTGTTACTCCATCTCAAGACTCCAAGAAAGAGTTCCATCCAGGAAGGGTTTTTTAGTCCATGGACATCCCTGCCAATACATGCAACCCTATCTCAGAATAAAGACTGCTCCTAGACTAGAAGCTCTCTTCCACAGTAGCCTCAACTTTCAAAGCTCAATTTTGAGCTTTTGAGTGGATTTTTCACTCGGTTAGTGGTACTACATAACATGTTCCTTGCAAAATTTCACTCAGGAATAAATGGTTAAAGTGAAAATCCCTGGCTTGTATCAGAAATTCATTACAACGTGATCATTCAGTGCACCGCTCTGATAATTTGTTACTATGTTTATTCCCAGTCCACAGCTGTACCATATGAACAACGAGATCGATTTATTTAATTGTGCTGTGAAGAAGAAGGGGTATTTACTCTGTGGTAGTCAACATGTTGAAGAGATATCTGTGAGATTCTCCAAGTCATTCTGCGTCTATGTATAATTTTCCTTCATGAATTCAAGACAGTAATGTACAACCTGACATTTCTTCCTGTAAAATAAGGAAACTACCTACACCTTTTTTATTTTTATAGTTTTCGCAGAAGGCTCCATGAGGTATGTGTTTGTTGATTCCCTTTCAGGTTTTTTTAATCGGAAGAAGATTTCCAGTAAATTTCAGCTTTGTGATAAAACTAAAAAAAGCGAGGCACTAAATTAATCTTGTTTTAAGTTTTCTGTAAGTTTAAATAATGGACATAATTCCTCCAGAGAACTATCCAAAGTTCTTCTATAAATGGTCGGACAGCCTACGCCGGTAAGTTCTTGTCTAGCTCATACTGCTTTGCCTTGAAAGGAAATTCTATTTCAAACAAGATTAACAAACTTTTTTGCAGCATTTTACGACAATATTTTTGCAACTGCTCACAGGTAAAAGAACTCGGAATTACACAATTTTACGATTTTTTTTTCTTGTGAAAAATTACATCATAAAAGAATAATTCCGAAGTATCAGGGGGTGTCATGCAAAAGATTTAACTGAGAAATTCAAATTAATCTTACCTGATGTCCTGCTAATTCCTCAGATTTTTTTTACCTTTAAAAAAATGACTTAACCTCATCAGTCTATCATTATAGTGGTGGTGGCAAAGTGCTAATTGCATTAAATTTGAAGAGCCACCATATTAAGAGAACATGGTGCTTCAGAAATGCAGTCAAATAATTTTCTATTCTTGACTGTCTTATTTATCTCCTTTTGTTCAGACTGTGTGTCCTCATCAATGTACGAAGTAAACATTTGTGAGATTTTGCGTTTCATCACTATTTTTCTTTGTTGCAATTGTATTTTTATGTGATTCCACAGTTATCAAGGGTGTGTTTTAGAAAAGCTAGATTTTTTATCCCATGCATACATGTAATGTACATATTGGTGTTAAACTTCTCCAGAAATTTTATACTCTGGTCCAGAAGATTTTATGTGAGGTCTCTGCAGCCTATTTTGCCCCCTCTTAAAGAATCCAGAAGGATTTTTTCATGGCAAAATAACATGTACAACTGCGGCTCAATAGTGAAACTGCAGAGATGCAGATCTCAGGTGGCGATGTTGCAGACTTCCTGCCATAATTTATTTTCTACAGGGAAAATTACTGAATGTTGTTTTTTGGAAAATTTTGTAATTTTTTATCTTTATGTAAAAAATATTCTGCGACAATTTCTAACCATGTGTTGGTTCCGTCTCTTTAAAAAATAAAATAGGAGGAGAGGTTTTGAAACATCGCAACCGAGGTATGCAGTTTTGCGGTTTCACCTTCGAAGTGCAGTAACACAAAGCTTTTATTCTTAGAATTGTAAATTATTAACTTTATAAAGGCCCTCCAGGACAATGGAAAGAATGGACAATGTCCTTGAATTTTGATTTTATGCATCTTTGTTCCATCTCTTTTTTTTTTTTAAATCTGTGTTAAAAACAATCATTAAGGCAAAACATTTTTACAAATAATGCCCAGAAATTGCCCAAAAATACTTAATAGTAACTCTATGGAAGTTCACCATAGAAATCTTCAGGGTAACGCCGTATTTCAACCATATAAGAGACTTCAAAGCCTTCTATAATCCGTTCCAATTGATCTAGTCCAATCGAAGAGTCAAAGAAAGCTCAGTCTTAGTTGGAGAACGATTTATCTCCAAAACTTGATTCACTTAATACCGATTTTATTATAGCACATGAAAAATTTAGACTTTTCCTTTAAAGATCTGGAAACCAAAAAAAAAAAACACTTCACTTCAATTTTCGTCGTCCCAGGATGAGTTCGAATATTAAAAAATATTTTAGTCACTGTGCATTGAAAACAATACGCTGACAATTTGGAGTTTTCTTGAAACTTCTTTTGATCTATTAGAAAAATTTCCTTTTCAATACAATGGTGAGCCTTGCACCTATTCACGTATTCAGAGGCGTATCAATTATATTTTCAGCCCGGGATGCTTTGATGAGATAAACATCCCCATAATCGTCCCTGTGGAGTCCAAACCATAAGGGTAACTTGGTTTGCTGCATAATCTTGGAGGCTTGGTTCAGTCAATCAAGGCCTCAAATAGTAAGTCAAACTTAGGCTCAATTTTAGTTAATAAGTGTTGTTGAACCTAACAAAGAAATGATCCTTTAGTCCCTCGTTTGAAACACCTCACAGAATCTTCACTGATATCGGTTCTTTTAAAATCTTAAAAGTATTACAAATGATAGATCCTTTCTATTAGAAAATTCATTCTAACATGAGCAAAATCAAAAACGGCAAGTCCTGGCTGTAAGCATTTGTGAAGAAGTTTGAGTGGTAAACGGTTTTTAAATACATGGTTTTTCCCTATCAAATTATTTGTAGAATCCGTCTGCACAACTACCATTCCAAAGTCATCAAAAATCACACATAAGAAAGTGCGAGATCCTTATTAAGTGAAAAGTTACTTTTTGGTAAAGTCCCCTTTGCAGAAAAAAATTCAATGAAAAAAATAATGAAAGAAAAAAAACTGTATAATATGCAAGAGTGTGTGCTCTTTTTTTCTTCTTTTTTAACCCAAAATCACGAACTTTACCTGGCAGAATAAATTTAGGAATAACATCAACATGTTAACATCATGTGCTACAGCTTCAGCAGATCATCTCACATCTATGTTTTTTATCACTTGAAGTTTTATATGTAGTTGTTTAATTTTGATTTGTTTTTAATTATTTGTTTTTTAATTTTTATATTTTAATGGAATCAAGTACGAGTTAGATTTCGGGATTTTATTCTTTACTTGTTTTTTCTTTATGTACCCAGGAAAACACTTGAGATAGGTTATCCCAAAACAACTGCCAGTAAGCCTGGTTGGACAAAAAAGGTTTTTTTTTTACAAATCTCCTTCAAAAATTTGGTGCACAGAAAGTTAATAAATTACAGATTTCTCAAACCAGGCCAACTGTCAGTTATTTTGGGATAGCTCACGTATCTCAATAAGAACTTATTTTTTTCTGATAGTAACAAGTTAACTTCATGCTCCCATTATTGTAATAGGAACAATGTGTTCACATATCCACTCTCGATATTTTGCTTCATCATTCAAAATATTCATCTAACAGAAGGGCTTGTTTCACGATATTTAGATTCCCTCTTTGTATAGTATCCAATATGCTCTATGGCTCTTAGTATATTTAAATATGAAATAATTTTAACTGGAGTGTACTGTGTACATTATTGAAAATAGTAGGTAAGTAGCTTTTCCATGAAAAATAATGTGATTCTCTTGGTTCTTTTTTTTTTTTTTTTCAAATACTTTTTTTTTAAACTCAATGTTCTGAGTCGGTGAGCTTACCTACTTAAGTTTTCAGGGTGTCTAGTAACCTAGTAAATTTATCAGAATTATCAAGGAACCTTTTTTTACATCAGGAGAAACCAGAAAAAGCATGAAGTTCGGAAAGACTTTGTTGATCATGGAATATTTTGTGGAAACCATCGAGTTTTCACTTTCATGCTAGGGAGAATTTAGAATTTTTTACTTTTTGAAAAGTGCTAGACACCCTGGTATTTTTTCATTGGTTTAGATGAATGAATGTTGTCTTAGACTTTCTTGAATTTTATTTTCCAGTTCCTAATTGATTTAAAGTAACTATTTCAAGCATTCATATTTTCTTTACTTTGTAAAAAAATTGCCCTGTTGATTGAAAATGAAAGAAATGTATGATGATGGATCTTATTCAATGTTTGAACAGTAATAAAATGATGAATAATTACTAATATAGCAGCTATGGATATTAATTTCTTCCTAATCTATATTTTATACCCAGGTTTACTGCTATCTATGGTACTGGAAGTCACTAAATTATTCTAAAAATAAATTTAAATCGTAAAAAATATAAATACTAGAGGCACCATACTTTTAAAATCAAAGATGATTCTCTTATAGGGTCTACATCAAATAAGTTTATGCACTGCCACAGTGCGACAGAAGATCAGTTATCTTCAGTTTAGCGTTGAAAAAAAAAATACTGGAATCAAGATGGCAAACCTTTTGTTGCACTCTAAAAGAGTTTAACTCACTTAGCATGATTTGTGTTCTGGGGATCGAACAAGCAATATTAAAGGTTGACGTAGACCTAAATCGATCGGACTTTAGTTAGTTGAAATCCGAGTGTTTCAAGCAGCCCACCTCTATTACACAAAAAGGGTTGAATGACCAAAAAATTAAATTTATCATAATGCAAATAATTATTTTTTATTTTTGCCTTGGAGTTTTCTTCAAATTCTTCGGTAGAAATACAAATAGCCTAGAGTTTTGGGTAGATTTTCTGAAACAGCGACCTTATTGTCATTAAAAATAATCCACTGCCCATCGACTAGAATATGGCACACATAGTGACCAGCCATTGTTGATGTCCCCATGTGCGAAATAAATGCCACTAGTTTGTATTCTGCGAACATGCAAAAAAAGAAGAACGATTACCATGAGTTAGTAGACATTGATACTTTAGCGCTGAAGTATGCACTTCCATTAATGTGAACATTAAGGGACTATTTTATTTAAAGTAATTAATTAGACTTTCATTGGACACTGTCACTAGTTGGACTACATTTTCCAATTAGGTACTATAAATTCCGGCCCAGTTTAAAAACAACGTATGCGCCATTAGTTTCCCTATGCATATAAGTGTTTTTTCAGATGAGTTAGAATTTATAGCTCCAAATCGCAAAATGCAGTACAGTTGTTTAATAAATAATTAGTTTTTGTGTTATATGTAGATTAACTAGGAAGAGATAGCTGAAGTGTTGATAATAGCAAGCGGCTTGCACGATGTCAACAAATCATTGACAACTAATGCTGGATGCGGAACAGCAGTGGCGCTTAGGGACACGGGGTCTTCCAGAGTGTTCTCTGCTGACAAGGAAGTTTTAAGAAAAACATTCTTTTATTTCAGCACACTTTTTTCTGTTTTTTAAAAAAACAACCTCGATCCTTTTTTCCTTGAGCCTTGCAAGAACCAAATAGGTAGGTACCAGATAGGGTAAAGTGCAGCTGATCTACAACGTAATTTTTGCTCAAAATGTTTTTTTCAAAAAAAAAAAAAAAAAAAAAAAAAAAAAAAAAAAAAAAAAAAAAAAAGAGGAAGAGAATTTTGTCAAGTAGATATTTTGGCATTCTGAGGGAAAAAGCAACTTAAATTTTTATTCAAAAGTACTGAATCAATGAGCAACTTACGAGAACCTCCATCTCGGAATTGTGGTTGTTGAGATGAAGATGCATCTTGAGAACTTTCATTTTGTTGCTTGATTTTTTCCTTCAGGGAATCTGGATTACTGAAAATTAAATCTGCTGCCATTTCCAAATTATTGTTGGTTTCTTTCAAAGCTGCAACTGCCATGTTTTCTTCGACGCACGCCATGGACATCAACATTGCCACAGACTCTTGATTAGGAGTAAAACCTAGGTACAAGAGAAAGAAAAAAAATTGAGTGAAGAAAATCCAAGCGTGTAATTTAAAATTTCTACTCTAAAAAGATTTTATATGCATCAAACAAAACTAGGAGTGACAGAGGAGTGAACATTTTTCTCCTAAAGTTCCTTAGTGCGGCACAGTAAATTAAATTGGAATAAAAATATGTAGAAAGACCAATTACTCTTCACAGAATCAAAACTCATTTCTTGAGTGTTTATGCTTTCATCTGAAATGGTGAAAAGGAACCACTTGCACAGCGCAACACAAAGAAGCTGCAAGAAAACTCACTAAAAAGTTAAGACAAAAAGTTTAGGCAGATTCTCAAAATTAGTCAAGACGGTGTGAGAGTACCAGGTGTTGTATGAGCAAGGTGCCAACTATTGCCGCTACTACTTCAAAAAGGCACCCCTCCAGTAGCGTGGCGTGCTTTGCGATACATCGATTGATCTGTCATTTAAACCTATGGAAAAGGATCGATTAACATGGTGCTCGCAGCGAACACCTTAATAATCGATTGTTTACCTCGGATTCAAATGAGGAAATATCGATAATCGATCATTCACGCCTTGCCACTGCACCCCACCAGCGTTATCAGATAAGTAAAGCCGACCCAATACCAAACAGAAAACTTTATAAAATTGCTGAATTTATCACTGAATAAAATGCAATATAAAAAATTGAAAGGGCATGCTTAAGGCATTAATAACACAAGTCTATACTAGTACCTGAGGCTTTCTGGCTTGACGTGCCCGGAGGAACGAAAGGATCAGAAAAATCACTGTCCGACAAGTGCTCCATGAGCCACTGGGTGGCAGCCTCTAAAGACTGGTTTTTCGTGAAGAAACAACCTTTTTTACATGCTTCTAATGGGAAACCCATATTGACAAGTTCGTTGAGTATCGCTTCGTTAAACTGAACTGGAGGTGGCCCTAGTTCCATGAGAGCAAACATAAAATGGAAGAAAAATTGCATTTAATCGTTAGTTACAGTAACATAAAAACAGAAAAAGAAAAAAGACGTGGAGGCGCCATGAATTAGTTCAAAAGGATTAATTTTTGTTCAATTCATATCACATTGAATGTCCTCTAGCTATTCAGGACGAAAACAAGCTGGTCTGTCCTAGCTACATAGACCTCCGCATTTCTGAGAATCTTACATTATTATTCAAGATAAAGTTTCATGTCAGCCGAGGCAGCAGGACCAAGTAACACTGCAAAAAGTATTTCCCTTATGACTAGTATCTATTAAAGTAAATCAGAATTTTTTTTAAAAAAAAAAAAAGAAACTAAAAACGATAAAACCTCTTCCAATTAGACCGCGTTAAACAGAAAGGAACCAAACCACATCAACTATTACCAAATTTAATTGGGCAGTTCAATTTTATACATGAAAACGGTTGTGCGGATATTTGTGCAAATTCCAGTGAATTTTCTACTACAAAGCAAATTCCTTAAAATTTTCAAAGGCACATGCACGAACATTCTCAGATAAAGTTAAATTGTCCAGTTAAATTTAGCAATCGCTGATGTGGCTTGGTTCCTTTCTGTTAATCACGGTCTAATTCATCATGTAAAATTGTATCAATAACTATCAAATGATCATTACCTCCCTAAAACATAGATCTAAACCCATCTATAAGATCTAAAAGTGTGTTAATCATTTAAAAGATGTTAACTTTTATTACAAAATGTCCAGAATCAATGCCTCTGGGAAACATTTTCATGCTTGTTCCAGGCACATTAAAGTTGATTTTTTTGACATAGGTTTGGTCAAATTTTCATCTCCTGCAAATCTTTGAGTGAGAATACTTTTGGTAATAATGTCTTTTAGAGGACGAGAGAAACTCAAGCAAGATAGAGGGGTAATTTAATATTTGAGCTGTTTCAGTGTCAAATAACAGAAATATACAATAAAAGACACATGTGATGGAACTGAACTTTAGGATAGCAAAATGACATACCTTCTGTCTCTGGTAATAGTTCTTCACCAGGTTGTAAGCCATTTCCTCTTAATATTGACAGATCGACAGTGTCTGGCATATCGATAGAAACATCTAATTTGATCGGCGTCCAATCTTCCCGTAGTTTAAATTTTTTAACGTGAAGTAATAGAACATCTGGGAAGGTTGAAAGTTTAGTTGTTCTGAAAGATAAGAAATATGAGAGGATGATACAAACATAAGAAAATGAGAGAGATAAGGTCAAATGAGTATAAAAAGAGGTCTCTTCTGTAGCTTGAAGCAACTGAGGCATATTGCAATGTATGTAGTCCGTCGCTCATTCTAAAAAAATTCTGAACTAAATCAAGGTTACAAAAAGCTTTGTACAGAGAACAATATTTTAGAGTCAATTTATTATCAGTGATAGTGATCCAATGCCTCTTATTGACTTCTTCAGATTCTTTGGCTTTTTAAAGTCTTCATGTAAGTATAACTTATCCACCCCTTGTATTCACCAATGGAGAATTTGCAAGGGTCTGAAATTTGATGAATTTCCTGTTTAAGTGGAATCCTCTGAGTGAACTGAACACGAAGATACCCTTGATTCAAAAATTGAGCAATTATTAGAGGAGATATGACAAAATAACCGATTCTGCTAAAATACATGCGTTTAAATGGGAAATGCCGCCAGATGACGTCACAAGGCGGCGCATTTTCTCACTTTTAAATCAATTTTTCTCCAATTTCCCATGTCAGAAAAAAATTATGAAAAATGTTGCGAACTCAGCTCATTAGGCACTTTCAGATGAAGCAATAAAAAAATTGCGTGCAAATTCTCCATTATCAAATTTCATTAGGCATCAACGAAAACATCTACATATTGTCAGCCTGATCAGCAATCCAGTACTTCTGGCCACTGGGAGTTCTACAAAAAAGTTTAGCTTGAGCTTGGGGAAAATTTAACACAGTCTACTACTCAGGCAAAAATCAGTGAAAATTGTTTTCTCCTAAACCTGTTTGCATAGCAGCAAGTGTGCTCACATAAGCCCATGTCCCACGATCAAATGAACTCATCAAATGCAAGATGGTGGAGATGCATACTGGTTTCTGTACAATCAAAAGTTGGCAGGCCGTCAAATGTTGATGAATAGAACCCGTGTGGATTTGCGCAAAAACCAGTACGTATCTCCGCTACCCTGCTTTTGATGAGTTCATTTAATCATGGGACACGGGCTACAAAGTCTGAGAAAGTGAATGGAGAGCAGAATGTTACATACAAGGTTACCACAGAATTCAGATAATCAAAGTCCCTGACATTTCCCTAAATTCCCTGACATTTGAGGAAATGCCAGATAGTTAAAAACTATTAATTTGAAATATTATTCATGCAAAATCTGTTGTTCGGAACTTCAAACTCTTTCTCCTTTTATGAACGCAAATAAAAGTGGTTTAAGAATTTCCCCCTTATACTTTTATAATCTTGCTGACATTCGAGATTTTCCATGACCTCATGAAATTTCCTGACGTTTCCCAGTTTTCCCTGACAGTGGCAACCAGAGAACTGATACATACATTAGTACTTACTTAAATGCAGTAGTTTTATCATTCACAGCAGAGCTGAAAAATTGGTCTATGGTCTCACTCTTAATGAGTGCTTCAAGGCAAGAGGACAATTTCACTATAGGTCGCACGACGTCACTAGGGTCTCTGAAACAAGATGCAGTTGCAGCAAAGTAAGCAGAAACAATAGAATTTCAATGGTAAAACTATTAAATCTCGTGTCTCGGTTTCAAACATTGCCAATTTCGTGTTATATGGTACATTTTAATCATCAATAATGGAGATGTTGCATGTAAGAGGAATTTGCGATTTGACTATTGATTCATACATAAAAGTTCGCGAGAGACACGATGGTGCCACTGGTTCTCTCTGAAATCAACTCCAAAGCTCCAAAAAAGCTCTCAAGTTGAGGCCAAAATGGAAGGGATATCCCACGCTTTGAGTTTTTTAGTTTTAGTTTTCTTAACTTTATTACTTAGCTCACAGTTTGTTACCTTGTTATCCCATTTGTTTCATTCGTTTAGTTTTTGTTACTTTCGGTTTATTAATTTGAATGTTACCTGAAAATTGAAAGATGTACAAACCAAATTTACAACATATTATTGAAAAATTTTTGAAATGTCAGTTAGGATACTTACAATTTTGCACCTTTAGCTTCTGCTTCTATTTTTCTTTGTTCAAAGGCTTCTACTTCTGCTTTGTTTATTGCTGCTTCTAGGGGTATAGGCAATGGAAGACAATACTCATCACGGTGAAGATACTTAACTTTATTACTTCTGGAGCATTGGAATCTTTCTTCAACTTGAAACTTAAAACTTTCTGATGGGTCAACAGAGTTCTTACAGTTTTGCTGTTTAGAACATACAAATAAGTTAAATAAGTGAGTTTATATTATATGAGGAAAAAATAAACATTCATGAATTAACGATCTTAATTTTTTAAAATGAGATATAACAATGGGAAAAAAACCATCTAGGAAAGCAAAGTGTTTTTTCTAAATTTTTTTGTCTCACTGAAATTCTCCCGGTTTTAGGAACCCAAGATGTTAGGTCTCCAAGACACATGGCGCCTGTAAGTGGCAGAACACTCCAAAGGAGGGACGTACATAGTAGCAAACCTGGTGAAAATGCTGGCACAGAAAATACATACCAGCATAAACGACATTTTGACAGCTATTTCAATGAAAGAACCTATCTTGATGAATGGACAGTGACTAACAGTTGATTGAAAAGGAGCTAGAAGACGGCAAACAGCCAAACCCAGTGCTATTTCATGTTGGAAGGATTACAACCTGTTGGCCAGATGCTAACAATAAAAAGAGAAGGAGGTGAGGTAAATAATTAAACTCACTTGAAGAACTGATATAAAGTGTAAGAAATATTCTTGCACATCTTGTTGGATTTTGGAGGCAAACGTAGGATGTCCTCTGGCGATCAAGTTCAGAAGCATATTTGGAGAAATGCCTTCTTGAGTGCATGGAGAGTCTGCAGAGCTTGATGGTGGTTTGGAGTACTTTCCAGATCTTAAACCACAGCCTAATTTAGCCCTGTGAAATTATACAAAATATATTTGTAACTAGCGAGAACTTTAAGGTCATAATTAGTACACCTTGGGGAGGAAATTTTCTATGTTTCATGATTAAATATTCTACTTACAAATAGATAGTAAATGGAAACATATTGAGGGCGAACGAGCACTACCGCCTAACTAACGATTTTGAGAAAAAAGAGTTCTGTTAGCGACTTAGCTGCATTCTACAATATAAAATACTAGGGGGCTATGCCCTCTGGCCGCTACGCGGCCCAACCCCCTGAAGGCGTTCCGCGCCATCAATGGGCCGCTTCGCAGCCCTATTTTTACCCTCCTATCAGTGTTAGTTTTATTTTTCCCCTAAAAATTACGATATGAGGTATACTTTAATTTTAGACTTTACTTAAAATTACTTTAAAATTAAAAGGACGCGTTTTGAAATGACTGCTTGATGAAATGTTACAGTAAAACAATGAACAATGATAGTCAGGTAATAATTAAGATTACGTAAGTCGCGGATCGAACCCACACTGAGCTTAAAGTGGACGCATTCGACGTCTTAGACGACTCGGCCACCGCTCGACGTGAGGTCGGTGGTGCGAATCTTGTGTAGATAAGTGTGCAATCTCCTCGACCACTGCGCATCCTCCCGCGCATAGCGGTAGCAGTACCGGAGCATTCTGTAAACTCACTCACTTTTATAACGTGATTTTAAAAAAACCTGGGTCCTCTTTCCAAAATCTGATTACAGCGGGCTCATCTAGGGCCTATTACCTGTCGATTTACCCAAAAATCGTGGAAATCGGCCCGGTTGAACGCTCAAACAAACTATGACAAAAAGTATAAATTTACATTGTTTAAATGGGAGAATTCGCAACTTTACCACGTAATATAAAAAAACCTGGGCTATATTTTGAAAATCTGAAAAGAGTTGGCTTATCTAGAGACAATTGCCCGTCGATAGCCGCAAAAATCATGAAAATCGGCCCGGTTGAACGCTGGTACTAAGCGTTACCAGTTTCGCAAAATTAGGAGGTCTTGGAGCTTATAGTATAGATGCAGCCTGATGATTTTAGTTTTTTTCCAATTCTGTAGGGGAGCGCTTCAATGACACTGAGATGTATTAAAAAAATGCAAAACTAATCTTAAAATTACAAAATAGATGAAGTTTTCTCTTCGTTCTGCAAAATCGTCAGTGTGCAGATAGACGGTATTGTTTGTTAGCCATCGATATTGCGGACCGAATTGCATAAGGTAAATCCATGCTTAGATTTTTTTGTATGCCAAGGGTACATCTGAGTGAAGATAAGTTTTAAGGTTAATCCTTTTTAAAAGATCCTCTTTTTTTTTTCTGAAACAAGAAGCTGGAAAACCTAGTTTATTTTGAGGAGCACAAATCTTTTAGAGGCGAAAAGTACAAAATTATCAGCCTCTGAAGTCTTTCAAAATATTCTTAACAAGACTCTTTTTTTCAATTCTCTGTTGGTTACAAAATCTGCAGAAGGTCATGAAAGAGAAAATTTTGCACATATTTAAATTATCTTCTCTTTTTCAAATTACAATTGCAATCGAAATTAGTTTTTTCATTTTCATTTTACTTCAATCATACCTAGAAACCCTTAATTGCAAACCTCTGAAAATATTCTAATTCCTTGTGAAACTTCATGCTTCAAGTTGAATTACAGAGAGACGTTAAAGCTAGGTGTGCATAAATTTTCCACATGATGCTGTAAGAGATGATACCTACATTTGAACATTGAAGTCTTCAGCCGGATTTGGTATGTTTGAATTAAATATCGTCTCCGCATTATCCACATACCTACAAAAAGACAAAATTATTGAAAGTTATCTTGCTGCAGCATGCTCGTGCAAAAAATACCCATGGTATTGAAAAAAGAGTCCACAAAGCTATAGACTTACCTGTTGTTTAATTCGATTACAAAAGGGATAGTTTCCGACTAGTTTATAAACCAGGCCATGTAACTTAACTCTTTGACTAACTTGCCTCAGAGGGTGAATACGTACCTTCATTTAGATGCGACTTTTTTATTAAAACTGATGATTTTTTTAAGATCAAGTATTATGGAATATTGAAGATTCTGGTAAAAGTTGCATGCTTGAGAATAAATTTGGTTAAGGCAGGGTGTCTACTAAAATTTCATTTTCGATTTTCCTAATATTCCCTGATGTTTTCTGATAATTTCCTGATATTTTAAATGAAATTGCCTGATGTTTTGGACGAAAAAAGTGGCATTTGTTTCATTTCATGAATCAACATATTTGATGAATTGAATCACTTGTTCGTGTGCTTAAACTGTATTTAGTTGAGAAACGCTTCATGCATTCAAAATTTCTTGATTCATGACCGATTTTTCAGTTTTTACTGGCGGTAGACACCCTATCTAACTATTCCTAGGAGAAAGAGCTTCAAAAGTTACGAATCACTGTGACAGGAATGGAGAGTGAATTTTGTTTTCCTATTAAACAATGAGTTGGATGTTCATTGTTTCCAGATTTACTCTGGGCACTTCAATTCTCATCTGAAGTAGAGTAGAAAGGTCACTTTCCTCAAAATTATGATTTTCATAAAATCCTCTTTTACCATAGAAGTCCTCGATTGATTAATGAGAGAGTTGGTTATTAATTCGCTCATGTTGATTCCTATGAAGCTCAGCATTAGGACATATAATTTTTTGGAATTTCCATTTCTTTTGCGGTGACAAGAAAGTATTTCTTTGGGCAGAGACTTACTTTTGAATGAAATCAGGTATTGTGAAGATCACTTGTAAAAGGCTGTTAAAATAGCATGAGTTTCCTAAATTAACAAGGCCAGTGTATCCAGGGCCGTAGATAGGTTTCAGCTGACTGCTTGCTTCTTGTAGCGCAGCCCACTCTCCAAATTTTTGGTTCAGATCAAGCTCCAACTCTACCATTGATTTATCTGTCTGATTTAAAAAAGGCAAACAAATTATTATGCTATGACTAGACAGCTAATCTGGTATTCTGCTAACAAATCTAGAGAAGAAAGGCTGCCGAAGGAGAAGCTAGATTGGGTTCCTCCTAGGAGGAGACAAAGGGGACATCCAGTGAAAGGGTGGTGACAGGGGATTTTAAATGAAATGAGGGACTACAAACTCCCAGAAGGGCTGTGGGAGAATAGGATACTATCGCAATTTGATATCATGGAGCACAAGTGAGCGATATGAAAGCAGCTTTCATGTAAATATGACTCAAAAGATATACTGCCACTTGGTGCAAACAATTACCAGAACATTTTGGTAAAATTGCTCATTGAATTTTCCCCAGACCGAAATAATCAAAATTCGCTGCCTTTTCACATTGACAAGTTAGAAGTGAAAATAAAAAATTGTTGGTAGTAATTTCATTGCAAATGGCAAACACAAATGAGCCTTTTTTCTTTGGGTGTTAATCACCCAATTAACTAAAATTGCATTTCCTTATTGATTCCTTTCCAGGACATTGAGTCCTCAACCAAATTGAGACTTAGTTTGACTGTGTGGACAGCCCTGATGTTTTCCCACATGATAGGTATCCAGATTTTTTTCAAATTTCCAGTCTTCATCATAAAATTCCATGAGTTTTCTTTGATTTCTCTGACCTGATGAAATTTCTTGGCAATTGGGATTGATGCATGACTAAAAATTCCTTTTATAGAGTGAAAAAATATAAGATAAAGTTTTTGGTCCTTCTAAAAATGAACTGAGACATTACAACACCATAGCCTCGTAATAGCTGACATACGCATGCTCTCACCTTCTCCATTTGAGATGTTTTGATGCCAAAATGTGCCAAATGAGCAACCAAATTAGGATCTTCAACCATATCATCCTCCGCATAACTGAAAACATCACCCTTGCCATCTTTTGTGATTGTACCTAATTTAACTGCCAAAGGGTAACCTAAAAACAAGAAAATATTATGATGATAAAAAAAATATCCAGGTACACAAGGAGAAAATATAAAGAAAATAAGAGGTAAACTTAGAAAAGTTTGGATTATTGGATTTCAAATCACCCGGTCGTGCGAAAACAGCTAAGGTCCATATTTTAAATTTTAAGATTGTTTCTTTCCACAACTCTTGGAGATTTAACACACCAATTATTGTGTAAATAATTATTGGTGGGATTTCCTTGCAAATAAAAATGAATTGCAGTACTAATTGTGATTGATGCATCAGTCGCATTACCTGTTTCTTGATAATGCTGGACAGCATGATTGTTTCCACCAGTTCCATCGTAAAACTTCCTGCCACACATAATTGACCCATCTGTCAGATTTAGCCACAGATTGGTGTCCAAATCACACTTTTCGCACTTCCATCCACTGGGAGGAATTTTTTTGCCATTATCCAACTGAACCAGGTGAGCTGCATGTCTGTATTAAAATAAGAGAAAAGGTAATTGAAGAAGATTCTTAATTTGTATTAAAAATAAAAACTCAAGTGGAAAGAACCGAAAGCAAAGTATTCAGAAATTGCTTAAAAATTATAGATGAGTAAAATAAGGGTGAGAGCGGGTGCAAATTACTTATCTACGATATTGGAAGTGAAAATGTAAGGGGATGGATATGATTTTGGACAAAATAAGTTCAATCTCACCTGAAAATTTGCAGGGGCTGGAAGTCAGTTGATCTGACTATAAATAGGATAAAAAGTATTCCACCAAAACCCCGTAAGGCAAGCTTCGACCCCCTTCAGTCCTATTAAGTCGCTTACGTAAACTCTTTCCTGATAGTGATGGATAATTTACAACCTTTTAATTTATTACAATAAAATCTATAATTCATGCGAAAGACTTTACAGTGGCAAAACAGTACTATTCTTATTCAGTGACTTACTTTGAAACACTGCGTATCTCACCATCCCATGTACCACTTAAGGCACTTAATTCTGCTATTTTTGTGGCAGAATCCGACTCAATTATTTTCTTCGCCGATTTTTGAACCTGTTAAAAAAGTAATGATAGACATTGAGCATTCAGATTAAACAGTAGAGAAAAGCATCATCTCAAATTTTGAGGATGATTTAAAATCAATTCTGCATTGAAAATTTAAAATTTTTCAGTTTTTGTTTTTCTCTCGATGAAAAGTTTTGCGAGTACCTTTACAAAACAAGGCATATCTAGGCCTCCATTAACGACTGCTTTAATGTTAAGAAAAAAGTTGAATTAAAAGTTTAAGTTGAACAGTTCCAAGTGATTGCAATAACTCAATTTTACCATACCTTTCATTTGATCAGAGAATTATTTGAAAGAGAAAAAAACTGATGGAAGAGGAAATATTCATAAATTGTTTTTGAAATTAGAACTGACATGGATCAACAAAAAATACATTAAAATGTTTCATTGATTCAAAAATGAATTTTTACTGTAAAAATAAGTCACTTGTACAGGAGAAAACACTTACCACATCTGGTAATTTATCACAGGGATAAGGTATAACTGTGAATTCTGGTAAAATGACGATAGAGTACTCATGAGTGATATCATACTCCTTACCGCCATTTGGATCAAACCCTCCTTCAGTACCAATAGCCAATCTTGTGATTTTCTTCTCTGGTCCATCACCTTCAACTGATGAACTTTTACGCTGTAAAAAAGTTAAAAACAATTCAATGAACAAATGAATGTGTCTAAAATTAAACGCTGTGGTTGATAAAGAATCTATTTGGTCTTCTCTGGAACTTGCCGCCATTTTTGGTTTCTCCACCCTGATCCCACTGATGGGAGAAGCAAAGAATGCGTTAAGTAGCCTCGATGGATGGTCGAATTCAGAATTGATTCTGATCAAAATTGGCCATGCGATGACTTTAGGTCACAAGCAACATTTTTCTTTCAAATGGAGTGCCACCATTCATCATCTTTTGTCAGACACAACATTTCCGCCAAGTTGTCATTTGAAAATAATGCGAGGTAACGATTTATGGATTGATGACTCCCGACCCTCTCATTAGGATGAACACTTTAATCGTGTAATGAGACCCAAAGAGACTGCCATTAATGCCCTCCTTCTTTGTGACATCCATGCTGACATTCCACCGAGTAAGTTCTTCTTTTGAAAAACACCCCTCTCACAATGACCATTTCAATGCATGGACCTCTTAGGTTAGTGCGGTTACATGTAGTTGGGGTAGTGTAGTTAAACAGCCTCTTAGTGTTTCCAGCGTGGAGGTTGGGCCACCAGACCATCTTTCAAAGTTTATGAGGTGCATTTTCTCTTCCTTACTCTCCGACAGTCCCATGCCCAGAATGACCAATCAGCTTCAGTTAAAATAGATTCTATTACTTCCCTCCATGATCAATTTTGATGAAATGAGCTGGAAAATTCTAAAACTGACTCCTTTAAAAGTGGCAATGCCTGATTCTTGCCAAGCCAGCTGACACAAGTTTAAGTAGTAAACACAATGACGTGTCAAAGTGCAGCCTATCACGGCACAGTTGCGACAGTTCCAGTTGCTTCACACGGGAAAAAATGTTGGTGTGCATACATAGACACACACACAATGTAGCTGACAAAATTGATTTTTCCTTGAACAGAACTGGCCTTAAGAATCAATGATTCTGGAAAAGACACTTTTCATGAATATTTTTATTAAAGATTCATGCATGGCAATTTGAAGTGCATACCTCTGTCTTAATCTGCTTATGATGGAGAAAAAGATGACTGTTTGTTTTTCGGACATGTCTCTCTAAGTGATCTTTCCCGAGACCCAAAAACGTTTTCAAGCAAATGTACAAGCCTGATTCAGATTCCTGAAAAAAGAGAAAACAAACAGAGAGAATCAGAGAAAAATACAGTATCTTGGCTGATAGCAATGACTCTTAGGTCTTAGAGGATAACAAACGGACGCTTCCATGGAAATGCGAACAATAAGAAGAGTCAGATAGTTGGAAAGGTAGCCAACAAGCGATACATTTCCGTAAACTGAAAATCTTGATACGTACAGAGGGAACAAACTCATCGGAGTACAATTTTCCCTCAAAGAGATATGCTGTTTGGTGCGGTTCAGTTTGTAATAATGTGAGTAATGTAGAGGAAACTTGGATAGCTTATAAGAAAGTGGTTTCCTGTGTAATGATTCTTGGATTCTAAGCGGAGAAACTCACTATCTGATGGCATAGTCCAAATGGAAAATTTCCATGTATCCTATCTCTAAGAGTTGAACAATTACGAGTGCCCCACCTGTGCTGACAAATTACCAAATATCTTCGATTGAGAAGATCGTCTCACGGAGATAAGTCTAACAGAGCCGTGTGACGGCACATCAAAAAAACGAAGCCATTCTTCATTACGAGGACCGCGGTTGAGATAAGATTAGAATCGGTTATAGCAATGCACGTTTTCATGATGGGCGCTGGCGGTGCAAAGAAGTCTAAAAACGGTGTCAGGACTTCGGGTGAGGCTTCTACCGGCCCGAGTGACAAGTAAAATTATCTGTTGATGAGTGATAATATAACCTCACTTACAGGCGTATCAAATGAATAAACACATTCATCCTTGAAGATTTTGTCTCCAGGACCTGGTATCTTCACTGAATTAGCATGAGCTACGACTGCGTCGATATTGGCACCGCACATTCGGAATTTTTCAGAAACCGGTAAAAAATAAATGAGTCTTGAAGAAAACGAGAAAGCGTTGGGAGCTTGAAAACGGAAATCTACACAAACTGCAAACTGCACCAACTAACTGCACCAGCACCAACACAGAACACATAACAAGAACACCAATCTAATACAATACACTACTTCACCGCAAGCAGCCCAGATGTTTTCTAACCTCCAAATGAATCTTCAGAGGTATGGTCTGGTCGGTCTTGGAGGTATTGTTTACATCCCAAACCCAAATTGTAAAATGGCGACGAATAACAGTCAAAGCAGCGAGTGGAACAACGTCAAATTTTAATGTAACTTAATTACCAAGCGAATTTTTCTTTAGTTATGCTTTCGAGTGCTTAATAAGTGCAGTAATCCACTTAATTAATTATCCTATCAGGATGGATGTCACCGAGACGATGAAAGAAGCCGGGTAATGTTATCATTTGCTCTGTACCATCTTCGACTCTTTTCAGTCGCTTTTTTTGTATCTATACATCATTTTTACCTCAGTCACAACTGGATTGAATCCAATAGAAAGGAACCAAGTCACATATCGAAAAGGAAGTGAGTCAAGGCGGATAAAGAATGGTGGTCGCATTTCGTACCCTCTTGTTATCACACGGCATCCTGCATTCGGCACGTTTCGGGTACATCCTGCTCGCATGGCAAAGCATGTACCCTCTGCGCGTCATAGCCTTTAAAATGGCGGCTCAACTCGAAATGCCACCACCTTACTTCATCTGCCTTGGAAGCGAGTTATGAACAGTTCTAAGCTTATAGTGTGTTCACACGTCTTGCGGAACTGCTCATCAGGCCGTCTGACGAGTAGCTTGACGAGCCCTCCATTATAGCGCTTTCTATCGTCAGTGTGATATGGAACAACACTTCGTATCAAATACAATTAGTAAGAATAAATAGCAGAATAAATATTCTTTCTCTTGGTCCATGACTGTAGAGTACCTTTGGCAGAGGAGTCTAGAGCGGTTAGCCAAGTGAACACGCCTTATGATGTTTTGTCCTGAATTCTGGCGTGGTTAAATTGGTGTGTGATATAATGCATCAATCAAAGAAAAAACAGATCATGACAGATTTTGACCTCCTGAGGGTTTTTTTTTTATTGCGGAACAGGGTGGTACAAAATGGAACGGAATCCTGAGCGATCCGAACCGATATCAAGTGTTCCAAGTGAAAAAAAATTCAAACTTGGTGGTAGGTTTCATTTGTTAAGGACGGAAAATTTTATAAGTAGGTTAGGATCACATTGGAACATGATCTCAACCCAATTCGGAAGAGCGATCCATCCGTTCCATCCCAATCCACTGGAACGCTTGGATCGCAGCTGAGGAACGGTATATAAAAATACCAATGTTCATTGCGTTCCACTGTGTTCTGGATAAGGAAAAAGCCCTTTAGTCAACAAAAGGATGAGCTGCGCATGAGCCTGACAAATCATTCTCAACCAATAAATTCGGAGCAATGAAAGCAGAAACTTTTTTTTCGAAAAAACCTTGCACTTGAGACAATAACCAACTTCTGTAATGAATGCAAATTTTTCTTTTTCAAACAGAATCATGACTTTATCTTTCTGAATATTGCATTTTTTCAAGTGAAGATGATTCTCTTAGCTCTTGTGCAGGGGCTATCGACCTCATGAATCTTCTCAACTAACACCCTAGTGTCCCTGTTCAAAAATTTGTAATCCAGAAAAAATATTTTGCATATACGTACGCACTGAAAGCAAAAATTGAACCCTTTTAGTCTCTAAAAACCTTTGAGAAATAAAACTTTCAACCTCCTCTTTTCGGTTCAATCCTCATGTGACATGGTATCTCTCCATTAAACTTAATTGAAATACTGTTCATAGGAAGAGGCTGAAAATTGATTATTGCATCCTTTACTATAGCCTTAGTGAAGAAAAAAACACTCGACCATGTTGACAATACCCATGTTCACTTGAGCGTTTCAAACCTAGTTGAATACTTACCATTAGTATCAAGAGATGCACATTGAAAACTTCCAAGTGAACACTTTTGAAACATGCGTATTTAACTCCAAACAACTTTGATACAATTGTAGAAACAAACATGTATAAACAAAATAGGGCAACGCTCTTCTCCCATGGAGCATCATGTATTTTATGAACAGCCCCCAATGAAAAGTTTTCCAATACAAAGCATATTCATGATGTAGTCATTTTAGAATTTCAGAGCTCGTGTGTTTTCATTCCTCTATTTTCATGCATTTATTTTGTTCTTTTAATTTTATATCGTCACAGCTCGGAAAATGACACAGTTCGAAAATCTGAAAGGAAGCCAGTGAAAAAGAAATTTGACGATTTTGAGATTGACGTAAGAAAAAAAGCTAGACTCGAAAATGATGAAGGGAATGACAGCAGCATGATAGAATATCAAAATGTGGACAAAGAGCAGGAAATTTCATCAGAAAATCAATTTGACATTGATCCAACTCAAAATGAAAGTATTGTTTTCACCATTGAGGAACGGATTGGGGAGAGTAATATATTAGAAAAGTTGAAGACTTTGGAATCTTCAGAGTCAGACAATAATAATCACTGCAGCGAACCCAGAAGACTAACGGTGAAAGAATTACTGGAAATAGTTGAACCGAAAATGTCCGTCAGTGAGTTCCAGAATCTGGTTCAGTCGAAATCATTGAATGACTCTCCTGTGAAGAAACCCCCAAGCACCAAACGATTTCGCAACGAGTGGCTAAAGATGAGTGAATTTAAAGAATGGCTACAACCGCATTCATTACGTGACAAAGCTTTTTGTACCATTTGTAATAAAGTTCTGAACGCAGGAAAGAGTGAGTTAGAAAAACATGGAGCCACACGGAAACATTATACTCTATTGGAACAGTGGCGGAGCTCATCAAATGATTTTCTTGAAAGACCTAGATCATCAATCACCGGTAGTCCCGTTTCAAACAGTATGTTCAATGCTGCACCTTTTCGTCGGAAACATTCTAGTGAATCATCAAACGATGGTGGACCTGCTATTCAGGTGCCTGATTCTCGACCCCAACTTGAGATTGTTATTCCTTCAGGTTGGTTTAGCATTTACGTTCATGGAACAAAATGTTTGCTCCTTGGTTTTCTTAAGCTGAGCTCACTGCTGAATTAACTGTCTTTCAATCCTTAGTTTTATTGTACCTAATTCAGGTGAAGAGAAAGAAAAGTAATTATCCTAGGTAAGTTGTCAAAATAAGTAAAAGGCCATCTATTTTCTTATCCTGTAGGGTAAAATAATGTTCGGTTTTTTGTGTATTTTTTTTTGTTTTGTTTTTTTACATAGGAATTTTTTCCATATCCCTCCTCTTTGAACTGGGTTGCAAGTTTCATTTTGCTCCTGGGTATGGAAAAGTTCGAGCATATTTCAGTCAAATTAAACAATTGTATAATACAACTTCATGGATTGTAGTTTTCGGTGTATCCGGGAATTCAAGTGGTGTAAATCCGTTGATCCTTTTCTCACATTCCTTTGAATCCCTCAGATGCCTCCTCCACCAATTTTTCGTATGACGAAACTTTTTTGCCAGCTTTGGTTTTTCTTCTCTTGTCATCCACTTTACCTCGGAAATCTTCCCTTTAAATTGTTTTTTTAGAAAAAAGCAATGTCTTTTATATCCATTGGATTGGATCTGTGGCTTTTTAATCATCGTGCGTGTTGACTCATTATTAATTTCTTGTCTTGTCATCACTCTCGGCAGGTCTGAAAATTCAACTTAGCTGATTAGATTTGGCAAAACGCTAAACATTTGCAAGACAATTTTACCAGCAGAGGCAAATGTCAAATGCTTCTCGGACTATTTTGGAGTGTCCTTAGTCGAAGCAACTCTTTATTCTTCAAACCCTTATATAAACGTGTAAATATTCACTGCACACCATGGATGAGGATAGATTGTTTCATATGAAGTTCAAGCCCTCCACACAATCTTTACCGACAGTGCGTAAATTAATGAAAATTGACCATGTGGGTGCCTCGGGCAAGCAACTGGCAGAACTGCAAGAAGACAATTTCAAGTTAACTCCGAATATTTTGCAGCGTGCTACTGCAGCCATCAATTCACCCTCGGATAGCACAGCTAGTAATCAAGACAATTTAAAGTTAACTCCGAATATTTTGTACCGTGCTAATGCAGCCATCAATTCACCCTTGGATGTAAATGACAAACGAAGTAACTTTGTCGTTGTGCAGTTGCCAAAATTACCCACCTCTAAGAAATCTAAAGAGCCTGCTGTGCCTGTTTCTGAGGCAGCTGCTGTTCAGATTTCTTCAGAAGGAGAAGAAATGAAGGTCATCATCGATGCTGAGGATGGAACTGAACAACAGTATATGACAATCCTCAGTGAGGAAGAGTTACCTGGTTAGTCTATTCTCTCCCCTCACCCGGTCAGAGCCTTTGTATTTTCAACTCTCGTAGCCTCCTAACCATCTCAATCCTAAACTTAATTTTTTTCTCGGATTTCCAAATAGCCCATTGAGCTAACCCTTACACCCTGACAGATAATTTTATAAGGTATAGATAGAGAAGAGGCAATTTTGCACCAAATGGGTCAGTAATTACTATGGGGAGTCCGGAATAGTGCTATTTTTGTTCAAAAATTCTAAAACTTCGAAATAAGTCTTCTTAAAGAGGAGCTGTAATAAGTAGGTACTCTTTGAAAATTAGTTTAACTCAACTTTCTTCTTTCTTTTTAAGTAAGTAAATGCCAAGATTTTTTGTAACTAGGAAAGGCAGTAATTATTTTATTCTATGATTCAGGCTTTTGGTCACCTTTGAAGAGAGTGCTGAACAAGACATGAATGCACCCAGAAGAAGTTATAATATCATTCAAACTCCTATCAATACAGTAGACTTGAGCTCTATTAATGCAATTTCCTCAAGCCCCGAGGCAAAAGTGAGCAGTAAAAGAAGAACACAAAAGTATCGCAAAGCTTGGGAAGACTTACCTGAATGTCGTGGTTGGTTAGAGCCACTAGATGATAATGTGTATAAAGCAAAGTGTATTGCCTGTGACAAAGAAATGATGGCTGACGTAACAGTGATAAGAAATCATGCTCAAGCCAAGAAGCACCTTAAAAATTGCGAAAATATGCAAGATGAGAAATTAAGCGCCGTCTGTAAAAAATCGTTTGAAGCAGCCAAGAAAAGCAGAAAAGCGACTGGAAAAGCAGCCTCTTGGTCAACCTCAGACGCAAAAGTTAGCACTGACAATGATGATATTCAGATAATAGATTTCGACTCATTATCAATTAAAGGTAGTTGGATTTTTTGTTTCAAATCAGCCTGTTTCCTAGATTTTATTTCTCTCTTTTTGCCTACCAAGTAATGGCTTCTCAAACATCACCTTTCGTTTCATTATCTTTTCTTTGCCATTTTTGTCTCTAGAATATTTTCCCAACTTTCCTCTAACCACCAAAAAATCGGTCAGAGCTACATGTGTACAAAATTATCAGCTTTTTGTAATATTTTTAAAATCAATTCGTCATGTTTGTATGTCCCTGTCTAAGTCTTTCGAAACCACTAAGATATGGAATTCAATTCATGCAAAATTTCACTCTCTGTTTATATTTGTCGATTATTGGAGATACTTACCTCTAGGTAACACATTGCTCTCAAAAAAAAGGAGTAAAAAAGAGAAACCTAAAGGAACTTTCTTTAATTTTAAGAAGTATCCCTAACTTCCGTTTATTCCTGCCATTGTTTCCACTTTGGTTTTTTTTCTTGTTACAACTCTTTAAACTTCAACTGTTCTTGAATAAAAATATTAAGTCTAGTAGTCATTCCTGCTCAATGAGTGTCATTTATTTTGACATGTCCTTTTATCTTTACAAAAATTTCAAATTCTATTCAAATAAGATGGATTAATGGACTAATAAATTATTTGTCTTGATTTCAACTGTGAAACTACAAAATATTTAGAACTGCATCCATCGGTGTGTAAACTACTCCAATGCTGTGAGCCCATCTCCATGCGAGAGAAGGAAAAATAATCGCCTAGATTTTGTATGAGTGTTTAAATTGGAAATTTAATATTTTAAGGTATCTCCGTACTCTGCTCAAGAAAAGACATAAGTTTCTCTTGCGCAGATGGAAACAATGACCATCATTTTCTTTCATATTGAGCTGGGCAAGCTGTGGGTGGAATTTACAAGAGTACTCCTTTGAATAAGAATCTCTCGAAAACCTTCTTAAAAGAAGCATTTCAGTGTGATGATTTGACACTGAAAGTCCATTAGTAAAATTCTGAAAGTGTGTGTATGTCATAAATTATCAGACAGTCTTTACCTACCAACTCTTTGGACGTACCTACCTATCATAGCAAAGAAATGTATACTTGTTAGGGTAGTTCCCTTGGAAATTCAATATTTTCGAAGTGAAAGGAATCATTTCTCTTCTCAGAACTCTATTTTCAAGTTAGTTGACCTGAAAGCTGAGGTTTTTTCCTCGTCACCTATTTTTTTTTCAATTTCTCTGCATTCAACAAAGTTTTTTTTTATTTTGGGGTACAAGAATTGGTTGACTTGCTGCTCTTCGTTTTAAGTAATCTTCTCTTGTCCATAAATAAGTTATTGCGAACAAAACAAAAAATCCCTCTTGCCACATATCTCCCTCCTTATTTCTCCAATGATCCCGCATGAGAGACTGCCTCATTTCTTCTTGGTAAAATAAGGTTGGGTTGATTATAATTTTTGACTATTCCTTAGGTATGATACTTCCAGGTCAATATGGTGCTGATTTTCATTACAAAAGGCCTCGAAAAGAATAAAGAGTTTTTTTCCTTTCTTTCTTAGGTTGAAGGACAGTTTCTTATCAGCTTGAGTTACAAATTTTACTAAAAATCGGTCAGGGTCTCTCTCTGAAATTTATTGTTCCCCCATTTTCTGTTCATTCTCAACCCTCTGACTCAAGGCACTTTCTCAAACCATATCCTAAAAAATTCAGTCAATAACTCAGAATTTGGAAGGAAATATTGTTTTATTTTATTTTTTATTAAATATCCTTAAGTTTGAACACATTTTTATTATCGTTTTTCATAATTCCTTTTTCTCTCCTGTTTCATAGTTGGAATAATTTTTCACAGTGCAGCTCTCACCGATTTAAGTTCCTCAATTTACTCATTTTTTAAGTATGTAGGTAACACCTGCCGTCATCATTGTTTGAGTATTCGTGTGAATTCTTGTTATACAAAAAATACCTGTATTTTTGTCCATTTTTTTCTTCTTTTTTTCTTAAAAAACGAAAGACAATTCAAGGATTCAAAAGTATTTTTGAAGCAAAAAATCTTATTACCTTCTCATTTCTCCTAGATCTGCTTAGAAGTTCAAGGCCGAAAACAATGAATTCATGTAAGGAACAAATCTCAGGGCATTTCTAGAGCACAAGTAATTTTATATGTGCCTCTTTTGATCTTCTCACCTCACATCCCCCCTCCCCCATATTTACTGCCGTAAAGAATGGACTAGTGATCATTCATTCCATTTTACCAATTGTTGAAATACTCGTGGCTCTGACCGATTTTTACTTTTAATTCTAAGTTTAACCTTATCAATTCATGGTATTTTTTCAACTTGACAAAGTTTTGAGAAAGAAGCAAACTTTGCTCTACTATCCCAGAGGGTAAAAAATGAGGTGTTTGCATTTTGGGCATCTCGGATGTTTTTGATGACATCGATATGGACAGTTTTTACCATCGATTTTCTTGGAAATGGTGTACTTAGTTTATGGAAAAAATGCATTCTATATCAAGTGTTTAAATTACATCATGAGTTGATTCAAGCAAAAAAAATTGGACGTTATGGTCCATTTTTAATACTTCGAATTCCGGATTTTGCTCTAGTACCTGCACCAACCTACGTCACGGAGTAAACAATCCTCAAGATGCAAACACCTCCTTTTTTTCCCTACCCTACTATTCATGTCAAGTCTTGTACTATTCATGCATAGAACTTTTTAAAAATCAAATCTCCGGCGTATGTTCTGGTGAAAAATATCCAAGTTTTAGTATACATTTTTAAGTCCAATGCCCGTCTCATTATATTTCTTGGAAACTTCAGTGTAACCCTATGTGGCCAACTGGCCAATTTCTGGATCAAAATTTTGTCTCGCTATTGCTTTCATTTTCGTATCTCTAATTACGAAAATTACATTTATTGCAAAAAATCCATTATTTTTCCTAATAAGTATGTAAAGACAATGGCCCTTCTTTAGAAATTACTATCAGAAACACCAAAAGTCTGAAATAACTTTTAATGCAGGAGCAATTTCAGAAGATTTTACCTCTAAAACTCTTGTGGCAATGCACCCTTTTTAGTACGTGTCCTAGTTTTTTGTTCAACTTTGGCCTTTATTATTTAAAAAAGTAAGCAAATTCTGAAGAACCAGCCTGCCAAAAAAAGCCAGAGAAGTGAGGAATAAATGAACTCTGCTCCCTCATATTCCAAATGATCTTCAGGAATAAAATGTTTTTGGACTGACATGGTATCATTTGGACACAATACACCCTGCATAAAATGTAAAAAATTTACAGCTGGTCCAGATAAAAATGTATTTTCACCCTAAAATGGCGTTTTTAAGGTCTCTCATTCTAACATAATGCTTTTGATTCTAAAATTCAATATTTATAATAGATCATTTGATCTTAAAACTCTCATTGAATATTACGCTATGCTATTACTTTTACCTACCTAATATTTCTTGCTATTCCGGCTTTTTTATCTCGCTGAAAAACTTTCATTTCTCTTTTTGACAGGCGATGAAGAAACAGAAGAGTATGACTATGAATTAGAAGAAAATGATGGGAAACGCTATTCAAATCATAGCTTTGCGCAACCTGTTAAACATAAGGAAAAAGATAACAGTTCCCAATCTAAAGCGGCGGGTAAGTGTTCATCTTCATGTATTCCTTTAAACAGAATGTTTTCGAAAAAACTGTATAATTTGAATTGTTAGGTAAGAGACCACTTATTCGTTTGGAGAAAATGCTATAGAGTTTTCCTAGTCCCACCTGAAGTTTGCTGAACTCCTTTTTGTGCATTTTCTTAGTTGACCTGGCAAGCTCAAGCCTAATCCATTCCATTCTCCGGCTGAGGTCATGTTCAGTTTTCTGCTACATCCCTAAAATAATTCTCAACGGTAGCTTCTCGAGGGTGAAACTCCCAAACCATGTATCTCTGTTTGCGACGTTGCAGACTTTATGTCATATTTTATTTTTTCAATAAAGAACTACTCAAAGTCAATGCTTAAAAACCTCCGTGATTTTTTTTCCTCTCCATGAGCAGCAAATTCTGAAAAAACTTCAAGGAATCATGTTGATTTGTTCTTTCTTAAATAAATAAAATTGGAGCGGTAATTTTTGAACACCGCAAATAAGGTATGTGATTTGGGAGTTTCACCATCGTTCTACAGATCGTCTCAATTTTGATTCAGTGGTAAGCTAGGCCTCTCTCTTGTTGCAGTTCATGAGTTCTCTGTCAAAAGATTTGAGAAGGTGCTCTCAGTTCTTTAAAACCGGTTTTCATTGTTCATTTTTTTGGAGATATGAAAAGACTGAGAAATGCTCATATTACACTAGCAATCGGTTTTTGTTGTAATCTTGCAAGAACTGTTTTGAAATTGTAATGGGGGGGGGATGAAATGATCCAAAAGCCATCAGTTTCGCAAGTGCAGGCTCGGGCGAGCATGTTGATGTTCAGAGCATCTATCTTTTAGCGCCGATCACCTCGCAATCACGCCTCCGACGTCATAGCTCGGTCGGACGTTACAAGATATATCGACTGAGTAAGTCAGCAATCACATAACTCGGTTTGCGACGTCGCAGACTTCCTGTCATACTTTATTTTTTTAAATGGGAAACTACTCTACGGCAACTCTTTAAAACTGCCGTGATTTTTCTTCTGGGTGCGAAGAAAATTCTGCAATAACTTCAAGGAATGATGTCAATTTGTTTTCCTTTTAAAAAATAACATAGAGGTGGAGATTATCAGACAATGCCAACGAGCTATGTGATTGCCGACTTACACCGTCGATATACTCTCGATCCTCGCGGCGCGCCGTCGTATCTTCGAGGCAGCGATTAGAGGTGTCACCTAGCCAGTGTATCTAGTGTATATAGTTTGTATTTCATCGAGATATAGATCAGTCTCTACCATTTGACTACGTGCGTTGGATCTTTTCATCCCCCCCATTACAAAATTATATCCAGAAACCAATTTTTCCTCTCATGAATTGGAAGACTGTAGTTGTGAAGGAAAGATGTAACGTACTCTTTTTTCTTTTCTTCAACATCCTCGATATGTCCTTTGTTGCAAATTTCTCCTCTAAAAAGGAATTTTTGTCTTTTTTTCCAAGCAGTGTCCAAGGCCGCGCCATTTTGGAAAGCCAGTGCTATTGTAAACGGTCATGTAACCGAATTGAAACTGTCAGACTACAAAGGTCGTTATATTGTTCTCATTTTCTACCCTCAAGACTTGTAAGTAGCACATCATTACATTTTGTCTTTAGTTTGATCTAGTGTTAATGAATACGTACTATAATAATTTTTTTTCTATGATGCCGCATCAAATTAGGTTGGATGTCATTTCAGCGATAAACCTTAGAATTCCGGTCAAAGAATACAGCTGAAAGAAAAGAAATGCTTTAGCTTACCTGTGAATGCTCTTGCAAAATTGCATCCACTGGCCCACTCCTTCAATCTATTAATGAAATACTAGATGCAGTATGTGCTCCCTCAGAATTCTTTTAAGTCAATGACTCTAGCTGGGAATAGCTGACAGTGAGCCATAATGCGCTTAAACACAGCGACCTTTGACCTCTCAAAGCCATTCTGGCTCACCGTCAGTTTTTCCCAGCTAGAGTCATTGACTTAAAATAATTTCTGAAGGAGCACACATTGCAAATAGTATTTCATGAAGAAGTTGAAGGAATAGGCAAAAAAATGCAATTTTGAAGGCGTTTACTATGAAACTAAATGCATTTTGATCCAACAGAACGTACAAGTCAAACAGTGTACTACAAAGACTAAGTAAATAAAGTTAGAGTAAGATATAGTCAGCTGAGGAACCATGTTAAGTTAATTAAGTAATGTGAAAACAACATCAAAGCATAAAGAGCCATTAGTCGAGAATGTAAAATGATCAAAATTAGGTCAGGTAAATTGGAAATGAACAAGGAAGAATCAACTATCGATGCTGCCACAAACAGTGGCGTGGCGTGAATTGCGATATATCGATCGTTATGCCATTTAAACCTATAAAAAAAGATCGATTATCAGGGTGTTCGCAGCGAACACCTCAGTAATCGATTCTTCACCATAGCTTCAAATGGCGAGATATCGATAATCGATTATTCACGCCACGCCACTGGCCACAAACATTAATATTTGGTGTGGTGTCAAAGATCAAATCCACTTTCTTGCTTACCAAGTTGATATTATTGCAAGCTGCTTTTCTGATTTCAAAAGATTCAAGAATTTTCATTTGCTTTTTCTTTGTGGACTGAAGCAAGGTTTCTATATTTTTCTCAGCATCATGAATTTTGTGATTACTACTGGTAAGATGTTGATGCACATTTGAATTAGGATCTTTGTGGTGCTCGAGATTTGCTTGAAATTTCTTCCAGTTTTCTCAGTGGATATAGGATCACAATATTTGCCTTTAATCGATAACACTCCAGATTGATTTTATCAGTTGAAATGCTACTGTTTTAATGGGTGAAACTTTATTTATTTATTTTTTTCCTTGTAATGTGTTTTTCTTAACTGGTGTTACTTCATTTTTAAACCCTCATTCTTATAAATTTGCAGCTCTAGAGTTTGTCAATCGGAGCTCCTTGCAATAAGTGATCGTATCTCAGAATTTAGAGCATTGAATGCAGAAGTTGTTGCGTGTTCAGTGGACTCCTTCCTTGCTCATCAGGTTTGGTGTCGAACTCCACGTTCAGAAGGAGGGCTTGCCAATCCCAAGATAGCACTTCTGTCTGATCCTACGCATTCCATATCAAAGGACTATGGTTGTTTCATGCCTGAACTAGGTCATACATTAAGGTAATGATAATTAACTATCTATCATTAAAGGATCTGGTTCCTGTTCACTTCATATGTGTATATCCCAATAATGTGTCAAATGTGCCAGTCATAGAATCAAGTTCTGATAATTTCGGGCTTTTGGTCAGTGAGAAATGATAAGATCTGGCCGAACGCCTAGTTTCTACAACCAGTATGAACAGGAATATGTATTTCCTTCCAAAAACATAGTTAATGACATTATCCACTGCAGTAGTACGTACCATGCCACAGAACTGTCCTTTTCTATGTATTCATCAGTCAGTGATCCACACATTTGCACTGGTTACCCAACAAGAAGCATGAATGAAAAAAGGTGGAAGAAACCATGGTGTGCACCACCGCAAAAGATGACGTCATAAACCATGTTTTCAGAAGGGCGATACATACCTCTGTTAATATTGGTTCTGGAAACTAAGCAGGTGACAGATCCTCTTATTTTTTGCCGCTCAGTGGTCTGAAATTATCAAGAAACGATTCTGTGACTAGCTTAACTGACCCTGGGTCAGTTTTGAATATGTGGTTTCACGACATTCTATCAACGATTTTTTGTCCGCACACCTCTTTTGTCCAGAATTTTACGTCTATGCATAAAATAAGCAACAGTGTCTTGGTCCAAGCATTATATTTTAGTCAGTATGTAAAATTATATTGACTATATCAAAATGAGAGAATTGAGGGAGAAGGTGTTGTTATGGTAACTCATTTTTTAAATGAAATGTTACTTTCTTCTTTTGATTTATCTTTTCGAATTGTCACTGGTGAATATTTGGTTTTATTTCTATCCTTAAAATTTTCGAAGTAAAATATACCTTATATATATGTAGATTTTATTTTGTAAATGAAAATAATACTTCATTTTAAAAACATTTACGTTTTTAAAACGTTGCAAATATTTAGAAAACCTTTTCCAAGCGATGGTAATGCTATTAATTACGCTGAGCCTTAGTTATGTTGAAAAAAACTACAAAAATGAATAAAAGAGGTAAAAAACCAAGAAACTTGCAATCTTTGGTTTAAATCAATTCGTTCATCGATCTTATAGAGTCAAATACCCCCAATTTTGAGCATTTGGTTGCACATACATCACGCTGCAGCATAGTAAAAGCAAAATATAAAAGAAAAAATAAAAAAACTTTGGAAATCATTTAATTTGACATGGAACCACTTTAATATTTACAAAATACACACTATTCCTTTAACACATAGTTTTTCCCATCAATTTAAATGGGAATAATCCATGCAGAGTGTGCAAACATTTCAAAATCATGGGATGAAAAATGCTGACTCCACAAGTTTAAATATTAGAACCTAACACAGAGCTGAGTGGGATGCTGCCAGCACGAAACGTACCGTGGTGCCTGCAAACCTAACAGGAATACTTCACGCATTGCGCAATGCGTGAAGTATCCCTGTTAGGTTCGTAGGCGCCAATGCGCGTTTCGCGCTGGCCGCCCGCCCGCCGCGCCGCAGTGTAACACGGCGACGCCTCAAGCAACTATTTCACAACAGAGGTGTTGCACAGTATCCTACGAAATTGAAGGCGCTCCAACATATTAAGAATGACAGGCATCCTTGAAGAGTGCGGAGCTATCCTTGCAAAATAAATCAAAATACTACAGCACAAAAAGAGAGCGGTAGTCCAAATACTCACTAAATTCTAGCATCCGTATTCAATAACGCGTGCGCCGCGGCACGCCGGCACCGTCGCGGAAATGAAAACTTATTTGTCTTCAAAAAATTGGTGTAACTTTAACTCATCGATTTTTTTTACTAAAAGAACTCATCTCAGGCTCATTTGTGAGCTAAGAATTTAGACCACAGCCTCCTGCAAGCTGCGTTTGGAATAGCCCTTTGCATGTGCATGCATCCATGCCAAATTGTGTTTGTCGTTTTAATAATTCTCATCATTATTAACCACCTGTCTCTCTTTTGTTTCTTGGCAGAGCTTACTACATAATTGATCACCGGGGTATCATTAGGCAAATCACAATCAATGATATTTCTGTTGGTCGCAGTACAGACGAACTTCTGCGGTTGGTCGAAGCTTTCCAGCAAACTGACGAAACAGAAGCATCTGCTCCTGCTGATTGGAAATCAGGCCAGCCACTGTATTCCTAAAAAAAAAAACAAAAAAAAAACATGATATTAGTCCTTAAATTAAGGGCCTGTACGTCTGATGTTCTTTCATGATCGATAATGCATGATGTATGTATTTGTTATTTTTTTTTGTTTACCAGTAAGGATCAAAATAATTTGTAAATAGGTACAAAATGTTTAATTTTTGTATACAGTTATCCTCTTGTAATTCACAGACTTGTCCAGATTCCTGAAGTTTGAAGTCTAAGAAAAAATTAAAATACTTGAATCGGCCCTGATTCACAGTATCCAAATTTTATTTTTCCTTTTTTTATTATTGCATCATCATTCACTAGTTCTAGCTTTTGTTAATGCTTTTAGTTTTTGTTATCTCTATTGCAGGCATGCTTCTCTAAAAGAAGAGAAATATCACTAAAGCCTGTTAAAGTTACTTGTTGGTGATCTGTATCTTCTTCTCTATGACTTGATGCACCACACTAAAGTCCCATGCAGTTTATGTCCTACCAATAAATTGCAATAGCAAGCTGTATTTTTAAAGTCAGAGATTACCAGTGCGGGTATAGTAACTCCTGGCCAATCCTGACCATACACCAAAAAACTAAGCTGGACTTGTAAAAGTGTTTTGGTTAGAAACGGATGGTCATCATTGAGATGACAGGTCAAAGGTGATCTATTGAGATCACCTTTGACTTTTCAAATTGATCTCCTGTATTCCTCTTGATTTAACAGTGGTTTAAAATTTAGGGCTGAAAAATTCATTTTTTATGATTTATTTCCTACCTCAGTTTTAAACTTCCATTCTAGAATAGAAAAACGTAAGATTGCATTGCTAGACAAGGTACGAATTTAAGCATCTTGATGTATGTACCTTCGTAATCTCTCCTGGATTTCATGTAAAATACGATTCACCCAACGACAATTCTCTCATGTACTCAAGTATTTTACATGCAAGATCTCCAGGACAAAAATCATCATTTAAAATAACAATGTTTACAAATGTCTGAAGATCCTCTCCTAGAACAATACCTTTCCCAAAAATCTAAGGAAATTATAAATTTTCATTATTGTGATAGTCAGAATTCTGATATAAGCATACCTACATAATGAACAACTGTTCCATTTTTCTTCAGTTTTTTTTTTTTTTTTTTTATTTGATCCTTTTGTTTTTGTATGGAATAAATTGTAAGAATATTTTGCCAATACTGGTTGTATTACATCATTCTCTGCCTGCAACACTTTAAATCGTTCAAATCTGTGAAAACAGTTATCGTTGAAAAGAATAATCATTACGCCTTCAGCCCATTTTAAAAGATCTGTATGAACATGATTTTTGTACTAAAACGTTTAAGTTAGTTTTTACCCCTTAAGGTGAATCCAGGCTTCAAACTTCGCGATTTGGCCACCACGTTGCGCTGCTCAGAATAGCCGTATATATTTGCCAAAATAATAAAAACCGTAATACTTGTTCAAGATTGGGGATCCAGGGGATAAAGCAACCTACCTAAGGAACACTCAGTAAAAAAATCTTCTCAAAATTCCCAAGAATAAAGTCGATACTACGGCGGGAAGTAATTCCCATTAACATGAGGTTCAGTTGCGCGCTCACCGGCCGCCGCTGAGCCGAAAGTTTCAGCTGTACTTTCTCTGCGCTTGTAATTCTAATTGCCTATATTTTTGGCTCAAAAAATCAAGCAAAAAATAATCTATATCTTGTGGATCTGCTTTTTGTAATTTGAACATTATTTCAGTGATCGTTGAAGGAAAGTGAGATTCTCAGTGGTGACTGGTGGCGCTATCTCTAATCTTGAATTATCCCTAATTGAACCCTGGATTCACCTTAAGCATGATCAAGAAAATACATTTTTTTCCCGATCGTGAGTGCAGCAGTAACTTTGTTTCAGAACTATAGAAAGAGGTGTGTAGAAATAATCCCAACAAAAAATGTAGAAAATGGAGTAACATACAGTTTATTGCGTAAAAATGATAGAGAACAATACAGGTAACATTCGCTACACTCAACATAGAAAGAAATAATAACAAAAGCAGGAACTTCTAAAATTTAAAGTTCGTCTCAATCTGATGATTTGAACCTAAGAGACACACATCTGTTGAATTACTGTTTGCATAATTAAAGTGACATTAAACACTGAATGAGAATACACATTGAGCACAGAAAAGCTGATGGTTTGGAAAAAGCATTGAAGCAGCATAATCAATGGTCTATTACCTATGTTATTGATGTGATGGTTTCTCAAGAGTATGGACGTTTTTAATATTCTCTTGATGAATATCAGGTATAAGAAATAAAAGTAACTATTATTACAATGGAATAAGGAATGAAAAAATTGGACAAGAATTTACAGAAATATGTTGTAAAAATTGAAAGTCTGAAGTGCTGATTTGGTTTTTTTAATTAATCTAAATTTGCGTATTCTGAGAAAAAGATATCTGAAAGATGAAAAGATGTTGTCGAAGTAAACTTTTCCAATACCGTTTGGTTCCTCTGTTCACAAAATGCAACTCAACAATCTCATCAACCTCCGGAGATGGTTGAGCATTTGATAGAGACATTGGATAATACATTGCATGACAGATGTAAAAACTCAGGTCATCAGGAAAATCAAATTGAGTTAAGAAACGCCGACTGTCGTACATCAGGTGATTTCATTTCTAAACGATTCCGAACAGTTTACTTCAACAACGCACCTTAGATGAATTTGACCAATCTATCTCTAAAAGTAAATGAGTTTTCAGGAGTTAAACTAAGAACTTTATCAATTCTGATCATTGCACATCTCGATTTTACACAATCCTATAAAACGGTATGTTGTCACTTAAGTAAAAAATCACTATCCTAGGGGTTAATCCAAATGGATGACAAGATTTTTGTTGGATAGATGCAGTTATCTGGATCAATCCAGCATCCACAGGAAAGTCAAAAATTAAATCCTATCGAAAAAAAGTCAATTCTCGTTTCATTACTATAGCACCTACAGACATCAAGCATCACAAAGGGAATTTAATAATCAGACAAAAAATATGAATATGCATCAAAGAATTTAAAAGATAGCCTCTTTAGCCTTTCATGGTGCAAAGTACTTTTTTAGAGTAAGAATAAAACCAAGTTAAACCCTAAATTATTACGATTCAAAAATGGGAACACAGTTCCAACTATGATATGCTCAACTTTCGGATTCTGATAAGGCTCAAAAATCACATTAGAAAAAAGGTCGGAGAATGCGCTTCATCAGAATAGGGCATTCGAAAGACAAAAATTTCACTTTAAATGTATCTCTCATTGCAAAGAAGGTCTCACTCATAGAGGCCCATAAATGTATAATAAAGGTTCATTTCAGCAGAGAAACGTAAGACTTTAATTTTAACTTTGGATAACAATTGCTGCAGCAAAACTGACCACTTAATGAATACCAGAGAAATTATAGTACAAAAATGATAGCACTGAGGTTGAGAGCCCTTACAGAAGTGCAAAAATATCACTAAATCTAACTAAATAAAGGTTTAACTAAAGCAGGATTTTAACATTAAGTTTCAAACTAAAACTTACAGAAACTTATGAATTTACACGGAACAACAAACTTTTTGAGGAAACATTCTACATAATAACATTGTACACAAAGGAAAATTATGTGTATGCACAATTGCACAAAGCATGATAAACTAAGGAAATGAAAGCATTTAAAAAAAAAAATTAAGGACATAATTTGAAAAAAGTAAAATTAGGGCAGTGAGGACATACTATTAATTAGCTTTGCAATGTGTTCGGTTGAGGCTAATTATGTCATATGAGACTACTATCAGATGCAAACAGGATTTATCTTCCATGTAACTTCTGTTGGAAGTTTGTTTTTTCTTTCATCAATCACAATTTCCCCTGTTTTTGATTCATGTTAACTTAAAAGTTTTCAGCAATAAATTCAACTAGACGAATATGAAGTGACAAAAATTGTGTACCAGAAATGTTGCCCACATAGAAATTCACACTGTGCCTCATTACCACGGCTTCTGAGGGTAGATTATAACAATAATTTCTCCCAAACCCATCATCAACTACAATTTTTTCTATTTCAATGCAGAGAAATGAATTAAAATGCATAATTAAATACAACTTGGACAAGTTATAAACATTAAAATCAAAGCATTTTTCAGTCTCTGATGAGCTAGAATGCATTAGGTTTATTGCTCGGTACATGGAGATTTCTTGAAGAATGATTAGTAGATGGTGTCGAAATTCTCAATTAATTTCAGGTTAATAGATTTTTCCCACAAAAATGATTGGACCCCATCGATTTTTCAGAGATGGATATTTTGAGGGAGTTAAAAGATTTTCAAACCGTATCAAGCAACACCTACACACAATAATCTCACCTAAATTTGGAGGAATGCAGATTTTATAGCTTTATAAAACTGCCCAGAAAAAATTGGCCATTTTGGAGAAAATTCCGAACAAAGGCATCGGAAATGCGGGAAATTTTAAAACTGTTGGCTAAACTTATAGCAAACTTCATTAGTTACAGTCTGTCAAGAGGGATTTGACAAAGGAGCACTAATTTCACACTAAATTTTATATTTGGCTCAAATACTTATCGTCATTATATATACCGAATCAGGATTATGGAAAATGGCAGAACCATTTGACCATCCAACACCACAAAATGCTTGGCGTTTCAAAATACAGGACAATATTTCCCATCTTAAAGTTCCATGAGGTAGAACTCACAAGGGAGCTGATGAAATGAGATCAAATTAAAGATTGCATCGTCTCTTCTGACAATGGCTTGGAAGCTCAACTGGACTGCTGATTTTGAGTAAAAAGACAAAAAAACTTGTTGTGAGGAACCAGTTGACTTTATCGACTCCTCCCAAATGTTTGATAGTTCTGGCTAAGCCGTATGATCGATTCATGCGCTAGAGGATGCATCAGCCAATTTCTGAAGAAGTCCATGATTTCCCATCGTATTTACTACAATGTATTTAATTTAATTGCAGAAGAGTACGGAGAAAATGAGGCTGGAACAATATTTATGACCATGGTTAATCCAATGATAAAAAGCTCCATACATTCGAAATAAGAACTCATTAAGAGGTTCAGGATTTTTTGGATTGAGTAACAGTAAATATGTTACAGTAACTTTTATTATATTTGCGTTCATTCCCCTTTATACCTATAACTTCGTAGGAAAAGACTAGAGAGAATATCCATTTTACTGATTACCTACATCATCTCAAATTTCTTTTTGGGTGAGTGTTCAATGCAACGCAACGTGAAATTCTCCAAGTTTTATTATTTGATGAGTCAATTTTCGACCAGCAGGCTGATTGTTGAAATGGACTAAGAAGAAAAGGATTCCAAAGATAAAAAGGAGCAATCCTATTGGTGGAAACGTATGGTTGCAACGGGCAAAGGAGGTAAGTAATAAACTACGCGATGGGACCCCACCAGAGACCCTGTGGTTAGTCCGTCATTTTCCCCCTTAATGTCTGACGCTTTGTCTATAAATTTCAACTATTAGCCTCCTGGAAGTCCAGTAAATCAAATAAACAAAATCTCGGCACATGATGGGTTGAAAGTAAGTGTTAGGCATGAAGAGTAATGTTTGACGTAATTGCACATAAAGAAGTACTTTCTTTTAATTGGTTTTGAAGCAGACTTCTCAGGGTAAAATGTTTTTACAGCTTTGACCGCGTTTTCCTCGAAATTACGATTTTTTCATCCCACACTCTGAAATGCTCAAGAAAAGCCAATTTTTGGAATTTTTGGGTGTTCTCCTAGCTTATGAAGTGGAATTGTCCACTCTAAGCAGTGGTTTACTCATCTCAAATTTTGTCTTATTCACATCACATCACGTCCCTGTTCCTGTGCCTCATCGCTTATCGTTGTTTCCCGCACGAAAGATCGTTTCTTGTCTGCACAGTTTTAGTATTTTTTCAGTCAGAACATTCCATTCTTCATGGGAGAACTTTTGCAGGAATCAGTATGAAAATTTCAAAGTCTTTTCTCATGAGGATAAAGAAAAGGCAATAGAAATTTGTGGAAAATTCATATGACTTCTCCTACAAACGAATAAAATGTAAGAAAGAAATATTGCAAAGGCGCAATTTGCACAGCTGCTTTGGGTGGGAAACGACAATAAAAGCAATAATATTGTTTCTTGACTGATCATATGCAAAAATGCATGAGACTGTGTCGCAAAGTCAAAAAAAGGAGGCAAGATCCTAAGACTATTTTTTTATATTGACTTTTTTCTTTTCTCCTCAAACTGGAACAATGGAGATCAGATCCAATTGACCCAAACTCAGAGGGTCACACAAAAACAAGTCTTTAAGACTGTTGAAACTGTTGAGGAAAAGTTCAAATTAGGGTGAATATATCACTCCAATGAAAGAAATGCTCTTACTTACCTGTAAATATACTGTGTTTAAACTGAGGAACTACTTCAATCTTTGAGTTTTATTAGCTAAAGCTACTGCAAAAGCTTGAACAGCGGAGAAAGGATACTGAAAATCTAACGTAAAAGCATTTCCATCAATCCTTCCAAATTGCAAGACCTGAAAGAAGAAATGTAATGTGTTATCTGGAGAGACAAGAGAGTTTTCCATACTTATGTTGCTGTTGGACTGTTCCCAAAGAAAACTTCTTGGAGCTTCATCATTATTTAAGTATACCTAAATTACTTCTTATCCCTTCTTTAGTATCCTTACTTAGGAGAATATTCCTAAAATATCCTTACTTGTTAATTTGATAAGAAATAAGAATCGATGTGATAGTCCACACGTCCTCGCTATTATCAATTTGCCAAGTAGCTTTCATTTTGATGTGGGCAGTGTTTTTCGAGAGAAAACGGAGTGACATCAGCTGTTGCCAAATTTCAGTATATAATTCAGTTCTTTACAAAAGAAGGATAGTACCGATCTGTTTAAAAGTTTTGAGAAATTTCTAAAACTTTCCGGAGAATCCGTGCAATTTTTCACACTCGATAAGTTATAAAAGCATAGTAAAAAAGGACTCATCAGTGGCCAAAGAAGCTGACTTACGAATTAAAGTAAATTGAAGGTGCATACCTGTTTACCGCGAAATTCCACCTGGAAATTTTTGGCCGATTCTTGAGTCACTCGACCACCAAAATCCAGCTGATACACTTGACTATTTTCATTCCAAAATGGTGCTTTATTATACATGATAAATTCCCTTCTCTTGGAGGCAATTTCAATCTGAAAATAAAAAAGTTAGAAGATTACAAACGTTTACATATTAGAGAGCATTCTAGAAATTAGGTTTTAATATTTAATCTTCCTTCAAACACTAAATTCTCAGCAAAAACACAAAGAAATCCAATAGTGAAAAAATAAAACGGTGAAGTCGGGTTGACAAAATTCCTAACTGTGATGCAAATACTAAGATTCACTTATTTCTGCTTTGCACGTAAGAGATGCTCTGAAAGTTTAAGCCCCTTCAGATGTTAATGAGACTTTCTGGCGCGACATCTGTGACTGACATGATGAGAAGTCTGATGTAAACTATCTTAAGATTCCAAACTCTCTTGATTTACACAGCCAGTGGCATATATTTAGCTACTTTCTCTTCATACTTTGAAAAGAAGTAGATATTTGGTAATGTTGACAGTCTTTGATAGAGGAGAAAGAAGAAGAAATATCTTTTTTAAAGGATCCTTGCGGTGCAAATAAGAAAAAAAAACCGAACTATGATTACTTACTTTATTCCTAAGTTGAGCTTTTTGAAAACTTTCTAAATCTTGATAATCATTATCTGCGCGAGCCCTTCTAACTTTCCTCATCAACAGAGGAGAATTTAACAGCCTCTTCCTGAAATCAAATAATCAGACATGCAGAAAGAGTGTTTTAAAGCAATGACATAGTTATAGGTCCTCAAATCGTTTCCAGCAAATTTGTCATTAATGCCGGCTTTTGTTCTAACGATTCATGATTCCATGCCGCTTTAAATGTTTACATTCATTTTGACAGCAAAGGCACAGATCCAATCATCCGTTTAAAATTTTTTAAATTCAGCTGTTGTTCTACAATTGGGCAATATCATCTGATTCTCTTCCCTTTCAACTCTTTCTATCTGAGAATGTAAATACATGTGAGTGGAACAGAAAGAGGAAACAAACATCAAAATTGGAGAAAAGAATAAGGCTTGAATTTTATAGTTGGAAAGAATTGTTAAAGTAGAGTAATGTCAGTATGAGAACTTCATTTTACTCAAGGAGCACTTGATACTATATTATTTCAATATATTAATACCTCTATTTTTGCCCAGAATAGGTGTGGGGGGGGATTTAGCTAATGACTGTAATGCACAAGAAATAAATTTAATAATATACACTTAATTGTGTGTTACCTTAATGCAGATGCTGATAGATTTTTCTTTTTCTTCACTATTGGACTAGTAGGAGAGCTGTGCGGAGCAGTAATTTTTTTGATCGCTGGTAATTTTGGAAGCTCTGATTCACCAAGTCTGACATCTGACGAATCCAAACTTCTGCTCTTTCCACAGTGTATCAGCCTCGGAGATTTGACGTTGCGAGTGAGCACCAGCCTGTTATTGTGAGCACCACCAGATTCAACGAGATCCAAATAACCAACCGAACAGCTTCGGACGACGCCACGCCTTGATTTGTCTCCCTGTTCATCCACCTCATTGACACACTCGCAGTCTTTGAACGAGCTTCGTGTCATGAAACCATCTGGATGATTGTGATGCGAAGTGGCATTTGCACGTGGACCAGGACTGTTTGGACATGACAGATTGCCGGAGGCTCTTCGAGAATCTGAATCACTCTCATAATACCTGTTGCTCGTTGTGGAGCATGACTGCCTCTGATTGCGACAGTTAACATTTCTGCTTTCCAAATGCCTGCACCGTGCATGACTGAAAGGTGCAATGGGTGGAATATTCTGAACAGGTTCCTGCTCATCCTCATCGTCCAACAATACTGAACTCAGCAGGGCATCAGACGGTCCTTGTGTGGTGTCACTTGCTATTAATAATGTCATTTGTCGTGGTTGTAAATGAAGCAAAGATGTTTTAAAAGTTATCTGTCCTAAATTTGATGCAAGATAATTAGATACACCATGAATCCGAAACTTGGTGCCCCAAATGTTTGATGTTAGCTCTGCTAATCTAAAATCCTGAGAAATGAGAAAAATGAATTTAAAGCAAAAGAAAAATTTAAAACCGATAGCAAATTGAGATTGTACGCATATTATTCCGGCAAACAACAAATTGTTACAGAACTGCCACCTTAATCCCAAATATTTAGGGGCTCCTTTAAATTGTTCACAATCTTGCCTTATATATAAAAAAAATTTGAAACAGATTCTTGACTTAACTTTCGGAGAAAAGCCTTGGACAGGTACTTCCTTTTCAGAAGACCTGCCGTTAAAAATGTTTTATTTTATTATTGTCACACAAGAATCATCCGTAAATTAAGGTTCCTTTGTTTATCGTAAATTTAGGTTCCCTTGTTTATACCTTCCAAACCGATCAAGATAAACCAATTAAGAGTTATGAGTCGGGCATACTCATAGATTTACAATACTTATGCTCAAATATTTGAAAATCCGGCTAAGGAATAACGAGAAAACTTACTTTTACTGTGAAAGCCTCCCGCCATGGCATGCTCCTTCCTGATGCACTGGCACATTGTGCCAAAGTTTCTTAATTTTATCCTCAACATTGTTCAACTAATTTTAATCCTCTTACTTTGAGCTTTAATTTGGTACATTGGTTTGTTATTTTTAATAGACTGATAGGCAAGAAATCAGATTTTTTTAAAAAAACATCTGCATCCACAGCTTGTATTCACCACTTCATAAGGTATCAGATTGCATCCACTGCAAAAGTGCCTACCTCTACCACTATTATTATGTTCACAGATTTTCAAAATGCGAATGAAAGTATATGAACAGGTAAGTTTTCAAAAAGTCTAATCTTCGATAAAAAAGTTAAGTAATGGTAGATTTGTACAAGAAAATTACTAGGTCTATAGAAATTAATAAAAAAAGATACACTTAAAAATTGGACTTACTTCAGGTAAGGTATCTAGATAGCCAGGCACAGGGGAGGAGTGTATCTGGTGCCTGAATAAGCGGTGCTTCCTATGAGGTCTTGGACTTGAAAAGATAAGCATTTCTTCAGGATCGGACTCATCTTTGTCATGCCAATGGTGTAATGCTGATAAGTTGAGATTTTCACAATTGACGTCTGAAATTGGTCAATTCAGTAAAATCACATTAGAGGAGCAGGACGAGGAAAAAAAGTATCAAAGGAAGATCACAAGAACCCTTAAGGGGTAAAGATGTCCAACTGGTTGAAGTTATTCATTTGTTTAAAAAACCTTTGCTCTGCTGACATGCATAACTTACTATGCGGGTTTGTTAAATCCAAGATTGGGTTTCTTGAACACAAGAGGTTAAGTAAACTGACTTTTTTTCTTAATCTTTCGAAACTTTTTGAAGGTTAATTTGCACATAAGTGCTGTTGTTCCCATCAGGAACTTCTAATATCCAGTCTGAAATTAAAGGTGTGCTTAGTCCGTATCTTACATTTCTAATATTACCACGTACACTAGCCATGAGTTGACATCTTAGTTTCCGACTGGTTTGCCTTGAAAGAAAGGTAAGAAAACCCAACTTGAATAGCTGAATATTTCATGTTATCAGTCTTACTGACAAATGATTTCAATTACTTTTAAACCATTGTTTTTGTACTTTTCTGAATATTGAGAATACAAAAGCAATAAAATTGATTAAAATTAAAAGGAGGAAAGATTCACAAAAGTTTGTGAGGTCAATTGTTTGTTGGGATTAGGTTCCAATATCACAACTATCATGGGCAGAAAAATTATAAACTAAACTCTTAAGTGAATCTGGTAAGGAAAAATGCTTGTAATATTTTCACCTTCGACCAAAGTATCACAGTCGCTATTTGCACTTAGACACTGTGCTGCCAGACAATTCAATATTGTTTTAATTTTTTCTTTAAGACTTTTGCACATACTTTCATGCAAATTTCAGAGATTAATCTTAACGACAGAAGAAATATTAGTTAAATGTCCAATTGATTCTATTGATTAGTTTTTCTGTAAAAAATTGGGCGGATTTAAGAAGTTTGGCAACTTTGTGCCTAAGCAGAAAGGGCCCTCTTAATAATTTGAACGGGGGAGAGCGATATTTCCTTAACTAAAACCGACTGTAACTCACCTTTTGCTTCAGGATCAAAAATAACAAATTCCGGTTTGATTTTGCTGGTGCGTTTGCCTTTCAGTAAAGGAACTAGGCCACCCAGATACTCTAAATATAAAGTGTAGCAGTTGGCAGCTAAATCATCATCATGCCTCAACATAGTACAGTGTAAGTAGACTTTTGGAGCTTTGCTAACAAACTGCCGTAAACTTGAGCCTTCAGGGATGCAACACTGCAGAGAAAGAGAAGGGAAATATTGATGATTTAAGTACAAGAAGGAAGTCAAAAGGAATCAAGTGGGGGAAATAGGAATAAACCAATGGTGAGTTTTGGAAACAAAACAAACAGAGATTAAATATGTTGATTAGGAGTTATTTTCAGTGGTTTTCGTTGCACAGAGTGTGTTTGAAGCGAAATTTTGATGAGAAAACATAAATCATATTGCTTTAATTGATGATCAGGATTTATGAACCTGATTTATGTGCACAACGTTCATAACAAGTTAAAATTTGATTCCCAAATCCAAGTATAATAATCAAATTTGAACTGTCTGTAATTTTAGTAATTAAATTGAGATAGAAATTTGCATTCCTCTGAACCGGAGGATCTTGAAACACAGTTGAGAAAAGAGCGCATTGACTTCTCACACAATTATACTTAATATGTAGATATGTTGAGATGATATATATGCTTATATTTAAATTTAACTGGAGATTTTTTGAGGATCAATATTAAGGAATTTAAATTCTTGTTACACATGTCACCATACAACATCACTTACCTTGATAGTATGGGAAAAAAGCTTAGAAACTATTTGCTGGATACGGACTGGTAACGACAGAGACGGTAGTTGAGACACTGAATTGAGACGCTCGTAAATTTTAAGACTGGCTAGCAACTGTAATGATGCTATCCGCATTGACACCCATGCAATGTGTATCACCAGACCGGTGGCGATGAATATTCGTTTATCGTTATGACCCCAGGTTAAAGCTGTCACTGGAGACTAAAACAATGAAAAATTCAGCATTAAACACGGGGAAAATAATATTCAACTTTTTTTCCACTATCGGGACAACTAGAACGAAAGTGGCAAGAAAGAGCCAGATACATTTCAAAGATACTAAAATTGTGTAGGATATTTTACTTTGGGAGAGAGCTTTGAAAAGCTTGAGCCAACGCCGTTATTACATTTAAGGAAAGAAAATAAAAGAATTTTTAATATAATAATAATAATCAAATAAATTAAGAATATTAAATAAGAAGATGATTTGGTGAATTTCACTTCATGTTCTATTTTTTTATTCATGCCAATTCTACAGCCACTTTTCCTCTTTCCACATTTATAAGGGCATTTTCACATTTCAGTGCGCCTACTCTTGACAGGTCATTAGACATTTCAAGGCATCTCTGGCTTAAACTAAAAAATCCAACAGGAAGTGCCAATTTCTTTTTTCTTCTGTCATTTTAAATCATGAGCCTGAAACCTTTAATTACATGGCTTACCCCTGAGTGAGGAATCAACGATGCATATAATAATTGACCAGTATCAGTATATATTTTGACCATATTAGTGTATTCTGTGTTTGGTACAGTCCCAGCAACACAAAGAAGTTCTTGGGAATTTGACCACTCCAAGCATAAAGAGGTGAGCCCAGTGTGTATCTGTATCGGAGCTATGTCATCGAAGTGCTTCATTAAGAATAGAACTCCATTCTCAAGACTGACGGCTAAAACACAGTTAGAGTTGTCTGAAAGCAAAAAAGAAAAATATGTGATAATATAATTACTATACGGTTAATTTACACTTTGAACTTCTTACAGCTCTGACTAACTCAAAGTCAATAGATACCTGATTAATGAAAGCAAGACATGATTATCGATTGGACTTAATATCATTGACTCAGGAGAATAACATGATTAGTAAAAGCAGATGCTGCATACCAATCTACAAAATGTTCGAACAGGATGACAGCAAACTTCAAGAGTAAATTCTGCCCGTCAGTTTAAAAAACAAACAAACGAACAAAAAAAACCCCAAAAAAAAAAAAAAAAAATTAAACTAGAAATCTATGCTAAAAAATTAAAGATTTTCATCTGTTGCAGACAGCACAGAAAAGGAGAGAAAAACAAAAATCAATCTAACTAAATAGTATTATTACAAGGCAATATACAGCAAAGAGCCACCATTTCTTGCCTAAAAGAGTTAAGAAATGGAGGCTGATTTTTACAAAAATAGGTCAAAGAAGTTACAGATATTAGACAGATCCTAAGTACTTATTTGAGAGGAGCTATTAATTTTATCATGACTAAAGCGCGTAAAAGCAACAATCAAAGATCTCTCCAGGAAAGAAATTGATCAAACTTGAAGAACTTACTCCTTTAAATGAGGATTACATTAAATATTGGAGAAGATACAAGTTCATGCAGGATTTTAAAAATTCCGGTACCTTTAGAATCATCTCCCTCTTCCATTTTGAACTTCTCACAAGACCAGGCCATGTTAAGCACAGGGATTTGATGAGCGATGGTAACTTGAGAGACCATAGCACCATGCACGTCCATTACAATTATCTGCCCATTACTCGTTCCAAAATAAACCTGGTGAAAATATGAAAATAGGGTCATTTTAAAATATTCTTTAATTTGTCCAGTTTGCAAAAAATGCACCTATTTGTTGTTGATTCCTTCACAGCCTTGAAGACAATTACCATCATTCTTACACTGGATAAAATAGAATATTTATGTTACAATAGTGAATGCCTTTGAATATTTACATATATTCAAGCCATTCGAATTTCACCACTTATGAACAACTAAAAAAATTCTGAGAATGTTCGGCCTTGTCCACACGAGCCTGGTTCGCGGAACTTTGTTTGGGAAACTTCTTCCCGGAACAAGTTTTAGCTGGTCTAAAACTTATTCCTCCAAACCTCGGAACTTCCCCTGTAGATACTCCGAGCTTCTATATTTCTTTTGATGTGAATTCGTTTGTTTTTGTTTTTTACGTCCTGAATTATGTCTTGACGTTTATTTTTGCTACTCTCGCGGCCGTAGTAATATATTATTTTCCAATAATTGTGTAGCTTTATTGAAGGTCCGGTTCAAATTCGGGCAAACTCGTGTGGACAGCATTCCACGTTTCGAGAAACAAGTTCGGCAAACTGAGCAGTTGGAGGAATAAGTTCCGCGAACTGCGCTTGTGTGGACAGGGCCTTAAGTATTGTCTTCAAGGATTATATCTTCTTTTTCTGAACTTTTAACAGACAAATTCAAATGCAAGAGGAACTTACTTGCTGATCATCAGGTGCCCATATTCCGCAAACGATAGTGCAATCTAAGCTGAGCATTGAGGACCAATACCGCTGACCCGCCACAGATCCCACCAGCACAAATCCATCCTTAAAATGGTATACAAAGGAACAATTAGAATGAAGTGGCTAAAAAGAATCAACAATTTTCGAAATTGGAAGTCAGAGGCTCGTATAATGAGACGCAAGTGTTAAGGGTATGAAATGATCAAATAGAAAGCCTCTTCAAAAATCTAACTAGGTATGTAAACGCTTGACTTTGGGGTGCAGACCATAAAATTTTACCCAGAATAAATTTCTTCAAACTTTCCTCAAGTAGAAGATTTTCTTAGTTTTAAATGGTTGTAAGGCACTCAGCATGGAGGTAACTCTAATAGGATATGTGGGCTTGCGATATAAAATAATATCATCTGACCACTGCTCCCTTTTGAAAATCTGTCAAATAAAAAAAACCTAGAAAGCTTTTATATTTCCCTGCTTCGGTGCATGATGAGATGAGATGAAGGACAAACTTTGGAATAGTTTTCAAATATTATTGATAGAGTTGAGCTGTGAGCTTCCACAACCGGATTTTACAACAAGGTAAATTTTAAGTCTGAAACATCGTGCTTTGAATACCTATGTGAAAACAAAAATAATCAAGGTGAAAATGTTATAGACAAGTTTCTGAAATTGATAAAATTGTAAAAATTTAAGAGATCTTAACCTGATAACAAATAAGAGCCATTCGCCCATCATGAGACCAACTGAAATGAGTGACACGCGTGTTGCGGTCATTGATCAGCTCAATACTCCATCTTCCCTCGTACTTGATCCAGACAAATATGATGCCTGAACTATCACACGATGCTAATTTTTGATACGGCTCATTCCACTTTACAAGTATGACCTGAAATAAAAGAATCAGGATTGAGACACAGGGGTGCAGAATCTTACAATCTTCCAAATTGTCAGGTGCCCATTTGCTGGATTTCCAAATTTTTTTTCTTGTCAGCTTTCCACAAACTTTCCCTTCTATTTTAAAAGTGATGAACTTTCCCTTCTTACTTTCTTCGATTCTCGACTTTTGATCCTTTCTACATTTTCATGCAGGACGCACGAGATCAAGCATTGTCTGCACACCTAGAGACAATATTGATGGTTTGGCAGGAAATAAGAACCTCAGGTCTTCCTCATGCTTTGTAATTCAATCTAAAGATGGCCTCTTCTTTTTTCTGGCACACACCTGTTTCCATTAGAGAGCTGGGATCTGAGGGGTAACCAGGAAAACTGACCCATGAGTGCTTCGGCAAACCCATTTTCAGATTGTTTCATTTGCACTGTGAAAGACAAACCAGCCAACAATAACCAAAATGGAGGAGAGGGAGGTCCCAGGTTCGATTCCCGGCCAGGCGACCTAAGTTAGATGGTCCCAAACAATGGTTGCCTGGGACTGGTTGTAGGAACGGAAGGGGGACGGGAATAAAGCGCAAAGATTAGCCCTTGTGGGCTACTTGCAGTAAAAAAAAAAAAATCACCGGGAACATGTGCGTTCCTGCCAGTTATGGGGAGTTTCTTTCTCAAAAAACTACCAATTGCTAGCAAAAAGTAGGACCATCAAGAAATTTGGAGAAAACCAGATTCCTGCTTGAGATTGAAAAAATCTTACCTCAGAACGATGGCCTCGTAAATTGTAGTTTGTTCTGGCTGGGCATTCTACAGCTTTATTACAATGTGATGTGGTAAAAGTTACTCCTACAATACCTCGAACATTCCCAATAGCTATCCAACCCTCCTCGTAATAGTTGGTTCTGTTCAATTTCCATCCTTCATCCTGAAAAAAAAAGTACATTTTAAATATCATGCTTCTGAAGAAAACTCAAACATAGGTAATCTGACACACATAGGTACCTGAAAGTTACTAAATATTATAATGAAAAGGATGATGTCAGGGACCATCATTTTTCATAGATCCAAAGTAGGATAAAGAGTGAAAAGAGATGAACATTTCACTGAAATAAATAGATAATGTAGGTGAATCCTGCAATTGAGTCATTGAAGATCAGCAAAAGCTACTTTCTGAAGGACTTCTTTCCACCCTGATACTTTCATTACTACCAAGCAGTCTCTTATTCTATTATTTTGAAAAGAATCATGATCATCCTTATAATCAAAACTGCTAGATTTGATAGTGAATGGAAACAGCAGTGGTTTCAAATCTGACTGCGGTTGGGTTGCAGAAGGTGTAGCAAAAACAAAACGGAAAATGGTGCGTAAAATGACTTGTCATCGAACGACACCAACAGATCCTGTTGAAAGGCCAGATCAAAATGATCAAATTAAATAGAGAAGCAATCCATCCCACAACTAAGATGAGAAATCAAGATTATTTTGATAGCCTTGACCTGATAAGAACTAAGTGATGTGTGTCAATGTAAACACATCAACAATGAAAAAGGCCAGGGTTAGGGTGCTTTGCTAAATTGCGGTTGTGTACCTCAGGTAATTCGTCCGGAACTTTCCCCATCCATGACAGAGAAAGAATCGTGCAATCACAAGTTGTGTTTGCATTTTTCTCGAAATGGAGATGCATATCTCCCTCGGAGCCGCGGACACACGAGTTGAAGACGAACAAGCACAGTACGGGGCTGATATCATTACACTATCACAAGTTTATGGAAATCATTTTGATGATTTCGCACGATGGAGTCACTGTCCAACTGCTCGAATGAAGCAGTCGGGGTAGAGGAAGTTGCTGAACGCCGTGGAGCGATAGAATTCAGGATTCACGCATGAAATTCAACTTTTCGAACGGTATTGATTTTGATTGAACTCGTAATCGAAGAGCAGCACGGCACGCGAACGCGAACACCTTGAAAATGCAAAATTGCACATCATAATACGGTAATGCCAACCTTGCCTTTCCAATGGCCCTTTGAGTTGCCCTTTGACCAAGCTAATTACATCAAAAGTCCAGACGAAATAGAACAGTAATTTACTCCAAATGGTGTATAAAATTATACTGTAGTGAAATACATTTTTTTCTTGATCAAACAGAGTGAAGTATATTTTATTTGAAATGAAATTTTAAACATGTAATCGCCACTGTAATTTTCCAGTGTTGGTAAAACCGAAATGTTTGCTATGTTGCCGGCTTCTTTTTTACAATAAGCATACCATAACAATGTTAATAAAAACTAATATATTTACGTAAAGTGGCTACGTTGTCAGCGTTGTTATCTACGAGTACTAGCGCGGGATTTTTCGAAAAAACGGACGTGCCTCAAAATGAGCGACAGAGCACAGGGGGGAATTTCATGAGCCGCACCGCTGAAGCGCGCTTGGCGCACTGCCTTATTCATCTAGAGTTGAGAGTTCACTTTTTCTTCACACGACCAGTGTGTAATTTTAAAATTCAAAAATTTAAAAAAAAAAAAAAAAATTACACGATTTACGAGTTTATCCGCCAGGGAGCTCTCCCCGCAAACCGTTCACCACCGGCCGCGTCGGGGGCTCCGCGGCGCGGCATGCTGCTAGCGCAAAACGCGCACTGACGCCTACAAACCTAAAGGGCTACTTCACGCATTGCGCAATGCATGAAGTATCCGTTTAGGTTTGTAGGCGTCAGTGTGAATTTCGAGCTGGGGAATTCCGCTGCGGTAGCACGCCGCGCCGCAGCATGCCATGAACTTGCCCACAATTAATAGGTCAGGGTGTTAAAATGTAGGCAATTTGACATCAAATTAAAAAGTTGGAGACCCAAAAAAATATCAGTTACGAAACTTTCGTGATCTTTCAGTCATTATCCGACTTATTTCTTCCTATTCTTGAGTTTTGGACCACAGTGCGTCGCGGGTGGCGGCGCTCATGAAATTCTCCCCTGTGCTCAATCGCAAAACAAAATCATTCACTTGCCCCGTTTTAAATGGAATATGAGTTTCCAAACAAAATGGCAAAAAACGAAATACGTAAAAATATGTTTTACTTACTTTTTTAACTGCATCTATCAATCAAAGAAAAAAAAAGAATGTTGAAATAAACCTCTGCATGCCGATTATTAAAAGTTTAAAGCTGCTGAATAAGACATCAAAGTGTGATATATTGCAAGTTTAAGATAGGGCAATGTCTCACCATGTCGTGTCGACATAGTTTCAATTACCAGGCTACCGAAGTGTTCAAAATTTGAGGGACACTATCACATGTTGATATGACTGTTTAAGTATGTATCAACCAAACTTGGATAATACATTCATATAGCTGGGCTAGCAGGTTTGCCTATTGTCGTAAAATTAATAGCTTAGGGCTGATTATTGAAATTTTATGTCAGGGCAATGAAATACTGAAATACAGGTCATTGCATGGTAAAGGCAGCGCTTTATCTTTTCTTGTCATGCCAAAATATATTTTCAATGATTGGCTCCCTGGAGCCTTTACATAAACATTTGGGAGCTATCCTGCAGCATTATAACACTTCAGAATGTTGATGAAAGCATGTTTTCTTTCTGTGTCCAGTAGCGGCGTGTGAATGGGGCAAGTGATGCGGGCGCCCACCCAAAGTCTGAGGTTTTTTTTCTTTTAAAAAGGGTAGAATTTAATCATGAAAATAACCAAAACCTGTGCTTAAGGAGTACCTAATTTTCAAAAGAACCGTGCACAGAGCATGGGCTCAGCGGCTCTCTATGAAAGTCGATGAGACTTTAATAGATTGATATAAAGTTCATAATTAAGGGAAAGCCAAAAAATTAGCTCATTTTTGCGAGTAGAAGCCGAGATATTCGCAATTGAATCCGGACTATTTTCTATCATGCCGCAGCATGACGGAGGAATTCCGAGTCCCCTTTCCTCTCGTTGTTCGGCGTTCTCGATCAGACCTCACATCACTAACGTGAAGATAGGTGCTTATGCGCTCGGCTGGTGCGAACGCCGTACTCCCTCCCTCTCCCCACATCTGTCAATTCTGTTTCAGCAACTACATTTCAGATTAAACCGGCCGGCGGCGCCGGCACGGGAGAGGTGCGAGAAGGAGGGAACTCCATATCGCACAGCCCGAACGGAGCGTCCTAATGAAAGGAGTGAAATGAAAACAATGCGACATCGTAGTTACCTGGTGGGGAGGGGAGGTTTCCTGACCAAAGTGTTCAAGCAAGGTAAGGCGACGCGGAGAATTTACGTCCGCCGCACAGAAAATAGTCCGGGTTCAATTGCGAATATCTCGGCTTCTACTCGCAGAAGTGAGCTAATTTTTTGGCTTTCCCTTAATTATGAACTTTATATCAATCTATTAAAGTTTCATCGACTTTCATAGAGAGCCGCTGATCGAGCCCATGCTCTGTGCGGGGTTCTTTCTCCTGTAAAGGATCCCCTCTTGTTTTTCAAAATTTGGTGTCCTAAAAATTTCAGCTCCTGCGCCGTAACTGACTGCATCGCAACAAATTTACAAGAAGAGGAGCAAAACGAAAAAAATGACAATTGACAGGTTAAGAAGGATAAAGCAATTTAAATATTAGATTACGAAATAAGAAGGCTTTTAAATGAAGGATTTTAACCGGATAGTTTTATTGAATTCTTAACATTTTTTGTAGTTCTTTGGTGACACTGGACTTTCAGAAAATATCTGTAAGTAAGAGTATTGTATAGATACATCACTTAATGGTACTTTCCATCTAAATTGTGTTTAAGTGTCTAATAGGATTTTCACCTCTATCATTATTAAATGTAAGTGTGTATCTTAATCCGATTAAAAAATGCCTCCCATCAATTTACGTGGTAATTTCAATTTACATAAATACAAAATTTATCAACTGTCATTGCTTGTATACGCCCTATTACAGTATTAAATGGACAATAGGGCTCTACTCAAAGATCAGTTACGCCCTTACATCAGAAAAGTGACAATACGTGTTAATATATATTGCGATGACAAAGCTCAATTTTTCATGAGAGTAAAATCATCAACAGATCCGATTTTCAGAATGTTATCTATATGGCAATGCATAATAATATTAGATAGCATTAATGACTAGGCCAGTCAGAAAGGTCAAAATTGTTGTTTTTATCTATTGAGAAGATTAAAAAGACAAATGAATTCATGATTACCCAGTGGAAGACTTCATTTAGGACAGTTTTCTGATACTTATACCCAAATAAGCAATCAATGATGGCTAGGCAGGAATATTTATTTTCTGAGTGCTATTATACTCCTATTTTAAAAAGTGAAAACTCAAGTGAGATCCCCGATTACATACAAATTTTTACAATAAGAATAAAAAATTAAAACATTTTGGCAACACTTGATATTGAGCTGTCAAATCATAGAAAGCACATAATCATGGACTTGGTCAAATTGATTATCAAAAATTCTTATCACAGTTATGAAATTATGGTAAGTAATGAACACAATTATGCTACAGACATTTTCTTTTCCACTCCTGATTCATCCTCTCCTTGGACAAAAGGAATTCCCAACTCGTTGTCGGCAAAAGTGATGATCGAGCAATATCCGTCTGTGGAGGAAATGACCAGAATCTTGCCATCAGATGACCTGTAAAAACATGCTAGGATGAAACAAGCTAAACAGGCTAACAAGCTAGGATGAAGGCTTCTATGAAAGGTTCAATGTGATCCTTGCTGATGAAACAATGGGTCAGTTGTGTTGGTCACAGAGTCGAGGTTTTGATGATTTCAGATAATAGATCAGCAAAAATCATAAGATCTGTTCAAATACCAAGTTTAAACGTTCAATATTAATGGAAATATTGGTCTTGAAAAACCTTAGTGTATGATGTCATCCACCAGTAGTGCGTACTTTGGTTTCTTCCAACTTGGTTTCATTCCTGTTTTAGGTCGAGCAACAAGTGCTATTGTGTGCATCAACAATTGATGACTCCAAACTCCAAGTCGGAATAAACCATGGTATGTACTGCCGCAGTGAATGACATCTATCATGAGATATTTTCTGAAAGCTTTTGTCGTGCTGTAAATGAGAGCACAAACCATGGTCTGCTAAAATTATTTTTTCTCCAGTGATAAATTTGCAAGTATTTCTCTCATTTGAAATTTTAATGCCTTACCGTACAGATCCAAAATTTTTGGGGAGGTCACAACTTTGGCCAAAGACAGGGGCCTACTTGTTGAATGCACAAGACAAGTCTCAAAAATAACCACTACAACCAGGTTTGGACCTGTTTCGCACATTATCATTAGAGAGCTTCTTTTTAAAGTCCTTAACAAATTGGAAGAATAAAAACAATTTCTGCTTTACTCGCTTTTTACTGATTGGTTCTAATCACAAAATAGAACATTGGCTAAAAAAACTTGATCAATCTTACTCGCAGGTCTCCACTTCAAAAGCATCGAGGAAACAAAGCCTGATCTAAAACTTTAAATTTTTTCTCAGTTGTCATTTATATTAATATATTAGAGGTGTCGATTTCATAATTGCGTAAGGAGGGGAGTAAAGTTCAAAAGAATACGTTCCAAACTGAAACCATTGACTTACCAGGTAAGATCAGTGAGCCTAGTAAAATGGATATTGGCAATGAACGCAAATGGTGAAGCATGTTGCGTATCATACAAAAGGACACTTTTCTGAGTTGCCACTGCAATTACTATTCGGTACGGTAATGCAAAGACAGGCGCTCCACCGCTCATGTCTCTCAGTTGGAACAAAACAGGACAACAGCGTACGGCTACTGTGTATTGGTTAAAAGTTGGAAAATATAAGACAGGCCTGAAAAAGAAAGAATAATTATGTATTTATTTTCTGTGAAAGACAAAATAAAAAATAAGTAATACTTTGAAGTGCGAATAAAATTTTCTGACATTCTTTTGTAGAAGAGACTGATATTTAATAAGTTCCTTCATAAGAGATATTGAAAGAAACCCTACAAGCTTACTTCTGAAATTGCTTAGATGCTCCCACATATCGCCACTCCTCGAACGTAAGGATTTATCCCCAATTCCACTTGGGCCCTGGAAAGCATGGAGTTATAGGGACAACGGGCTCACTTGTAAATGAAGACACACTCTTACCTCAGAGGAGCGACGATACCTGGTTTAGTATTGCAATTGAGTGTAATCAGTCTGATTACTTTAAAAATTTTATTAATTTCTGGTATTCCGTTTAAGGCCTTTGAAAATCAGTCATTTAAGATTTCTCGCTAGACCAGCTGGCACTAGATTACTCCCCAATTGCTTTTAATACAATAAAACTCTACATGTTACTAATTAAATTGTTGAAGTAGAAACAATACAGCATATTTAACAAAAAGGAGAGGAGCAAACTAAAAGTCAACTATGTCACCGATCTAACACATTGCAGAAAGTGAAAGTTTTGAATTTTTTGTATTCTTCAGACTCAGTAAAATCAACCAGCACCAAACCATGGTATGCCAATGTAGAAATTGCGCAAGGTGTGCTCGCATGGATGCGGTAATGACATTTTCAGTTGCATCAATCATAAATATAAACATCCTATATAAGATGCACTGACAGACTACAGGACGGAACATATAGGAGTCTATACTGAGAGACTGATCAGAGAAGTAGCGGCAAAGACTCACAGGAGCGCCTGCTTTCAAAGAGGTCAAAGTCTACAAATCAATCTTGAATCATAGATGTATCCAATTCCAGTGACGTCACAGCATCTTATATGGGCAGCGCTGTTGGAGAGCATTAATCATTGTGTGCATCAGAGGCAACCCTAAAGAATACCCCACATGTCAGCTCAGCATCCAGCCTACCGTCTGTGACCTACCAACCCTATCCTTTACAATATGGACATTAAAAATAGTTCAACCTGTTAAAAAGGATTTTAGTTACCTGCTTAGATTATTCCTGGTGAATACTAGTGTTGTATTTACACGCTTTTCTCCTTGTTGGGCTGGTTCTAATATCCCTGCAGGAGCGATTAAAAGCTCACCATCTGGTGAGAAAGTTAGCCGCCTAAAGAAAGATTTCAATGTATCATCGTGGAATAATCGTTGCACGTTACCTTCCATAGGATGATTTTCAGGGACAGATAATTTTGATTTATATGCACGATTCACAACGCGCCGCGTTGCTAAATTATAGACTCTCATTACCCTGAAACAAAGTAACGTAAGGTTAGAGTATTGCAATTGAATGAAGTGTTTTTGCTGGCCTTCATAAAGTTTTAAATCCATCAATGAATTTTAAGTATGTTCAAAGCGCCTCTGAAAATTAGCTAAAGGGAAACATTGAGGCATTGTTCAAGAAAACCTATGTAAAAATCATGAAATATTTTGTATAAAAGGTATAATACTCTCTTCCTATGCTAACACCCATTATAACGTAAACTTCTCTATAACAAAGGTAGCCTATGGTTTGCATGCCTGGGTATTTTTATTGACTACCGCTCGTTGTGACAAAAAATTCTCTTTAACAAAAATTCTATCGGTTCACTGCCAATACACTGCAGAGAGTGTGGAGCACTTGTTAATTTTTTTGGAAAAACTGAACTGAGGTTTCATGGAGAACTTCATGAGAGGATCAACATCTAGGAATGGATGATTGGATGGAATACAACCATCAAATGGGCCTGTTGCATGCAAGAGATACAGCCGTGCAAATAGACTATTTAGAGGTTAAATGACACGAAAATTACGATGGTCACATTAAAAAAGTCTTAAATACACTCCTTACTGCGCAATTTGCGTTATTAGGAACGCGCTTTTTCAAATTTCCCGCGTCTGGGGGCAGTTTCCTAACGGAAACAAGTAACGGCAATTCGCGGCTACTTCCGGTCAACTAAAACTGACGACATAGGTAACCTAAGAATCGGAGCTCGTGATATCGTGAAATGAAATGTAGAAGGATTGCGTTGGATATTTAAAAGTTGATCGATTTGGTTACCGCATAAACGTATATGGACTACTATAAGAGATCACATTGGGTTTGTAAACAAACTGAAGGAAAAAATAACAACAACAACGACTCGGCATCTTCCGGAAATCACCGAGCCCGCCATTTGCTCGTTTCCGGTGATTCGAAAACTGCCCCCAGACACGGGAAATTTGAAAAAGCGCGTTCCTAACAACGCAGATTACGCAGTAAGGAGTGTATTTCAGACTGTTTTAATGTGACCATTGTAATTTTCGTGTCATTTAACCGCTAAAAAGTCTATTTGCGCGGCTGTATCTCTTGCATGCAACAGGCCCATTGAAGTCAAGGAGGGCATTATGCCATTTTGTTTTAGAGAGTCAAAGAATAGGGGCCTACAACACAAAAGTATTTTGAGGGAAAAGGGGTTGAAAAATACAAAATTTAGCGTTGCCTTTTTTAGGAACAATCCCTAATCACATGTAATGCAGACTATCAGTGTCAGCTTTCAACTGAGTACAAAAGCTCTATTCAAAGTTAGAAATTGATAAAATGAGACAAACCTATCGCTGCTTAAAGTTGCTGCTAATTTGTTTTTGGGATCCCACGCAACACCCTGCACAAAACTTTTATGTTCTCCCAGACTTGCGATTTTTTGACCTGAAAAATAAACAATGAAAAGATTAACACGAAAGCAAACTTGAGCTTCATAAACCGCTGAATAAATCCCAAGAACAACTGACTGATTTACCATGAAGGGAGCTCAAAAAAATACATACCACCATAGCGACTGAAGAGTTTAAATACACATTTTAAGTTTAATCCAAGTACCAATTGTAGCAAAGCACATGGTCAGAGCATTATAAATTTGACTAAACCCTTTCACTTTTTAAGCTCTTTGAACCAAAATAAAGAATCTTGAGGAAAATTCATTTGTTCAAAATGGCTCCTTTGAACAGATTCAAAATTTCTTTACAGCATCCTTAAATGGTTGGAAAGATTGAAATTAAAATTTCTGGCTACCAGGTCACCTCTTTCATAGTTAATTGTTGATATGAGGGTGAAAAAAACACTAAGTATTGAAAAAACTCAAAATTTATGTTTGAAATCATTGCTCAGTCAGTTCAGAGGGGTCAAAAACCCAAAATTTGATGTACTAGCCTTCAGTAAAACTCCAAAGTATTTCAATGAATAAAATGAATATTACAGGTCCAGTGAGAAAATCTGCACAACTTATCAATACATGAACAAATAAATTTTCGGAAGCACCCTCACAAGAAGCATCCACTGTGAAGACGCGAATGATATACGTAAAAAGACTGATATTTTTTCCTGAGGACACTACTGATCATTTATTTTAACCTTCTTTCTTTCGTAATTTTCAGTGAGTCTTATGAACACCTTAATAAATACTTAAAATTTGGCTTTGCGTTGGACATTAATCACCCAGTCATGCAACAGCGAAAGGATGAATCAGCCAACAGCTTCAATTTTTTACACTAATCCTGAGGCAAAAAGAAAATAAAAGAATATCCAGAGATCACATGGAGAGCTTGCGAAAATAATTCAGCCTGATCAGCGGTGAAAGCTTCGGGGGTTCTCCTTTTTAACCGCAGATTGCAGAAAGGATTTCACCTCCATGTGTCATTTGATCCAATCTGTCCCTGCAATTTGGCTCCTTAGGGATGTTTGTGCCTTTAAATTTTGAAAATGTCAACAATTTCGAAAAGATTCTTATTTGTCAGCCAATTACTGAATCTTACTTGACAGCTTCTCAAACAACTATTGTCAATGAAGAACTACGAGACAGCGCTTCATCAACTAAAAAGGTGAATTATTTGATTATAAAGCGATTTAATTTCAACTAGCCTAAATGCCGATTTTATTTTAACCAGTAATCCTTGCAACAAAGTTTTTCAGTTGATAATCATTGAGGCAACATGTTTTTTTTCTTTGTATGGGCTTTAAGACGCTAAAAATTGTAAATGATACTTTCCATACCTTTTTCTACATCCCAGACAACTGCTGTGTTATCAACAGAACCGGATATCAATTGTTTGGAATTGGGAGCCCAGCTCAAATCATAAATATCGTCAAGATGCCCTCTTAAAACTTTCCACACAAGCCACTGTTCTTTGAAACCTTCATCATTGTCTTCTGGAAAATCTGCTTCAGTTTTGGGTTTCCAGAGGATGATTGATGCCTCTGTAACAAGAAAGATAACACTTTCTCATCTATGATGTTGCATTGACATTATGTCATTTAATGTAAAAAAAAACAAAATTCAAGGACTATAAGGAGTTTTCTGGACTTTTCAGCAAGTTTATGGAGGACAAGAGGAATTTTAGTCGCAAAAAATTGTTAAGCATTAAAAATTATTTTTATCCATTGTGTCTCTATTCTGATTGTGTTTGAACTACACATGTCAGAACGTTTAAAGTTCTATAATAATCGGCAACTCTTCAGGATAATTTGAGGGGCACAGAAATCATCGAAGAAATAATGCCTATGTTAGAAGATGTGGCTCAGAAATTAAGAAACATTAAGGGCAACAATTCGGAGCCACTTGACAGAATCATTTAGAGAATTATTGACAGTATTTTGCCTTCCCCAAAAATTTTAGAAGCCACCTCGGCTGAAAAGCCAGTTTTTAGGAGCCATCTATAATTTTTTGTTAGTTACTTGAATTACTTCTTTCATATACATCATGGCGTAAGAGATTTCGCAAAAGGTACAAATGAGGACTTGCTACATGTACATGCTACATATGTCTATGAACACTTTTTTAGAAGCGAAGTGTGTTTCAATGTTGAAAAGTCTTTTGATGATATTTTTCTTTGGTGTTTTCCTCTTTTTTCATTATATTTTTACTTTTTGTGTACTGCCTTGACAGCAGTGTTCATAACTTTGTTAGAACTTTAAGACCTGACTTTTTTTGATGATGAATTTCCCATCTTGCCTCATGTTAGTCATCTAACTAAACAAGGTGGAGAAATGGGGTGCTGGATCCACACCATTTCGCGGGAAATCAAAGCCAAGAAATTCCAAAAATTATAATTGAAGTTAAAAATGAATCACCACCTTGTCTCCACCTTGTTACATACAGTATTTGGGCCACTTCTTAGTGTTTTTTTTTTCCTCATTTGTACCTAAACACATCAGACACCTGAAAAAGTAACCCTTCTATTAAAAAAAATAGGTAGGAGAGGTGAATATCTTTTACCATCATCTCCAGAGGCAAGGTATTCTTCTGTGGGGGCAAATCTGACGCAATTGACAGCTTTTTGGTGCCTGGAGAGATCAGAGGCAAACTCAATTCTGGAATTTCCATTCTCTTCTATAACAATATGCCAAATCTGTAAAAAAGAGGAGAAAAAAAAATTGATAGCGTGATGAAATGATAATTGATTATGTTCATTGACTGTACACACAACTACAACCATGACCACTCCTTATGCCTCACTCCACCACTCTCAATTTGATGCTCAAACTCGGAGGACAACACTTAAGAAATGAAACTTTACTTAGTAACAAAGCAGGATCTCTTCCTAAGCCTCTTCAAATATCTGTCAACTTTGAGTTGAATCTAAATGAAACTGAACAACTTTATGATCATTTTAAAATATTAAAAAAAAAAAAAAAAAAAAAAATACTTTAATTTGCCATTGCTGAAGTGCAATCTCAAATTGTTTTAATTCTTAATTGTGTCCAATTACGACTGCTATTATTAACAGAAAAGCACTAAAAAGCATAGAGAAAAAAAAGGAGGTGTTTGCATTTCGGGCATCTTGGAATTTTTCATAGAGTATCTATAGCTTTGATGACGTCATTGGGTACAGCGACGTTTTTATCCTGTCGATTTTCTTGGAAATGGTGTAATTTAAGGGAAAAAGTCATTCTATAAAAAGTGCTTGAAATTAAATAAAGAGTTGATTTAAGTAAAAAAATCGGACATTATGGTCCGTTTTTACAGCGTCAACATAACCCTCAACGAGCGTCTTGTTTACATTGATGACGTAGGTGGGTACAAATCCTCAAGATGCAAACACCTCCTTTTTTTTCTCTATGACTAAAAAGGATGTGAAAAAAGAGCTTACTTATTATTCCCGTCTTCTTTTAAACAGACTATTTCTCATTAGAGAAATGGACGAAAAATTTTTGGGTTTCTCTAACCTCAAAATTTAAAAATTTTCTGTGATTAATGGACTGGCCGTTCTTCATTCTTCATCTGCTGTTTCAGTGTTTAATTTCTTACTCACTACTTTTATTTTTTCACATTTGTCAATGCATGAAAAAATCAGAAAGTAAGTAATTGTGTGATGGTTTTGTTAACCATGGTAGGTACTTATTAACTATGATCTGCTTTTTAAAGTTCTATCCTAAATTCACATCGTGTTGACACCGTCAGATGGATGGAAAGTTGTGATGAAATCTACCCATCAAAATTAAACGAAGCTGTATCTTCGCAATCTGGAAGCCAGTGGAGATACCCAAATCGTATTTGACAGTGTCACAGGGAAAAGCCACTTGAATCAAATTTGGTTGCATTCAATTTTCTTCTCAACTTTTTATCTGCTAAGGTCAGATGACAAGTTGAACTGTGTAATTTGGGCTTAAAATGCCACCCATAGGAATCTACTGAATGGTAAGGCTTCGTAGCCAAGTTCCGTAGATAGAATTCTAACGGATATTAAGGGGGGGCATTTGGAAAAAATAAGTTACTATCTCACCAAAACATGTGAATCCGTTCCGCCCGAGGCCAGTCTGTAAAAGTTGGTAGAAGAACGCTGAATATCAACACTGAGAACAGGATCTCGATTATGCCATGAAATTTCAGGGCTCGAGTATTTCATTTCTAAAAAGTGGAGTTCAGAGTTGAAAGTAGAAATGGGGATTAAAACACATAAATTTCGATAATAAGGGTAGCTAGTTTACAAAGAGAACAGAGGTCAGAAAGTATGGAAGGTTAGAGGCCCGACTCAATGCTAGGTAATTGAAACAGAAGCGCTCGCAGCGCGCTCGCTGGCGACGTACGCAACTACTATTTTCTATTGTTTTCCAGTGACTAGCGGCGGGTATGTTGCTGCCGGACCACCTCCACGTAGGCAATATTTTATACATCGTCCGTCCGCAACCCTCGCTTAGCCAATCAGCGCAGTGGTATGGGATTCCGCTCGCCGCGCACTCTCGCGCCAACGTACGCAACTGCTTGCTCACGGCTCCAACTTCTGTTTCAATTATTCCCTATCCAGTCGGGCCTCTAACCTTCCATACTCTCTGACAGAGGTATCAGTAATCTAGTAATCTGCGAGTGGGAGGTTAGGTTTGCCGCTTTCAGATATAATTTCGCGGCAAAATTCCAACCAATCCGAGCTTCCCATCTTCCTTACCTTACACTGCGCTCTAGCGTGAAAGCTTTGGACTAACAGTGCTTGGTTTGTTTTTGTTTTGTTTGGTTAGAAAGCTCTTCAAAGTACTTTGAGCCCCTATTTTCACTCGAAAGTTAAGTTCTAGCGTTCAACTTTCAGTTATACGCAGGTTTTCAGATAAATCCAACTGATAGTATTTTATGAGTGATATTTTTAGTTTTTTTTGACTTGTGTTCTTAACTGATTTTTTTCCTCGTCATGTGCCAACTCCGTACAGCGAATATGTAACCTACTTTTTGTATTTCATTTGTTAACTGGTAAGTTTCTTATTGCGGAATCTCATGCATTCTAATTTTTGTCATCTATACTTAATGCTGACAAGAAGATATTGTATTCTACCAGTAACAGTTCTTAAGCACCACTGCTAATAAATTGGCGATAAAAGTGTGCAATTCGCAAGTATGTAAATTTTGGCCTATTGTGATAATAGTCGAAGCAACATTTGGGGGTATGGTACTTTTCATTTGTCTCCAATTCTTAATTCACTCACACTTACGGGTATTTACCACATTCTAGGGTGACTTGTTCGAGTCCAACATCATTTTTTTCACCTTAATATACTACTCACAAGGTGGCAAATTAAATAGCACATGAGTGCAGAGAATACTACATTGCACTATTAGTAGAAAGTCTTCCACCAGGAGCACTTATAAAACCTATTTGCGCTCCGTATTTCATTTCTGGTTAAAGCAAGTTTAGCTCATCACCTAGAAATGTGAAAAATATCCATGGAGCATAAACATCTTTAATAAGAATTTGGTGACTGCTAATCCACTTAGATTGACATTACTTAGGGCTAGTTCTTACATAGAATTTATCTTTCTTCATCAATTGTAAATGGTGGTTACCGAAGGTAATTTGCACCAGCTACAACCATTCAATGTTCTGACGAGTGTCTTCTTATTTATGAAGTCAAGAAAACTTGCACTTGCATTAAAAAACCCTAACCCATCACAATTCTTACATAGATACACTCAACATGAGTATAGGTAGGAAAAGTTTGTCGGTTTCAGCCAGAAAGTCAAATGACTAACTCCAAGCAAGTCTAAAACAGCAAAACTCTTCATGGATTATAACCATTCAAATGAGTAGTGACAGCGAAGTTCCATCACATGTCAGTTTCTACTTTACTGTAAAATTCACCTTTTGATTCCTCTTATATGTTACATACATTATTTTCTTCTCTATTTGCAGTTTTTTTGAAGCCGTTCCTGTCAACTGTCAAAGTGACTGAAATGCCGGCCGTTGTGGTTGGGCAGCCACAGCGGAATGAAGCCATGTGGCCAGCCCTAAAAGCCCACATAACCAGAGAACGTCAAAAGAAAAAACAAGAGCAAGAAGCCGATGCAGAAGAGGAAAGACAGCGGAAAGCTCGAGAGAAGCAGGCAATGAAAGATGGAATGACGTTGGCAGAAACACGTGAGGAAATCACATTACTCGAAAATAAACTCGCCAGATTAAAAGATGAAAAACACCAGCTGTTTTTACAGCTCAAAAAAGTTCTGAATGAAGATGATAATCGGCGACGACAGATTGTGAAAGAAACTAATGCAATGATGGGTATTCAAGGGTATCCAGTCGCACATCCTCCACCACTTTTCCTCCAACAAAATATAGCCCAAAACCAGCTGTACAAAGTACCAGCATCTCATTCCCTTCTGCAACCGAGTACCTTGAAACGACCAAGGAGTCCTTCGCCACCGCCATCTGCATACCGTCAAGGTTACTCTTTCAAGCCGGCACCCGGCGCTAATTATCAGAAAGTTACAGAGGACACTCGACACGGTCAAGAATATGTAAGAGCTGTATTGTGGAACAAGGGAAGTGCCCAGCAGTATGGTGGCTTTTATGGTCCAACAACAACTAGCAGTGCAGTTTACACTTATGGCGGAGCTCAATTTGCTCAACCTCCTACTGAAGCAGCCAAGCCCGTGTATATTCCTCGAGCGCCAATGAATCAAAGTTATATTCCACAAACTCCTGGAATTTTCCCAGATGACAAAACCTATTATGCTGTCAGGCCGCCTATCTCGGTGCAACAAGGAATTTCTGTCCCACAAGCCGCAAAATCAGGAGCAATAAGTGGGTACCCTGTTAGACCTCCGAATCCTCCTGCTTCATCCTCTGCTCATGGTGTCTATGCAAGTCAAGCAGGACCTCCTAGTGGCCATCTTGTTTACACTCAAGCAGGGCCCATTCCGCAAGTTCAGTTTCATGTTCCAAAACTTCAGTAGGCAGTCTACTTGAAGTTTATGTTTCTCATTTTTTGTGAAAAGACCATGATGCTAAAAACTTTCTGTCAAATTCCTAACATGATCTACAAATTCACGCTTCACTGCTCAAAATGTGTCAGGCATTTAGTGTAGAATGGGCTCTGCATTTTGAACCATCTTCTTATTTCAATCCATTGCAGTTCTTTCTTCAAATAGATCGCACGCTATTAATGACTTGAAAGTTTTGAACTAATAATCCAAGACAAAGCAGCTTACAAGACATAACCTAAAGTGGGCCCTCATGTTTTATCTCTGACTTTTTATTATGGTTCAATGAACAGTGAACACTTAAGCCACAAGATAAAGCTGTGTAAAATTATGCCAACTTTGGTTAACTCTTAATTTTTTCTTTTCTTCTTCTCTCTCTTCAGAAATTCATTTTGTAACTCCTCAATAATTCATAATTATTGTAGAATATTGGGTGAAGCTTGAATTTCTAATTTCCTCCCTGGATAAGAAGTGCTATTTTAATAAATGACAGAAATTGAAAATGATAGTGAAAATTAGAACTTATGAATTTTTGTACATTGCTTATTCTTAAAAAGTTTGCATAATCTTGTATATACATATTATCTGTTACCTACTGTAAGCAGGTATGATTATTAAAATGAATTTTTTATTAATATTAATTATAGTGCATTTTTAAAGAACTTGTTCTCACTCATCAAATTGGTTCAATGGGCAAGATAACGATGGATGGCCAAAGTGCGCAACCTTATTTCTCCACTGCCATGTTTCAATATTTCTGCCCCCTTTTTATTTTTCAAGGATGATTGAGCCAATTTTATAGCCCGAAATTTATACAGACTATTTTGCAAACATCAAAAAAAAGTGAAGGAAGTTTTCAAGAAATTATGTTGACTAATTTTATACATAAATATAAGTCACTTCACAGCACTCCCTCGCGCCCTACGACTCCTAACCTCCTAACCTAGGTGACTAATTTTCCGCCCAATAAAAAAAAAAAAAAAAAAAAAAAAAAAAAAAAAAAAAAAAAAAAAAAGAAAACAACAATGAAGTATGATTGGAAGTTTGCAGTGTGACAAACAAAGATATGTTGTTTTGCTCTTCAGCCATCGATATTTAAGTATTCTCAATCAAACAAAATGGGTCCTGAATATAACCAGATACCCTAGTTGCACGTTTTACTAACACATTGATGCAAATTTTAAAACTAGGCAACAATTATTTTGCCAAAAAAAATTTTCAAAACAGAACTATCAAAATATCCATGGTGAGATTTATTGACATTAACTCCCTTTGCTCCTGATCACTCAAGGTTCTTGGACAAATTTTCAGGGACAGATCTAAGTGAATGGAAAGAAAAGAGAATATGTAAAAGTAACAAAATATTTTAATTGTAGGTACTTTAAAAAAGGAACAGAGAAATAAAAACATAAAAGAGTCATAGTAATGTACAATAAAATGTAAATAAAGTTAAAGCTTTACTATCACATAATTTTTTTGTGGAGTATTTTAAGTTAGAAAGAATATTAGTGGCCGTTCACAAGAAAAGGAATACTTATGTCTTCAGTCCACTAAGACCCGAAATTGAATTGTTCATGCCACAGCAGAGAGGTTGTCTGTAAATATCATGGAACAGAATAATACCAGAAATGTCAAACAGATCTGGAGTTACAGCAGTTTGATGATCAAAACTGGAGGGTAAAGAATGTAGATCTAAAAAAAAGCTCATTAATATTTTAATCTGCCATGGCCAGGGTCCAAAATTGTTAGATGCTTTTGCCCTTAATGAGTCAATGGGAACGAAAATGAAGAAGACAACTTGCAATTATTGTTTGAGACACCAGGGTGAGTCTTCCATCAAAATCTCTGCGTACAATTTTTGGAACCAACTCATTAAAAACGGCTCTACTGAGAAATTTGTTCCTATGAACTAAGGTCCCTTCTTCTATGGATCGACATTTTTAAAGTGTTTAGGAAAAGGAAAATTCATTCTTAGCCTAAAAATGGGAGATGGTTTTCCACTATTATAAGAAGACTGCGGTCACAAAGGTCTCCAATTTTTACTTCATCGTAGTCAAGCATGTTGAATTGATAATTTTGTTCTTAAAAACCTTAAAGCAGTGTGAGACAGGCCACAGACGTGCAAGGGCCCATTCTGACTTCCCAAGTTAACACTGCTAAACCATAAAAAAATGTCCTAAAAATCAGGACACTAAGACCAAAAGAATCAATTTTGAAGGCTGGAAAAATGTAGAATATCAATGTTAATTTGTACAGGGCAAAAGAAAATACGAAGATTATTTTAGAATACACAGGACAGGACGGTAAAATGGTGTTGGCTCAACAATTTTCTGATCAAAAATCGAAGTCACAAACACCAAAAATTACAAGTAGCAAAACAAAAAATGAACTTGAGTGAGTTCCATTACAAAACTGAGAGGAGAGAGAGGTACAGAGCTCTCTCTGCGTTTCTAGAACTAAGTGATTCTGCAGTTGAGAGCAAAAGAATCATGAACATATTTTCAACAATTTTAAACATCAAAGGAAAATTGCACAACATGCTTGAAATTGGGTTGGCAATCTTTGGAACTCAGTATGCCGTTATTTGGCCGTTAACTATAGAATTAAGTTACGACTTCTAAAAATATCATCACTAAATTTTGAATGCTTTAATTAATTGAAACTTGAGCCTGCTACAGAAAAAACTTTTTGATTACGACACAACCTTTTCTTGAAAAGCAAAAACTTTGTTAAAAAATTACTTGTCACTTACCTCCAATTGAGGTTTTTGGATTCTGCTTATTCTAACAGTACGCAATTCAAATGGTATCGCAAGTTTTGGAATTACTCTATAATTCCAAATAATAAAAAAACTACGAAATACTTTCCATTCCTGATCCATAGCCAAGAGGTATGGTTGATTCTGCAGTCAACTTCTGGGCAAAATTTCTTGGGCGGATGAAAAGGCACCTCATTCAAGGATCATCAAGTATAGTTCCATCAAGCTTGACGAGTTGACGGTTTACGTAATTGTGGTAGAAAGGATTTGATGCTATCCATGGAGAATTGGTACAGTTTATCTTGAGCTTGAACGTCACACGCAATAGGATCGAAAGGTTGGATGGTGCAATTAGAGTAATACTTTCCCCCTACTCCCTCTGATGAGCTAGCTATTGCAGCATAGACAATCCCAGTTGCTCCTTGTTCTGGTGTCTGGAATTGAAGATCAATTGTTTTAAAAAAAAAAATTTATGGACGTAATAAAATCTATTCTATGTCAAGATTGAATTACAAAATTAAATATACAATAATACAAAATTACAATTCAAACGAAAAATAGGTGGTCAAGCCGAATTTGGGCTGACCGATTCTGTATGGGTTTTGCTTGGAGCAAACATTTAACTTCACCAGGGATGCAAAAAATTCTTGCAGGCCTTCCCACTTTTAATGGAGTTTATGTATGTGTCAGAAATTTGCAATTTAAATACTTTTCCTTTCCTAAAATTTCGCGAAAGGAAAATGGAAAATTTAAAAATTATTCTTAGTCTATCTGCCAATAATTGACAGGGTGGTAGAAGTGCTGGGTTCACACAACTCTGTGGGGAAATCAAGGCCGAGAAAATTTCAAAAATTTTCTTCAGATTCAAAGATTTTAAACCTAGTAAGCATCAGTGTAAGACCGAGGGAAAAGAGTGTTCAGCTTGGGCAGATCAATTGGAATATTATACATACTTATTGCACTGATACTCATTAGATTTCAAATTTGTTAATATATTGCAAATTTTTGAAATTTTTTGGCCACAGAACATTGTGAATTCAGCACTGTTGTAGGTACCACCATGTTACTTACAGTTTGGGCCACATTTTTTGTGTTTTATACTTATCTGCTAATTGACCAGAATCAAAAACATTTCTAAATTTTTTATGAACAGAGGATAATTAAGTACCTTTGATAGTTTTGACAATATCCAGGGAGTTGCAACTTTGAGAAGAGTTCCGTCAAATAAATCTGTGTCAACTATACCAGGATGAACAGCCATCACTTGAACCGGGGAGTTTCTTTCTCGCATTTTTGCTTCTAAGCTGATGGTAGACATCACTTGAGCAAGCTTGGATCGAGCATATGCAGCATGAGGAATGTACTGTTCCCTAAGAAGAAAGGTTTGAAAGTTTTGCATTGAATAAAAACTGATAACTAATGAAAGGTTGAGTGATTGAGGATGTTGAGAGGCTCAAACACAACATTAGCAGCAAAGCTCAGTTTTACTAGAGTCCAACTCCGATAATAACTGGTAAGATTCTTCTTGAATATCAAACGTGTTTTGGAAGCTTCCTTAAAGTTAACGCCAAGTAATTTTACACACTTTTAGAATGCAACAAAAAAATCCACCATCTTGCTTCTTACATTTATTTCCAATGCTAAGCTAAAGATAACTGATCTTTTGTTGCACTCTAAAAGTGCTTGCTCAAACTTACCTGGTGTGGGCTCTACCAAAAACTATAGCACACTCATATGTAGTATTACACAAAGGAGGCTTTCTATTGTCAAATTAATAAGATTATAGCCTCCCTTGGATAAGCTGTGGGGGCAAACTTCAGGTTGATGTTCTCGAATTAACGTCAATGAGGCACTCTTCAAACGCACAATTCACAGCTATATGTATGCTTTCCCTGCAACCACAAGGTTCCTTGAACACTCTCTCTTCAATCCTATTATACGACGCAAACCTCCTAGCCTCCCTTAGGCTTCTTTGATTTTCATGTAAAACATGTAACAACATGCCTTGTTAAATTTCATATAATAAATACCTCTTTATTCTGCACAACTCTTGTTCAATTGAATGACGAGTATGAACTAATCATGTAGATTCACTGAGACTCCTATGAAATTTCTTTGGTCTTCTTGTTTTTCCCAAGATCATCCAATATTCTACACTGATATAAATTCAGCATTGATCTTTAGCCAGGGGTTATCATTAGTAGAGACTTCAAAAATAAAGAATGAATCTTACTTCATGTTGATATCACTGAAATCAAGAGGCGGCGATAAATTATAAGCGCAGGATGTGACATTCACAATGCGCCGATTTATTCTTGGAGATCCAGATTCCAAAATTGGTAGTAGGAGCTGCGTTAGAAGGAAATGTCCCAAATAGTTGACCATGAAATGACTTTCAAAACCGCTTTCTGTCTCTTCAAAAGGCACAAACATTATGCCAGCTAGAAAAAAAATGAAGGAGACAAATAATGACGCATTTGCAAAAAATTACATTAATATTGCTCGAGAGCTTGCCAGTGATATTCATGAAAAAGTATGAATTTTGGTAACGACCATCAGACATATCAACGAAAGAAATTCATTCGCATGAATTAGTTATTTGATTGCTATATACTTAGGGAAGATCAGTTAAAATTTCTCCAGAACATATCTGGAAGCTTCAAGAGCCCCAAAATTTCAAAAGTGCATTTTGATGTTATTATTTAACTATAGATAAAATATGAAAGTTTGAGCTTTTCTGACTAGTCACAAAGACATTAGTATATTATATTTTATTTTTGGTGTTTGTAGAGGGTTAATTGGTACTTCTATTTGAGTGCTTATTCGTTCTGAGCTTATGGATGTAACTAATATTACTAGCAACTTTAACTTGAGGTTATTTCATTTTGTTTAACTAAATTATATTGTTTATCAAATAAAAAAAAAAAAATTTAGAAAATATATATATATGAGTCGCTTTTATAGCGCTCTTTGGCGCTGTGCGACGCCTAATCGCCACAAAGCTCGGTCTTCCCACAGGTCATCAGGGAGTTGACAATCTCTTATCTCATTTAACACCCCCTGTCGCCAACCTCTCACTGGGCGTCCCCTACGCCTCCTCCCAGGAGGAACCCAATCAAGCATCTTTTTTGGCAGCCTCTCTTTCGTCATCCTATTGACATGACCATACCAAACAAGTTGTTTGGTCATGACGTCGAACACGATGTCATTTTCGACTTCCATTATCTGACGCACTCTATCATTACGGACCCGATCTCTCCTAGAAATTCCTGCTGACCTTCTCCAGAAATCCATCTCCGTTGCTCTTAGCATATCCTGTGTCCGTTTCTTCAGCTGCCAAACTTCACATCCGTATGTTAATATACTTTTGACTACAGCGTTGTATATCCTCCTCTTGTTATCTTTGGAAATCCGCTGATCCCAGAGGATTCCATTTAACATCGCTATAGCCTTCCTTGCTAAGGTGTTCCTTTCCCTGATAGCGTAGGATTACGCACCTGATTAGTAGGATACCTTTACTATATGATTGACTGATAATTACCATTATTGATTAAGATGTGGATTTGAGCATGGTTTTCTAGTACACTTTCTGCAAACTGTTTTACAGATGTAAGAGACTTCAAATTTAAAGGATAAATACTGGTGGTACCAGTCAGCACACCAAAACTTCTGATCTTCTGAACAGCCTGCTCTCCTTTTTCTGGATTTCGGCATCCTGAACAAAAGGAATAAATTGCTTGATTAATAAGCCATTTACGTTTGACATACATAGAACATTGGTCAATATTGAAATATCAATCAATTTGTCTGAAGTAAACAATTCCTTTCTGACCCTTGTCCATCTATTTACTATTCAGACTGTGCCTCAAAGCATTGGACTGCGAACCGGACTGAGCTACAGTTCCATTGTGAGGACAAGGCTGATGCTAAGTATTTCTGATTCCAAATTTTAAGTTCTCCTAGTTTCCAGTTTTTAACATAAAAAATAACAACTTAATTTGGGGAAAAGGCTGCAAAAGTACAAGAAAGGATAAACAAAAGCCCGGAACGTTTAAAAGTATTAACAATTTCATTTTCAACCGTAAAAAAATAAAAATGAGCCGTCGATTTGCTGTTGTTGCGAGACAGAGACTTTTAACATAGAATTCCCTGAGCTGATGAAATTTCCTGACAATTCTCAGTTCTCCTGACCTGTGGACGCCTTGAGTGGGTTTTAAAATTAAGGGGTCTTGAAATTGAAGAGACCAGCTCAAGTCAGCATGAAAATCGCATGTACGGTAAATGCAAAATCTCAGCAATTCATTGCTGAAGAGCAATAAAGGGGGGAAAACAGATGGATGAAAAAGTCATAAAACTATGAAAATTCTGAGGGAAAAAAATTTTCAAAAGGGGAGGATTTGATGAATGGAAAGGCTAAAAAAAAATTTCTGTATCCCAGCTAATTAGTACAGATGCAACTAAGTGTTTCTAGTCTCTCCTTTAATATGAACATTTGTCTCTGCAATTTCTACTTAATATCTCTGTTGCAACTCTTGATGGTAATCATGCATACATTATATATTCTCGCAAATTTTTGAGTACAATTTGTAAGAAACCAGAAATTTAGCGATCCAGAGAGCATCTGGTTTTTCAAGGGTATAAAGTCTACACATTTAGCAAACATTACCTATCTCTAATAATGTAGGCATGATTACAAAAAAATTACATACCAATAATGACATGCATGTCACACAGTAGTAATTTTTTGACAATTTCAACGCCAATGCCGCGAGCACCTCCTGTAATTACTGCTACTTCACCACTCTTTTGATATAAATCTGAAACAAAAAGAGAGTGATACAGTCCATTATTAGATCCTAACAGTTTTTTTCTTACAAATAGACACACGTCATTCTACCACTATGAGGATTTTCAGTCATACTCATATCAAGTTTGAACTTAACAATCATGACATGACCTGTTAAAATACTTCCAGTGAAAATGCATCAATGTGTAATGCTTTTATATGATGTAGCACTGACACTATTAACTTAGGAGCACAAGAAGAGGCTCTACTTATTCCTGTTATCCTGCTGGCAAGTTTACAGTTTCGCTACTTAGTTGTGACATCTTGATGAATAAGAGCTAAACATTCCAAAATATTTTGGAGTTACTTCCACATGAACAATATCTCTATCTAAAAATCATAAAAATAATTTTTGTGCCCCTCACTTCACAAACTAAAGAGGAAGACAGCAGTATCGTGATTCCTTACCAACGCGATTGGATCTCCGATGCAGCCAGTCATCAATTAAAGCCTTGCTTCCAAGAATATAGTACATTATTTGATACTTAAGTTTGTAAAAAAACTGCAGTAGATTCATGATTATTTCAAAAGAACTTTGCAACCCACTGAACGTTCACACTAAAAAGCTACAATTTTAAGTGAATGCTAAGGAAAAAAAGTTTGACAATGTATGTAACAATCAGAAATTGAAAAACAGATGAGCTGACATCTTGCGCAAGAGACGGTACGGTTTCATATGAAATGAATGGGTGAAATAACTTTCTAAAGATCAAATAAAACTTTCACCGAACAAAATATCCTTATCAGTGCCGTCATGCATGCACGTAACCTAACTCGACAAAAACATCGCAAAATATAAACACGCACTGTTGCCGTTATGGTGTTTATTCGGACAAAACCTTTAAATTTATTCAATTTATTATTCGTTTCTTGCAGAGTTTTTACTTACATGACGTAACTTCCGCTATTTTTTCTCTAGAAAAATAATTGGAAACTCAAATCATCGAGGAGTTATCTTTGATGTAAATAGAGAGGAGAGGTATGAAAATTGGGTCAGTGAACTGGCAACACCGAATGAAGAGTTCTGAAATTTCGCCGCGAATTTCAAAGATGTGTTTCTGCCCACTGACTCTTCGATTTGAGTAACCGTCTTAAAAATGTTGGACATTTGTAAAAACGCTTAAAAGCATATCCGCTATCCTTCAAGTGTTAATATCAAATTTTAATGATAATGCAGTTGGAAATCTGTGACTTTTAAACTGCAAACCTAAAGAAATAGCAACTTGAAAGACAGAACTACTTGTCGGTGATATTCACTCTAAAACTTTCGAAGCTATTTAAAACCATATTTCCGATACAAATTTCATACAGTAATTCCCAATTTACTAAAAAATTATTTGACTTTTAAATATTTGAAGGAAAATTTCTAAGAATCTATGGGTAATCAATGCATCAATCTGGTGTCAAATCATTCTTGTCAATGAGTACTGTCGACCTACCGGAACTTTTTTTCCGCATTACGATCTACTTTGTCAATGATTGTTGGATACGTTTGATGGTTCAGAGTAAGCTTTGATGAAAAAAAAGAGGGGAAAGTGCAGAGGGATGATAGAGCCTCCACTGATATACAGCAAGTTGGGAGCAACTTAGCAGCTTGGATTTGAGTCAAATGAGCATGAAATAACCAGCATAAATTACTCCACTTTTTAAGTAACCATATTTTTCATACGATTTTAAGAGAGAGGTTCTGATTTTGCAAGACTTACGACCTAACCCATCAAAACTATCCAAAAAATTAATTGAACGCTAAAACACACTGATTAGCATGCTCAATGACAAAAATAATAAATGATACGCTAAAATGACACCCTTTTTTCAGAGAGAAAATATCACATTAGTCACATATCGACGGTGAAACTACCAAACCACGTATCCCGGTTTGCGACGTCGCAAACTTCCTGTCATACTTTATTTTTCAAATGAAAAACTACTTAACAAATAGTCTTGAAAATTTCTGTGATTTTTCCTCTTTGTGCGGAGAAAATTCCGTGAAAATTTCAAGGAATGATATGGATTTGGTCTACTTCAAAAAAATAAAATGTGAGCGTAGATTTTTAAACACCGCAAACGAGATACGTGGTTTGGTAGTTTCACCGTCGATATATTAGAACCGCAGTCAAAAGCAATCTTTCGCCTCTAAAAATCCACATATCATTGAATTTTTTCAGAGGGTAAAACACCTCTTGAGTCTTCAGAAATTAACAGTGCATTCTGAAAATTCTTCAAAAATGACACTGAACTAAAAATGTTGAGCTAAAATCAGCCTCAGATCTGAAGTCTCTTTCACAATCTGACAAATTATCTTGGAAGTAGTGACTGAAGGAAAATACGATTATTGCGATTCTTTGATTTTCCTCTGCAACTTGTTTCTTAATTGAAAGATTTGTAATTTGGACGAGAATGTTGTTTCAATCAATCAATCGTAATAAAAGGAAAACCACAATTTTATTGTTGCGATACATCTAAAATTTTTACAAACTACTGCATAAACCTAAATTATCAGTCCCTGCATTTAAAAAAAGAAAATAAGAATAAATTTCTTACATTAAAACAGAATTTACGAGCATCATATTAGAGCTCATGAGGAAAATATAACCACCAAGATCATTCTGGAGGTAAGTTTCATTAATTTTTTCTGTGTAAAGATTACTCACAACTTGAGTGAATTGGCAATAACATACTTAGAAAATAACTCCAGCTTTACGCAAAATGAGAGTTTGAAATTTAGTCTCCATGTTCCAATGGAAGAAGGCTTTTTCTTGGTGCGATTTCAAAATTTAGGGATCAAAATCATTAAAGAAGCCATCCATTGGAAACATTTCTTTGAATGCAATTCTTCTTAGGCGAGGGAGATTAATCAATTCTATTAGGAATTATTTTTCTCTGCCAAACTTTCACATTGCCTACGACCTTTACATTTTAAGAATAGGCCATACAGGTTATAGAAAAAGTCACTCCCATTGCTCTGTAAGTGCCTCTTTTAAGTTCTGAAGGTCCTGTAATTAGTCCTACAGGAACTATTAGTTTCCTGTTCTTGACCACTTCCTACAATGAAGAACAATTAATGGTTTTTGCACTATGAAGCCGAGGTATTACAAACATTTTTTCATCAACTTATTCTAAGTATGATAATTTTTGAGATGAAGACAGAAGTCTTACTTCTGGAATGGAGTTCTTGCATGCATGGGAGAGTTCCGACTTTGACCATCAATCCTTCATAAAGTTTAGGGAGCAGTCTTATGGTGTTACTGATAGTGTCAACCCTCAGGCTCAAAAAGAGGTCCTGAGGTTGAAGCAGTAATGGAGGAGCATCGCCACCTCATAAGATAGTCTAGGACTAGTTAAAATTTCTGTGCAAGAGCAGAACTGATAACTTTAGCAGAATAACCATCCCTGCAGTGTAAAAATGACCATATTGAAACATAGAGAGACCCAACCTGATCGCAATTCTGCAAATGTATTCAACCTCATCTCTGCACTGAGGATTTGATTGGATCAGAGAGGCATTCGTGCATAAGGTAGTGGTGCTCTACTGATATGATCTCAACTATGGTTTTTTTCTATGGCTCTTGGGAATCACTTCAGAAAAAACCAGCAGCACTGCCGTTTTTCTCACAAAACTTCACATGAAAGAAGACGATTCTAATGAAAATCTCTGCTGCATACAGGAACTCCAATAATTTCGCAAAAAATTTTCCCTGGAGAAAACGACGGGGTAACTGTTAGACTAACAAGATATTACAGGAGACAACAACTCAAAAAATTATTTTTGCTGGACCGTGGGTGGAAGCTGCGCTGAGACAACTCTAAAATCAATTTGTAAGTGCCGCAATGAGTCATTTTCTTGCCATCACTGCGATGAGCTAGAATGATTCCTATGGTTTCCCTGGCTCCCAGCATTCACAATCAAGAAACTAATCAAAACACTTGCATTCTGTTTTGTGCATTGGCTCAGATATTTCCTGTTTAGATATTTCGCAGCAAAATATTTGTCTTAATATTTAGTTTATGTCTAGCCACAGCTATGATTCAACATTTGCAAGCTGGGAATGGTACAAGAGACTTCCACTAGTTCCAGTGTTACAAAAGTTACTTTGTTTATCATAAGGAACTTTCTACTTGATACAAATTTTAGACTATTCTAGATCTAAAATAAAAACTAGTTTCTAACTTGAACTACCGATGGACTTTTTGGGTTGGTGTCACCTACAAGTAAACTGCACAAAGAACAAAGAAGAAAAACAGTACAGGGTTAAAATCATAATTATTACAACGGTGCATTCTGATTTCCACTGCTCTAGAAATACTTCAAAGAAACGTAACTGCGTCAATTAACAAAAAAGTCACTTTTGGGTTCAGTAAATTCTAATAGATACATCATGGTGCATCTCTGCTCCTCACCTAAGTGCATTTAAAAATCAAAATTCCACAGATCAATATTTTACAAAAACAAAAAAAAAAGAGTATGCCTAACTGTTCATCATTTTCTTTGATGAGGAAGATACACAAATTACATTAAAGAGAAAGATAATTGATAATAATCACAAGGTTTTATTCGATCAGCATCACATGCTGATAGATTCACAGCACAAAACCTCTTACACCGACTAAGCCGATCGGAACCTTTGGAAAAAGGATGCCTCTTTATAATGGTTTCTCCTTGATATGGAGCAAGTAAGAATGGAAGAAGTATACCTGTTGGCGTGTCTAAGAACTGTAGATGAACTTTCGTACCCATATTAGGAACTTCAAGGTTTTAACAAAATATCACCATCATTGATGCTCAGGTGGAATGTTCGGTCTTGGATGTACGCGTGGTCTAGGTTAAAGGGAACTTTGTTTTTTCATAGTCTCTTGAAAATGTGGTGTCCACTACCAAACGTCCATCTATCAACGCGAGGTCAAAGATGGCAACCGGCGTCCCGCTCTCTCTGGCTTCATGAAAATCTGGGTCGTGCCTTGTTCTTTTTCTTGAATAAAAGCCTTCCGTTTCAACAGAGTCTCTGTTGTCCTTTTTCCCTTGTCTGGGGACATGTTAATATGGCGACGAGGATTTAAAGAGTCGAATTCGCGTGTGTAGTCCATCAAAAGTCAAGTCTAAGTCCAAGTCTTAGTCAGTGCAAATCTTATGCACGTATTGAATCATGCAGGAAGGCGCCGAGAACAATGTCAACGAGCTCTAGGTACAGTCTCTATTTCAGTACCTGCAACACTTCGATCCCTCTGCTGAGAAATTCACAGAATGGGTCGACCTGTTCGACCAGTTTTATTTCATTAACAATATTGCGGATGAGCCTGCCCCAGCGGCGCAAGGGCAACCCCCCCCCCTAACAACCATAGAAGAGCTTTGTTTTTAGCTTACATAGGGCTGCGCTCTCATCAGTTATGAAAGAGTAATTGTCTGCCACAAGCACCGCAAGATCTCCCTATCCTGGAGCTAGTAGCCGTATTGAAGTCGCATTATGAGCCGGAAAACTTGTTGGAAGCATCTCGATATCAATTCAACCAAAGATCTCCGAAGCCCGACGAAACAGTCCAAGAATTTATCACTGCCCTACAGGACTTAACGTCTAAGTGTAATTTCGGCCCATTCCTAGACGATTAACTATGGGGTAGGTTGGTGATCGGAATCAGAAGCGATGCCATCCGTCGCAAACTTCTGGCAACAGAAAACCTAACCTTTGCTCTAGCTAAGGCGAAAGTGATCCAGGAGGACATAATTAGTAACAAAGTCAAGGCCTTGTCCCAAGCTCTTCCAGTCAACAACTTGCATATTCAGCACAACTTCAAGTCATCGGACCGTAAGGGTCACCTTAAACGTCATCCAAGTCCTACGTCTCAGTTTACCCAGCTGTTGTATAGCTTTCACATTTCGCGCCATGTCAACTCCACCTCTTGAGAAGGACCAATCGGCCCGCCTTTTTTCCATCCATGTTTGGACGAGTCCATTGTGTAGGGACAGTCTCCGTCATCGTCTTTGAGGCTCTGTGCTTGTCTCCGCTGTCCTGTGTTCTTATACCAGAATAAAGTGTCTTTTCATCGTCCGAAATGTCTTCTTCCTTTCTTCGCAATTCAGCGGAAAGTCCGTTATAACATTGGCAACAAGGATATTCAGTTTTAGTCGTTCATAGTGGTCTTTCGTCAATCGCGCATGTCAGTGCTCGTCATACCCCAACCCGGTTTCGTCACGAGTTCGTCTTAAGTTAAAGAACAATCAACACCCGTACACAGTTAATATATCATAAACATAACAAAACTACATTATTAGTCTAATAAACAAAAAAATTTCCGTCTTTTCATCAATTCATCCGTTTGTAGTTCTCAAGATGTGTCAAGGTGCAAGGGTGCCTAACCTCAACAATGGGACGAAGAAGAAGGAAACGTGCTTCAAGTTTGAGTGATTCTTCAGAACTTGACCTCCTACAGATATTTGGAGTCCCCACATCCAATGATTTTGATGATGTTTTAGGTATCATTCCTGTAAGTCCAACTTCAACCATGTCTAACCTGAAATTAAGTGCCTTTGATTCTCAGCAAGGGAACATCGTCGATTTCCTAGACCTATAAGAATCCTACTTCAACGTTTGCAAAATTGCAGAGGAAGAAAAAGTCGATCACTTAATTTTACAATGGACTACTAGACAAGGTAGGAATTTAAGCATTCTGATACGTGTTCGTTAACAATATTTTCACGTAGAACACGATTCGCGCAACGAAAATTACTGAAACCAACTCCTCACGAAGATATTAACATTTCTTTTTCACATTGGTTACGAGGAATTTGAACTGCCCGCTCACGAGAAACTCAACGCTCCACGTGAGTCAAAACACGCAGTACAACGGTTTCAGCAAGCTTCTTAATCAAGCATTGTTCATTTCCCAGCATGTGTTATTCAAAATATAGGCAATTTACTATAGCTGAGGCAAAGTGTCAAGATTGAGGTTGCCAGATTTTTATATCGCAAAGACTGTCATGATAACGTTTAGCGCGCGATGTGAATCACGTAGAGCATTGAGTTTTCATGAGCTGGTGGTTTGAATTCACGCATCAAGAATCATTAAATATCGTTGTGTGGAGTTGATTTCGGTAATTTTCGTTGTGCGCATCGTGCTCTACGTGAAATTCTGGTTAAGAAACATGTATCAGAACGCTGAAATTCGTACCTTGTCAGTGGTCCATTAACTCCAGAACAGTTTCAAATATTAAAAAACCGTCTAGCACCTAAATCAGTTAAAGACGCGTCCTTCAGTGATTGTGTTATAAATCTCAAAGAACATTACAGTCCGACATTGCTGACACATTTAAATTTCACTCATGTAAACAGATTCAAGGTGAAAAGCTTCCTGATTTCATCGCTGAATTGAAAAATATATCTCTAAAGTGTGACTTTGATACTCATCGAGATAGAGCTCTTCGAGACCAATTAATCATTGGTCTGAATGACAGTCAAATGATAAATCTAAGCTGCAGTCTCCACAACCCAAGCAACAGTGTTTCCGCTGTCCTAGAAAGCACAATCCAGCATCATGTCCTGCCAGGAATTGGCGATGTTTCTGGTGAAAGAAAGTTGATCATACAGCCCCCCAAATGTCCTACCCTAGTAAACCAAATTGAGGAGGAGTGGTCAAGTCAACCCAACCAATCTACAGCATCTCCACCCAACCAACAGGATGAAGCTCTCATCAACTTCCTGCGGAACCCAAACCAGCACTTCTCGTTGGTCAAACATCTGTGTGAAACGTCTGCAGAGGACACCACACCAAACAGAGCAATGTTACTTCAAAATTAAGCAGAGTTTATTCAGTAAAAAAAAATTAAAGAAATGAAAAAAAAAAAAAAAAAAAACTCCAGGATTTCCAAAAATGAACCTCCTGGCCTTGACTTGAAGTAATCTTAAGAAAGGTAATGGCTGAAAGTCATCAATTCATTGATTATAGTGGTAAAGAAAATTCATCAGATTGAAAAAAAATAAAGGAGATTCATACTTGCTACACACAAATTCTTAAATTCAAATCATCGAACAATCATGATCTATCTACAAAGAGTTTTGAAAAAAGTTGCAATTAGTCCAGATGTATGTTAGATTGGAATATGAGCACTAGACTTTCAAAGAGTTAAAAGAAATATCGACAATAAGGCGTTAAGTCGAGGCTGGTTGAAACCACTCAAGACCTAAATAAACTTCTTGACATGAGATTTTGAATGCCTGAAGTTACATTTCTCTGGTTGAATTCACTTTTTATAGGTGGCACTTGGCACAAAATAGGTCTACAAGCGATTTTTTTCTTTTTCCAGAAAATAAAAACTATGATCTGCCGTAGGGCAAGTTTAAGCATTTCACCACTTTCCACCATCTTCCGAAGTTTACTTCAAGTGATGTGAAGCTTCATCTACATACACTAGCCTCAAATAGTATCATTGTCTATTTCTATCAATTGTGGGTGTTTTCTTTGATATACACAAGTCTCCTTGCCACTCAGAAAACAGAGAAATTCTTTCTTTAAACAACTCCTCATAGATAGATAATTTTTGCTTGATGCTATCCAAAGGTGTCCTTTTTTTTCGCAAAAGAACAACAAATACCCAAAAAAGCCTAACAGGAACTAATAACTGTCAAAAACCGTCAAGGGATTCCATAGCGGCTGCCACAATTACAAAAAAATTTGTTCGAATTTCACAAGTGCAGAAATGGGGTCCTCCTTGTGCTCGAAGAATATAGATATCTACATGTCCTAAATAAGCGCTGTTATAACCTCTTTACCATTCCATGGTAGTAGATCATATCAAAGGCTGACCTTTCATTTCAAAAACACTAAAATGAACTGCACTTTTGGACTTTGACTCTGCACAAACCTAAAATGCTTCTTGGTTAAGTAACCTTTTTCTTAAGACTGGAATATACTTCTTGCAGCTTTCATTTTAACCAATGACTTCTCAAAATCTTCCATACAAAGTGGACTTATTCTTATGTTGACAAATTCTGCGTCTCCGGAAGGACGTTCACTTTTACTACTTGGTGATTTTGACGACTGACTAGAGGATAAGTCTTTAGAAGAGTCTTCTTTGCTTTGATTCCTCGAATCAAAAATGCCACCGTTTTCTTGGCTCCTGAAACAGAAAGGAGAGAAAATATTTACATGTTAAAAATTGAGTTAAGAGAACTTTTATGACTGATAGGAAAATAATAATAAAATTGGGATAAGGATTTCTAAAAAAAATCGGTTTGGTGAATTTATTTTTCAAATAAAAAGGAGAGCTTGAGCACAAAATATAGTGATTCATTAGAGGTGTCGTCAGATAAATTGACATTTCCTTACTTTCGATTTGCAGGCGTTTTCACGTCACTACCATCCAAATGAAAACATCTGATTCTCGCAGAAGGGAGAACACAAGCTTGGATAGGTTTTTTAATACTTTCAAACTTTGTAATACTTTAATTTTTAGCCACGCAGAAATCACAACCACATAAAAGTCGCGAATCATAACTGATAAGTGGTTTTTCTATGATACAATCATGAGACGGATGTTTTTGAGGTGGATAGTAGCTAACGACGCTTTGTGCAGAGATGTAAATTCGTTGTCTGTGCCTGCAAATCTAAAGTAAACATACGGGAACTTATCTGACAACACCTCTACTTCGAAATCACCAATGTTCAACAAATATTGGAGAAAAGGTGATAATACAGATTAAAAGTTAGCTTGTGCAAATAAGTTGAATTCCTGAACAATGATGAGGTCAGAAAATCTACCCTCCGGTCAGAAAAAGCCTTTTTCAGTGAGGAAAAGTACAGAGAAGAACGAAGAGAAAATTACGATAGAATCACTCACTTGACATAAGATTGGAAAGCTTTCTGATTCCTAGTGCTCACTGCTTTACGGCACAATTCATACAAATCTGAGCACGAAAAACCATCAGTTTTTGTTGCCAATACATCTAAACTAACGTCAGAAGCTAGTTGCTCGCCTTTCAATGTAAGGCCTAGTACTTTCTGCCTTTGTGTTGTTGACTGTAAGAAAAAGAAAGAACAAGTTTGACAGATTAAGCAGAGAATTGACAATCAATTTAACAAAAAAATAATGAAAGAAGTTAATGATAAAAATATATTGAAATGAGTAGTGAGAATTCAAAAGAGTGTTGAAAAGGAAAGTAATAATCAACAACTTCTTCAATGATTTTAAATATGATGATGTAAAAAACCATGATTTTAGTTATTCTTACAAGTCGGATTTGATAAATTTCTTTTGAAAAAGGAACTATAATATTGCGAAAAATTACAAAAAAATCACAAATTACAGAATGCAATTTTTTTTGGGCAAAAATTTGGATTACAACGATTTTCAAAAAGAAAAAAGAAAACACAGGTGGATTTCCTGGTCACCCTTATTCTTTTCGCAGGTCTTCCATTTTCTGCTCACCTGACTTAGTCACTATTTGCTAATTTATGGATAGATTTTCAAAATACCATTAAGTAACATGCTAAACTAAGTCATTCTGCGTAATTAATTCAGATTGATCGATCCTTTGACTGGATTTTGCTTTAATGGGTTCAATTTACTGAACCTGGTAGGTTTGGTAGGTCAGTGACATTTTATTGCTTCAATAGAATGTACTGCGTTCGCAGAGCCCACAGTAATTTTTGTTTATTGCCACACCTTCAAGAAAAATTCAACTGAAGTGCACTAAAACTGAGCAGCAGAAAACACAGTACAATAAATAGGTGTTGACAGATGGTCTCGTCAAAAAGATCAACAATCTTACAGGGATAAACAGAAGAAGGTGTTCTTAAACCGGTCTCCTCTTAATTTTTTCGAAGATGCTCATTGCTCTCTCCTGACCTCTACCACTTACAAGGGTATTCATTGAGCCATCCCTTGCCTAATGCATATTCCAGCATTTGTTCTATTGTTTCGAAACAGGTCTTAGCAATGCACATGCAGTTCATTCCTTGACATGTTTTTTACCTTCTGCAAAAAAGGAAGCATGGTGTCTCACGTCCAGAACAGCTTTCAGGGATTTTTTAACATTTTATAAATCACTGAGAAGCTTACATAATGGAGGATTCAAGTCCATAAAAAATTTAGAATTGGAAATTCTACACTTAGTTCCCTTTCACATAACTACATCCAGTTTTGAGTGCCCGAAAGATATAAACGCCTAAATTAAGGAATAATTGAGAATATAGGATTTGGTTGCAAAATTTTAATCACTTCATCTGAGAGTGCTCGAAGAGCTGATGCTGCAGTATCCTATACTTTTTTTCTGGAATAGAAAAAAAAAGTATAAAAACAGATTTAAAAGTTAGAAAATGCACAGCCTGGTGATGTCATCTGGCAGCATTTCCCCACATAAACCTACACTTTTCTCCATTTAAACACATAAAATGTATTTCAGCAGAATAGATCATTTTGTCTTTTTTCCTATAATAATTGTTCAATTCATAAACCAAGGGTATCCTTGTGTTCAATTCACTCAGTGGTTTATACTTAGGCACGAAATTCATCAAATTTCAGACACCTGCAAATTCTCCATTGTGAACAAAAGCAAAAATTGTAATACTTATATAGTGCCAACAGGCACCAAAAATAATCTTCGACAGTTCAAGAATCAACCCTGCTACTTACAGGGTAATCAATGAAAAATACAGTTGGCATACGGCGTAAAATTGCAGCATCAATATCCGAAGCTCGGTTCGTGGCACCCATTACAATTACAGTGCAGTTGGGATCCGTGAGTAGACCATCCCAGAATGACATGAACTGAGCCTTCATCATTGCAGTTGCCTCATGATCTTGGGTCGTTCTGCTCCTCAGAAACGAATCTAAAAATTAAGAAAAGAACATTGAATTCAACTTGAGTGGCAAGAATAAGAAATGCTGAGGTTTATTTGCTTTTTCTCTTCATAATTTCTTCTTAACGCTTCTTTTTAACTGCAAATACCCTCAAGTGGGTAATCCTGTAACTAGAGCCCCATCGTCATTTGTCCTTACTTAACAAACAGCCCCAAACAATCATTGTTGAAACCACTATACTCAGGTTAGGGGTGCCTGACCAAGAATCGAACCGAAAACGTTCTAATGACAGGGCCAACGCTACGACTTCTACACCGCAGGCCAACACACCCAAAACGAAATGGAAATTAAGGACTTCCTAGAGCTCAACAAGTACTTTAGCCAAGTTTTCCAGTGACTTAAAACATGAACTGCAAGGACCTTTCCAAACTTTTGAGCATTTGAGTACTTACAACGGAAGCAATAGCAGGAATATTGTTCATGTTTCAAACCAAAATACACAGCTACCTAGTTTGCTGACCAGTGCATAATATAAATAGATGTTAGGCCTTAAAAAGACCCAAAATTCTGCTGGCGAATCAACATCCATGAATGTTTACAGACTTTTTAAGGGCTTTCAACTTAAAATGCAAGGATTTTTCAAGACTCTTGGGGTTCAATTAAGGATTTTCATAAACTTTTACAGCAAGTGTAACAAGGGCTTCATTTCAGGAGAGAAGTTAATAATTTTTCTTGTGATCCGCCAACTGAGCACTTTCTGCACCGCCGCACAATTCCTTGACTCATAAGCTTTCCCAGACTGCTGGAAACCCTGAGTATAGTTCTTCTCTCCCAGTAAAGCAAGTAAAAAGGTTTACAGAAACTTACCGATTTCATCAATGAATATGATACAAGGCTGTAGTTTTGTTGCAAGAGTAAATACTGCTGCTGCAATTTTTTGACTTTCTCCATACCACTTGTCAGTCAGAAGGGAAACTTCCAGGTTAATAAAGTTTGTGCCAGCTTCACGAGCCGTTGCTTTTGCTAACAAAGTTTTTCCACAACCAGGAGGCCCATGCAAAAGAACTCCTGTAAAAAATTTTAAAAGAAAAGGGTTTAATAGCTTTGGAGTTTGCTTTGAATTCCAATAGACTAAAATATGAAGTTGAAATGTAGAAGACATAGGTATCTTTTTCGAAACAAAATTTGCTTCCATTCTTCGATTCCTCACCAAAAGCAATTCAATTTGCGAAAATACAGAAAGTTATCGAAGTGACAAATTTTTTTCAATTTCAAAATTTACTGTCCTTTCCTAAACTTTTCAAGGTTATAGAGCAGAAAATGTCCTAACTCTTCAATGACTTTCAATAGTTTTTCTTGGATAATTTTTCAAAACCATGCTCTTTACAAAAAATGTTCCATGTGAAGCCTCGTGAAATTGAAAAAATTCGAAGATGCAAGGGCAGAGGTTTTAATTCTTGTCAATGGTGTAAAAGCGGTAGAAAATTATTAAATAATTTGGTCGGAGAATAGAAAGTCAAGGTTCTTTGACGGAATTTCCTGACTTTCCAGGGTTTTCAATGACTTTCTTGACAATTGTCATCCTGCTTGATAATGAATAAGGCAAAAAAATGAAATTATTATAGCTAACAATTAAGAATCATGATTCCTTGTCAAGTATTTTATTTATGATCTACATTTTCATTGAAGCACTGCATTGAGGCATCTTGAAGCAAAGAGAGCAAAATGGACGGTGTTCTCTTGGCTTCAAGATGTGTAATGATTTGAAAAGAGAAAGTTGTGTAAAGAAAAGAATTGACCTTTCGCATGACGTTCAGTAGTCATCATACAGAGCAGAAGTCTTGGATCGGTTTGAGAAAAAGAAAAAAAAAAGCAGAAAAATTATGAGAGCCATATCAAACAGTGGCGAGGCTTGAATGTTCAACTATCGATATTTTCCCATTTGAGACAATGGTAAAGAATTGATTATTGGGGTGTTCGTTGCAAACACCCTGTTCATCGATCCTTTTCTATGGGGTTAAATGGCAGATGAATCGATACACCGCAATACACGCCAGGCCACTGATATCAAAACTTGCCTTTTGGAGGTCGAGTGAGTCGAGATTCCGGTCTTGCTCTCATTAATTTGATAGGATAAATAACACTATATTTTAGTTCTTCAATGATATTATCTAAACCAGCAACATCATCCCAAGAAACAGGAATGTCATTAGGTCCAACCAAATTGGCAGCTACCATCATTTCATGATCATTTAACTGAAAGTTAAAAGGAAATAAGAGTATGAGAAAAAACAAGGAAAATAACAGCAAGGAAATGTTTTCGAAAGTTCCTGAGAAATGGCACAATTTATTTCGCTACAGGGCTATTTGTAGAGCCTGTCGCAGCAACTTTGAAAAATTATAACTCAGCAACTGATCGTTCTCCTGACAAGTGCTTTAGCTTATTTCAAAGAGAAAAACAAGGACTTTCTTTTCCATACACAAATGTTACATTTTCTGCAACCCCTCACATTGAAAAATCTTAAATTAAAATTCTTCAAAATATTCAACAAGCCATAACTTTGTCAAAAATCAACCAATTGTCAATTTCTTATACTCGATAAAAAGATTCTATTATGCTCCTTCATTTAGAAACAAGTTAAACTCAATACCTGCAACCGTTCAAAAGTTATGCCCAAAACTTAATTTTTCTTTGACACCCCCCTCCTCCCAAGAGGGGCTGGATCAAAAAATCTGACATTTTAAAACTTCTCTAACAAAACTAGAGGTATGAAATGATTCCCCTTTGGGCCCGATTCTAATCGGAGCGACATATACCTCTTAGCCCATTTTTTCTTCCTTCAGCACAGAAAAGAGAAGATGTAATATGAAAAAACAAATTAAACTTACGTCAGTATCTGTTTTCATACCCAGCCGTTTGAGATTTGCAAGAGCCTGAGAAAAAAAGAAGAAAGGAAATAAAGATAAAGAAGCTATCTAAAAAAAAAAAATAATTTAAGGTCACTCAAAATGGTGATCAGTAGTTGAGAGGCAGAAAATTTTGAAAATGGAAGGGAAACAAAACTTTGTGGAAAATTGAGACCTCAGAGAGATTGAAATTTTGAGGTTCGTCAGAAAGAATAAAATGATAGGTTGTAACCTGGCATTAACAAGTGAAAACGGCAGACAGCAACTTAGAGGATTCTAAAAATGCGCAGAATTGAAGAATTTACAGACTAATACAGGGAACTTGGGAGAGTGCCGACTATTTGCAGATTTTTTGCAGAAAATTCAAACTTTTTGTAGAAACTTTAAGGTCATGCACATTTTGCAGAGATTTATTGTGATTTTGTTATATTTTCCTGGCTTAAAGGCTTGCATGTTCAGTTTTGTAGATGTTTGCAGACTACATTATGGATCTTGTTAAAATTCAGATGTGGATATAATGGGAAAATGCAGATTATTGGTGTATTTTATCTTGATTGGTTTGGATAAGTTTATAGACTTTTTACCACTTCGGCAGAGTGTATGCAGATAATTTGGTAAAATTGATGCGGACTATATACAGATCTTTGGGTGCTTCTTTCGAGTGCTTTTTACAAAATAGGAGCAGCAGCACTGCCTGCAAGAAACCGCCTACACTTCAGAATTTGATGCGTGCTGGACAAAGATAGCAGAAGGTTTCAAGGCCGCCCAAAGGGAGGACAAACAGAACTTCTGTCCTAGAGCCACGGCTTACCAGGGTCAAACTGGCTCTAAAATTTTTGAGGTACCACAGAAATTTGTCAATCTATCTCGGAACAACTTGAGTGAGGTTTCTACCTTCTTTCAATACCACTTTTTTCGATTGCTTAATTTTTTTTCTTTGATATATCATTGCAAAATTTCATCTGAAATTGTACGTAACTTTAGTGACTCAGGAAATTGAAAAGTTGGGTACTTTGGCATCACAATTGCAGTTATTCAAAAAGTTAGAAATTGAGTTGAGAAGACTTACTTAAAAATTCAATTATTTAAATTTTTGAGAGGAGGTAAGTGCCTCCAGAACTCTCCTTTTTCAAGTAAGAGGGTTTCTCCCCGGGGGGCCGGTCACTTTAGTTGGTCCATTTGTCTCAAATGCAGCATCCATATTTTTTTTAGCAGGATATCTCTTTAAGGGAAAATTGTGTTCAAATGAGCTTTTTCCCTCTGCATTGAGATGGCCATTTATATGCTAAATTGTAATGCACACCGGCTACACCACCAACTTTCTATCTAAACGACTCATGTGCCTACCGCAATCAGTTTGCATATTAATTTTAAGTAGTCCTGAAACATTTCAAAGATGAAAACATAAGATATACACCTTCTTCTTGGCTTCCTCCTTCTGCTTCTTTGTTGGATCTATTTTGTGTAACATCCATTTGAATGCGACAAAGGACACAACTGTGATCAGAGAGAATCTGATGATCAATAGGCCTAGTTCCCTTTGGGTCAACGTATCACTCATGGTGTGGCGTTCTGATTTCTTTACTTCACGTCCTTACTGTGAAAAAAAGAATATAATTAGGCAGGGGTGTCACATGCATTATTTCAAGGCAATAGAAAGTTATTTAAAATCAAAGAAGATTTCATTTCACTTACCAACTTGACCTCATTTTAAAGATTACAAATGCCATTTGAAATCAAATTGTGTGTCATATACTATAATACCATTATGTGCCATCTGTGGCATTCCTCTTAACTTAGTTACAGATTCTAGAAACTTGATTTTTAAGACTCTGACAAGTACTCAGGTGTTCTACAATATCATACATAATAGAAAGATGAAATCCAAGACTAAACTATGTTGACTCTAATATATGCCTATGTTCGTTAATATTTTTCACCCCTTGTGCTTAGACTAACTTTTCACAATGAATCCTAGAGATTTAAATTTCTTGCTTTGTATCACTGTACTATGAAACTGAGCTTTGTGGCAAAAACAACCTGCAAAAACTGATGTATCAGATGAACCTTGGGGCGACTTAGGTACCTTCAAGGCACTTTGACTCCATCAACTCGAGTGCACACCGGACGGGTTACGACACTTCCGGAATGCATCAGAAGATATACCATCGAGATACTTTCATTCATTACCAATTCAAAACTTACGACAGGAGGACTTCCATCCCAGTCATAAACAATTCTGACTCTTATGGCATGAACTCAACCTCACGTTGCGGCGGAGCGCAGCATGGAACAGCTCTTCACCGAGATGTTTATGTTGGACGTTCAGGTCTTAATTTATCGTCACCGCAATACTAATTTAAGACTTCCTGAGCCCACAGATGAGAAAACAAAATTGATTAAACCAAGAATTCATAGTAAATAATCAAGTGTACTTATTAGAATGTTACTCAGGTTCATAACCTAATGAAGTAGTTTCGAAGTGCAAGTAACTGGAGAAGAAAATAGGCATTAAAAATTGATTTTGGAGAATACCCCGTGTAGTAGAAACTTACGTGCAAAAAAAGGAGCCAACTATCCAAAGATTTCAAAGCGAGATGAACAATTAATGAATACAAAAATTGCTTTTATCTACTAGCTTGCCTCATGTTTGTGAGCAATGTGAGTGAAGTGAACAACATTGAATATACCTTTTCCACCGATGAGTGAGGTTAGGTTTTCAAAAAACCTAATACACTATACACCTAACCTCTAGCTGGCGGTGAAAGATATTTTGTCAGATGGTGTTGGCTGAGGTGCCAGGGTAAACAAAAACAATAGAAGTTCATTTTCAAATCAAATTGATATTTTTTGCCTTTCTCTACAACATCGTGAGCTTCTTCGCGTGTCTCTGTAGATCTTCCTTCAAAAAGTGTATATTTCAAATCTATGTATATTAATTACAATTACTCTTTTCTATTCAAGACCAGAAACACAGTATTATGTGTGTCTGGAACTAGCGTTCATGCCTTTACTTACTTCTATACTTAGCTCATACTGCAGTCGTTTTTATGTTTGAATATCAAACTATTTCTCGGCTCGATTTTCTCTCTTCCCAACAATGATATAAATCTATGAAAGGAAGGTAATGAAACCATGACAGTTTTTGTGAATGATCCGTGTGGCATCATCTGCATAACTTTTACGTATGCTGCCCTACTCTATGCTGATTACGTGATAATAAAATGGGTTGTGATGCAAACAATGATAGACAGGTATGTATGTGAATTCCTCTCTCAAGCAGCATTTATAATATTTTCTGAATCTAGCATAATTTTCATTCTATAATCATAAAATTTATTGTCCAAAGAAAAAGAAAGGAATCTGATGAAGGTGCAACTAATCGGTATTACGTACATTTTTCCCCCTCTGATGCTACATCAGTACAGCTAAACTATGAGCATCTTTCTGGGGGAAATCTTACTTGCATTTTCGCCCCTCTGTTAGTATTTGTCCTCTATGTCGTGATCACTAACGAAGACAACCAATTTTATCTCTAGTGTGACCTAAAAGTCACTTTTGCTCTCTTTTAATGCTTTGAAATGGGAAAACTGCAACTGGCGAAATAGGGTTTATTTTTGCAAAACTACGGTAATAATCACAAATTGTTTGTAAGATCGTGGTAAAGAGCACGTGAATTGCAAAAAAAATAAAAAACATTAATGTACAGAGCCATAAAAAAGTCATATTTTCAAAATTTCTGAATACAAAGGTGTCTCTAAAATAGGAAGGCTTAGAACTTTCTGCATCCCTGAGATCTGGCTTTCTTGCTGAGTCAGATCTGCGGAGCCATTTTTGGCAACTTTTGATTTAAAAGATGCTTCCATCTATGCACCCGCCTAGCAAGGGTAGGTTACTCCTCCGTTGGTTGCAAGTTCATAATTTAGATTAATGTAAATGCAAAATGTCAGACTATGTGTCTCTTCAATCTTGTGAAATCTGGAATTGAAAGATATCATCAATGAAAGTTTCAAATGAAATCCTCAAAAAAATTGAGGTAATTCCAATTCATTCTTTTATTGTAAGCCCAAATGGGTTCGGGGATGCTTCATGAATATATTTAATTGAAGAACTCCTTTTTTTGCCTCAGCATTTAAGTCGAATTTAATTCGTGTCACAAATATACATGTAATTTTTCAACTTCAATATTGCATCCGTCTTAAAATGACTAGATATTTTCTATAGCTATTTCATACATGATCATTAATAAATTGTTGTGATCTTCTCTGTCTCAGCTTGTGGGCTCCAGTGCACGTAGTGCTGTTCAACACGCTTATATTTCTCCTGTCGTTTGCTCATCTAAAAGCGACTTGTTCAGACCCAGGCGTGGTTCCCCTGCCTCAAACTAAGATAGACTTTTCTGATATGCATTCAGGTTCGTTAGCAAGCACCTAATCTGCATTAGCAATTATTCTCCTCTGAACGTGGAGATGCTGAAGTGTTAAAATGGATGTATTTCTATCAAACGGAACTATGTGCATTATGACGTGAGCCCTGTTACGCACATATTCTTATGAGTCTCGGGGCTCATGTCTGAATGCACATAGTTCCGTTTGATATAAATACGTCCAAATATACAACTCATAGGTTTTAGCTTATTCTATAAAATTTTGCACTGTTTACTTACAAATGGATTACATTTACTCATTGTAAAAACACTAACGTGCATAGGGATACTGATATGCACATCGTTTCTGAAGTGAGTGGGAAATTGCAGTTCCTAATTGAATTTAGTGCTAATGATGAATGAACTTAAAAAGACAAGTGAAAAACATAGTCAAGAACTTTGTTTCGCCTCAGTTGACTTCAGTAAGCTAAGGGCTTTTTTTTTATCCGTGGAACGCATGGAACGCGATGGTAGCGCTTCAGGCTGGTTCAACCAGACTGAACCAGCCTCAACCTACCTCGGAAGAGTGGTCCAAGCGTTCCACTGGAACACATGGAACGCACTGGAACGCGCCAGTGGAACAGGATAAAAAAGTGATGCGTTCCGTTGCGATCCACTGTGGTTCGGATTTAACAAAAGCCCTCTAAGGTTTCATATTTTAAAAACATACTTAATGCACACTAGAAATACTCTTGAAGTTGTAGACTAGAACGGATCACAAAACTGGGTGAAAAACTAAGGAGGACGATGTGTAAAATTTCTCATCAAAACTTTATTTAGAGCATGATGGACGCATTAAAACTTTCCAAACTCAATTGATCAGTGAGATAATCATATCTTGTCTACGTCAATTCAAACTTCCTGCTCACAAAAAGAACCAGAGTCTACTTGAGTTGAATCAACCTTTAAACTAATTTTGGTATATTTTATTTTCAAAACCCCTAAAAAACAACTGAAATAATGCCATTTTGACTCTGTTTGTATTCTATCAACTCGAGCTTGACCAATTTACTTCCGTAGTTGTAAAACATAGGTAGTTCTAATTGGAAAAAAAACTATTTTTTAAAACTAGTTTGTAGTTTAAAAAAACCATATTTTTAAACTACATTTTATTCTTGTCATAAATACTGGTTATGCTGTGTCAGCTAATTTTTTTTTTTACTAAAAACTCATTATCTACTGTTTCTAATAATGCTCGGATAATTAGGGCATTACTGTAGATTTAAAAGTAAAAAAATGTACTGCTTTATGACATCAATAGGCAGCTTTTTCCATTTGAACGTTATGAACTGTAGCAGATTAGGTCATTTCGTCATATCTCCTCCAAATTGCTGAACTAAAAACCAAGGATATCCTTATGCTCAGTTCCTTCAGTAGGCTCCACTTAAAAATCAAATCTATCAAATTTCAGACACCTGCAAATCCTTTCTCGCTACATACTGGAGTGACAAATTCAAAATAGATTACACTTTAACAATAAGGAGGAAATTATATGACTCATCCTCTTTTAAAATGAAGTTGTCAAGTATGGACTCAGTCATGGACAAAAATTGTAAGTTTCCCTCAGTTAAGCTCACGTTGAATTGCAACAGTAATATTTTTTACTGTCAACAGGGACAGAAGGTTTGCTGCAGAAGGAGAATTGGACGGTTTGTACCCGATGTGAAACTTATAGACCCCCAAGAGCTCATCATTGTCGCATTTGCAAACGTTGTATTAGGCACATGGACCATCATTGTCCTTGGTTTGTAAAACTTTTATATGCTGTTCCCCTTTCCTTCATGGTTACCTCATTTTCATTTATTCTTGCAAATTGAAAAAAGACTTAACATAATTCTATTGCCTCATCAGGTATCCCTCTAATGAGGTACATATATATCCATCTTTGGTGATTAGTTACATAAAAGAGTGTTTAGTCAACTTTTGGCCAAAGTATCACAAGTGCTAATTACGCTCAGACGCTGTGTTGCCAGACATTTCAATGATGTTTTAAGTAACTTTTTTTTTAGGTTTTTGCACATGCTTCAATAAAAATTTCAAAGATTAATTTTAATAACAAAAGAAATATCAGGTATAATGTTCATTAGTTTTTCCGTCCAAAAATTAGACAAGTTAGAGAAGTTTGTCAATATGGAGGCTAAGTTCAAATGGTGGTTGTGACACTTCGGCCAATTTAGCTAAGGCAAAAAATTTACTCTGAAGAAATATAGAAATATGAAGAATAAGTCAACAGTCATAAATAATTACTATAGTTGATTTTGACCTTTTTAGTGCAGTAGGCCCTTCCTTGATCTGCAACTTACTTAGTACGATTCAAAAGTTTAAAATTAGGATCTAATACCAATCGTGGGTGGTTTGAATGGATGAATTTTAAAGATTGGCCAACAAGCACATATTTTCAAGAGAATTATTTTCCCCTACCTGAGAATATTTTCTGAGTTCTTCAGAAAATATGTATCTGTCGGCCAAAAAACCAACTTTTTAGAATTTTTGTGCCCATTCAATTTGGTTCAGTATGGACTTAGAATTACATTCAAACTGTATTATGGGTGTTGAAACATTCATTGCCTGACGGGCATGAAAATGAAGGCGTTAAAAATAAAAATGACTCAGCTTCAGATAGATGACATGTGTTATTCCAGACAATTTGCCTGTTGGCTGATATTTTAACTTTTTTGGACCATTTCTTCCAACTAACTGATGCCATAACCTCTTTCTAATGCTCTCTAGAGAATGATTAAGTCGGCATTTTGATCTTGTCTTATATTCTATCAAGTCAACTTAGTTTATTTCTGTCTATTAACTCAATTTTTCTTCCTGTGTCTGTTTTCCAATAGGATAAATAATTGTGTCGGTGAGCGTAATCAGCAATACTTTGTTCAGTTCCTGATGTATGTTGGTGTGCTCTCTCTCTATGCAATAGTCTTGGTTGCATTCTCGTGGATTAAAGAATGCACCTACTGTAGTGAAGAAATCAGTATCAAGCAGACAAGAATGTAAGTGTTAGTCCCTTTATCACAGTACCTATGCCCATCATTAGAATTGATAGGCGACTAGACAAAATACAAATTTAAGGATTCCATCCACGTTTTTTCTTTAAAGTTTCATTAAGAACATGATTTGTGCTGCTTCATAACCGAAACTAACTCTTAACAAAGTATCTATGTATTCATTTAGCACTAGTCTCGAAAAATGCCATATTTTCATACTGTGCCCAGAGACTGTTGGGGGTAATGTTTACTGTGAATTATGGTTTTTTCATGAACAGGCTGTTTGAATTTATGTATCAAAAAACGTTATTATCTTGGTCAGGAGTTTCTTTTAATAATTTTTGTCGCACAAATTGTGTTCTACTTGAAATATTCATGAGATAATATCGACTGTGTAAGTTGACAATCACATAACTTGGTTTGCAACATCGCAGACCTCCTGCCATACTTTATTTTGTAAATGGAAAACTACTCAACGGTAGTTCTTTAATACTGCTGATTTTTCGTCTCTGTGCAAAGAAAATTCTGCAAAAACTTCAAGGAATGATGTCAACTTGCTCTCCTTTAAAAAAAATAACATTGAGGCGGAGATTTCCCAGACACCGCAAACGATATATGTGATTGTGGACTTACGCTGTGGATATTTATCTAATGTTTAAATTAGCATCTATTCTATTAAATACAGTGGCCCATCATTTTCCGTATTTTCATTTATAATTAAAGCAAAAAAAATTTCCAAGATATAATCTTGTTATTTCCTTTATATCCAATCGTAATAAATGGTTTGACATCTGAACCAAGTATCATGGGAAACAAATTGTTTCAGGAGAACATATAACTACTTACTTGTCTTTTCTTTGACGGTAAGAAGGTAATAATTCATGATGATTTTAACTATAAGGTGCTCTTAACACCCTGCAGACATTTTTGAAAATAATTAAAAGGGTTGGAAAATATAAAGAGAGAAATGGAGTTTTGTGTTTTGAGAATTTGAGGTTAACACATTATCTCTTGGCATTGAATTTAGACTTCAGACTTCAGACTTTCAATCAGTTTTTTCACCGATACTTATCAAATTATAGCTCAACAAAAAGCTGTAAAAAACAGTGAGCTTATACTATCTAATAAGTCTGTAAAATTTTTTACCGGGGTGCTGCACTTTCAGTGGTTTGCGAAAAGATTATTTACACAGTACATCCAGCAACTTGAAGGTGGTAATGGTAACTTGAGAAACTATGTGGCTATCTGTGTTTCTGTATCATTGTTCCATGATCACTAGTTTTCATCATAACAGTGGTAAGCAGCAGCAAGCAATAATAATGAAAAAATAAATAACATATCACTGATATTGGCAAATCTTCTTGCTATGTTAAAAAACAAAAATATGTACATAACAAGAACTGACAATCCTTGAAAGTCGAAAAAATCACCAGTCACAGATGGCAGCCATACACTGAGCAACTGCTGCACAAGAGGTGGTAGCTGATTTTGGGTCAGTTACCCAACAATAAAATCTTACAGAATTATCAAACATCCATCATAGAAGTATTATCTCATCTTCACAGAAAATATTACAATTAGCTGATTTTCACTATTTTTTAACCATCTGCTGAAGCAAAAAGACTACTCTTGAAATCATGGGAACAAGCTATTATTTGCTATCATAATTCTTCAAGATTCAAGGTAGTGCCTATTCGGTGTGAGTAGTCATCAACGTTGATATGATGTTTTGAGATCATAAAAAGAGACCAATTCTGCCATTTATTTGGTGTTCTAACGTTTTGCGGCAGAAAAACGATCCAAAGGATCAAGTAAAAATTCAGTGTGGTGGTTCCTCAAGTTTTGAAAGGGCGCCTTATTGATGGAGGATGTTTTTAAATAAAGTATCAAACAACAGTTTTAAAACATTAAAATTTAGTTTTTTGCGACTTTCTAACGTTTGCTCAGCTGTGACAGAAAAACAATCTTAAGGATCAAACTGAAGTTTGGTGTAATTATTCCTTGATCAAAATGTGATCAAGAACGAAGGACAGAAGTCTATCTAATTTATTAATTATTTTTTTTCAGATTGCACTGTGTGATATTAGTGATGGAAAGCACTCTGTTCGGAATATTTGTAACTGCCATACTGTACGATCAATTGGAGGCTATCGCCAAAAATCAAACTACCATAGAACAACTTCAATCAGGCTCAAGCTCTAGTTACAGTATGAGAAGAATGTGTTTTAGTCAGCTGTGTCGTTTTCCCTTCGAATATTCCCCCCTTTCGAATTCATCATCTTCATCATCACTTCATAGCCTCAGGAATTCAACAAATAAATCCTTATCTAGTGACATTGTTTGATTAATCTATGTGTTTTAATCTGGTCCAGACTTCTTGTTAGTTCTTTAAGTATGAAGTAAAGTTGATGAAAGAAGTCTAAGTGACAATAGCAATGATGTTATTACTTATATCCAAAGAATTTTCCCTCCTAAAAGGAGGCAACGGCAGTGAATTTGAGGTACATGTCATTCTCATTTGATGTAACAACTGATTACGTTATAATCTTTTGACTCTTGCAACTGTCATTTGCACTCAGCCTATGAAAATTGCTGAGACACCAATTGGTGATCATATGATCATAGTCAAGGTGACATCATGGCTCTAAATTATACATAGTGTTTTCTCTATAGAGGGACAAATCTCACGTAGAGCACAATTTCCCTCTTTAAGTTATTCTGTTTGACGCAATACTAGTTATGTCTAATGAAGAAACATCTACAGATGCATTTCAAGTCTAATTAGACCTATCATGAGTGCGATTTTTCCCTCCTTAACAAGAATAATCTATGTAATGTATAGTCATGACAAACCAGATTTTGATTAATCATTATTTCCTCTCTCCCAGTAAGTTTAAGTAATGTCTGGCTCCCGCGGCCATGAGTTACAAAATTTTGTTAAGAATCATCGTAAGGTGTTAAAACTGTTGTATTAAAAATAAGATGCGTTAAGAAAAAACTCATCATTTACATTATACTGAAAAAAAAATTGTATGCAATTAAATATTTTATAGCAATGGACCACTGGACAAGGTACAAATTTCAGCATTATGTAATATGGTTTCTCATCAAAATTTCATGTAGAACATTCTACATGATTCTTCTAGAATCCTTACTGTGACAGTCTTTGATGTATGAAAATATGACAACCTCAATATTGGCGCTTTGGCTCAGCTATTGTACGGTGTTTACACTTTAAACAACATAGGGCGCTAAAGGAACCTCACTCGATTGAGAAGCCTACCAAAACCGGTATAGTATGCCTTTCGATTCAAGCAGCTCTTACCAAAATCGGTGTTGCATACCTTTTGATTCAAGCAGCTCCTGTTTTCTCATGTGAGGGAAATTTAAATTTCTCATTACCAATACAAAATAAAAACTTTAAAATCGTGGTTGGATGCTAATTTTAGTGATTTTCATCGTGCAAATCGTGTTCCTAATAAATAATGCAGCAGATACACGTATCGAAATGCATAAAATCGTACCTTATCTAGTGGCCCATTGTCAAAGCTACTAAATGCACACTAAAATTTGACCCTATTGAAAATGCTTCTATTGAAAATCAAGCTGAAAATACATCAACTTTGTGTGTTGTGTCTGAGACTGACTAATCTTGTAGATCCTTAACAGACGTCCCTCTTTATGGAAATTATGTAAACTAATGGAATTTACCATTTTGATCAACACACTGATGTGATTTTCACTGTTACGAGTGGCCTTAGCTACTTGCAATTTTAATGACCATCTCTAAAAATTCTGGCTGTGATTTTATTGGAAAAAAAGAAAAAATTTAGTGTTAAATTTATATTGTTAGCGGCATCAATTTTGCTGTGGAGAATTAAAGTGGATGTCTTTTTTAAGTGCTGCAATGGAGATTTTAGGGTCTGCTCCTACATCCTTAAGTCTTGTATCCCGTTGTATTTTTTTGTTGAAACTTAAAATTCAGGAAAATCTTTGAAGGCAACAACAGGAAAAGCTTCAAAAGAACTTAATATAAGTATATTTTTGGTATTGCAATCCCTCAGTACCTCATTCATTCTATATTAATGAAGAATGTATTGTACTTTTGTTTCACATTTTTTTTTCTCTTTTTTTGTGTATTACTTTTAGAAACTATATTTTCCTTGTTTTTTTTTCTGTTATGTACTTATGTAAGTCTAGTATGTATATGTCATTGTTTGAAACTAATTTTTTGTACAAAGAACTCATGGAATGAGTAAAGTATATCTAAATATATTTAAATTTTTTTAATATTTTGATATTTCAAGTAAATAGATTTTGAATTTCCTCATACATAACCTACTAATCAGCATAAAACAATTTCTGAGTTTTGATTCATGGTGTGGAAAGTTATGTTTAGTACGTAGACACATTCTAAATTTGTGCATGACTTTCATGACTATAGTCATGAAGTATTATCAATGGACCAAGTTCATCAGCAAGGAACCAACCCACTTTATGTTGAAACTGAGAAAGAGAGGTTTGAAGTTTTTTTCCTGCATATAAGGCTCAATGTAGAAAATAAACTTTGACCCTTCTTGTAACGAACTAATTTATTTTTTTCGACTTTCAGTTTTTGGCAGGATAAAATGTACGGCTATAGGAACTCAAGAACATTTTTACCTATCTCAATTTTTTTGAAAATGTGGTTTAATTCCTTTCTGATACACTCGGTCCCAAAATCATTAACTCTCATAGACTTTTGGTTTGTCTAGAAATATTTAGTGCCAAATAATGTAATTTTTCTAATTAAAGATTATAATTTATTGGTTGGTTTTTCTATCAATATTAAAGTTATCAACAGTCTGCAGGCACTTGCGGCGAAAACCAGAACCTGGTAAAGATTCCTGATACACAATGCGCAAATAGTTTGAAACTTTGTATTTATAATTATGAAATGGTATCAATCGTATTCGAAAATAATTGTAATTAAGGGGCTTGGAAGACATGGTGCATAAGTGCAATTTTAGAAATTCGAGACTGGAGATTAGAGCCCAGCCGCCTCACCTGCGTGTCATAGCTCACTATGCTTGTATTTTAACAGGTGAGATACAAGAAAACAACTGAACCTCACTAAAAGTGCGTCAGATAAAAACAGGAAGGAATGGCGAAGGGGAAACAGAAATCCCGGATCATTTTGCGTTTTTTCATGTTGAAAAAGGAAGAATGGAAATAAAAATGTGCGCTCAGAAGAGTGACTTTGATCAAAATTGATTGTACGTGTTTTTTGGTAGTTGAAGGTAAGGTCTATTAGAATACCAAGCTATTTTGTCTGGAAGTCATGTGACGCAGAGGAAACAGCGAATGGGATGAGTGCATTTTTCGTTTAGGGGGGACAAGGGATAAGCGCGACCAACTGTCACTTTAAGTCCAACTGCTGGCCTCTATTAGGTTCCACTGAGCTGAAAATTTCAGACGATGTTCATATAGGTGCGAGACAAACACTTGTAAATTTTGAAGGCATTCAGAGCGCTCTAGGTATAGGTCCGAGTACAATCCAAAACTTTAAACTTGTTTTTTTCGTAATAATAAAAACCGCACTTAAGCATTCTTGTCTTCCAAGCCCCTTAATTATCATATGAATGCATCTGAAGTTTACAAAAATCAGTATTTTAGAAGGTGTCCAGAACATGTTGATTCGAATTTGAGAACTGCGAACATGAGGAGTGTTGAGTACCAAAAATGGTCAAAAAAGTCAAAAATAAGACTCTGAAGAGTTCCGGGTTTCCGGTGGAGTGTTTCCGGCTGAGCTTGTGTTTCCGCCGAACCGACCCTTTTCCGGTTCGACCATGGGCCAATCTCTGATTGGTTGGTAGATCAAAATTGGCGGGAATTCGAACAACATTAACAACATGCTTAAAAAATTTTGCTTTTGTACTGTGTTTTTCAGAATTTCACGGAGGAAACTTTGTTTCACTGGCGTCTGTTCAAAGTTTTTACATGAAGCTTTGAACTCTGCTGCTGAGTAAGTTCAATGTGTTTTATTCATGTATTATTTCTTTCACGCAAAGAGTGGTCAAGGAGTATGCTTGCGATGGTCATTTCAATTTTGAGGTTATGTGAGGTTGATTCGTGCAACAGGCAGAAAGGAATTACTCTTGAATCATATTTGGGTGGTGTTCTGTAATTCTGTCATTTTTATCATGCAATACTAATATTATCACAAGTGCAGTAACCTTTTGGTGTGCTACCTCAATTCAGTTCTGTGAAGGTTTCATTTCACCTAAGATTTTCAATCGAAGGCTCCCTAGTATTTGAAAATTGAAACGGTAACTTCTGTATCTTACTCATATCTCTCTTCATTAGCAAATCATGGCTAGTTACGACGAGGATGTCGAAGTCTTTAACGAGTCTGCTCCTCAAACCTGTTATCTAAAAAGCTTAGGTTTCGATAACACTGATTATGTGAGTATGGCTGCTCTGAATGGACCATCGCAATTGGAGCACCCCAGTAGAACAAAGGATGTATTTTCTGCAGTTTCCTCAGCTTGCAGAGTCTTCAAGAAAATCTGCAGTTTCATTAAAGAGGCATTTATTCCGAGCACAGACTATTCTATTGATATCGATATCATCAAACACAGTGGTTTGTTATTCAAGGAAAACGCTGTGTTGGTTGAGGAATTTTCTCCGCCAAGTACTCAGCATCCAACATATGTTAACATCAGCGTCATTTTACCTTTGAGTCTTGTGGTATTATATTTCAAGAAACCCAGTAAAATTCCACTTGTAACAGTCTTAGGTTTCTCTTCAATTTATGTGGTTTTACACACTGTCAGACTTCGTAACAAATCCACCAATCATGACCGGACTGAAGGTTTGGTGTCTGCGCTAAAGCAGTTCAACAAAAAGTTTCTTAAATCACTTCAGTTCATCGCTGAAAATGATAGGAAAATGATGATGAATCATTCAAATCTAACGAAAATTGAAGTTAGAGGCTTTAACACCTATAAAATTTTGGACCCTTCTTGGTCTCATTTTAAGCTCCTTGTAGCGAAATCAGCCCTATCAATTTTGCAACATCTTCATTCTCTTTGTAGAGACTTATCGAAAACACTAGCGATCCATGAGTGCACTGGTTATCCTTCAATTTGTTCGGTTCCTTTCTCTGAACTGGGCGTCTCGGATATTGAAATGGAAAGCCATCAAGCTTATGTTCGTTACCTAAACAAATTGAAGATATTATTGTTTCTTATGGAATCAGAATTCTTGAGCTTTATTGCTATCAATTTATCAGACAACAGCTTGAATACAAATTCCCAAGCAAGCCACATATTTTCGGCCATAGAAAACTCTTCAAAAACCCTTTTAGAGTCCCTGACTAGCATCGGAGCTCATTTCGATCGGCTGTACAGTTCCAGTAAAGAAGAGATGCAATTAAATAAGGGAGATGCTTTGACTGATACGGATCCTGATATCATCAAATTATATTTGGAGACTAGGGCTTTGGCTCATTCAAGTTTATCCATTTCAATGATGTCCCGGAACTTAGAGAAAGTCTTAGAAAGTGAAATACAAACTATGAAGATGGACAAATCCAATATTATAACACTCATCGATGAGTTGATTTCTAATATTGATGATGAACTAGTATCATTGCAGCGCAAATTAAAATATCTTACAAAGATCGTATCATCTATTCAGGAACCCTCAAGTGATGCATCTCGTACTCATTGTACCCAAGGAAATCTAGTTTCAAACAAAGAGCTGGAGGTCAGCGAAGAAGTTGGAATCGAAGTTGGCCATTCAGATTTCAATCCCACAGAACCAGATGATGTTTTCTTAGGCTTTTCAGAGGGTTTCACCGAAAACCTCAGCTCAGGAGAAGAAGACTATTTCCTAGAAGAAATTTCATATAGTGCAGCCCTTAAAAAATCGTCAAAAATACTAATCAAAGAACTGAAACTGAAACTCCAAGATAAGAAAATTGAAATGGACGAAAGAGAAAAAATAGCTCTGCAGAGGAAAAATATTCCTGATTTGATAGAAGATGATAATGAGTTACTCAATTACGTCGGTAATGAAAGTTTCAGTGCAGAAAGAGTAGAAAATACCAACTTGGAAGACAAAAATGTTGCTGGAAAGACAGCACCGTTTGTGTTAACACTCGAAGATGAGATGCGTTGCACTCATATTAAATCTGTAAATCCAGAAACCAGCGTGGAAGACCGAGTTCACGAGTTTAGGGAGTTGATTCCTCCTCTTCCCTCTTGTCCGAGTGCAAGACCAGATCAAAACATGAAAATTTCCGAAGCAGAGGTGACAAATTCAAACTTAGATTTGCAGGTGGATGTTGCTAAGAATGGAATCGGAAGTTGTAATCCTGAAAAATCAGTCGTCAGGGATTCTGGGAAATCATCGCATCCACCATTGGATGAATCTCCTGTATCCAAGCAAAGTTTGCACAATCCTTTAGCAATGAATATCACAAACATCTCTCGTGTTTGGAATCAACAGCTAAATCGAACGGAAGAATGCTTTGGTTCTGATAGTGATTCTTCCTCTGATCATGAACTTGTTTAACAAGATTAATTTTAGATTTTTTAGGTATGCTCATTCTGAAAAAAATACTTTATTTACTTTTTTACGTTAGTATTTTATGATTCATTTTGATTATAGGAATGAAGGGGAGTCAGGCTTTTTAATATTTAATATCCGTATAAATTGGCACACTTCAAATCATGGAGTATTTTAAAATCTCATTATTTTGAATTTTCTTGGGAGCTGTTTCCAATAGTTCGGAATTTTGCTAATTCCAAATCTCTTAACAAAATTTAAAAAAATCCTCGGCCCCTATAGTTTCAAAATTTGCTTGGGTGCTCTGTACGGTCTACTGGGGTGGTTGATGTCAATTGCAGTGTTCTCTCATAGAGTCATTTCCACCTATACTGGTCATAAAATCTTGACAGTTAGACGAATTAAGTTTTTGCCAATCTACTTGATTCGTCCATTAGAGCACTAGTTTATGGCTAACACCATTGACCCACTGATAACCAGTAGCGTGAAAGTCTCCTCGTTTTTTCTTGGTTCCCAATTATTAATTTTAATTTTTTTTTAAGAGAAAGTTCTCTTGATTTGCTGAGATGTTAAAAAAAAAAAATGAGAGATGTCAATAAGGGTTTAGGAGTTCACAAAATCCTGCTGTCTCAATGCCTAACAAGTCTGTCACATGGTCAGAAACCTTTTGCACTCTTGTATAATACTTTTTAATTTTGAATAATTGCAGGTTTTTGACCAATCGGAGTTTGACGAGGAATTCATTTTCATTATAATTTACAGGAGACAAATTGGTGGCCAGCAATGTTAATCTACCCACCATGATGGAGGAACCACTTAATTCAGGACTATCTGATGTTCAGACAGTTTGGCTTGCTGTTCAGTCTGCCATCCCAGTTGTATATAATCAGTGTATGAAAGGCGGAAAAATTGCAGAAGAAAAAATACCTTTCCTCATATCACTCATCGACAGACTAACTAACGCAGAATTTAAAAATTGCTACGCCAGGAACTTCAAGAATGAGGATTCAACCAAGGAAGATGAGCATTTAGGTCAGTTTTATGAATAATACTATGAAAAAATTTAGCCTCAAAGGTGCATTGGTTAAGGCAGACTGCTGTCTGTACTGAGGTCTGGTGCTCACTCCTCAGTGGTGACGGGATTTTAAGGACACTTAAGAATCCTTTGTCGTTGTTGTGGGTGACGATGCCACTCCATTACCCTGTCTTTTCCCCGAGAGGTGACAGGGTTGATGAGAGACATGACCATGGGTAGTAGTAGTATGTCACCACTGTTTAGCTGTGTTGTGATCAAATCAGAGACCACAGCGCATGCAACTGTACCTATGAATGAGAGATTGCAACAACCAAGTCCAACTCGATGGGAGCATAGCTATGCTCTGCTCAAGATACTCAGCAGCGTCAACCATAGTCGTTGATACACTTTAAAATTGGCATATCTGATGGCTGTTGAAAGTGCAGAAAATTGACAATTTAAGTGACTGTTTTCTTTCAAGGTATCAAATAATGCATCCTGTGCCAGGAAAGTTTCTAAAACTTGATTTATAGGCGTGAGACTATAACCTCGGTAACAACGGAACGACTCAGTTAAGTTTATCTTTGCTTGGGTCTCCCGAAAATACTCAAGACTCCAATATGTTTTAATGTGCACTTAATGCTCTGATTCTAGAGTGAATTAGTGGTTTGGGAAGCAAGTCACTTGGTACAAATTCTTTATGTGGAGTAAAATCTAATGAGTAAGGGGGCAAAATTTTACACGAGCAAAGACTTGAGATTTGAGGCTTATCAGTCAGTGCTTAAATATTTTCAATAGCAAAACGGTTTTAGAGGAGTATATCTGTTCTTTAAAACTTTAATCATGTAACTCTTTGATAATGTTCAACAAATTTTAGAGGTAGGAATTGAGAGTTGGTTGTCTTAATTTTTCAGCTTTTACAACTTGGCTGCTAGGACAGCTGGTCCTTTTCCTTACAGAATTTGACATGGAATCTGTGTACACCAGCTCAAAGCGTGCACAAATTTTCATTCTAGAGTCTATGCTGAGCTGGACCCCTTGCATGTTCATTCAGATCGTCAGCTTTTATCTTGCCGCTATTGAAGGTAAACATTTCCTCCCTGAAAATTTTATTGAAAATGTTTGTCCGTGGTGCTTAACAGAGAAAAATGATGATGTTTCTTTCTCTTTCTACTTAAGTCTCTGTTCAATTGAAACCAAATTATTTTTCAAGGAGCTAGTCTAGACAGTATTGATTGAGAGTTGAGATTGAGTTTGAAGGGTTCATTACTTTTCAAGCCAAAAAGTCATGAGCGCTTGGATATAGAATATTTCATGGATTTCTTCAATTTTCTCTAAAGATGAAGGTGTCCATCTTAGAGTAGGAACTTTGAAAATGACTGTTTGGTACCATCCGAAAGTTAGGGTGAAAATATGTAATCAGGTGTTGCTTGGCTTTCTGTGGCACTAAATTAAGCATTCTCCTTTTACTTCTACCCATCAAAAATCATTCATCAATTTTAGAAGTTTACTAACCTTAAATTTGGAGACCCAGGAAAAAAATTCTTCAACTTTTTTAAAATTTTAAATTTATTTTACTGCTTTAATTCATGACAAATTTTTGTTCTAAAAAAATGCAAGTGCTCCTTTGAACATTTAGAATTTTTTAGGATCTAAATTTTCAGTAGACGTACTTAAGTGAATATTCAGCAATAAAATTGAGGGAGACACAGTCTTTTGCAAGGCAATTCATGATAGCGATATGAGGAGAATAATCCTTAATGAAAATACTTACTTATAAAATATGTACTAATACAGGTAATAATTTCCTTCCAGCTCTTCATCCCATTCGCATAAATTGACAAGTAGACTCATTATGGCGCGCCTGGGACTTCAATGCATTGTCAAGTTGAGTGGCATCATCTCGGGGCGCTGCAAGACAATTGTTTTTGTCTGGTTTCTCCATTTTTTTTATAGATGGTGTCATTAGCATTGTTCTAAAAATCATTCTGGAGCATTTTTTTGCTAATCTGAATGAATTGTAATGATTCTTCTTCATATGGAGGAGCGAAGTATTTTTATTGAAAAATATCATTGTATTTCTAGGAGTGGCCGTAAAATTAATCATTTCATGCGAATGGGGAGCATGTTTTTTCAAATGAAGGGCGGGCAATAGTTTGTTCAAAGAGGACTTGAACTCCTTCCGAACCCCTTCCTTTGAAAAGAGTTATAACATGATAAACCATAAAAAATAGCTCCTTGCTTTCGATCTGAATATGTTAAATTTCAGCATATTTATGTGTCTGCATTTTGTTTTGTTTAATTTATTTTCCTCTTCTAGATCTCTTGGCCTTCTATAAAATTCGAGTTGAAAAAGTTGGCACTTTAGAAAAGACTTCTCCACAATTTCACTCCTCACAGACTTTCAAATGGTTTGTTCCAAATGCTGTATCTACCTTACCAGATTGTTTCAATTTTGAACAAAGTCTTTTTGGGATTAGAAGTGTTTCGCAATGCACCAAACTTCTTGAACAACTTTTAAAGGTACCTTTTAATATTATTTTAAAAGCAGATTTGTTTTATTTGCAGCAACTCTCGCAATCTTATTCAAGGAAATGAAAATGCCTCATCTTTCATTTCAGGCAATTTGAGTTAGTGCCAATATAAATGACAATGGTATTCCACATGCCCTAAACATATTTAACTCATTAAAAATACAGGATCAGTTTTTTGTGTAACTTCGTCAATCAGTCAGTGTGGCATTGAATGCAATGTGCAGCCTCACCTGATTATGTTTCTCACATTTTAGGAGGCAGTGTAGCAAAAGTCTTGTTTCAACTGTGAGTAGTCTCTGTTTTTGGGAAATTTGCTTCCAATACAGGGTAAGCAAAAAGTATGGATACTTGTTAATACTTCAAGAGTTGTTGCAGGTATGGATTTGCGATTTGAACGAGATTCCTTCAAATAAAAGTTGGAAAATTTTCAAATAGGGTTGTGACCCTTGTCCTCCGTTGGACAAGGGGCAACTTTCGAATTTCAAATTGGACCCCCGACAGAGTGATACCTCGTTGGAAAGAACACAAATAAAGACATTTTTGGCACCGACCACAGGTTGCTATCTATATCATAGCCGCAAAATGGCGGCTGGTTGAAGGTCCAAATGGCGGGAAAGTGATTTTTTGGATTTTTATCGGCCGATTTGGAGGAAACTTGGTATGCCAAAATACCTAGGTATTTTGGCATAAAAAAATCGAATCTGTTTTAATCAGAATTCAGAAATATTGCATTGTTTTCAAGATGGCAGCCTTAAAAATGGCGAGAAGCCGGTATGATGCTAACAAACTAAGTTTAAAACATTTCAATTAAATCAAAAGTTATAAAATAGGGCTGTTTGTGAGCGACAGACCTAGTGCAGGAATTCTACTGAATAACATGAAATTATTTTCTGGCAGGTTTTGTCTTCGCAAGTTTTTTGTGTCATTAACTTGGGTCGAGATTTATGGCCTCTGGCGTTAAATATCCTAGACTGTGTTTCGGAGGTTAATGTCAGGCTAGCTACTCTCGACATCACCATTCAACTTCTGCAGCACAAAGGATACCCTGAAAATAATTCAGTAAGTTCTTTATAGTTTGCTGTAGGCCAACTATTTTTATTTTTATTTCTACTCCGGACAGTTCCAAAACTGCTAAAAAAGTGTTTTGTTTTTTTGTAGAAATTAGTCAAGGAAAAAGAGACTAATTTCCAACTGGTAGTAATTTTGAAAACTCTCTTTGTGTTATAACTATAAAACAAAACGAACATTATTGATAGGACATGGAAAGGACATGCAGTGCCAGATTGGCCTGAAAACACATCCTTTGTCAATACATGGTGACTGGCTCCTGTGGTGTGTTCAATGGCTACCCCAAAAAAACAGAGAGTTGACCCGCTTAGAGCTTTTCTTCGATCACCAATCTGGCAATGTCCACTTTCATTTGAAAATATGCTTTAAAGCACTGAAAAATGCATTTCCTAGTCCCAATTCTTCTTGAAACTGGCTTGTGACAAGTTAAAAATTTCAAAGCCTATCAAGTACAGGTCACGGCACTTGTAAAAGTTGCATTAATTGGTGCAGAATTTTTTTGAAAAGAGGCCTTATCCCTTATCCTATTGCTCCTTTTTTGACGCTTCAATAATTGCCAAATTAATTTACACTTCATTTTTGTTTCAAGTTAAAAAATGCATTTTTCCAACAAATGGAGCAGCTGCTCAAACAAGCATGTACCGAAAACCACCTCAACTCAAAAAACGACAAGCTATGGATCCGAGTTGTGAATTTATTAGATGAGGTTATCGTCATGAAAGGTTCTGGAAGTAATGTCGTCAATGCATCATTACTTAATGCATTATTCATCGTCATCAACAATGAGAATGTTTCACTACTATGCAGTAAGTACAATAATGAAGTCAACAAAAATCCTTCAGCTTTTAAAACTTCGATTGCCATGGTGTCCTCGGACCCTAGTCTATGACGCTGTTTTGGTCCATCAAATTGGTGATTATACTTGTTGAAGTTTGGTAGCTTCCAAAACCCTGCTCGCACTGTCAGCTGGTTTCCCACATTACTGAACGTCGCTCAATTGGTTTCCAGTGAATTTTTCTTCCATGATGTATCTCAACATGATTTTATCTCTCAGTAATGCATATGTTGCTTTGGTTGTTCCATATGTTCCTAAAACCATGGGGAAAAAAAGCATAGCAAGCACCGCTGAGGTGGATTGTGGTTAAGATACGACAATATTTTGGTCGGTAAGAATGAAAGAACCTGGCATTTGAACAAAGCACGTTATTTTCAGCTGATCTATATGTTTCAACTCTCAAAATGTGATTCAATGATTAGGAAATATATCATAATATTGCCTAATGTTTCCATCAAACAGAGTTATGAAAAATTGCACATTATTTTCTTGCGAAAGATTAAGGGCATAAATCTTTTTTTATTTTCCTCTCTGGTTTGTTATTTTCCCACCCTAATCCTAATTATGTTTTCTTGCAGTTTTTACTTCTTCTGAAGTTTTTTTCTTTTCCAGATGAGTTCTTGATATCAATGTGCGATTTTGTGAAGTATCTTCTCGACATAACTCCTGAGTTTTTTGAAACCTCTCTGAAGTTGGATTCTTTATTTTGCAAACTACCTGTTTGTCCCGTAAGTTTCTAGTCTGACACTACCTTTACAATTAATGGGATAGAGAAGGTTTATCAGACCAAGCTGATCTCAAGAGAATTCTTCAACTGCTTGTATCATGCCATGATGATTCCAGGGTTGCAAAAACCCCTCGACCATGCGACCGGGCGGGGCGCATTTGGTTGCGTGTGAAAATGATAATGGGGAGGCCCCAAAGTTGGTGTTTTCAAATGGAAAAGCCGGCAAAATTACCATTTTTTGCAAAGCTGCAGTAATAATCACAAATATTCTGAAAGTCGCAGTAAAAACCACTCGTTTTTTTGCTAAATTGCAGCAATTTACATGTACAGAGCCGCAAAGAAGTCATATTTTTGAAATTTCTGAGAAAAGGAGGGTTTTTAAAATCGGGAGGCCAATTTGAAGGATGGGAAGGCTGAGATTTTTCTGTATCCCTGGATGATTCCGTCATTTATGTACTTTGTGATTGCTGCATCCATTGCTTTAATTTGTATCCTTGAAAAGTAAATTATTATTATTGATTCAGGTAACAAATCACAAGCCAAGAAAGTTCAGGTAATGAATAACTTTGGTTTCTTATCATTCTAATGTCTTGCTTGTCAAAAATTAAAGGTGGGCTGGAGTCAAATCAAATCAAAATTGTTATATGCGTCTTATTTCGGTTTGTATAAATTCATGATAATCTATGGAAAAAAAAGAAACAAGAACAAATTACTCAGAAGTAAAATTTAAATGGCCAAAGTGCAAATCCATGTGATTCCATAGCGACGTTTCAAAATTTCCACTCATGCTTTATTTTTTCAATAAGAAACAAGCCACCTTACTAGCTTGAAATGTTTACAGAATATTCTGCTGACAGGGAGAAAAATCATGAAAGTTTTGAAGACTTCACATCAACTGGTTTTTCAAGAAAAATAAATCTGTGTTGTCATAGTCAGGAAGAAAGAGGAAATGACAGAGAATTTTAAAAAGTCAGGGAAAACCTGGAATTATCAGGGGAAATGACGAAAGTGTCAAAGAAAAATTGCTAAGTGACCTTTATTTGCTTTTTGATATTGATTTGGCATTTTGAAAAATAGATATTTCACGGAAACTGTTTAAAATCATATCTTTTTTACCATCTTTTATATGTTCAACTACCAGAGAATTTTACCAAAATGTGTCAAGGAAATCAGGAAAAATTTAAGGAGAATTCATTTTCTTAATTCTGTGGCATTCCTAAAAAAATAAAGTGTGACAGGAAGTCTTCAACATCCCTCTTTCCTCTTTCCTCCACACTTTAATATTTTTTCTTTTCATTTCAGCACTTATTCATGATCCTGGAGTACATTTATTTTCGCAAAGTTAATTTGCTCCACAGTGAAAAAAGTAGTGCCAATCTAGATCCAGATGCAGATTATTCTAGGTAATTTGTCCCTTTTTTTTCTTCATTTTAAGTCAATTTTTTCCTTTGACTTCCAAATACAAAGTGGACCACCAGACAAGGTAAAAACTTAAGCACTCTGATTATTTTTCTGCTTCAATTTTTTGTATTCAACACAATTTGCGCAGCAAAAATTATTGAGACTAACTCCTGACCAAGATATTAAAGGTTTTTTTGTGCATTGGATTTGAAAAGTTTAAATCTCCTGCTCACATGAAGAAGCGAAGGCTACTTGAATCAAATTGCTCAATTCTATGGTTATAGCAGGCCTCTCAATCAAGTAGTAACACCCCCCCCCCCTCACCATGCGTCCTTAAAATTGTAAGCAACTTGCAATAGCTGAACGGAAGCGCTGAAATTGAGGCTGTCGCATTTTCATTTGAGAGTCTGTTACGGTAATTTTCAGCGAGCGATTCGACTCATATAGATTATTGTTATTTCTATAAGCAGGAAGTTTGAATTTTTTCATAAAAAAAACATTAACATCTCTGTTAGGAGTTACTTTCAGTAATTTTCGCAGTACAAATCGTGCTCACATGAAATTTAGGCGAGAAAACACACATCATAGTGCCTAAATTTGCACCGTGTTTAGTGGTCTATTTCCTATCATACCATTCGATTTTAATGTGAGCCCTTATCTTATTTATGTACCACGAAAAAAATTCTGCCTTGGTAGTTCCCAAATCTTTGGGAAAAATTTTTACTTGATGGATAGGTTTAGTATTTTCCTGGAGGTGAGCCTTTTATTTGTGGGCAAGTCTTTCTAATTTTTTTTGTCAAGAAGATACCAGCTAATATTTGAGTGAAAGTATTAGTAAGTTTCAGATGCATGTACATTTGTCATGTGACATAATCTAACTTACCCTTTTTATTCTCTTTTGCAGTATCCAGAAAATTGACACCAAAAGTATCCTCAATACCACAGCCATTTGGAACAGAGCTGTGAATGTAATGGAAGAGAAAGTATTCACAAAAATCAGTCACAATGGTGATTCATTCCCGCCCAATTCTCATCTGAGTCTTGAAGATAGGAAAGCTATTCGCCTACTCTATTTCTTCTGCAAGACCATTAGTAATTTAAGTTTTGAGATCAGTGTGAAGAATAAAGTTTCGTTCTTAAGTGGCAAATTAAGTGACGTTCTCAAATGTTTGATGTATGGGCTCTTAAAGGAGTCTAAGCCTGATGTGACTTTGCTCAAAGATTGTTTGTTTGTCCTAAATCAAGTCGTAACAATCTCTGGGATTAATAATGAGCCACCAGAAGTCATTCATTTGCTGGCTGCATTTTCATCATTACCTTGGATCTTGGATGAGGATGTGTTTGCCAAATTCCCGTACACCATCGACGCAAGCTCCTTCAATTTATTGAAAACCATTGGATTGAAGTATAAAACTGAATTATGTAAGTGAGATCATCAGTTGTCAAATTGATCTGTTTGCATCTATTTACTAGTTCAATGTCAAAGATTAAGAGTGTAAAACTTCGAAGCATAAAAAAAAAAAAATTAACTTCACCATCGTTCATTCCCCTCCTCTACTGAAATATAGGTTTAAGCACAATAATAATAATAATAATAATAATAATAAGCACGTCAAGTATTGTCAGGTCGTTTCTTAATATCGAATAATTTTTTTGATTTCGCTTAAAATTTAATTTTTTTAAAATTTTTTTTTTAAATTTTACTTTAAAATAACGTTTACCCTTTTTTTTCAAGCAAGATAGTATGTGTTACTGACTTTGGCCTGTGGCCCGTCAGTAATACTTGTGCCGGAAGTGTTCCCTCTTCTGAGTTACAAAAAAAAAAAAAAAAAAAAAAAAAAAAAAAAAAAAAAAAAAAAAAAAAAAAATAATAATAAGAACTCTTACTCTGCCTCAGTTTCTCAAAAATAAATTTCCTAGGCTGTGACGAGTCACCTACAATGCGGGAGTGAAACTACCCACTACCATACGGCCAATCAAACGGAAATAGTCCTCATACTTAGGAGCATTGTTTATCCCTGTATGAGGGAATATAGCAATCCTGCTCACGCTGGTACACAGTGTCAATATAAAAAAAGAAGAAAATGTTGGAAATTACAGATTTTCATTGCGGAATTCGCCCCAGAAACTTTGGGAGGTATCGCAGAATGATGAATTCTAGACGATGGAACAGTTGACCTCTGGAGGGATTGTCCTACGAATAGTTGAATGCTACAGTTTTTGGTATGTGAAAAACCATGGACATAAACTCGCATAAGAAATCGTCCCTGCAGAGAAATAATGCTTCCTCCTGTTCGTGACCCACCATCTAAATCGGAAAGGATTGATTAAAATGTTATAGCTCATTTGGCATCTGGGTTTACCTCTTTCACTAAGTTAACGAAGCCTTGTAAAAACTGAGTAATCGAGGCACTCAAATAGATAGAGTTTGACCAATACGTCCATTGAATTAGAAACAACTGTAGTAACGAACTCCGTAAGTCCATCAAATAATAGTGGAATCTTTGTGAAATATTAGTCATGTGGTCATTACATGATTTTTCCCTTGGTTTCAGGCGATCAAAATCTTCGTGCGGACCAGTTAGAATGCCTTGCCTATTTTTCAAGCAATATTTGCTTCCAGTGGAGGTTCGCCTTGTATCAGACTTTTTCCAACGATGCGTTTTATCAACGTGTCATCTTCAATTCGCTACCTTTTATGATCCTTAACTGTCAAGGCTCAAACCAAGAAAAAATGTCGCAGTTCCTCTTTTCAATTGTAGACTTGTGTAAGAGGAGCATCACAATTCACTTGGAATTTTCAGAAGCTCTTCCGAACATTTTATGTGCCCTGTCTTTTGATGCTTTCTTAAAAAGGTAAATTTTGTCAAAATACTACTGTTATAACCTTCATCACTTATTCCAAATGATGTTTTTTCCTCTTTACTGTAACGTCACAGCTACATTTTAGAGTTTATTTTTCTGATGTGATAGATTTAGAGTTCACAGAAAAAGCCAGATTGATTTGGCAAATAGATTGATGCTCTGTTATCATCGTTGTAGATAATTTTACCTGTTTTTGTAATATGTACTTTAATGAGGTTTCATTTTAAATATTTTCAAAGAAGCTCCAGGAAAATCTTCCTATTTTGCTTTCAGTTTTTTAGAACTTGAAGGAAAATACATGAATCTTTTGCAATAACTTTGATACTTATTGTTAAATCAGTATATCTTGGATTTGCTCTATGTGGAGCATCTCGGATACCCCAACTGTATTTGGTTTTTTTTTTTTCCTCCTTAGGAACTCAAAAATGAAACTGAACATAAACTGTCGTATCTGCAGAAACAATGACTGCACCAAATTCAAGCAAGGTGGGGATGTGGAGCTCAACAATTTCCTGGAAACATTCACTGCTAGATACTACACTGATTTTGTTCAGGGATTAATCCTTGAAACCTCCTCTTCAACGAAGGAACTATGTCGTTTGCGCAAGAATATAATTTGTTCCTTACCATATTTAACCAATCATGTGCCAAAAAAGTTCTGTGAAGCTTTCTTACACAGCAGTATGAAATTTATGGATGATGTTGATGCTGACAATCGGTTTATGTTCGCAAAAGTAGTCAAGTACACAATCTTCAACAACCAGTGGCTGAAGAAAGTTATTAGCGATAAAAGCTGTTTGAAGAAGTGGTCCCTGTCAGACAGAGAGGTTTTCTTTGATGCAGAACCCTTCTATGAGGTATTTAAGAGCACTTGCTATGAAGTCATCTGCAACAGTCTCCAAAGTGCTGGCATGGATAAACAGATATCAGTCATGGAGACACTTTTGAACATTGGCAGGTGAGTCCTAAAACAGATTCCTTGAAACCTGCACTAATAACAACCCATTCCAAACTCAAATATGCACTATTGTCAAAGCCTGTTGTTAAAACTGCTGTCGAAATGTAGTTAGTTTCTATTTCGTTTTCCGCAGTAAGTATGTGTATATTGACATTGAAACTACAAAACTGCTAAGCACGGATATTAAGGTTGTCATATTTTTGCACTGCAGAGACTGATATGGTAACGTTTAGTGGGCAATTGAATCGCGTAGATAATTGTTTTTTTCTATGAACGGAAAGTTTGAATTTATCCATCAAAAACGTTAATCTCTTTGTTAGGAGTTAATTTCAGTAATTCTTGTCGCACGAATCATGTACTTTGTGAAATTTTACTAAAAAAACATATATCATAAAGCTTAACTCAGCGCCTTGCTTTGCAGTCCATCGATAAAAAAAAGGAAGAAGTTTAAAACATGGTTTCTAACTTTCCTTAATTACATTAATGGCATCCAAATTTTTAACACTAATCAATCTTCTTCTGAAATTTTATTTAACTTGGTAATTTTCTTTTTATTTTGAAGCATACCGTGTGATCTGTTTTTGTGGCCTACGGTGAAAATGCTGATGCATTATGTGGCTCATCCATGCAAAAAAGACATTTATCTCTCATCATGTAACATTCGCCAAATCATCACAGCTCACAACATGAACATGCATAACTTCGTTAAACGGTATGAAGGAGAAATCTTAGAGGTAAGTCAATCAATTTCCTTACTTTAATCTATGAATCGTAAAATTTTGAAACTGTGGCTCACATTTCCACTTCGTAGATTGATTGTCCTAATTTCAATCTTTGAAGGATGTTTCATCATGGTTATTGTCGAACATTCCATATGATTTTCTCTCGGGTTTATTCAATAATATTTACTAAAAATGTTGTGCCAAAATATCCATTATTATTCTCCTAGAAAATTGAGAAGAAGCAGAAATTATAAAGCACAGTAATTGAGGTACAGGTTTTCTTAATCTTACCAGCAATATCCTCTATTGATTCTCCAAGATGCAGAAAATGCTTGATGCTGCCCCCTCCTGGGCTTAAGAAAATGTGGAAAGGGAAAAAATTTCAAGGGAAAAAAGTTCTATTTACATTTGTTTCTGTCCGCGCAGAGATTTGTAATACTAGGATGTAGCTACTGACAATGTGAAAACAATATGTTATTTACTTTATTCAGAAGAGTCTTCAAGAAAGTGACTTAAATATTATTTATCCAGATAGTATTTCAATATTCAGTCAGAGATAGTGAAATAAAGCAGCTCGGTGATAATTCTTATTACAATTTTTGTGTGCTGCAAATAATTTAACCGTGCCTTCAGATTATAGGAAAGAAAGGAGAAATTTCTGCTGGTCTGGTGTTATTTTACAAAGTTTGTATCATTGTTGTTGTTAAGATCTGCATTCATGAAAACTGGTTACCTTGTAGGGTATTTTATAGACACTGTTGTTTTTCTCATTCAAGTAGCATTCTCGGTCCAATTTTTCCCGTTTAGGAAAATTTTGCACCCTAACAATTATCGAAAAATGTTGTCTGTACTTAAAAATGTTAACTGCTGTGTCTCTGACTCCTTAGGAAGTTCCCCACTGTCTCCGCACAATAATTAAAATGTTTATGTGGCTGGGGTCGATTGCAGATTTTATTTGGAACATCTTACATTCCATCCCTAGGAATTACTTTCTATTTATAAACATAGTGATCTGTATATGGAATGGAATGGAGAATCTCGTTCGTTATGTTGACTTTCATGAATCATAACTCAGTTTTGGCATGTCTATAGATTAGTGCCACCAGGGCCACAGAGGATGCTCTCTGACCGTCCATTCAGGAGTTCTGGAAGAACAAAGAAAGAAAAAAACGTTGCCTTCATGAAATCTGCCCAAGCAAGAAATCGATCAATTTCCAAAGGGACCCTAGCACCAAAATCGTTCCATCCCAGACTTCTTAATCTATGATGACTTTCAAGATTTATTATTATCAAAAAAATTTTAAGTAATTGTCTTATTTTGAAAGACCATCCTATTTCATCTTTGTTGTATTTCACCTCTATTACCAAAAAATACGTAAATTATTCTCTTTAGTAGTGCGTATTTAGAATTCAACAGATGATCTTCAGTTTTTCATTTTTTTTCTCTTCTAATTTTTAGGAAATAATCTTTCAAGTTGTCACCTTCAAGAAGTATTTTGGTACATCAGTGAGCAAAACTCTTCCAGATCTTTGTCATCTGTTTGGATCTGAAACGCAAGATTTCATTCTTCGTCACGGTCCCAATCTTTTCAAGTACTTGTTTCAATGGGCGATTGATTGGAGAGGATGCGAACCGCTTTTTGATGATCTGGCTCAGTTGAGCAATCAATCAGTCAAAGAGATCATCCTGGAAGGCTTCAGTGAAATTTACCCTTTCATCATCCTGCATGAGTCTGGAAATAATGCAGTATTATGCTGTAACTTGATTGAGCGACTGTCAGGCCTAACCATTCACGTTTTAATACGCAGATTCTTCCTCGTTATCTTAGCTAATATCCTGCTTAACTACTGTGTCAATCCCATAGAGGCTAAAAGAGCGTGTCTTGAAGTTAAGAAGTATGATGAGAAAACACTGCCAACAACTTCCAAACAACAGACTGAAATAGTATGTATTTAATTATTTTTTTTTCTTTCTTAAAATTTAGGCAGTAAGAATCTCTATTATAAGAAAATAGAATATCTACAAAAACATCAAATGAAAAAGAACAATGCCTCCATGTTACGATGAAGGAATAGAAATTGTATCAAATGGAGGATAAGTAGCAAAAATCCTTAGATCACCACAGTAAGAAGAAGAACAGTTCAGCCTTGGACAAGAGAGGAAACAAGATTTTTCCAAATTTCCTCTTCTGATTTATTTTGTTTAACAGAAAAATAAGCATATTATGTTGTCAGGGTGTCTACCGGCCCCCAAAATCCCCAATGTCCCCGATTATCCCCGATTTTGGAAGGGTGTTCCTGATATCCCGGAAAGTCCTTAATTATCTTGCTCAGGTCCCCAAAAATGGACAAAAATTGTCCTAAACATCCGCATTTTCAAATTTTCCTACAAGCCACGGCGGCGCGGTATATCCAGGAATAAAAAAACTGAAGTGTTGCTTGGTTTTTCGTATGTTTTTATTAGTTCAATATGATTTGTAAAATCAGTTGTATAAAATACGCCCTTTAACGCTCTAACTAGCTCCCTTTCTCTTACAATTTCGGGGGAAAAGTCCCTGATTTTCTTGAAAAAACACCCCTAAAAGTCCCTGAAAGTCCCCAATTTTGGTTTTTCATGACCGGTAGACACCCTGCTTGTTTCTTATATGAGCTAGAAATAGTAGTTCCTTATTGGAAAATATTAACCATATAACTCTAAAGTTTTTTGTGCACATTCTTCATAATGAAAAAAAAACTCTGCGGAAAGATTCAGAGCATTACATCGCCAAATCTTTGGTTGAAAATAAGCTTGAGAGGGAAATAGGCAATGTAAAACGCAATTTCGGCTATTCTGATCATAATCATCTAATTTAATAATGGTTCAGGATGGGGTCAACAGCAAAAGAACCAACAACATTGAGAGGTCTCCCATGTCTTGTAACCAGTAATTGTGTTATTAATACCATCAACTTTCAAAAGAGTGCACAATGTGTGATTTTCGAAAAGTCTAATTCGGCTCAAAGCCTCATTAAATAATTTGTCTGAACCAAGCAGTTCTGATTTCTTAGGAATCCCCCTATAACCGGGTACTTTCGTTGATCTCTGAAAGTAAGTCTTGTCCAGTGGCGTGCGGTGGGTTTAGTGACAGGGCAAGCTCTAGCGTTTGCCAATCGGGGGGGGGGGGGGGGGGGGGGGGTTAACGTAGTCTCTTTCCCCTCCTCAGGGAGCCTCCCTAGAAAATTGTTAAAATTTTACGATATTTGCTCTATTTTTGAGATGAAATCTGATGGAACATCTTGAAAAACTGTGGTTTTATTACTTTCTCTCTTACTTATGATTTCATTTACTCAACTTGTTTCAAATGTTACTGAGCATTAGAGGACGGCTCCATACTCTTAACTCCTAATTTTGCCACTTATTTGAGGTATTGTAGTCTTTATTCTACATTATTTAGAATTTTTTGAGTTTAAAATTAGAAATTAGAAAAATAAGTTAGAAAATTAGAATTTTCTGCGTTTAAAACATGATTGAGAATTTTCTAATTCATCACTAATCAGATCAAGTGAGGGAAGTTATATAGAATTTAAGGGCATTTGCACCAAAGGAGCAATTACAACCGCGACGGAAAGAGGGAGCAAGATAGCGCATCGGAGGCAGAAGCAGCGCGCTGCGGTGACGGGCCAAGAGATGGCCAAGAGAAGCGAGCTGCGATCGCGCAGCGAAGGGCTCGGACTCGGAACGTACCGCTCTACCCGCCCGCCTTGATTCCGCCGCCGAGCAGTGGCTCTTCGCTCAGCTGATCGCAAGCGATTCTCCAGCGCATGAGTCGGCCCGTGTTCAGGCCGCGCAGCGCGCTGCGCCAGCGCCACCTCCATCCGCTCTGGTGCTTACCTATACTTTAGTGGCACTATACGTATTTCTGTCTCTCTCTCTTTCTGTTTTTAATGCAATTTACATACTGAACACGCTTTATAAATATATTTGCTAAAATGTAAAACATGCATCTAACAGGTGTAATTTTCTTCTTTCTTTTGAAATCTTTGGGCAAGCAGTGCTTGCCTTGCTTATCCGGACCGCACGCCACTGGTCTTGTCTCATTTTTTACATTACTTGAATAGCTTGTGCAAGGTTGCTAAAATGTTGTGTCGATCAGTAAAGTAGGATAATCTTTCTCTGTAGCTTCTGTAGACTCTTGAACCTTTGAATCACCATTTAAAATACTTTTTATGTCTCATACACTTTGTTTTACGTAATATTTTATTACAGGTCGACTCTCTTCAGATCAGATTTCTAGGTTTACTTGTTGAACTGGAATTTAAATTGACCTCCCAGTCAACCTCAGACTCGACCAAGGCGAAAATTCTGTGTTCTCTCCCGGACATTTTCAATCTAATGGGCCCTGAGTACATCACCTCGGTGCGATTTAAAGTGCTTGTCACACTCTGCACTGCTCTGACACTTCAGCAAGGCATCCTTCCATCACTGTGCATCAAAGCTTGGGATGCTTTTGTGAAAATGTAATTTCATTTATCATCTAATTTTTATTGACTCTCACGATAGGAAACAATTACAGGGTTTGCGATGCCTTGAAGAATTCTGGAGCATACTTTCAACTTTTCAAATCCTTAAATATCCTTAAATATGGGGAAATTGCATCTTTATGTATGCAAATTCTTGAGTTTTACATCATCTGATAATTTCTCTCATGGTTGCTTGGGAGATTTTTTTTTTTTTGAATTTCAAATCGTCTAGTAACATTCCCAGTGCTTACCTCGCAGTGCAGTTACTCGCCTCTATGCACAGTTAGCAGAAAATCAAAGCTGAGGAAGAGGAACTCTCTTTTTTAAGGAATGTTCTTGGCTTTTAATATTCTGTTTTATGTCTTCGAAAGTCCGTAATAAGTTTTATATTCTTAGTTCTTGATTTTTCTAATCAAAACTCTCATTTGTTTGTCTCTTGGTGAGGCAAGCTGCAAGAATCAATTGTTTTTCTTGCATCTAAATGGAAGAAAAACAGTGTTGCCAAATTGCGAGAATCGCCACTGAGTAAAGATTGATCTTAGACAGATAGATAATAGATAGATTTTAGAGTCTAATTTTCCCTACTTTGATCATGGTTTTATCGGGAGGAGAAATTTAAATTTTCTGCTTATTATGTAAAATACAAATATTTATTTCTCTCTCGGGAGTTACTTTTGGACGTTTCTGCTTTTTCAACATGTTTTGCGTGAAATTTTGTTTTGGAATTATGTGCTGTTGTGCCTAATCTCTCACACCGTCCAGTAGTTCATGGCAAAAACAATGAATCTCATAGAGTTATGTTGGTAAATTTTATGAAAAAAAGTTACTTACCTAGGTCACCAATAAAGCATTCGTTCATTGTGGAATCTGTTCCTGGGATTGTGTCAGAGGCAAACTATAAAAGGTATACTCACTGCAAAAATTTGTCTGTCCATCCAACTGTCCTCTTTTTTTCTCCTCTTGTTTTTATCGTGCTGTTATTAAAGTAACTTTGAAGCATGTAAGCGATATTTGGCCTAACAAAAGTTCCATCAAATGTGTTTCGAAATATTTACTAGTTGTTAATTTTTTAGAAAATTGCCGAAGTTGGAGTGCTCTATGATGTCTAACCATTAATCATGATTTTTGCAGAGTTGAAGTTTCCGCCCTGGGACCGATGCTAAGCACAATTTTCGTCTCTCTTTATCCACTGATCGATGACTATCCAAGCGAGATCTCTAATATCTTCTATTTCCTAATCTGTGAAAATGAAGAAAAGTTGTCTTGTTTCTTTTCTGAGCTGTTCTTCCTCGAAAGTCATCCTGCAAACCCAGTAGTTTATGAGCAAGTCCAGAAGTATTTGACGTCTGATGCGTAAGTTACATTCCTTAAATATTTTCGAGGTTAAAATGAGACTTCTTTGTGCTTGTAATGAATCCACTAATCAAACTCCTGTGAGCAGCGTTGTTAAATACCTGGGTATTCACCCAGGATCATACAAGAGGTATTAAGAGAGTACTGAGCATCAACATGTACTCTTTTTTCGTAGAAATATGTTGTGCCTTTGTATTTTACATGCATTGTAAATTCATGACGGGAGATAAATTTTAATTGTGTCTCTGTAAATTTCCCGTTTCACTCTGCTCTCCTATAAATTTAAGCATCATTATTTCTTGAAAAACTTTGATGTCTCTTTAGTAGTTTCTTTTTTTTTTCTTTTTTTTTTCTTTTGTTTTTAAATTTTGAGCAAATTAAAGTTGTCAAAGTTTCCGAGGATGGTGAACTTCTTGCAAGAATAGGTTGGTGGAACCCATTTTTTTTATTGATTTTTTAAAGCACCAAGTGATCTAAGGAATGTTTTAGAATTTTTAACCCTGAGTCTACCTAACCTTGTGTGTTCATGATTGCATGATCAGGAAGTTTTTGCACTCCTGCTTGACTCCTTATGTATGGTAATTTTCGTGTATAACTGGACAATCTTGTATGAATTCAATTCCAGGTTTTGTCCCATGGAATAACTCATTTTGTTCTCATTGCAGACAATTAGATGGAGAAAATTTCAAACGACTTCTGCGACAAGCATCGCACGAAAGGTCAGAAGTACGTCTTCAAGCTTTCAAGCGCTTGAAAACGGAGCTTGATTTCTATCATGATGAAATAAGCAGACGAATCCTGAGCAACGATTCCTTGGATCGACTCATCTTGGAAATTCTTGAAATTCTGACAGCCGGCTCTCATGATTCAGATGAAAGAGTTCGTGTCGCAAGTGGGAAATGTTTTGGAGAATTGGGTGCCATTGATCCTGGACTCGTACCTAATAAAATATCAAAGTCTGGTAAGATTAATTCCCGATTTTAGGGAATTTCCCTATTTTTTCCCCCCTATTTTCCCTTATTTTCTTGTATTTTTTTCCATGAATTCAAGTCCAGCAAGAGACTGTCAAAGCTATTAGGGGCCATTCATGAAATGTAAAACGCTCGAGGGATGGAGCACAAACACACAACCAGTCACACAAACCATGGTCGCAGGAGAGCATTACACCACTTTGTTTACCTGTGATAAAAAATGGAGTTGTAAATCACAAATATGTTCCAAGTAGGGGGGGGGGGGGGGGCTCAAAAAATCTAAAATTTTGGGTTTCGTACTTTATGAGAGGCGCCCTAGTAAATCAATGCAATTGTAACTTTTTTACCAGCAAATATGGTTTGTGCAGTTATGTAAAAATACTTTGATTTTAAGGATGTCACAAAAAAATCTTTGAAAACATATACTCGAAATTGTTGCTCTGGAAGCCAAAATCTCTTTAGAGAATTATTACCTGGTCAAAAAACTTGCAGAATCTTCAGGAATCTTCTCAAATACAAAGCATGGCTGAGTTGGCTGAAAGACTCAGAACTACCAAGACAGTAATAATGGTTTACATGCGACCAGAAATTTTAAATTTTAGAACCAGTTAGTGAAAATTTTTCATTTTTTATCAATATATATTTGAAAGTATATTATTTTTTTCTTTAAAAAAAAAAAAAAGAAGCTGCATTGCGAGTGTTAAATTTGCTTTTCAGGAACAGCTCTTGAAATTACTTGAATATTTGTTTTTCCATTATGCTAAACCAATTGCTAATCTGCAGGTAGCAAAGCACATTCTATCCTGTGCTTTTCTCTACTTATGTTACTTGCCTCTTACATTGTTGTTTATTGAGACCAAGTTTAACAGGAATTCACCAGGTCGCATTTTGGAAAAAAATGAGACGGGAGTAGTTTTGAATCCAATCCTGGCAAATTTTCTAATGTCAAAAAGTCAGAGTTCAGAAAAAATATTTTGATCATGAAAATAGTCGTTAAACTTTGTCCTTAACACTGAGTTTTGTGGAGGAATAAAACTTCAAAAACCCCTTTTCCTCAGTTCACACTTGATGCGATTTGGTGCGTTTCTAATAAACTCGGTCCGTTTATATTTTTTGTAGAAATAATTAATTTCTCTACTGTGCGGGAGGACTTTTAGTTTGTTTTGTAAGTCCAAAGACTTAGTAGGGTATGGAGCATTTCAGCAGCAAAGTTTTGTGTATCTTACCAGTCTAATTACTGCGCATAAAGGCTGGTCTTCAACACAGATTAATTGAATGCCATTAACTCAATATCCTTTGACACCCAACTCTCCCCTTGCGACACTTCTCTGCAATTTTCTCTAAAGTTAAACACTGACAGAAGCCTCTATGGATGTGAAATGTATTAGCCTCTGAGAGTAATCTATCAGAAAATCAGTTTTGATCATTATGTTTCTATTTTCCAGAAAACATATATTAGATGTTCCTGTAATTTTATTCTTCTTTCCTTTCAGATCTCACAAAGAACGTGCCTTTGAAAGTTGATAGTGAAGGTGCAATCATTCATCTTCTAACAACACTTTGCCAAGGATTCCAAAGTGCAAAATTATCAAGATCACAAGATAATTTTGCCCTCGCAATACAAGAAATACTGAAAATATTTTCTGTGGAAGAAAACTCGCAGCTTCTGTCCAATTTTCCTGAAAATTTTCGTGAGCTGATGAAGCCTCTGTTCAAATCCACTTACAATTGTAATTATAAAGAGCAAGATAACTCGGAAATAAATTTCCAATTTCCTATTTTTGGCTCTGTAAAAGGTAAAACTTTTCTATCATGGGCTTTCAACTGGATCAACCAATTGGTCTCATTGATATCAGACAGTCAGATCAAAGAGATCTTCAAAAATTGCAAGGGTTGCATGAAAAGTGATGAATCAACTATTCGTGCTTTTATGCCTTTCATAGTAGTCAAAGCAATAATCGAAGCAACTGATCAGCAGCGCGAAGAAATCTTTGCAGAACTTGACTTTGTCATGACCAACAGCGGTGCTGAATTCCTCCTATCAAATTCTAACAAGTCATCATCTGCTGGCTTGGCACGACAATTCATCAAGCCTGTTTACTGTCAAAATTACAATGCCGACTTAGTAAATGAATTAAGTTTAAATGCCGAGACATGCTCTATACTTTGTGCTAAAGTTGTTTATGGTCTAATTGATTTTTTATTCCAATATGCGCGAGATGATAGTGATCAAACTTCAGCTGAAGGTAGAAAAATAATTGGAAACTTTCTAACATTATTCTCTAAAGAAAAAATAGCGGAAAAAACGTTTGAATTTGACGAATTTCCTAGAGCTCTCTTATATCTAGAGCAGCATGTAGCGGAACATCCTGGAGCGTTGCAAGTGCACTTACCATTGTTCGGAAGGATTTACGCTCAGTTGAATGATGCTGATGCCCTACAAGGAATAATTGCAGTCCACACAACAGAGCCGTCGGCAGATGAGATGCTTCTCATGCATGAGGTGACAGGCGGAGCTTCAGATGCAGTTGTATGTTACGAGAAACTTGCGCAGAAAACCGACAACAATCCCCTATTCTACAGGAATATGATCCAGTGCTACCTGCGCATAAATCAACCTTTCACAGCCTTAAAATTAAGTGATAACTTAATGGCCATGAGTGCTGACTTTGATGAAATATTGTTGAGTGAAAAAGTAGAAGCTATGTGGAGTATGATGCAGTTTAGTAAAATGGAATCGGTTCTTTCTAAACCTTCTGTACCGAAAGATGAAAGCTGGGGCACCCGAATGGGTGTTGCAATGTTCCATGTGCTCAATAATGAACATGATAAAATGTCAGATGAAATCAGCAATATTTATAAAATAATATCCCAGTCTTTGTACACATCAACTCTTGTCACTGGTGGCTACAGGGAGGGTTATGAGTATGTTACCAAACTCCATATTTTAAATGAAGTAGAGCAGTTAAGTTCTTTAATGCTATCAGTGCTGAACAGCGAGAATTCAGACGAAGCAGAGGATATTGATAGGCTTAAAACACTCATTGAGAAAAAGTTTAGTCGACGATTGCGACTTTTAAAACCCCTCGGAGATATTCTACAACCTGTGTTACGGGTTCGAAGAGTTATGTTGAGCATTGGTGAACATTTATTGATGGAGCGCAAAAAACAGGTGGCAACTTACTTTCGTGCTCAGATTGGCAAGTGTTTATTGAAAAGCATAAAAATAGCACGGAAGGCGTCCCATTTTCAAATGGCATATTCTAATGTCTTGGAAGTCGAAAAGTATAAACCCAAAGAGCTTTTCATCGAGAAGGCTCAGTTACTGTGGGCGAAGAAAGAAATAAACCAAGCCTTGGCTACATTAAATCGAGGAATTGAAATCCACTTTTCAAGCACTGAACCTAACGCATCCATGAGTCGTTTGCCAGAGCAAAATCGAATACTTGCCAAAGCCAAATTGCTCATCGCTTGTTATAATGAGGAGACTTCTAATATTGATGCAGCAACAAACACAAAATATTTTGAGGAAGCTGTAGCTGCGTGCAAAGATATTGAAAAGAGCCACGTTTGCCTAGCTCAGTTTATGGACAAAACCGTCATATCTGAGTATTATAATTATGCCCCTGTTCCTGAGAAATTACTTGAAGTTATCAAAACATACTCAAAGTCAATGCTTTATGGTAGCAAGTATCTGTATCAAAGCATGTCCAAAATTTTGAGCCTATGGTTGGACTTTGCTGCAGATTTGGCAAAAGATTCCAAAGAGCTTGATGGGAAAAAAAAAGAAGCGGGACTGAGTCTACGAAAAAGCCTCAACCTTGACAGACGTGAAAAAGCGCTGAAAGGTATCATTAGTTTAATCCAGCAACTGCTTGGGAGACTCCCCACCTTCAGATTTTTAACTGGATTCTCTCAATTGACATCAAGAATCTGTCATCCAGATAACCCTAGTTTTCTACTTCTGAAAGATATAATTGTAAAATGTATTTTAGCATACCCTAGTCAAACTCTGTGGATGTTCATGTGCTTGCATAAATCTGCCATACCGCTCCGAATGAAGCGCTTCAACATTGTCTTGAATGATGCAAAACTTCAAGTAGCGCCAGTACCTGACCTAATACTAAAGTTTAAAAAATTGTTTGAAGTCATGTCAGACCTATGTGAGAAGCCAGTTGATAGTAAATTTAAAGGTCGACAAATTCAACTTGATAAAATTGCTCCTGAAGTGGTTAAACTGTTCAATAATGGAACTTTTGAGCAGATCATGATTCCGTTTCAGAAGTTTAGAACTCTTGCTTTACCCCGTCCTGTTGTAGAAGACGATCTTTCTTTCTCAGAACACAAACCGTTCCCAGATGATTGTGTTCGTTTTTACAGATTGAAAAAAGAAGTGCTCATTCTACAATCCTTGGTGGCCCCTAAAAAATTGACATTCATCGGATCAGACGGCAATGAATATTCTTTGTTGTGCAAACCTAAAGATGACCTGCGGTTAGATTTTCGGTTAATGGAATTCAATGCTATTGTGAACATGTTTTTGAAAAGGGACGGTGAAGCTAGAGATAGGGATCTACATATTCGAACCTACAGTGTTGCACCACTTATAAATGAATGTGGACTCATCGAATGGGTTCCCAATTTAGTCTGTCTGCGACCAATTTTGAATTCACTTTACAAAAGCAAGAATATGTTTATGTCAGCTCACGAGATCAAGAAACGCGTTGCAGCAGTCAAAGATCCGTTGGAGAAGAAATTGATGTTTTTCAGAGACCTGAAAAAAAACCACCCGCCCGTTCTGAAAGAATGGTTTTTCAAAACATTTCCGAATCCATGTGCATGGTATCATGCAAGGTTAGCGTACATGCGCACTCTAGCTGTTATGTCCATCGTCGGTTTTATATTGGGTCTTGGTGATCGTCACACAGAAAATATTCTTCTAGATAATAAACTTGGTGAAATCATCCATGTTGACTTCAACTGTCTGTTCAACAAAGGGGAACTCTTTGATTACAAAGAAGTTGTTCCCTTCCGTTTGACGCATAATCTAGTTGACACAATGGGCCCAACCGGTGTAGAAGGGCCGTTCGTTCGTTGTTGCGAGATCACAAATCGAGTAATGAGAGCTCACATGCAACTTCTCATCTCTGTGCTCACTCCGTTCGTCTATGACCCTCTGCTCTCATGGAAAGGCGCCAAAGATGCAGTCAAAGATATGAATGGTGAAGTTGTTAATTCAGAGGGCAAAACCAATATTCTCAACATTGAATGCAGACTCAAAGGAAGTGTCAAAAAGAAAGATGGTAAATATGACGATATGCATTTATCGGTTGAAGGCCAAGTCCGTAGTTTAATTCACGAGGCAATGGCTGAAGAAAATCTTGCTCAAATGTTCGTAGGTTGGGGTCCTTACTTGTGAGGAGTGGGTGTCCATCAATCTCATCCTTGATTTTAACCTCATAAGTCATCGAACTCCTGAAAAAAACTGGTAATTCTGCCCAACCCTGAAAAGGTAGGAAACTTCGCTGCATAACCTTGAAATTCTCTCTTCTTGCAGAAACGTTCGATTAGTTTATATTGTTTTTATCAACAAAAATTAGAACTTATACCTTTAAATTCTCGAATTTTGGATTTTTTTTTTTTAATTCTCTAAGTTAAAACGCTTCTTACATAAGGCCAAAAAGTATTTCTAAGAGCATTTTTGTCGGAAATAATGATCCAAGCGAGTAATTGTTGGTTCTTATTGTCAATGCAGATTGTCGGCTGTGAAGTTTTTTCAGGCTTCTGTATTTTATGATGGCAAACCAAAGTCCGCCAGTATGCAAATTACAAACTGCGCATGTTGCCTGCCTCAATTTTAGGTAAATCACAAGCCAGAAAGACTCATCATAGGGCTTCCTAGGTTCTACACAGGAAAATATCCATCTTTGTTGTCCCCCTTATTTTAAAGTGCAAGTACGAATGGCTGACTACAGAAGCCATCAATTAGCACCTACAGTCATTACCAGTTGTGAACCAATTCTTGGTGGCCTCTGAAGTATCCCTCCTGTAAATATGTACTATTATTACTTCCTCATCACTGTATGTTTGTTCCTGTATAGATTTGAATTTCATCGAAGCTCTTGTATTTAGTTAGTTTCTACCAAAATTTTTTTGTAAAAGATACCTCCCTAAAGTATATCTTTCTGAAAATATTACTTTCTAAGCTGAAAGCAATACATGTAATTTTTTATTAATGAAGCTGTTTTTTTAAAATTTCACGTTCAAATCTTCATTTCTTTTTTTACTTTACAACAAAACCCAAGCATAATAATTCCTCTATTGGTAGGTTTGGCTAGATAGTTGGGTTGAGTTATGCAAAGCAGGTGCATCTACACTGCGGTGTTTCAACATCCCATCTCTTTTTTTTTTTTTTTTTGGAAAGAAACCATCTTAGATTTTTGCTTTTTTGCGGGGATAATTTTTATATGAGCAAGAAACATTGCAACATATTCGAGCAGGAATGTCGGTTGATTTACTTTAAAAAAATTAGAATAGGAGATGAGATTATGAAACACCATAATGTAAGGTGTGACTGTTCAGCTTACCGTCATCAAATTTGGAAAAAATTTGCTCATTATGAGAGCAGGCGAGTAACAGGGTGGGAGGGGGGGGTGGCAGGGGTGCCGGGAAAATCCTTTTTTTGCTTTTTCCGTGCACATTCTCTCCTTTTCTTTCTTGCCTCCTTGCCTCTAGAATTTTTGCTCTCTACTGTTTATCTGGTTCCTCAAGAAAAAAGAGGAAAAGGCGAAAGCCTCCTCCTCCCTCTTATTCTCAGCCTTTTTTTGGGAGACTGTCAACATTTCCCTGTAACTGTTCAGTCACGATTTTACCGCTTTCGTTTTATAAAATTTTTGTTAATTTCAGTTACTCAGTCTTCAAGCATGAAGTCCCTTTTTCATTCCAAATTGTTACTTCATCAACCCCTTCACCCAGTAATATCAATTATATGATGATGACTTGATCAACAAGATTCAAACAACTTAGAGCAAAACCCTCCTATAAGGAGGAGCTAACGAGTGGCATGCCTCATTTTATAATCTCTAAAAAATTGAGTCACAAGTTACTTTTAGGTTGCTAAAAGTAAGTTCTTTCAAGGCTTTCGAGTTTTAACTCACTCAATTGGTAATGGTTTTATACTGCACGAGTGAACAGTTTTTACAGAACGTGAATCTGATACAAACACAAAATTATTTTGACTCACTTTTTTTTGTTGTTTTGGTCCAATCCTTCGGTTAATTCATCATTTTTTGTTTTAAGTTAGACGTGCGATTTACTGCAAAATGTCTTTGTGCACCTGAAGATGAGTCGCTGAACTTGAAATGGCCATAGTATAACCAAAGAAGATAAAACAAAGGATCGGACCAAAACAACAGAAGAAAGCAGGTGAAAATAATCATGACATCCAACAGAATGAAAAAACCCCTTAGTAAACACAAAATTAAAAATTTACAACTAGATGTCAGCTAAAATTTAGTTTATTTGGTATAAAAAGGCTGTATTGATACAACAAATCTACTAACTCATAGTAGAGAGATAATTTGAATGCTCCGTGAGGAGAAAATTTACCAAGAGTATATGTGACAGGATGTCGAACAGATGGATATTACTCACTAACTGAGCTCGCTAAAATAAGCAAACTCAATCACAAAAAATGTAGGTTTGCATGTCATTAAAGAGAAGAAGAAAAAAATCATTAATTTCAAAAGTTGTACGGTCTATTAAAATTTTCATACAGAGCCTTGATAAATTACCTCTCCTAATTTTAGGCCGGCAGGCTTGTCCTTTGCCTTATCAATGAAGCCCCAGTTAAGTAAAAAAAATACAAAAATGGGATAAAAAGTGTGGCAATATTTTTAGGTACTCGACGTTTAACAAAATTTGAGGAAAAGAGCGACAAAAAAACTACATACTCCTACAAATTTACTTGATGAATATGATAAGCATGAATTTTTCTTTAGCTTCAAAGTAAAATTCTGGTTTTCTTGGGTTATCGTACAACTAGGTTCATCGTATAACTGTTTTTTTTTCCCCCTTAAAAAAAGAAAGGAAAAAAAATGTCCTCTAGTTGCTTTTTTCCTTAAAAAAAAGAAAGAAAAAAATGTGTGGAGGTGTGTGTTGCTCCTGTTGGTCAAAAATTTGACTTTTGAACTACAGTGTTGAAGATTTACTAAGTTTTTGTCTTTTTATCTGATCATCTTCTCTTCTAAGTCTGTATGGAGTCTTCATCATTAGGAAAGTTAAAGTTGCAAACTTTTCGCGGTCGAAATTTCCAACTTTGAAGTTTGCAACACTTCATTTCAAAATTCCACAGACAATTTTGAATCATTTCCAAAAATTCTATTCACTCAGCCAAATGTCCCATTTTGCATTTTGCTGCACTAAAGTTATTTTACGAAAAGTATCGCAATTCAAGAGCAATTAGTTTCGAAAAGGAACAATATATCAAGGGACTTTCATGATTAAGATGAGGAGAGGAGATAGTACAGTTGCAGTAAAAATGGTAAAGATGTGCATTCCTCCTCAATTCTTTAAATTAAATTAAAGAAAAACATTTATAGAGTAGAGATTATCGTTGACACAGCAACTGAGGCTTTGTGTCTAGTTGTACGTATGAAGAGGTTTGTGTAAAAATTACAAACTGGACTAATTTTCCTCTTTAATGATCTAAAATAACCTTTTACCATCTGCCACAATAAACGAAGCGGAGATATCAACAATTTTTACAATTTACATAATATACATTTTTAAAAACAAAGCGATACAAAAAATTGTGTAAAATATATAATGACTAAAAATGTACAATCCTCAATATTTACAAGTTACAGGATTTTGGTAGGAGTGCCTACATTAATGATTTTTTCATGGATCAATAAAAAAAAACACTCTTTAGCATGCTAAGTGTAAAAAGCTCACTTACATCTTGACTGCTTTCTTGAGAAACTAGCGGATTTCATTCTAAAACTTTACTGTGATTTCACTTCATTTTCAGAACTGATGTGCTTTATGAGAATTTCAGGCAATGAACCACCAGTCAAGGTGCGAATTTAAGCATTATGATATATTTTTCTCATCAAACTCATTAGAAGTTCACATAAAACTCGATTTGTGCGACAAAATTAATGAAAGTAACTCCCACCATGCTTTAATTCAAACTTCCTGCTCAAAAAACCATGACCTACATGAGTTAAATTGTACGCTAAATGATATTGTAACAGTGTATGTGGTATGATGATATTGCAACCTTAATCTTGATACTTCCGCCCAGCTGTTACACGTTTCTCACACTTAGAACAGAGCAGGGAGGGAACACTGCTCGATTAAGAAACCTGCCAAAATCGTTGTAGTGCGGAATTTAATTCACTAAAAAATTCATTAATTGGTTTTTATCATAAGTGGATAATTCAAATTTTTTTTGTAACCAGTCCTAAATAAAAGCATTAACATCTTAGTCAGGAATTATTTCAGTAATTTTTAGGGCGTGAATCGAGTTTTAGGTGAAATTTTCAAACTTTTACTTCCCCCAGTGGTTCATTGTGTCGGTTGGTTATAATTTACAGGAAGTCCACAATTTTTTAACAAATATTTTGTATTTTTCATGAGTAAAACCTTCAGAACTAAACAAAATATCTGAGAGGAAATATCTAAGAGTATGTGTTGAAATTTGGGAGGACATGTACCTCGCTACCATGCATATCAAATAATGCTGAGAAATAAGAAACAATGCTTGGCAGAATACTGACACAGAAACTGAAAGAGTGCAGTCAAAGTCCCAGAGAAATTGACTATTGATTGTCTGATTCATGTTTGTGTACGAGGTTATTAAGCGTACTACATGTTACAACTACCATTATGAAACTGATGACAACAAACTGGAAGAGGGGGGGGGGGGGTGTTGATAAATTTAGGGAACTCAATAGAGGAGTTAGGTGCAAAAGGGCTCTTATCCCAAGAATCAAACATGTCTTGAGAAAACTACTGATAAAGTTTTGTTTCTTTAATGTAGATAATAGGTGTGGTCATGACAAAAAAAGAAGGTTATAGTAAGTACTTGACTCGTTACGTAAATAACAGTTAGACGAACGATAAAAAAAAAGAAAGGAACCTATTTATTGCATGAGAGAAGACCGATACCTTGCAGAATTAAGCCAATATAGAATTTCATAGCTCATTGTCAGTTTAAATGGATGTTAAAAGGATGAACCCAATTAATTTGAAATATGATTTTTAATGAAAAGGGAACATCATTAAGAAAAATTAGTAATCAATCTCTACAAAGGAAGATAAAATATGTAGAATAGTCTTTACGTATGATTTGCTATAAAAAATACAAGTAATTTTTTCAATATTTAACAATCAGAAGTGCATGTCTGATGTGAGTACAGTCATTGCCTGTAGAGTAGGACCAGCAGGACCGACAAAATTCCTCAATTAAACGAAATCACATATTCATTTTTGCACCACTATTTCAAGTTTTGTGCCAAAACATTAGTAAAACCACTTCTAAACGGTTAAAAATTTATGGACTGGGTCTTGACAGGTTAAACTGCAGGAAAAGGCTTGTAACTAGTTCAACAGATCATTTTATGAAACTATTGACTCTGATTCTTATTTAACTCCGAGCTGCATACTCATCCCTGAAGATTATCAGAAAGCTCAAGAGCTGAGTTTTAGGGGTCCAAAAAATGTACCATACAAAGACAGAGACAAATCTTGGGCCATAAGGTTATTTTCAAAAGAAATGGACTTTTTTTCTGGCTTATCACGATGGAAAAGAGGGGTAAATAGCAAATTTTCCAGTGAAATTGGACATTTATTTACATCCACTCCTTGCAACATCACCCTGCTACCTAATTTTGCCGAAACAGCAAACGCAAACTGGCATTGATCCAACTGGATATGTCTATTGTGCCTGCTAGAGCTATTGATAATTCACGGATTGGTGCAGGAGCAGAGAGCTGATAAGATTAGTACAAATGGGAGATGATCATCGCACTGAAGAGCCCTGCGCTCCTGGGAGTATGAATTGGGGTAGCAAACTCTGAGTCGTCGAGGCAAAGAATTGCTCTGCATTTTGCTGTTGCACAGCCAAAAAAATAGGACCTCATAGAGAGAAGGGGAAATAAGACAACTAAAATGAGTACGAGGAAAAATAGGAGAATTTATCAATTATTCAAGATTCATAAATTTTAGGACCAAAAAGTTTTGTTCACTTTCTGAGTTGTATCGATTACCAGATTCTCACTTGTCCTAATCCTTAAAATTGCTCAAATGGGCAAATAAAAAGGGGTAGCCAATCTTGCTCACTTAACAGGGGTTGACTGTAGTTCCAAGAGAGCACACAAAGAAATATCGAAGAAGGGAAGGGATGTCAAAAGAAGTTGAGACGCAGAAATAAAGTAGGGTAGTCAATGTTGTGCAAAGTGAAACTTATCCAGTGTAATTTTGCCATTCTTTGGTAAATTGTGTCATTATTTCATTTGTTCAGACCAAATCCTCTCTTTATGACGAAAACTATTCATCAAATCAGTCTCTGTTACTCATCTAAACAGTGTAAGCACTCTGATGAGTTTTCTCAGAAAATTACTTCTAACGCTTGTCGCACATACACATGTTGATTAAGTATAAATGCCATTTAAATTGCTACTTGAATCAAATATAAAAAGGTATAGAAATGCTGAAGAAAGGAAAAGATAGAAAAGGATTGGGCTTATTTACATTTTCACAACAAGGGTCAGAAATTTTCAGTTCTCCACTTGTAAATTGTGGCCAGTAAAAAAAAAAGAAAAGAAAAAAAAAACTGCTGCAAGCTATTATGTAGCCTTATTTTTCAAAAATTCTTGAAAAACATAAAAAATATGATTTTTAACCCTCTCAAAAGCAGTGGGTTTTCGGAATGCTCATTAAACAAAGATGATGGTAAACAATCCAATGCATTACAAGAAATAATGAAACAGAGTGGAGCCTCCTCAAGACCTTGAATTTCTCAGTGAGAGCATTCTTGAGACTTATACATTTTGAGCATCTACACTTACATGTTAATTATGAAAAGCATAAAAAGAGAGGTATATTACTAATAAAAAATTGTAATTTTTGACAGTAGTGTGAGGACGGCAAATATTATTGAGGAATTATCTCTACAGTGAGGGGTCCAGAAGCCTGATCGTTGAATATTTGTAATTGTCGATTTTGCGAGACAAGACTAAGGAGGAATGGAGTTATGTGATTGATTGGTTGGCTTTGTTAGTAATCTCCTTTTCTGTGTTTTTGTCGCTTGTTGGCTGCAATCAACGAAAAGCTGAAGTCACCTGTTTAGTTGCCAATACTTTGGTGTCAAATCCACCAGATTTAGGTGTGAAAGGAGAGTGATAGACAAAGGCGACCATCACATAACTCCATTCCTCCTTGGTCTTGTCTTGTCCAGTCGAAAAATACTAAAGCTCAACAATCAGGTTGCTGGGAAAATTTTACTTCTCTACTCCCCCCTTCTTTGCCAGGTAGAATTATACTTCGATAATTATAACGCACAAAACAGTGTGTAATTTTGAACATACAAGCGGGAACACAAAAAAATTCTGCAAAATCATTACGGTTACACTCATTAAAACCTTTCTATTAGCTTCTGGCCATTCTCTGCACTAATGGCTGGGGAAAAAATTTTGAGGAATTTTTGAGATATTACAAAAAAACCTGTAATTACTCAAAGACCACCAAAAAACATTAAGGTTTGTTGCTCCCAAACTCATCTCTCGATTATTAACTATTATCTCCACCCGTGAATACTTTATACAAGCCCGCCACAAGGGGGGGGGGGATTACTGTGTTCCTGGTATCTCGGCCCGTGACACACTACTTCCAATTCAAATGTAACCTTTGTTTTGTAAGGAAAAGTCAAAAATTTCACAAAAGGTTTTTTTTTTCAAAAACACGCTAGGGCACTGTAGAATTCCTCTTCCTCCTTTGAAGATTTCTATCTATTATCAAGATTTTTAGTATAGAATGATTATTTCAATTACTGCCTTCCATTTTCTTCCGTCGTCTGATGCTAAGAGTCTCTTCTCTGGGCATCCTCGACTTAAAAGTTTGGAGGCCGGAGGGGGGGGGGAGGAAGAGTTAGTGGCAGTCATGGGGCCTAGACCTTAAATCTGGTACCAGGGCCCCAGATGAGACGTGGCGGGTCTGACTTTAGGTGCTTACGATTCATACTGACACATTGAAAGCAAAGAGGTATTAGATATGTAGGGTGACGCAAAATGAAACTAATTGAACAAAGGAGTGAACAAGTGTAGATGTAAGAAGTAAAAACATAAACAAGTGAATGAACAAACAGGACAAATTAAGAGGGCAGACATTGCACAGAAACATAAACCATGATAAAAGAGAAAAAATAAAGTATGAAATTTCTTTGATTTCATAAAACAATAAATAAAAAACAGACTGACCTTTTTGTAAAAAAAAACTTGTAACTTTATGGTTGAGTTAAAGTGAAACATAGTTTCACGCTAGAATACACAGCTTCTAAATTTCAGTATGTGCTGCCTGAGATAAGAGCACGGTATTATGTACAAATACATGAGTCTCATCTAAATAAAATGTTTGCGTGCAGTATCATATACTGACGATCATTGATGGAGTCTACAAATAAAGAATATTCATTCATACAATACATTCTAAATAATTCAGGTCATGAATACTTCATCAAAGGAACAAAAAATTATGAAATCCTTTTGTATTTGACGCTTTGTCATTGAAACCTGCTAAAACATACTTTGGACTATACCAGACGTCAGAAACGAGAGAGACTGAATATTTCAAAAATCAGTTCTTAGGAGTCTCATTGTCAGACGTTAAAATCACAATAAATATGAGAGTGGCTAAACTCTAGGTTTTCAAGGTGATACCTAGGAATAGAAAACTGACTAATTAAAGTCATTTTAAACATATTACTCAAGACAAGACATGGCAACGATTGATTCCCATCAACAAGTCAAACTTCCATAAAGAAGCTCTTGCGTGAGGAGTTTAGCTCAACTGAGCTACAACAAGTAGACAAAAGCATCTGTAGATAATTTATGAAGGCTAATTTAGCATAATCACAAACCTCAACTGCTAGCAACTTGGTTAAGTCGGAGAGCAGAGGGCAGTCGAATATTGTCAAACACACGAATCCACGCTCGAGCTGAGCGAGACGGCGCAAGAATTTGCTAAGGGTACTGATCCAATTTCCATATGACTATTATCAACACCACCCAGAAGAGCGCCTCGTTCCATATCGCTCAAGCCTCCTCCCCCTCCTCCTCCAGACGTTCCACCGGAGGGCGCTGCGACACAATTACTGGTATTGCGCTGACGACATAAGTATGGAGCTTCACCCAACTGCGGCGAGTCTCTTCCCTAGGAACAGAAAAAAATGAGATTTATCGATGAAACATAAATTTAAAAAATCGATGCATCAAAATACAATAGCTAAAAGAGTGTTCAAATCTTTGAACACTTGAGAGCACAGCTCATCATCATAATGGCTTTTCAGCAATTTATCAAAGGATGATACACACTTAGGATGAATCTGTACAGGAGATGCATGGAAATTAAAAATAGAAATTTTCCCCCCTAAGATGTTGGTTTTCTCTTACATTTTTGGCCAAACATGCAAGTATTGCATTCATACACACATTTCAGTTAGTTATTATGGAAAAATCTCTTATAAACACACTCAATGCTGCACTTGGCACTGGCAGCTAGGATATAGTGACATGATCTTAGGGATAAATCGATGAATCCTCGTAAAAATAACGAAGGGCAGCATTTCAAGATTGAGGTATCATCAGCAGGCCAATTGCTGAAATATTGTGTTAGTCGACTGAACAAGACAGGGTTCAGCTGAAACGGAGTTATGAGATTGATTGACGTCATATGTCCTCCTTATTGTCTTCAAGTCAGGTGGAATTGACAACAAGTTATCAGATATTAAGAGAGGCTTTAAATTTAACGTTAAAGGCACGCAATAAAACCAAGCTATGAGTCAGACGTACTGATATTATAAGGAACTGTGAATAAAAAAGAACTAAGAAGCAAGAAAATTCTATCTACGTAATTTCTTTTGATTTAGTTAATTCAAACATAGCTCCTCTCAGCATTGATACATTGAGTTGTGTTGGAACAGCTTCAATCAAAGAGGAGAACATAATTTGCTGAGGAATGGAAATGGAGTTATTATTACTGTGTGGAGAAGGAAAGATGAGGGGTATAGGTCAGTGGCGTGGCGTGAATGATCGATTATCAATATTTCTCCATTGGAAGCTGTAGTAAAGAATCGATTATCAAGGTGTTTGCAGGCAGACACCTTGATAATCGATCCTTTTCCATAGATTTAAATGGAAGATCAATCGATATATCGCAAAGCACGCCACGCCACTGGTCTAGGTGCGAATACAACTTTGGAGGCCAATAAATCCAAGGATGTACAATGTTTTGAGACTTAAAAGAAATCAATTAAGAGGATTAATTTGCATATGCAAGCTTACGAATCGATAGGATGGAAAATAGAAGGAGGAGGGAACAATCAAATGGAGTAGTTGATATTAGGTAGGGATGAAGCACTAGAAACGGGTTTCATGCACGACAGGGAGGAAATTCTCAATCGAAGTTGCTGAAAAATACAAAAGGAACATAGTACAGTTGGTTAAATGAGGGAAGTGATGGAAAGAATTTTAATTTCTGGAACCTCAAAATTCTCGAAAGAATTGTGTCAAAAAGTTGTAAAGATATAAGAGCAAGAACCACCATATACTCTTTGTACAGTAGAAATATGTAGTTGAAACATTAGAAACTTATGCCACTATTACACTGACAGCACTACAGAGTAGAATCAAATAAGTTTTGCTCTTGGAGCCATCGTTTTGTAAAAAAGTGACTTTAGTTATTTCAAGACTTCAGGATGTTTTCTGAAGTCCTCATACTCTTGGAAAGTCGATTTTAATAGTGGTCAATCTTCTTTTTCAACAGAAAAAATTTTTTGGCCTCTTTTATCGCTGGAAGTTAAGTTTTTTTGTCCGTACCGTAGACCAATTAAACACGCTTAAGTTTTTTTATCAATACATGCGATAATAATACCGTTTTAAGTTTTTTTGCACTCAATGAGATATATTCTTGCAGGAGAATAAAAAAAAAATTCCTTCAAAGTTTTTACTTCCAAAATTTAGCACCCAAATTGCTCTAAAGTCCGATTTATAGAATTTTGCGCCATCATTTTTCTCCCATAAAAACCGGGAAATGTAATTATACGATTAATTTTAATTAATTTCTTTAGAACTAACTTAGAGGATGTGGTAGACAACTTTTTTAAAGAATTTCTACAGGTTTGCTCTTTTTAAAGCTACAAATTGTACAATTTTTTACTGGTCTACGGTACAGGACAATAACGTTACGGTACGGACAAACGGGCTGCGGTAAGGACGAAGAGGCATTCGTAAATATTACTGTATGCAAGGGCCGAATTATAAAGAACTGAAATTCATTGGGGAATAAACTGCTAAGTTATAGCATAGCTTATAAGTGCCACTTTTATAAATAATTACAGGCAATAAAGGTAAAAAGAGTAAGTAAATCAGTTTTTCAAAAATAATGAACTGCTTTTATTTTAAAGTAAACGCATTAAATAATTAGGGACAAATCTTAGAAGCTGAGTTCTTAAAACAAGCTTGACAACGTTAGAACGTTTCAGGTGCACTTTTACAAAATAAGAAAGAAAACAAAAAGGTAAATTTATCGAAAATGTGGTCACAAATCACCTTAAATAAATATTTAAAGGACAATAAGAAAAAAATAAGTTAGATATTAACGAATAAATATTAAACGAATAAATTGCTATGAACTTCAGACGAAAAAGAGGACTCAAAGTTCTAAAAGAAAAAATGAAAAAAATAAAAAGATGGCGATCCTTATGCAATCATCGAAAAAAAAGCCTCCTTCTTCTAAGTCGCGTCGTACTAAAAAAAAATACGTCTCTCTTTTTTTTTTTAAATTCCAAATTTTGGTGATAGATAAAATAAAGTAAAGTGGGATGATCTATCAAACAGCGCACCGATTTTTGGATGACTTTCGCATTTTGTCCGTACTTACCGTAGACCCGGCCGCATCGCGCATCAGCTACGGGCTACGGTACCGGACGGCTACGGGCTACGGTACGGACGGCTACGGTGCGGACAAATCGTGTGATTATTGGCAACGGTGCTCGGGCATATTCACGCATGTGGTTGAAATTCTGGATTTGAGGTTAAGATATCAGAGCATATCAAAAAATACCAAAATTCGAGAGTTTGAAGTGATTTATGCATTAAAAAGGTAGGTATACGGTAAGGACATCCTAGATGGTCGTTAAACCTAGAAACTCATAAAAAACGGTCAAAATTTACTGTTTCATTGCGGTTTTTTTTCCTCTGCTCGACATCAGCGTGTGATAGTCACGATAACATAAAAAAAGTAAACAAAGTTCATAAGTGCTGCACTGTAACGGACGAAATGATGCTGAAAAAAGGGGGCTACGGTACAGGACGCGAATTCCGCAGACAAGGCTGCATGACGCAAAGACTGTCAATATTTTCACTTATTTGGATGAATATAACTGAAAATAATAAGTTAGGTACAAATTGAGTGTGAATTTACAGCAGAAGTGGAAGTATTTAGATGCAAGATGATGGTTATGAAGCGTTAAAGTTGCGCACTGGAGTCGCAGACAGGCTACGGTACAGGACATTTCAGCTGTTTAGGGCCAAAATTCTGATATTAAATGGCAAAAACTGCCTAAAGCGATGTTGGGACCTGATTAAGCGTAAAATTTTGAACAAATTAAAAAAAAAAAAATGTCAGATTTTTCCATTTTGAAGGGCTAAAAAGTTGGCAGACATGGTAGAGCAAAACTTATTTGATTCTACTCTACAAATGCTGGAGAAAATGTTGGAAATGTTTTCGATTCCAAACATCCTAAATTCAATATTTTCAGAGGGGATTAAAATTTGTTAATTGCGCAACACAAATACTTATTTTCATGCATCCAATCTCTTTGAGTGTGAGTTCTTGACACTATTCCATTGCCAAAACTGTATGCGTTCAAGGTATTTCACACATATGCATGGAAAAAGACTGAGATACCATGAATAAAATATGGATGAAGAAACAGAGAGAGGCTTTGTGAAAGTTTTCAATCTGACCCATGGCATACGATAAGTGCATGTCATTCTTATTCCAGCTTTCCACATCCTAGATACGCTGAAAAATATTTGTGTACATTTCATTAACAGAACTATGAAATGTATTCATTACAGACAAAAGGATTAGGTTAAGAAGAAACTGTGAAAAAAAGAGGGGAGAAAAAACATAAACAAACAAAAGAAAACAATTGAAGGCATCAATTATACAAGAAAACTCATAGGAACTTATAAAAGCAGTAAAAGACAGAAAAATTCAAATACCTGCTTCGAGGGCCCACAGCAAGTTGATAGAGTGCATGGTTTATCAGTTTTTGGACAGTCCAGGACACAATCCTCAGTTGGAGCTTCTGAATGAACTGTATCCTCAGAGAACTGGCAACAGTAACCAAAATTATATTAGAATGATTACAACCGAACCAAAAAAACGGAAAAGAACGAGGTGACGCACTGTGAGTTACAAAATTGAGGTGAAAAATAACATGAGTGGTATAAAATCGAGACAATAAACTCAAAACTCACAAAACATTAAATAATAAATGCCAACGATTTTCAAAGCACCCGTCCTGTTCCGCACAACATATCCCAACAGGAATCCACCCTAAAAATAATTTTAAAATATTTTTCTTGACTTAGAATTTTTGACATGAGATAATTTACGACAAGATAGTCAAAATAGCTATTTCAAAACTACTCCCACCTCAGTTTTCCTCCCAAATACGACTCGGTGCTTCCCTGTTACACTAGATCCAAATGCGGTACTTCATATACAGCTAAATCTTGTTTCCATTCTTCAGACTTCTGCAATTTTTTTCTTTCATACAAAAAATTCTTTGGAAATATGTATGTATAAGGAAAGTACTGTACTTTTTTGGATCTGAACTCGGTAGATTTTTGATTCAACTGCTTGATGAATTGTTGCTTAATTGATTGATAGCTTACTTTCAAGGTATTTCAGAGTCAAAACAATTAAATCTGAAAAATCCTTTGGTTTTTAGTGTTAAAGTAATTCGAATTCCATTTGTTCTTTTTCTAGCAAAAACTATGGTACTTACAGGACCGATTTCTACAAATTCAGGCTGTATTGTGGTTGAATGAATTCCCTCATTGTGGAAGAACTCCTTTACTTTCTCGGCTAATTTCATATACTCAGATAAGTTTCGACACCTAAAAAAACGGTAGAACTGAAATAAATCAACAGAACTTTCGAGAAGCTAAATTATAATAAAATATGATGGTGACTGGATGGAATAAAGAGAGTTGCGAGAGGTTTTGAAACTTCGAAGTCAGATCGACTGAAATCAGAAGCAGATCCAGCAAACTTGGGAAGTTGCTCACTTAAAAAATAGCAGTATTCCTTCATTTTTTTGTCCTCCTTTCTTCTCCTTCTATCCCTCGGCTTTCCTGTGAATCAAAGGGGGCGCAACTCCCTCTCACTTCATTCACACTTTGTTATTGAAGATTAGGGTCTTTGACCAGAATCATTAATTGCAGAAGGTGTCCCAAAGGTCTTTGCACCAACTCTTGTAAGAGCGCTCAAATAAAGCGAAAGAAATGCACGGTGAAAGAGCTTAAAGAACATTTAATAAGCACTCTTGCTGAGTTTATTTGGTCAAAAAGCTGAGTTAGGGCGATTTTTAGACGATATGTTCTTATACCTCCTGATAGTTTTTGGAATTTTTTGTGGAGGTAGGTAAAAAGGTCTCAAAATTTAAAATGTAAGTCCTCTATTCAATTACTTTTACATTTGGACGTATTTCTGTTAAACGGAACTGGCGCTAAATTGAGTTCCATTTCAGGATTTTAGAATCCCGGATAGCGCGTTCTGTCAAACAGAACTAAACGCCATGAAAAAGCATTGAGAGTATAGGACGGAACGAGCATCGCCTTCCGCAACACCCGCCAATCAAAGCCCCCCTCTCCCTTCCTCTCTTATGGCGTTTCGTTCTGTTTGATAGAAATACGTCCATTTTTCTTACCAATTATAATCAAAGTTATTTTTCTTCTTTTGATAACTTCTCTTCCTCTAATCATTCAAAATATTTGCCATAATTTTTTGTGCAGTACTTTACACCCCTATTAAAGGAAAACGCTGTAGGAGCCTTTAGATGTTGCCAAATTCCCTTTGATAAAATACGAATTTTCAGGGGAATCTGTGGTTATTTTTCTTTGAATTTTCCATAGAATTTCATTTGCGATCAGATCTAAATTATCTGACGATTTCAAAAGAAAATATCCATAACTCTTCTCCAAAATAAATATTCTATCAGAGGAAATTTGGCAACTTTCGAATGTTCATACAGTGTTTTTCCTCAGCACAGCAGTCAAGGCCTTGCATCTTTCTACGGACCTAGGAATGTCTCTTCAAAATCTTCCTTAATAGGAGAGTTGAAAAACTTTCAGTGAGTTGAGGAAAAAATTATTTTCTATATCTTTGCCAACATATGAATGAAATAACTTACAAGGGAAGAAGTTATGTACCTGATATGAGCAGAGGCTATAATTCGGTCTCCAGCTAGTTGCCACACATGAAACTCATGAACAGCTAGAACACCATCCACATTGTCAAGTAAACGTCTTTCGATAGCATCAACTTGGATGTGAGTAGGAACAGTTTGAAGTAAGATTAACGCTGATTCTTGAAGGAGAGGCCAAACTGATTGGAGGATCAGTAGCACCATTACAACACTTAGAGCAGGATCTATGTAGTACTTGTACTTCCAGTCTGTCCACCAAACAACCTAAAATGTGAATGGAAACAGTGAGTTGCAGGTGAAAGAAGAATTGAAGTGATGAGGTGTGGTTTCTCCACTGTTGATGACGATTCATTTTTGAGTAAATATTTCCATTAGGCAAAAAAGCCACACACACGAAAAAAACCCAGAATGAAACACCTATAAACTACAATTATAGGAAATCGCTGGCTCTATTAACGACTGAGTCCACTTATGGTAGAGCTTCAGTTTTTGAGAGGCCTTCTGGTTACAGAGAAAATCAGCTTAATTTCTTTCTATTAAAAAATGATGGGTCAAAATTATTATGAAGAGAATTAAAAGAATGTCCATACTTTTTCTTTCCCTATGGCTCAAAGGAAAAGAGCAAATTTTGTGAAGGGTGCGATATGCTCACAGCAGTATTTGATGATTCAATAACTCATATTTTTAAGAAGGTTAGATATTTAGACTTACAGTTGCAGAAATAATAACTATGACGGAGCCCAAAGCATCAGCGAGTACATGGAGAAACACGCCTCGCATATTCATCGACTCAGATGAGGATGAAGCAGCATACTTCTCTTCTTTTTCGCTGTGCTGGTGGTGACTGTGAGAGTGCGGAGGTCGGAAACTTGAGTCATTTTCATTGTCATCTGTCGATGCACCAACTGAGACTAACTGAGTGAGCCTCGTATGGCTTCTCGATAGTCCTCCATGAGAATGGCCATGGCCTCCTCCATGTTCTACAGAAGTTCAAAAATCAAGAATTAGTGTTACACATTCAACATACCTACTTATAAGACAAAACTCTAATAAAATATACTGTTTCTCTCCTCCTAAGGGTTATCCATAAATTATGTTAGGTACCTATGAGGGAGGGAGGTCTAGTACTACCTCACCAAAACTCTTCCCCGGAGTGAGAGAGGGGAGAAAGGACCTAGTTTGTAGGGGAAAAAAGGTCTAACATTATTCATAGATGGCCCCCAGATAATTTTCAAAATGTTGCGATTTATAATCAATGGCAAAATTACAATTTCACTATTCTGAACAGATTATGAGATTATCCAAGCAATCGTTGATGCCATCATTAGGATTGATACATCATCATCAGAGCTTATACCTTGAAAATATTACCTTTCTATATAAGCAATGCTTTACCTAACTTTGGTTTGGACTTTTAAAAATTAAAAAAATTGTATTTCTAAAAGAGATGATAATGATATTATTAGGTCTGAAAGATAAAGATTCACTCACGGTGGAAAAGAAGAAGTCCGATGGCATTGACTAACAGCCCAAGAAAACCAACAATGATGATGAGCTCCGGCTCATGAATGTCTTCAATTTCAATAAATCGTTTACATGCCTCAACAGTGATAGAGAAACAGAGTGCCACCAAAAATACTGCATTAACTAAAGCTCCGAGAACTTCAGCACGAGCCCAACCGAAAGTATTTTTTGACCATTTTTTTGGAGACATCTAGAACACAGCATAAAACAGTAGTAGATTTGTGATTAGAAAATTCTTAAAAAACAATACAGTTATTTGAAAAACATCGAAAACAATCCAGATTCTTCTTCCCCGTGCAATGCTTTTTAGGTTGCAATGCTCTATAAGTGGAGAGAACTGACTACATACTGTAAACTTTCCTCAGAATTTATGGTTTTTAGTATGTCAACTCTTAATAAACTGGCCTTCTGAACTTTCTCAAATTAGTTCACATGTTACTAACCTTCAAAACTTTCCTTACTTTAACATTTTGTACTTCAGAGATGATCATTTAACTTGCTCTAATGTCCAAAAAATTTTTAATGCGGGAATGAAATTGGGATTTGATTATTTTCAGCTTATATAAATCTCTGTTACAAAAACATTACACATTTTTTAAACTACATACCTTCAAAACATACTGATTGCCTAGTTATCATTTTTTCAAGTGATTTTGTCATCAAAATTTTAATAAATAGTAGCTGGAGCTTATCTGTTAAGCTTAAGACAAAACCGAAGTTGAAGGATATATAATGAAAATAGGAAATTTCATAAAAGTAAAAACTGAGAAAGCACATACCTTCACCGACAAAAATGCCACGACAAGCGCAGCAACATCACTCAGCATGTGAAAACTATCTGCCACAAGAGACATAGAATTTGTGAGGTACCCTACAACGATTTCCACCAGAAAGAAAACCGTTGTCAGCCACAGCATCGAAATCAGACGGCATTTTTTCCCCGAGTATCGTCCCATTTCGAGCCCGGTTTCACAACCTGAAACAAAAAAATAAAATACATTGAAAAATGGCTTTTTACGAGGGTAATTGAAAAACATACTATCGCAGGGAAGGGGTGGTTTCATGAGATTGATTTCGAGATTTTTCCCCACTATTGGGGCTATACGCCAATTTTCGGGGGTAAGTGGCATTCAGTTTTACGTTACGAATCGGTTGCTCTGGAGTCTGGAAGCCTCGCTGTTCTAGTTACAATCGCAAATACGCGGTTTAAATTGCGGTTTTAGCGATTTCTGTGGTTACATGCGTTGAGAAACATTAATATGACCTGAGTGTCGCCGCATGACTGAAAAGTAGTCAGACACTGGTTGGCACAAGCTGAACGATATCCAACCAACTCGGTTCCACAGAGATGGGAAATTTTACGGTGAATCCATACCGAGAGGGAATAAACATCGGGATATCGATGGTATTATTCTATTCCTTTGGTTTCACCTATACTTGTTTTAGCAAAAACGGAGCCGCTGCGTCTAGAAGAACATAAAGCTGACTACTTACATAAAAAAAAAAAAAACCTCTTGGGAAAATCCAAAATCGAGTCCACGAATATCTGAACTTGAAAATTCACTGTTCAATTCAACAGACCGAAAGCTATGTTTTTCACCTTTTATCGCGTTCGGATACTTTCGTAAATTTGAAGTTGTCACTTAATAATTCTGTGACAGTCGCCTAAATTGCGCACCCGAACATACGGCATTTTTGGCTAAAAATAAAAAAGGAAACCAATTTTAACGCACTTCGTCCGATATTACGATTTCTGTTCCTTTACTTCCAGTATAAATTCCCTTAAAATGGCGCGCAAGCGTGTGTTGAAACCACGCGGGCGAAGAGAGCCATAGTGCGCCTTCATTTCCATGTGCACGCAACACGAATACTCCGCAAGGAGAGTAGGTGCTTCTATGCGCCACGATATTAGCAACGCGTCGCGTTTTTGTCTCCACCGGCAAAGGCACAAACTGCGAACGGTTTTTTACATTTCCATCCTTTGAATGCAATGATTTATAACGACAAATGGACTGCATTTTGCGATTCGGAACTATAAATTCCGGCCCGGTTTACTAACAACGTATAAGCCACTAGTTCCCCCATGCACATAAGTGTTTTTCAGATGAGCCAGAATTTATAGCTCCAAATTGCAAAATGCGGTCCAAATATGGTTGCAAAAAGCAATTATTACTTTAGTGGCTGACGACTGTAGACAGATATGTTTACATGTCAATTGGTAAAAATGGTTAAATGCATCTCGTAAGAGATTTTTCGGGAATATTCTCGGAAGGAAAAAAGTACTTACATAACAAAATATCAGACAAATAAGGTAAATTCATTCAACATATTGGAAACAAAAAGATAAATCGCAAGCGATTTTCTGCCAAAATGATGATAAAATTGACCGGAACTATCTTGGATCAGCCTGACTAAATTTCACGTTGCCTAGTTTACTTTCGAGTTCACTTTTTTTCACCTGATGACGAAACAACATACCAGGAGCCTTGAAGCCTTCCGTGATTTCTTCCTGACTTTTAAGCCGTTTTGGTAAAAAAAATCGAAATGGGGCCTCAAAATCAAAATTCATGCGACGTAGGATTGGCAATACGAGGGGGGACCCAAAAAAAACCGGAATTTTGCTGTAACTTGGCAACAATGGAAAATATTCAGGTTCCACCGCTAGGAGGTGTAACTAGGAGCTATGAAGAGTCACTGGGCCAAATTTCAACATTGTAGCACATTTTCTTTCCATTTTGGCGAGACTTGGCTTCAGGGGTGTTTGGCGACTTCGTAGTTTTTGAAGATTGGTCAATTTCAGTAATAACACTTAGAGCTCAAATTTTTCTCTCTTGCTCGATAAAATTACGGCTTTCTCCGTTAACCTTTTAAAGTGCTACTTCTGAAGGACAAGCCTCATCAAAAAGTTCAGTGTAAGTATACGGTTTTTCAGTTTCAAAATGGTCTGTATCGCCCAAAACCCCTGTACGGCTCTAAATCGCTATCGGCATCGGCTGGAACCGATGAAAACATGAAATAAATCGCGTTTCTGTGAAGGAACATGGTTAAATATCGTTTTGTCTACTAGCAGATATCACTTGGATGTAATACAGAAATATTCAGAACATTGCTGTGAAAAATTTTGGCATAAGACGCGTTGTTGCCGAATTGATCCCCTATTTTGCGCGCTAGCTAGTGACGGCCGCCTGACGTTCAGCCTACGTTCGAACAATAAATCACACTTTAAAACGAAGAAAAACATTTGCTCACTTATGTTGTAGGTAAATCATGTTCCCTGCAACATTCACTCCAAAAATTGACACAGTTTAGCCACACATAGCCTATAAAAATCACCTATCTTCAAAAACTACGAAGTCGCCAAACACCCCTGAATTCAAGTCTTGCCAAAATGGAAAGAAAATGTGCTACGAGGTTGAAATTTGGCCTGGTAGCTCCTAGTTACACTTCTTAGCGGTGAAACCCAAATATTTTCCATTGTTGCCAAGTTACAGCAAAATTCCGGTTTTTTTTGGGTCCCCCCTCGTATATTCCAATAAATCTCAATAATCTGGATTTTGTGTTCCATAAAGCGACCACTGTTGAGATGCCTCAGAGGTCAGCACGGAATGCATCAGAGGATATTGATACCAGTGGATAAATGGATATCTCCCCATTTTAAATTGTGGTAAATAATCGACTATCAAGGTGTTCATTCCGAACACCCGGTTTATTGATCCTTTTCCATAGATTTAAATGGCAGATCAATCGATATACATATCGCAAAGTACGCCACGCCACTGATAAATACTCCACGGCATAGAGAAAAAAAGGTGTTGGAATTTCGGGCATCTTGCAGGGCCGGATTAAGGGGGTGGCCACATGGGCCGCGGCCCGTGGCGGCAAATCTATAGGGGGCGGCCAATTTTGCAATTTTCTTAAATTTAGGTATTAAAAGAAAATCGGATTTAGAAAGAAAAATTACAAACGAGAGAAGGCGACAAAATCTCTCATTTCCCAAGAGTATAATAATTTGTATTTATGCCGTCTTCCAGAGATACAAGAGACAGCACCTTTAATTATTCAAGTTAAGAGAGAAACCAAATAGTTAAAACACACAATTTGGCCTAGATTGGCGCGACTTAGAGAGAAATGATGACGAGGACTTGAGAAGAAAAGGAAAAGCCCTCGGCGCGGCGATCGGCATGTAACACATATTAGCACCTACAAGACTACACGAATACTTCACGCATTGCGTCAAACACAGAGCGTTCAGCAGCGGTCGGCGTGAAACTCACAGCGCCTAGAAGACTGTCGGAATACTTCACGCATTGCGCCAAACACGGTGCGGTCAGCGCGGCGCGGCGGCGGAAGTTAAAATCATTGATCCACATTTATGTTTGTTCTTTCATAATTTTTTCGTTCATTTTTTATGAATGAAGAGCCTTGTCCACACAGAGATAGGTTTACGAAACTTAACTTTCGCACAAAGTTCCGTGAACTTTTGCTGGTAGTGTTGACAGGGCTTTCGCAAAAAATGTGTCTAACACGAGTAAACGCGTCTTATGCACCCCTCCCCCGCTGGCACGTTCATATGATGGTTTTTCTTGATGTTTCAAAACTAATGAGAAAAGGGCGGCAAGTAGGTAAATCCGGCCCTGGCATCTTGAAATTTTTTGATGGCGTAAGTCGGTAGCTACGGCGACTTTTATCATCGATTTTCTTGGAAATGGTGTAGTTTATGGAAAAAAAGTCATTCTATAATAAGTGTTTGAAATTATGTCATGAGTTGATTTAAGCTAAAAAATCGGACGTTATGGTCCGTTTTTCATACTCCGAATTCCGGATTTCGCTGACCAGGTTGTACCGACATACTACGTCACAGGGTAAACAATCCTCAAGATGCAAACACCTCCTTTTTACTTTCTCGCTCCCCTAGGGTAGAGGAAGTATTTTTTTCTCTATGACCCCACGGAAAGTGGATCGAAACGGGGCCGGGTAGATCGCAATAACCCCTTTCCAATTTAAACAGACTGCCCTCGATCTTGAAACTTACGCGATTGACCGTCGTTACGAAATGGACGTGTTGACTTTTTTTGGCTCTCTCGGTGATAACGCGCGGTGTCCTGTTTAGATAGAGTTTTGCTTATAGCCGGCCCCTCGCGCTTCGTCACAAATTTTCCGCGAGATGCGACTAAAATCGGCCGAAGAATGACAAACGCATTCTAAGAGGCAGGCGGTTCATTTTGTTGTTGTTACGTTTTTTCAGGGTGTCTGGTTTTTATTCATTTTGGGATATCCTGATGAAATCCTGATTTTTAACTGCTAAGTCCTGATTTCATAATTTTTCCAAATCTTGATTTTTTGCGGAGAAAAATAAAAATTTCTGTATAAGCGTACAAAATCTCTCGTGCAAAGGCAGAAATCTAGAATGAAGTCCTAAGGAATAAAAACGAGCGCTTTTTTCAAATCCTGATTTTACGACCGATTTTTCCTCAAATCCTGATAGAATCGGGAAAATCATGATGCTAGATGTTTTGTCCACTGTAGTGGAATCTGCTTACTTGCGCCTAGATTACGAGATCAGATTACATTAGATTCTCGATCCACGCAGTTACAAAGCCCGCCATTGGTGTAGCACCGCGGGCCGCGGGTAAAGTGGCGAGTGCCTGGACAGTCGAAACGCCTTCACTTTCGTGCGTATGCAACACAGGCATCCATAGAGCCCGAAAAGTTGCATCCCGGAGTTAAAACGGAAGTATAGTGTTCGTCGCACTCGAAACTAATTTGGGGAGCTTTACCTGTTTCTAATACACCGTAAATCAATTCCAGCCTTGCCTGATGTGCCGATGAAGTGAGATATTACTGATTTTTGTTGAAGAATGTAGATGTTGCATGTGTGAGAAATTTGCGATTTGACTACTTGCTCTCATGTCAAAGTTCGCGAGAAACACAATGGGGCCACTGGTTTTCTCTGAAATCATCTCCCAAGCTCAAAAA